TGCAATTCGCCGAATGGATCGTCAAGATGCATAACCAGCCCTGCCACGTTGTCTACACCAACTATCGTCCGACGCCACTCCAGAATTACTTCTTCCCCGCTGGTGGAGAGGGTATCCATCTTGTGGTGGATGAAAAGGGAGTTTTCCGCGAGGAGAACTTCCAGAAAGCAATGAGCGCAATCGCCGACAAGAAAGGCGATGACCCGGCTGACGCTTTAGCCAAACGCAAGGGCAAAGGCAAGGATAAGCAAATCAACAAGGGTGGAAATAAGGGCCCATCGGATATCTTCAAGATCGTCAGGATGATCATGCTTAAGAACTACAACCCTGTCATTGTCTTCAGCTTCAGCAAGCGAGAGTGTGAAGCAGGTGCTTTGCAGATGAGCAAACTGACTTTCAACGATGACTCCGAGAAGAATATGGTGTCCAAGGTTTTCGAAAGCGCCATTGAAATGTTGTCTCCAGAGGATCGTCAATTGCCACAGATTCAAAATATCCTCCCGCTTTTGCAACAAGGTATCGGTGTCCACCACTCAGGATTGCTGCCAATTCTTAAGGAAACCATTGAGATTCTGTTCCAGGAGGGTCTCATCAAAGTCCTGTTTGCAACTGAGACTTTCTCCATTGGTCTCAACATGCCTGCGAAGACTGTAGTTTTCACCAGTGTCCGCAAGTTCGATGGAACTAGCCAGCGTTGGGTCACCCCGTCTGAATTCATCCAGATGTCTGGTCGTGCTGGTCGTCGAGGTCTCGATGATCGAGGTATTGTGATTATGATGGTTGGAGAGGAGATGGACCCAGCAGTCGCGAAGGAGATCGTGCGCGGTGAACAGGACCGACTCAATTCCGCATTCCATCTTGGTTACAACATGATTCTCAACCTGATGCGTGTGGAGGGTATCTCGCCCGAATACATGCTCGAACGATGCTTCAAGCAGTTCCAGAACACTGGAAGCGTTTCAGGTCTGGAGAAGGAGCTCGAGGGTCTTGAGGAGAGGCGCGCCAATATGATCATCTCAGACGAGGGGACCATCCGCGAATACTACGACCTACGGAAACAATTGGACGCATTTGCCGACGATGTTCAGCATGTCATTTCCCACCCAAATTACTCTTTGACTTTCATTCACCCTGGACGATTGATTCACGTTAAGTACAAAGACGCTGATTTCGGTTGGGGCGTGGTGATCAACCAGAAGAAGCGTAAGCAAGCGAGCAATGACACCGAGAAAATTACTCCTCACCAATCTCACATTGTTGATGTTCTGATGAGGATGTCGGACGGGTCATCCATTGGCACCAAATCTTTCCAAGATCTTCCGCCAGGTGTTCACCCCGCAAAGGAAGGGGAACCGGCTCGCAATGAGGTAGTGCCCATTGTGCTGAGCTGCATCACGGAAATCTCTCACATTCGCATCATGCTTCCGAAGGATATCACGTCGCCTGGCTCTCGGAATGATGTTATGAAGTCTATTGATGAAGTTAAGAGGCGCTTCCCAGACGGTGTTCCGCTACTTGATCCGATTGAGAACATGCAGATCAAGGATGAAAGCTTCAAGAAGCTGCTACGGGTAAGAAGAGATTCTGCTACTCCAAGACATGATTTACACTGCTAACCCTAAAATAGAAAATTGAAGTTCTTGAGTCTCGCCTCCTGAGCAACCCTTTGCACAATTCGCCCCGGTTGACTGAATTGTACGAGCAATATGCCGAGAAGGTGGACCTGACTGCAAAGATCAAGGCGATAAAGAAGCAGATTACAGAAGCCATGTCGATCTTGCAGCTTGATGAGCTGAAGTGTCGCAAGCGTGTGCTCCGTCGTTTCGGATTTATCAACGAAGCCGAAGTGGTGCAGTTGAAGGCTCGTGTCGCTTGTGAGATTAGCACAGGTGATGAGCTGATGCTGAGCGAGTTGCTGTTTAACGGTTTCTTCAACAATTTGACTGCCGAGCAAATCGCTTCCGTCATGAGTTGTTTCGTGTTTGAAGAAAAGGTCAAGGAAGCCCCTGCTTTGGCCAAGGATGAGTTGGCGAAGCCACTGAAGGAGATCCAATCACAGGCCCGCATCATTGCCAAGGTCTCGCAGGAGTCTAAGATGGCCGTGAATGAGGATGAGTACGTCCAGAGCTTCCACTGGGAGCTAATGGAGGTGATCTACGAGTGGACTCAGGGCAAGTCTTTTGCAGATATCTGGTATGCATTTCCCCCTTCCCATTGTTCTAGCAATTGCAATATACTAACTATTCTAGCAAAATGACCGATGTCTACGAAGGTAGCTTGATCCGTGTCTTCCGCCGGTTGGAAGAGTGTTTGCGGCAGATGGCGCAAGCTGCCAAGGTGATGGGCAGCGAAGACTTGGAGAGCAAATTCGAGGAGGCCCTGGGCAAGGTCCGCCGCGATATTGTTGCTGCCCAGTCCCTGTACTTGTAGATACGATATCCCTTTTATGATCGCTGGAGTCTAAAGAATACGATTACCCCCAATTTTTCCTTTTTCCTATTACGTAGAATGTAGTGTTGTAGATGATGCGGGTATTCGTATCGCCTCCGAAAGCAGTGGAGTAGTTCAGTCTGACACATTTGATGAAACCAAAGAGAAAGACATAAGACATTTGAATTTTTTTATAAGAATCATTATTAAAAAATATCAAAATTTTCATTCTAATCCATGTCCAAACTCTTTCAAGGGCACAGATCTCCAAAAGCTGCGCAAAGGGAGTGCGTTGCCACCTGCAACGCCTACTTTTTCTCCACCGCTACCTTTCTCTACCCTTCTCTCCCCACTTCCAAAACCCTTTATCCTCTTCTTCTTCAAGGTTGCTTGATTGCTGTTTCTTTTCACTCTTTTGGGTATCCGAGTCCTTTGGAGTATCACATTTCTTCTTCGCCATCCGGCTGTCATCATGAACAGCTTGGTGGCCACACCTCCTGTTCCGCCTCACTTCTACGAGAACTCCCGATTCTCTCCCTCCCGTATGAGTAAGATATCCCTTCCCCTGGAAATAATGTGTTCTTCTGTTCTGGTTAAGGTGGTTCTCTTTAATGCATTCGTATACTGACAGAACGGCCAGTGTCTACACCCTCGTCGTCCTATGCCAGCCGTAAACGGAAAGCCGACGACGACAACGACCATGATGGACGCATGTCTGCTTCGCCCACAAATTCTCCCGCCTTCACTCCTCGACAACTCCCTCACAGCTACCGCAACATCAAACGTTCCCGACCGAACGTTTCAGGCCGACCTCTACCTCTGCCCCGTCTGCTAGAGACCCTCGATACAGATGCCTTGCGGACAGTTGTACGGACCATGTGCGAGCGTCACCCTCAACTCGCTGACGAGGTTGTGCACACATCCCCACGCCCGAATGTCTCCTCAACCCTTCAAGTCCTTCGAAACTATCAGGCCGCCCTCCAGTCGTCATTCCCGTTGGGTGGCAATACCGAATCGGACTATGCCTACAACCGAGTCCGACAGCCACTCACCAACCTTCTTGACGCCCTGAGTGACTTCACCCCCAACTTTCTGCCTCCAAACGAATCCCAAGCATCCACATCCTTGAGCTACCTAGATGGGGCAACCGACATCATTCATGCCTTGCCTCGCTGGAGCACGCCACAGAACAACATCGAACGAGATTCAGCTTACGACGAGATGTGCAAGGCATGGGTTCTGGTCATCCGGGAAGCGGCTAAAAGAGGTGGCGGCATCCAGTTGCAGTACGGAGGTTGGGATCAAAAGCTTGCCAAGCACAACCAAACCTCTGGAGGAAAGCTACAGGGAGCTGTCAACGAACTCGGTTTCAGCTTGGGATGGATGAGTGGGCCCGACACACCATCCCACGGAACCAACAACGACATGGGCTCCATACGGGATCAGCTCTTCTCCGGAACTTACGGGCTGGGAACACCAGTCAAAGTCGGACCTTGGTGATAAATCACACCACTCTGATTTCCTTACGAAAGACCACCCATTACATTTACCCCGCTCTTGCGTGTCGGCCTCACGTCCTCCCATTCATGCCGGCTCTCATTTGAGCTTGACCGACGGTCCATACCCCTTTGACCGCGCAATTTTCGACGTATGTCACGATCACGATACCTGCTGCATGACCCTAGACTCGACATGGTCAGATGGCGTTATAGTACTCAAGGCGGATAACCTACAGCTTTTTTTGTTCTTTTTCGGCTGGAACTCTGGAAGATGAATGCTGTTATAGCTTGTTTGTTCTCAAATCTTTCAATGAACTCAAGACTCAGTATCTTTTTCTTTCTTCCTTGCTTTGCTCCTTTGTCGTATTCCGGTTTATACGCATGACCCTTCCTTTCCTCTTTCCTTTCATCTGTGTACTTCATTCCAACTCTGATACTCTCTTTATATCTACTGGCGCCCTGGTGTCGCATACATTTCTATCTTTTATTTCATTCATGTCTCATTGTCTTTATCATCTTCTTGTTCTCTTTCGCTGTTGTGAGTTGTCTTTGCCTATTTCACTATTGAGACTCGGGCTCAATCTCTCTATTGCTTGTGCCATTCTATCCCTCGCATATTCCAATGATGTGTGTCAGAGCGACAACTTCTGTCTTGGGCCATCAAACCCAATCCTTGCGCTTTTCAGCTTTGGAAAAGTTGGCGGAGATTTGAACCTATTCTATACATTAGAAGAAGGCCACTCGCCATCCAAATCGGTCTACAACATACGTTCTGATCCTGTCATATCACACAACATATTTTGATACGTTGGTTGGTAGGCCCTTTATTCACGCTAGCTTGTTTCATTGGAATCCTATCAATTTTCTCATAGCTTTTGGTCATCACGTGTAAAAACCGGATATATATTTCCCTATCCTCTTAGTATTTTTGCTTGGCCATGTATAACCAGCTTCATAGATATTCCGAACAACAAAGCTAATAAATAACTAATAAGAGCAATCAAATCAAAACAAAGCAGTATTTACAGACAACCACTCCCACCAAGAACATCGCTCAATGCAATTCATAATTCATACCAACGCCCGCTTCACCAAACGAAACAACCACCCAGCATCCTCCCACCCACCCTCACTCCCAGGCTTATCAATAGGAGCAGCACTACCAGTAGAACCCTCCCCATCAGACAGATCTCCATCCCCAACCGACCCAAGCGAAAGCGTATCATCATCCCGCCCATCCACCAAAACAGGTTCCTCAAATGTAACAGTAGTAGTAGTATCCGCCGTCCCAATACGCGAAGCAGCCGCCGCAGCCGGAACACCCGCAGGCCACTCATCAACCCCGAAAAGCGTCCACTCAACCAACCGGTCAATCCAAGACCCGAGCCCGAACCCGCGCTCACGCGTCAGCTGCTGCAGATCCGCTTCATCGAAGTCATCCGGCGTCTCGTCAGAGTCGTAAGAGTACTCAGACGAAGTCTCATCTTGGTCAGAGCCTGCCCCGTCCCAGTGCACTGAGTCTTCATCCGGGAATCGGTGCTGTAGCGATTCCATTTCTGCGCGGATGCTCGCGTCTACGAAGTCAGGCACTAGCGGAGTACGGCCGCGCGCTTCGGGGCTCGCCGTTCGTGTCACGGTGCCTGTATCCGTGCCCGAGTGGGTGGATATCTCCTTCTCTGCTGGCGTTGAAGCCGGGAGGGCGGTCATGGTTAGATGGACTCTACTGTTGCCGGGTCTGCTGCCGGCGCGGGAGCGGGACGCGCGGCGGGAGAGGGCGCCGGCTCCACCTGGAGTTGAAGCACCGGAGCGGGTCATGCGTGACGAAGCGCCTGATCTGGTGCGGTGGTGGTGGCGGGTAGTTGACGTTTCATCGAAAGACGTGTCTGGGACGAGACTTGTTGAGCTCTCGCGCTTGGAGAGCCAGCTTTGGCCTTTTTCTTCGCGGGTCGAGGATGCTAGGGCGATTCCTGCGCGGAGCATCCATTCTGCGTCGGATTTGGATTTCGGAGTGCTGTCTGGGAGCGGGCGTCGTCCTTGTGAGTGCGAGATGCTGGGCTGTTTCTTGTGTTTGTCTTGGATGTGGTGGAGGGCATGACCTAGGTCCCGGCTGTGCAAGTTCGTGTCGCTTAATGGTCCTGCCCCAATAGAGCTTTTGCTGCGCTTGTGGCGGCTTCGCGAGTTGCTGCGTGAGTGGGAGAGGATCGGTGGCGTGCTTGGGACTGAGACGCTGGATAGATATGATGATGCTGGGGGTGTACGGGTGCCGCTAGTTGGAGTTTCATGGTCACGGTGGTTGAAGTAGTCTGTTGGATCTGTGTCGTCGTCGTCAATGGGGAACCGTGGGTTTAAGGGTGCTAGGGAGATGTGGCGGAGGGATGGGTATGACCGTCGGGACTGGAAGCCTCCCGAGGTGGCGTTGAACTATATATGACACGTTAAATCTCCAGTTTATGTTTTTGCTCGGGTCGGAATCTAGTATATACCTCCATCTTGAGTTTTCCAGCTGAAACGTCAAGCAGAATCAGAGATGAAGAGGTCGAGACGGTGGGAATGCGGAGTTGCTGCACGTGCGGTTGGCATGTGAAAGTGGCCGAGCGGCCCCGGCAATGTTGATGTTATTATGCCCGAGGATGGAAATATAATTAATAAATAGAGATAGACTGTACGGAATGGTGTTGAGTGTAAATAAGTAGAGGGAGATGGAATGACTGGTAGATGATAGATGATAGATGATAGATGACGGATCTATAGAAATCGACCAACATTGCGAGGGGGCCCAGTTGTACAGTCCAATCATATGATTATACAATTGTGGCATGATAAATACTTCCTTTCGTGCAATCAGACTGAATGTATGACAATCTAGAAAGGTTTATTTCTTTCTACAAAATAATCAAAATATCTATACAATCTTGGAAGTATATTAACATATCTCAGAACGCTTACAGGCGCGAATCTTGGAAGTCCAAATATCCCTGACCCTTGATCTTCAAGTCTTCTAGAACATTGTACTCCATAATCCACTTCATCCGCTCCATCAATACATCCGGGTTGAAGTTGTTGGTCATCTGGTCGGGAGAGTCCGAGCTAGCCAGCTTACCGGCTTCGTAGCTGGTATTTGTGACCCTGTCTGTCCGAGGCTTGCGGAGGTCCTGGTAGAACTTGAATGCAGCCTCTAGGTCATCTGTCTTCCAGTGTCTGAGAACTGTTGCAAGGGCAATGCCAGATTCAATTGCCATACATGTTCCTTGACCTATAGCATACTATTAATATATGTCCCGCAATAGGACTAGACACAGATAGGATACAACGTACCTTGATGAGGAAGAGTCGAGTGCGCCGAGTCACCAAGCAGAATAATACCAGCATCCTTCTGCCCACTCTTCATCTCATACCACTTTTCGATGGGGTCACGCACATACAGCGCCTGTTTGAGCATCTTGCCGTCCTCGGAGCTCTTGCGCAGACCAGTAATGATATGCTGCACCTCCGGGCACCAGTCACGGACGTGCTCCTGGAGACTATTAATATCGGAGCGGGACATCCAGCTCTCAGAGTCCCATGCCTCAAGCGGCTCAGACATAAAACCGATGATAGCAGCACGGTCAGTCCCTGTCTCCTTGTTACCAATCGGCAAGATTAGGACATGGCGCTTGGGTCCACGGAAATTAACAGTCTTGCGCAGTAACTGCGCCGTCTCAGCGGGTAGGTCCTTGTAGTCGACGAATCCACGATACACCACCTGGCCAGAGTAGTTGGGGTCGTCTCCCAGGCCCATATCCCGGCGCACATTAGACTTGATACCATCACATCCGATCACAATATCTGCCTCGGCGGTGCTGCCATCTTGGAAATGAAGGGTGTACGGCGCAACACCGGCGGCAGTGTTGCGGTCAATGGATGCCAGGTGTTTGCCCAGGTTCAGGCTTGACTCAGGCACGCGCTCCTTCAGTGAGTCCAGTAGGTGGGCGCGGTGCAGCAGGCGTGCGTGGGGCTGCGAGAATTCACCAATGTGACCTACGTACTCTCCGGTCTTGTAGTTGTGATATTCCATATAGCTAGGCAGCTTGCGTGAAGACTTGCGCATCATACTCTCTTGTAGACCGAAGGCGTCCAGGACGCGGTTTGCGTTTGAGGTGATGTTTACCCCAGCACCGACTTCACCGAACTGCGCTGCTTGCTCGTATAGTTGTACATTCTTCAGACCGGCGTACAGTGCAGCATTGAGGAATGACATGCCTCCCAGGCCGCCGCCGACGATTGCAACTCGCTTGTTTTCAAAGCCCATTATGAATGTGCGGGGGTGACTTGATAATGAAATGTGGAGGAATTCGGAGGTACTGAACCTAGGGATATTGTTGAGAGGGTGATGACCGATACTCCAGGTTCTCAAGCAAGCTTTATGTATATTCGCTCGGACTTCCCCGTGAAGCACTACCCGATCAAACCGTCTTGGAGATGCCCTTCGGAGCGTGGAGTAAATGTGGGGTGAGCGATGATTCCGAGATTCTACTTCGGATTTCCCGAGTTCTAACAGGCATTGACGTAGAATACATACTATATTTCTCGAATATCGGGAATCCACTTGGGAATATGTAGCTTTTGATGTTTCGAATATTTTTAATAGTTGGTATTTTCTGTTCTATATCACTTATAGTTATGTCGAATTCGGTAATGCCAAGTAACTCCAGAGGAGGTGGAACGTAGATATTGTACCTATATATGTCTTGATATAGCCCAAGGGATTTTAGATTGCTGACAACTAGCAAGTAGTATATTATACAATATAGTCAATCCGAATGATCTGCATAAAGAACAGAATAAAATCATGTCTCAGAATCGGAAGCCCCCGCCATTTTGGAGGAGCCACATCCGATAGCCCCAGGCCATCGGATCATCTTTTGATTGGCTCGCCAGCAACGGAGAACTTTCGGCATTGGTGACTCCGCTATATAAAATCATCATTCCTGTCATTGGCCGGGTAAAGCTTCTCGGCACATTTTTATAGACTCCCGTAATTAACCGGATTTTACTCCACAATTTTTCCCTTGTTCACAACGAAGCCCTCCAATGCGGCAATGGCCGCCCACAAACGATTTTCAGCTTCAGGGAAGACCAGAGAGCGCGGGCTGTAGAAGACCTCGTCATCTACTTCCTCGGGGTGGCGGGGCAGGCAGTGCATGAACTTCCAGCCCTCCTTAGCGCCACCGCGCTTAGCCAAATCAGCAGTGATCTGGAAGCCCTCGAAGGCCTTCATGCGCTTCTTGGACTCCTCCTCCTGGCCCATGGAGACCCAGGTATCCGTAACCAGGATGTCGGCGTTCTTGACAGCTTCCTCGGGGACGTTGGTCTGGGTGAGCTTGCCAGCCTTGGCGACACCCTCACCAGCGCGCTGGATGATGTCAATCATATCCGCAGGGATCTCGTAGCCCTTAGGAGTAGCAACAGCCACGTCCACACCCATCTTAGTAGCTCCAATGGCTAGATCGAACAGAACATTGTTCGCATCACCAACCCAAGCGATCTTCAGACCCTCCAGACCCAGGCTGGAGAGCTTGTGCGCCTGAGATGGGAAAGACTCGTAGATAGTCAAGAAGTCGGCGATGATCTGAAGCGGGTGGAAGGAGTCGCACAGCGCATTGATCACAGGCACGGTGGAGTGCTGTGCCAGACCTGCGACGTCCTCGTGCTTGGCAACACGCGCAACAATGCATGAAACCATAGACGAAATCACAACGGAGGTATCGTATAGGGACTCGTTGACACCGAGCTGGATGTCATCCTTTCCGAGGAACATGGGGTGGCCGCCCATCTGGACGGCGGCGGCTTCGGTGGATACACGGGTGCGAGTACTGCGCTTGTTGAACATCATGGCCACGGTCTTGCCGGAGAGGGATCCCAATAGGCTCTCGGGGATGGCCCCGGACTTGATGGCACGCTTGTGTGATGCAGCATTGCGGACCAGGGTAGCGAATTCCGTAGGGGTCAGGTCTGCAATGGAGAGAAGGTGACGAGGGGCGAAAGGGGAGGTGGGAGGTAAGGTCGGTGTCTGGTGGGCAAATCGTCGGATTCCATTAGCCTGGAGTGTTCGACGCAAAGGTGAGGTGGAGCCGGCCAATTGGTTTACACTTTGGGCACCATAGCGGGCGGCAGCTGTGAGACCACTAGCCATGATGAGCTGGGGTTTATTGATGAGGAATTGGAGTGTTGTGGGACAGGGAAAGGGAAAGGGAAAGGGAAAAGGAATGGGGAGCCCTGAAAATAAAGATCCTTGGAAGAGTGACTCAATAAATTAATCTGGTGGAGATGTGATGTCCGAGCGTATTGATGCCTTGCTGCCTAATACTTCAGGTGCCAAGGTGTCATCACTCCACAGTTTCAAGGTTCCGTTATCATCCGTTATCATCGGCGCATCGTCATCGCCTTTTCCCAAGGTTACGTCTTGCCTCTCACTCTCTGTCTCCTGTGTTACGTGCTTTGGTTTCATCCCTTTCATGTAACTGCTACCAGCTCCGGAGACTACAACTCGTTGTGATTTATCTACGTTTAGGGCCACGATGGCTGACGAGGCAAACCGGCCTCTGCTAGATGCGCAGTTGGGCTCCGAGAGAGTATCCGATGACCAGGCCGGGCCGTCATATCAATTATCAACAGAGTCATCTCATGTTTCGCACAACTCTAAAGGTAAATCGAAGGTCTCTAAAACCGAGCAAAGAATATCACGATCCCATTCAGGCGGGGCCACGATGGCGGATGCGGCGAGCCAGGCTCCGTTGGATGAGCAGTCCAGCCCTCTTGAACCGTCCCGGGAGAGAATATCCGCCGACCAGCCTAGGCCATCATATGAATTGTCATCAGAATCAACACCTCTATTACACCGCCGTGAAGATGAATTGGCCTACGGGACCGAGCAAGGGTTGTCGCGATCCTATTCATTCGCATCACAGAACCCACCCGAGAATGGTGCCACCAAGAAGCGGAGCCGTGTACCATGGCCGACAGTCATCTCTCTATCTGTTTTAACGCTCAGTGTTTTGGCAATACTGGTACTTGCCTTTGCGGCTCCGGCGGCGGTCAAAGAATATGCGCAACAAGCCACTGTCTTCAAACCGACGGCAGTATCAATTGATTCTACAACACCCGAGGGCGTTCGAGCCCGGATTCAGGGCGACTTCGTGATGGACTCGGGCCGCGTGAAGAATAAGTCAGTTCGAGGCATTGGTCGATTGGCGACATGGATTGCCAGGGAAGTTGAGACGGGCCCATCGAATGTTGAAGTTTATCTCCCAGAATATGGGAATGTGCTTGTTGGGAACGCAACATTGCCCTCCATCAAAGTGAACATCCGTAACGGCCATCATACCAGTGTCGACTTCCTCACTGATCTAGAGGCGGGTGACATTCGAGGAATCCACGCGATAGCTATTGATTGGATTGAGGGAAGATTGGGCCGCCTCAGTGTTAAGAGCAAGGCGACAGTGCATCTCAAGTCAGGCTTGTTCGCTTTAGGAACTCAAGTTCTGACAGAAAATATCATCATTGAAGGTATGGTGTATTTGTTTGTTTTTAGTACTGGAACATATAAGCTAACCCCTTTTCAGAACATGATTTCCCTGCTCTGCCAACGATCAATATTCTCAAGCTGAATGTGCATGATGCAAACAGTGGTGGCATGGCGGTGGATGTCTTAGTTTCATCTTTGATTGATTCTCCCGTCGCCCTCACTGTTCCTGCCCTCGGATTTAACATTCTGGTGCCCAACTGTTCACCCGGGGATCCCTATATTCTGGTCGCCGATGCGAAGACAAGCGCGATAGACGTTCAGCCTGGCCAGGCAACTGCAGTCGGCGTTGATGGTATCATCCAACAGCTACCCAATGAATTGACCTCTACCTGCCCAGGACGGGAGGGTTCTCCTCTGGATCTTTTGGTTTCGAGCTTTATGCAAGGTCTCGAAACGACTATCTACGTCCGTGGATCTGATGCACCATCACTCAATACCCCAGCATGGATTGTCGATCTACTGCGCAGCGTGACTGTGCCTCTTCCATTTACGGGACATGCGTTGGACAACCTCGTGAAGAACTTCACGATGTCCGATACACATTTCTCCCTTCCTAACCCTTTCGCGGAGCCAGATTCTCCAGACTCACAACCCACAGTGTCTGCTCTAGTGGAGGTTCTCATTGCTTTGCCAGAGGAGATGAATTTCCAAGTAGAAGTCCCGCAAGTTCGTGCCCTTGCAGATGTCTATTACAAGGAAGAGAAGTTTGGTGTGTTAAACATCAGCCACTGGCAAGACGCCAACTCCACATTGGTGGATGATCGAGATGGCTCCTCTGCACTCCTTGTGGAGTTTGCGATCAAGGATGCACCATTAGAAGTCACAGACGATGGGCTCTTGGCAGAGGTCATCCAAGCAATGCTTTTCGGTAGCGAAACAGTCGTACTACGGGTTGCTGCCACCGTAGACACAAAGGTCTCAACTGGGTTGGGCCGCTTCGCCGTGCGAGGGATTCCCGCGGAAGGGAAGGTACCCGTGAAGAGTATGTTTTCATGAATTAGAAGATCTTAGTACAAATCAAGAATATTTTGGCCATTGACCATGTCATAGCTTCCACTTCCATCGGCAATGCACTTGACCAAATCAATCCACGCGTCGTCTCGTTACGACTAGGAAACACGACTGAATCTTCGATGTTGGTGTCTACTCAGGCGAACTTTACTAATCCAACGAATTACTCGGCTACAATCCCCTTCGTTGACTTTCTGATATTCTACAATGACACTGCTGTGGCCCATATTACCGCTCATAATATTTCTGTTGGGCCTGGCAACAACAGTTACGTCCCCATCGACTTCTTTTGGTGCCCGTTGGACGCAGCTGGAGTAGATGGGGTTGAGACAGGACGGGCGTTGCTTTCATCCTATATATCAGGTCAGTTCCTTGTAGATGGCATGTATCCAAGTAGTAGATTATGCTGATGCTTTCGCTCAGGCTTGAATACAACAATCACCATCAAAACGCATCGAAACACGATTCCATCTCTACCAGACCTGGGCGAAGCATTATCGGTCATCAACATCACTGTTCCTGTCCCTCGCATGTCTATTCCTGGTTCCCCAGACAACGATGATGAGGACCAAAAGCCAAGTTTTATCCAAGATGCAACGGTACATGCCCCTTTCACTCATACCATGTCCCATCCAGAGATAAGGGAAAACTTCATACTAACACTTACTCTAGTTCTATCTCTGGTCCTCCACAGCAGAATTCATCCTCTGCTCACCCCTAGCAGAAAACAATATCCTAATCACGTCAATCGACGCAACGGCTTTCTATGAGAAAAACGAGCCAATCGGTCGAATCAATAACCCTGAACCCTTTGAAGTGCCGCCTGGTATATCCAAGAGCCCACGCTTGCCAGTCGATCTTGACATGGGCGGGGTTGGGTACGACGCCCTGCGCAAGGCACTTGGTCAGTCATTGGAGATGGATGCTGTCGCTAAGGTTGGAGTGCTGATTGGGAACTATATGGATGTCATTCTCTACCATGGGAAGGGAATTGCAGCTAAAGTGAGGATTTAGAGTGCAGTTGCCACGGTCTGTATAATGGAGGTCGAGGTCTTGTTCTTGGGTTGTGCTCATTGCTGCTGGATCGGTAATGCATTGGGATGACTGATGTATGGGGAATTTGCTTAGATCAATCCCTATCTTTGTGAGGGTATGTGTATTCAGACTGCTCTCAATTTACAACCAAAGATGAAAATGAAGTGAAACCAAATCAAAGTAAGAGTAAGAGTAAGAGTAAGCCCTGGAGAGTAAAGACAGAAGCATACATATATGAGACCAAAAGGACTTCCGTGATTCCAACAAGTAAAGGACCTACGCCTATACTCCTGTCCAGGTATACCATACCTGCCTTGCGATCCAAAACTCTCAAAAAATGATCGCGCAAAACAACCAGAAGACTGCCAATATTCCTGACAACGATTGAAACGCCAGCTTATAAACATGGGAGAACTGTTTAGGCTCCCCAGTGCTTATAAAAGACCACAGATCCTCATGAATTTGATGCTCGTTCATCATCGGCGGCCTCTGCACTTGTCGTTCGAATTCGGTCTCTGGGGCGAGTTCACGTTCTTGCTCTTCTTGAAGAGCAGAAGAAACAAATTTGAGGCCGTCGAATTCATTGCACCGATCGGAAATCAAGCTTGAATTTGGGCTTTCGTCGTCTCGAGAATCTAATGTTGAATTTTCCGCATAGTCGGTAGCGGTATTCGAGACACTGACATTCCGTTTCAAGGAAGCTTTCAGCTTGGCTTTGAGATACCCCGAGAGAATAATCTATGAAGGCGTGGTTCCTGAGCCAGCTGGGCTTGGTGAAAGCACAAGCAAGCAAGAGGCCACATGTACCGGCTGGCGGGGAGGGGACAAGCAAGCAGGCCATACACATGTAGGACTTGGCTGAGCGTGTGTTTCCTCCCCTTCCATATTTATTTCAGCATCTCCCAGACCTTTTCCCTTCTGTTCCCTCTCTCTCTCTCGCGTACCTCAGTCATGTTTTACCTGGACAAAAATCTCACAAGAAGGACACAGATATCAAGATCACCACCCCATTCTCAACCCGGAAGAGCAACAGTGGCCTTTTAGTCACTTACATTGTGCTCACCCAGCTAGTTAGCTAGTTGAAGGAATATCACTTCACAACCGTGGCTAGTTTCCCTCTTGTCCCTTCTCGTCGCCCCACGGCGGGGTGTGATTAAATTCCATGAGTTTGTGGAAGTCCAAGTCTTGCCAGGTTCTGTGTCAGAACTGATCAATCCGATTGCGTCCTCGTTCCAGCGCCGTCTCGTTATTTCTTCGGGTCTCCTTGTGAAATCCTGAGCCGTTCGTCTTACCTGGGCATGTACCGTTAACAGGCTATACACTGCACAATAGACCCTATATATTGTATATATGCGCACGCTGGAGGATTCCCTGGCAGTCCTGAATTTGATTACTTGTGAGCAGTTATATAAAGTGCTTTCTGTATATCAATTGATGCAGTACAAGTATTTGCATTGTCTCTTACAAGGTTAGTTTGTCTTCTTAGGTTATCACCCTGGTAACACTATAGTCTACAGGTTGATACACTATAGAAACACCAATTAAATGCCATTAATGCCACAATAGAAACGGTGTTTTGCTTGATGATTAATGCTTGAGATACTATTCCAATTGGAAGGTTGGGAGCAAGTGTGGTGGAATATGTATGTAGGATCTCCGATCTAGGAAACGCTACGGCAGACGCGGAATATCTAGTGAATAACCCTACACCGCCACTTAAAGTATCATAGCAATTTGTGTTTAGAAAAGCAAGGAATATGTATAGATGCGACGGAAACAATATTTGTTATCATTTTACATACAATGGCTAAGCCATCTATTTGAAATTAGGTCAACTCCACGGGAAAGCCAGAAGATACACAAAGCCAAGAGACCAAACCAATCCTATTCGGGTATGTAAGTTTTTGAGTTGGAAATTCGATATATAGCTTAGCCAGGGGGCAGGGTGCTGGCATCGACAACGTCGGCAGCATCCTTCTCGATGTCCTCGTTGGGCTCACCCAGAGGAGAGCGAGGAAGGGCCATCAGACCGGTCCGGGTGGACTCGAGAATACCGAAGGGACCGATCAGCTTGAGGAAAGAGTCGATACGGGAAGGCTTGGCGGAGCTGTAGGAGGTTGTATGAGTCAATTGTGGTCAAAAAGGATGAGTCAGGAGAGAGAAAATACTTACACCTCGACAATGCAGTTGTTAGTGCTGATATCCAGGACCTTACCACCGAACTGGTGAGTCAGACGGGTAATGGCATCCAAGTGCTCGTGCTTGTGACGCAGAGCCTGACTCTGGGGAAGGTGGCGGGGGTGGTATTGCTGGGCGGTGTGGTCAAGGCTGTGGTGCTTGTGGTCCAGGGAGTCTGGTGAGGTGGTGATCTCGCGGTGGTGCTGGAGAAGCTCCTCAAAGAACTCAGGACCAAGGATAGAGACCTTAGCTAGGAGAAGCTCACGCTGCACAAGAGCGGAGTCGGTGTAGTCCAACACAGCCCAAACGGGGACGAGGTCGTCAAGCTGGCGGCGAGCCTGCTCGACGACACCATCCTGGCCCTGCAGCACGATGGTCATGCGCGAGAGATCCTCAACCTCGGTGTTGCACACCACAAGACTGTCGATGTTGAAGCCGCGGGCGGCCAAGATACCAGACACACGGGACAGCACACCAGGCTCGTTCTGCACGAGGCAGTTCAGGATGTGCCTCTTGGGTGGGTTGGAGGGAGCCACGGGAGTCTCATAGAGGATGGAGGAGACAGCGGTCGGAGCATCCCATTGAGGGGAAGCATCGGAGACCGGCAAAGGCAGAGGGGACCGACGGTGCAATGCCTTGTAGGCAAGAGCTGAAGTTGAGCTCGACGATGCACGAATGGAGGTGAATCGAGGAAGCGCAGCAACGCGAGACCGGGCAGTAGCTGTAGCAGATGACTGCAGCGACGCTGACCCCAGGGACAGCGTCAATGGGCGCCTGAAAGCCATAACGGGTAAGTAATGTGAATGGGTTGTGCGATGATTCACTCCAGATTCGCCCCGGGTATATTCTTTTTAATCGGCCGACCTCGGCGACCGACCGCTGACTCAGAGTAAGCTAGACTTAAAGCGGTGTAGTCCATCTGCCAGTGATAAAGGCACGTGATTTTCTCACCACGTGACCTTCAATATTCAACATGGCCAAAGGGATTGCCAGAAACCGGACCAGCTGTTGGAAATGAGGAATATATAATATTCCTGGCTATTCCCATCACTTTGGGCTTTTCAATTTACTCAAGATTTCATTAGTTTTACCTTTGTGGCTTTGTTTGTTGGTTGCTGGGCCTCCGCCTCCTAAAACTCCTTCCCGCAATCGATCTGGACCTTTTTGAGCTTCTTTTCCCCGACCTTTCCTCTCCCTTTTCCCTCTACCCCACCTTTCACCATGGCGGACGATGAACACCGAGTTAAGCGGTCTCGCTTTGACCAAACTGAGCCTGAGCCCCGGCGATCCCGTTTTGACCGACGCTCTCGATCTCCGTCCAACAGACAGTCGGAGTCGGCCCGCACTCGTAGCCCGCTGAGTCGCCCGCTGAGTGGCAGCCCTGACGCAGAGGCTCCAGCGAAGCCATCTGCAGTGGATCCGGCCGCTGCCGCAGGTGCGTTACACTCGGGTTCATGTACCATCATAAATGCGATTATATGGCTAATCATTGTGGTCTTTATAGCGGCAGCAGCAGCCAAGATTAATGCGCAGCTTCAGGCGAAGAAGGGCATTCAGCATGTTGATGTCCCTCCAATCCGTTCCGTGAATACACACTCAATTCGATTCGTTCTACCCAACTTCTAACATTGTCGAACAGGCTGACAACGCGACAGAGAATTCCCAGTCGCCCGCCGCCGAGGGCGCAGCGAAGTTGAATGCCGAAATCTACGTCGCGGATGGAGACTACATCAAGGACATTGAGATCAATGATCTGCGCAATCGCTATACCCTGACGAAGGGTTCTACTCAGAAGATGGTAATTACTCCCTTTGTCACTTGCTGATAATCCAGCCACGATCCTCGTAGAAGATTGGGGTACCTTGAATCTTGCTTTCTCATCGTTCTGCTCTCTTCTTTCGGACTGGATGAAGCTTACCCTTCACTAAAACATAGCATCCAATTCACCCTCTGTTGCATCTGCTGACCTCCGCTGCCTGACTTATAGATTCAAGATGAAACCGGCGCCGGTACGACTTCCTTTCATATTTTTAACTTTAGGCAAAGAAGGTCTCACTCACTTTTTTCTCTCTCAAGATGTGACAACCCGAGGCAACTATTACCCCGACAAGAACATGGCGACCGCTGCAGTAAGGAATGCCCTCCCAAGATTGGCGAGATCAAGTGCTGATTATTCTGATTTAGAGCCCTCCCCTTTACCTACATGTGACCAGCACCAACAAGGATGGCCTGGAGAAAGCAGTCGCTATGATTAATGACCTGATGCAAAAAGAACTTCCGAACCTGGTTGACGAGCGACGTTTCCGCCGCCGTGAACCCGAGCAGCAGGTTGAGCGGGATGAGTATGGCCGTGTATGGAACTGTTCCTTTCCCCTTTGTTAATAAAAATTTGGCTAATTTCATACAGCGCAAATGGCCGGATGAGCGTATCCCCATCGATCTTGAGCCAATCCCCGGTTTCAATTTGCGCGCTCAGGTCGTCGGACAGGGCGGTGCTTATGTGAAGCACATCCAACAGCAGACTCGTTGCCGTGTTCAGATAAAGGGCCGTGGCTCTGGCTTCATCGAATCGAGCACCGGTCGTGAAAGTGACGAGGCGATGTTCCTCCATGTGGCGTGAGTTTTCATCTATTTTCTTACTGACTTTGTTTTTCAATTGTTTTTTCCTCACTCAATTTCTACCATGAGCTTTTACTAACAGCATTTCAAGTGGTCCTGATGCCAACGATGTCCAGCAAGCAAAGGAGCTTTGTGAGGACCTTCTAACCAATGTCAAGGAACAATACCAACGTTTCAAGGAGAACCCACCCCAGCACAACTACGGTGGATACCGTGGTGGTGATCGCGGTGATCGTGGTGATCGCTACCAAGGTGGAGGTGGAGGTGGAGGTGGTGGCGGCGGTGGATACAGCGGTGGCTACAACAATCGCCAGCAGCATAATACTTCCTCTGCTAGCCCTGCAGGCCAGGCTGCTGCTGCTGCTTCCCCGAGCGCTGCTGCCACTCCCACTGCCGCTGACTACAGTGCCCAGTACGCCCAGTACTACGGCACTGCCGATCCCTATGCTGCTTACGGTGGATACCAGAACTACGTCGCTTACTACCAGTATTATCAGCAAATGGCCGCCGCCCAGCAGCAGGCAGATGGCACTGCTCCGCCCTCTGCTCCAGCCAGCGAGGCCCCTCCTCCACCTCCTGGCTCGGGATCCCCGCCGCCTCCACCCCCTGGTGCAGGTGGCAGCTACAGCGCGGTACGTTTTTCCTATGTCATTCATGCTAGTTCTGATTACTGATAGACGAATTGCAGGTCCCCCCACCCCCTGGCCTTTAAGCCTGAACCTGTTTTGGTGGGTTAATGTTGTGCCTTCTTCTGTCTAGTCGCAGTCCATTTGATTTACACGGCGAACAAAAGCATGTCCTGGTCGTTTGCAAAATCGAGGGTGATACAGCGATTTATTTTGATCAATCTCTTTTTGATCTTTTTGTCTTTGCTAAAGAAAGTCTAGCAGTTTGCCTGTGTCTAACCCTTTGATTTACCTATTTCCATACTCGGTAAACTTCATAATTGTGTTCATAATAAAAGGCTTGCTTATTGACAGTGGATATCCTGCTGTGGCTAAACTCTTTAGAAGCGAGCGCAGGTTGCTGAGCGGCTCGGATGCTGGATTTCATGTCTCTGTCTCTGTGGTATATGTGAAGTACAAACCCCCCCCTTCCCTGCGCCATTGATGCTGTTGGGGCCTCAGAAATACAAGCAGAAAACTTAACAGAAGTAACAAGATGACAAGAAAAATAAAGAAAACACTAAACCATGCAGCACAATCAAATAGAAGACGATATCCCTCAGTCGAAATCCGCGTATAGGAGAGCCATCTGAATCTCAGATGCCATTTTATCCCGGCGCTTTGCCAACCCGACACGACCCTCTTTGCAAAAATCGCAGGCGAAGTCGCAAGGGGATGAGCTCGTAACAGATACACCCTCCCTGGCCGGCAGTTGTGATCCCATTTCTTCCAACTCGAAATCACCAAAGAACTCTTTGATCAGTTCATGTCGACACCTCCTAATACTCTCACAGTACCGAATGACCTTGCCGAAGCTTTCAAGCTTGGCCTCTCGATTTTCGGGGCCATGCGCACGGTGAGATTCAGTATCACGGTAGATCATATTCTCTATGAAGTTCCTCTCTTGAATTCCGTAGTAGACAAGTGAGGCAGCGGCGCGGCCGTCTCGACCTGCACGCCCTGACTCTTGAACAAAGCTTTCGAAGCTTCGCGGTGGCGTCCAATGCACGACAAAGCGGACATCTGGATTATCGATTCCCATCCCGAAGGCATTGGTTGCCACAATAATGGAGAAAACGGGTGTCTTTTCACCATCGGCTGGCTGGCATGGCCGAGATGACTTCCACGTTGATTGAATGTGCGCGCGCTTGGTGGCTTCCACGCCGGCATGGTATGCCAACGCCGTGACCATCTCGTCCGACGAATGGGATAGCCGGCTGGCAAGATGCTCAGCCATAGCTCGGGTCCCTACATATACGATGCCTGACATCGGAGGGAGCTGTGTCACAGTGCTACCAAGGCGGGCCTCTCGTCGGGCTTGGATGCCCTTAAGCCATGTAAGCAGGTTTTGCAGCTGGCTGTCTTCTGCGCTACTATTGTCACCAGCAAAGTCTGCGAGATACCGTACCTCGTAGTGAATATTGGGCCGGTCCGACGGAGTGTTGAACATCCGAAGATTTTCGAGATCTAACCCCAAGATGTTAATCATGTCCGAGCGGACTCGGGGGTTGCAGTCGCTGTCAACGCAGTGATGGGAACTGTCGGATTGACAAGATTCTTTCTGAACCAGCCCAGCTCTTTGTAAGCTGGCCGGAAGTCATGGCCCCATTCACTTATACAATGCGCCTCATCAATGGCAACGCGGATGAGTTGACCTTGCTTGTGAACTATGAGCAGGCGGCGGCGGAAGTTGTCCGTCTGGCACAATTCCGGGGTGACATAAAGAAGGCGTGTGCTCGGGTGGCCGCAAAGCATGTCCTCGAAAACTCGCTGTCTCTCGTCATGAGTAGTATTGGAATTGATCGTAGCGACTGATACACCAAGAGCTTTCAATGTATTCACTTGATCTGTCTGTCAGGGATTAGATGATTGATTGCAAACGTTCAAGAACCACACTCACCATCAATGAGAGAAGTGGACAAACGACGACAGTCACTATAGATATTCAAGTCAGGTCAACCCGTCATTGAAAATAAGAGATGCTGAAAACTCACAGCCCCAATCCTTGAGAACTGCAGGCAGCTGGTAACACAAGCTCTTTCCAAATGAAGTGCATGCTTGAAGAAAGACATCCTGCCCTTCTATGACGGAGAAAATCACTTCTCGTTGTAGTGGACTATGTGGTGGAGTAAGTAAATTGACCCTCTTCTGTAGTTCGTCAACTCACCGGAAATCATTCTTTTTGAAGGTATGTTTCAAGACCCAGCGCATATTGGCTGTTTGGCGCGTCACCGCCAGATTGGGATCCATTGTGTTTCATAGCAGAGATAGATAAATTGAGAGCGGTAGGTGAAAGTGCAGTAGAAGAAGAAGACTGAGTCTTCAACCGCGTCCCAGAACGCGGTGTCACGTGGCGACCTGTTACTTCCTTTTTGGGATTGAGTGGACTTCAATTTGATTGACGTTTGAGCAAAGACTTCATGATGGTCTACAAACTGAACCTGATCTTCATGTAAAATAATACATTTGCGCAAGACACGCTAGAAATCAAGGCGGTATATGGCAGATCTATGTGGAAAATAATGTACAAGTGCTGAATCCAAATCTCAGCTGCTTCTCTTTCTTGTTCAGCGGTTCCGATGCGGATCCCTGGACATTTGTTTATCAAGCTCTTCCTTGACGGCAAAAACATCAACCGCCTTGCGTTGTTGTGGATGCCAAAGCCGTTCAAGTTGCAACCAAACTTCGAGGACCTCTTTGGGGCCACAACATGTTCCAAATGCTTGCAGAATAATGGTGATCATCCGACGTCCAACAAAAAGACCATTTTCAAGACGCTGCTCCGGGTCCCAGAGTTCTTCTTGCTCTGCTTCACCTGGGAACTGCAAGCGAGGGTTGAAGACCTCATCTACATCAAGTTCCTCTATTTCCGTGGATTCATCTTCTTTTTCATCAAGCTCAGGCTTTGCGTCTTGTTCATTGTCTTGAGAATCATCCACGGCAGAGCCCTCGGCAGTTTCCCCGGATCCCTGTGGATTCCCAACTGTATCCGCTGTTGGCAAAGTCATGTATAACCCGTTGGGAGCATCGGTCACTGGTAGCTCCTCGACATCGATTTTCACGCTTTTAGCCAGTGGGTTCTCCCAAGTCATCTTTCGGTTGTTCAAATTTAATCCACGGAGTCTTGCATTTGAGTCGCGCAGAGCCCGGATGTATGCATGCCATGTCAGCCGAAGGTTTTCCGCACTCCACTGCTTTTTCTTCCTCCCATGAAGAGCGAACCCTTCAAAGAGGAACAGATAGATTATAGCACGTGGTGGGACGACAAAGGTCTTCTCCATGTCACGCATGACGGCCATGAAGCTATCGAGCTGGCCAGTGTTGTAGGCGTAGTGTCGTAGGAAGACATAAAAAGTTCGCGTGTCGGGTGCAATGGAGAGAGAATCCTGGAGAGCACGGTGATATTCCGGAAACTTCTCCTTCAGTGCTGACGACTTCTTCAATACGCGGCCTAACTTTCGGGCTCTTTCCCGATATTGGGGCATGTCATAGCTCAAATTTGACTCGCCAACGTGGAAGTGGGATCCATCGTCTGAATGCGAAAGGCGTTTGTTATTGCTTGATTGTTTCTCCAGCATGCGTGCGTAGAGCTGCTCCGCAGTTTGGGTGTCGCCTGCCCGAAGGAATGAGGCAATAAGGCAATTCATGACAACTGTGTCGACGATCTCCCCCGATTTCACAAAGTCGTCAAAAGTCTCTCGGATACCTTCAACATCCCGTATCATCCCATAATAATAGATTTTGGATGTCTTTCCGCAGCGTGAAAAGCTCAGGCCCCGCTCAGTCATTTCCTCCTCCAGGCGATCAGCAACTTTGAATGCACCTGCTTTGATTGCGATGTCGAACAGGATGTTGAAGACCACCTCGTCGGCCTTCACTCCAGCGATATGCTCCATCTTCTGCCACATGCCCACGGCTCGGATAAGATCTCGTTTCAAAACTCTGCCATTGGCTCGGCCAGAAAGATGTATCGCAGAAGACCAAAGTGATCGGGATAGAGGGAGTCGCGCAGTTACCATGTCGTCCACCAATGCCAAGTAGCGACGAGCATCTACCCATCGTCGATCTCGAGGATGCGCGAACAAGCGCAAAAGAGCACCGCGGGTGCGTTGAGAAAGCAAAGCTACACCCGGGGCAGGAAGATCTCTGTATAATCGGAACAGGTATTGAGTGGATGGGTTTGGCTCTTCCCATAACGTTCTGACAAGCTTCTCAACCGAGTGGATTTCCATTTGATCGGGCGACTCATCTTTGTACGTCTTTTTGTAACGTGAATATGGAGCTACAGCATTCACTGCTTCCTCCCAGTCATGATCTGCCAAGGACCTTTCGTACAGCTTCGAGGTAGAGAGGTGCTTCTCCTTCTCGGGATGCAGCCATGACGGAAAGGATTGGCGGGGGTATTTGTCCGGCAATTTCGGGTCGATGTCGATGTCGGTTTTGGTGTGTTCCGTTATCTCTATTCTGCGGTCGAAATCGTATGTAAAATCAAATCTTTCACAGTGAGTTCGCGATTCCGCGTCCGCATTCTTTGCCGGCCACAATGGTATATAGTCGTTGTCTGTCTCCCTTTCCTCCCGTGACTCGGTGTCAATATTATTCTCCTCTGTATTATCGTCATTTGTACGTGCCAATCCGTTGCTGATCAATCTTTTCGGTTGCGACAGATGAAACCTTGAGCTTGAATACTCCGTTTGTCGTCGGGGTGGTAGCTGTCTGCGACCATTGGCGCCTTTGCTCTGAAATTTTTGTAAATTATGATCCGAAGCACTCCAGGCTACTGTCGACAACCCCCGACGATTCGGCGAGTGTTCGTGGCAGAAGCTTGCCAGAACCAGTGAGCCGACAAAAATATCTGCTATTGACGCGACGGACGGGCGAGGACGACGGGGACAGAGTCTTCGGACAGAGGAGGTGTGAGAAGGGGGCTTCGAGGGAGGCATTGAGGTTTGTCGAAGAAGAGGAAGCTCATCCAAGGCCTGCTTGGGGTGAATTCGCAGGCTTGGCGAGCTTGGGGACCTATTTGAATGAGGCATGAGATGACAGACATCGTGGCATTAGGTAGGCCGCATCCAAGAGAAAGCCCTTTGCCACTCGCACAAGAGAGGGAGCCGTCTACTTTCTGGGCGCAAAAAGCAGACAAAAGGGGAGAGGGTCAAGATTTGGAAAACGTAGGTGTGTTTTTCTGAAGATGAACGGCCTGCACTTTCTGGCCTGGCGGAGTCTGTCCCTCGACCAATCGGAGCCGCGCTTTGCCAATCCCATCTTTTTCGCTCCCGCATCAACCACCTCGTCCCCTGCCAGCGCATATCTTGTCTTTTGATTTGTTGTCTCTGGTCGCGTCTCAATTCTTCTTTCATTTCAAGTTCTTTCAGTTACAGGCTGTGTTCGACTGCCATGGGCAAAATAAACCTCACAGCCCTCCGGGTGCGACAGACAGCACTCAGCCAATTCGCCAGTGGAAAGATCAGCAAACTGCCACAATGGGTCGGGGTGGTCGGCGAGATCCCTCCTGCTGAAACCCTCATTCGTACCCGCCCTCCTCAGCACGAGCTTGTCCAACAGCGGTTGAAGACCGTTGCTGGGTCATCGAAGCCGCAGGTCGTCTTCCAAGTCCAAGAGAAGCGCAGAAAGCCCAAGAAGCCTAGTCGACTTTTCCAGCCTGTCGAGCTCAAATATGAGGAAGATCAATTGCGAACTCAATTCTTCCGCGATCACCCCTGGGAACTTGCCCGGCCCCGTGTGCTTCTTGAGAGCACTGGCAAGGACTTTGAACACTACGACTGGAGCCGCATCCAACAGCCAGGGAAGCGGTTAGATGGTGAAAGGTGTGTTCCCAATGTTTCCGCTTCTAATGCTTCTATTTGTCTTGCGTGAAACTTCCCACGATGCTAATGTATTACTTTTCTGGTACTAGTGTTGTTCAGCGACAGCTGTGGCTGTTGAATAACGTCCCGGATATGAACAAGAGCGCCGCTTACGATATTGCTCGTCGAGAATTCTACAGACTTCGGTTGCAGGAGGACATCCAACGCCGGGTTGCTGCGGAAGAAGCCGCGGCATATGGCGCAGAGTTCGGACCGTCATACATGGACATTGGTATGAAGATGGAGAACGAGCAGTACGACAAATGGGTTACCTGGGCTCGGCAAACGTCTCTAGTCCAGGACCAGCGGAAATCAGCTCTTAGCGGTGCACCAGATCTGGGAGAGACCGAGTCAAGTGAGATGGAGGGCGAAGAAGCAGAGGCGGTCACTCTGTAGGAGTCTGAGATGTTGGAGTGGGCTCGAACGCCATTATGCTACTCCTTTTCCAGGAGTTTTTGATCCCCTAGTCTTTCATATTGATGGCCTATGTATATTATTTGATCTGTTCTGCTGGATGTTGTACTCCCCTAGCTCTATTTACGCGATATCACATTCATTCTTGGTCAATTCATTTCTCGCTATAGTATATACATCGTAGATCCTAAGCTATCACTTAAATAGAATCCGTGATATTTCAATAGTGACGCAGGCGGAGTCGGGATGCAGAGTTGCGGAGGTCCGGTGTTTGGGCGTGTTTCACCCAATCAGAAGATTTCCAGCCTCGCCCAACTTGAATGTCCCCAGTTCCCTTCATTCCAGGAGACTCGATTTCATTTTGGTTATTCGTGTCAGCCTTAAGACGTTTGTTGATTCGATAACCACATTCTTTGACCTGCCAGATCTCCATCGTGGCTAATCTCTTTATCGCGCCCGCGATTGTCATCCTCTGTGAGAGCTTCATTGCACTGTTTCCCCCGGTCTTGAACAAATCTGCTCTGAATTCGACCACTTGATACCCAGCCGATTCGTCACTTGGCGACTCCGATCCCTCTTCCTCCACTCCGACTCCACCCTAACGGCCGCCTCGAGCTCAGTTCCCCGTCCAACGTTGAGATAGCCCACCCCTCCGACTTAATCACAACCAACGATGCTTTGCGCAGGTGCCCGAAGTGTGTTCATATGGTAATGGTCGCTGCACCTGGACATTTGGTTTTTGGCAGGATATCAATTCATCAACGAAAGTGCTGCCTTGGGGTGTGCCTGATCGACAACCTTCGGGCTTTTATCAGCCATGACATCCGCCATGACTCGTCCCGAGGACACAATACGTGGGCCGCGCTTGAACCGCGGCGAGACAGACGAAGATGAAATGGAAAATGGAACGCCCGAGTCAGGTAGCTTGCTGGCGTCACAAAGCGATGACTCTCCGTACTTTGACGAGGGAAGTCGACCAAGCACTGCTTTAGGAGATACCCCGGAGAGTGCTAGCAAGCAACCCACAGGATTGAAAACGCTTAGCCCGGAGGAAACCATTGAGCTAGCGCGACACGCTGTTGAAAGTGGCATTCAAGATACTAAGCGTTCCCTGGCAGGCAGCGAGGCCGTCACAGATGTGGTCAAGCCTAAGCTGACCATTGACCTTGGTCATTCACACATTGCCAGGATTCCTGAGCCAGTCGTTGACTTGATCAAAGATGAGGTCGAACGGTACGTCGAAGCCTTGATTTGAACTGTTATGGTCAAGTCTTGCGTTGCCTGTTCCTAGGCTACGGCATCACTGCTCTGAACTATACTGATTACTATAAAGGCTGTCTCTCTCGAACAATCAACTTTTCCATATCCCCTATCGTTTTGCAGAGTGCTCGCATCTACGCTATCTCAACATCAGAGCGAACAACTTTCGTGAATTCCCAAAAGGAGTATGTACAATGATGAGTTTGCTTTATGCTTGCATTGCGCTAACCCTGCTTGCTAGGTTTACAAACTACCATTACTCGAAATCCTTGATTTGAGTCGAAATAAAATCAAAGAGTTACCAAATGAGATCAGCAAATTGAAATCATTGCGAGTTCTGTCAGTGATGCAAAATCGCCTCATTGACCTCCCGGTTGGCCTCTCCGAGATGCATAAGCTTCAAATTTTCAAGTGTGTCGGGAATCCTCTGCGAAAGCCACTGCGTGAAATTCTAGAGGAAACCGAGAACGAGACGACACCATCTGGGATGACCGACAATGAGAAGGAGGTTGCAGCCACAACCAAACTCAAAAGATTTCTTATGAAAACACGACAACAGACGAGTACACCCGAGCCAGAAATAATTGCTGATACAAGGTTTGCCTATCTTACGGTCTTGGGGTGGATATATGCTAACACTCGGTGTCAACGCAGCGATGGTACTTTTGACGTTAAACCGGTACCAACACCGATACCCTCAAAGCGGAATTTGAGTGGCCGATTTCCAGTAATTCCCAGCACTGGTGATAGCTCAGCAAGCTCATCTCGGTCTCCGTCGATATCACGGGCACCGCCAATCCCATTAAAATCACACTATCGCATGGCCTCTGGACAACAGGGCGCTACTTACCACATGCCTGGTCTTCAAAGACCTGGCGTAGCACCTCATTCTATCAACGAGCGCAATCGAAGCAATAGCGAGGGCATAATTCAAGGATCATCTGTTGCCCGTAGCAAACGAATGGGACTGATCACTCGCAAGAATACCGATTTGGGTACATTGGATGAAACGCGCCCATATCGAAACAGCCATCTACGGGGTCTCAGTCATGGATCTGTGCTTCGACCGCGTCAGCCTGCACCGCCAATAGCTACGAATGACAGTACTCCCCAGAGTCCCACCAGCCCGAGAGAGCCTCGGCGTCCGCGAGATGGTTGGGTTAATCGGATGTCTAGTCTGCCTGAACACAAGGGTGAGCGTGGATCCGATGAACCGATAATCAAGAGTGCAAAGGGTATCCTGTTTGCCCTCGCTCAAGTTCATTCTCATATCGATACATTAATCAACGTGATCAAGCATGATGACACCAGACGCCACAGCCTCGAGCTTGTCTTTTACAATGCTTCCTCACACGTTGACCAACTCAACGATGCTCTCGAGAAAGCATCAAATGCTTTGTGCAATGACCCAGAGTCAATCGCATCAGTCACCGAAACGGTCAAACGTGAATGCGAGACGTGCATCGCCGCCTACATTCATGTCGGCACGCAGCTACGCAACAACGTCGCTAAGATCGTTTCCAACGGCGATCCGCGCTATGTACGATCGCTGATGCTGACGATGTTCGGCAGCCTAGTGGAGCTACGGAATGCTTGCGCTATTCTCAAAGTTCCGCTCCAGACCACCAACAAACGTGGCTCTGCTACAAAGCGCTTGGTTGGCCCAAGTAACCCACTCCCCTCGGTCCCAGACCGATCTCAACTCTCGCTGGTCACTCCAACAAGAGATCCCGCCCCGCCCACAAGACGATTGCGAAGCGACACGACAATTCGACACCCTCAATACCCTATGACTATGACTTCCAATCAGACTAGCATTAGCTCTCCTGCTTTCTCCACGTACGCACGCAGTCGCTCGAGCAGCAGATCAAACATGATCAACACATCTATGCCACACTCGTTGGCAACCCCTCGCTCAGGCGAAACCTTCCCTCCTATGCCTGTTCCCGGGGCTCCCCGAGTCAACACACTGACTGGACTGGACGAAAATGAAGAGGAGCGGATATTCGAAAAGATCTTCCATCAGCTGACTGCTACATATCATGCTGCATACGGGGCACTTCCACTAGCCCGTCGGCAATTCATAAGGTGTCTAGAAGCCGCTCAACAATCACGCGATTCAGAGGGAATTCAAATCCTCTGGAACAACCTCATCCGTCGATGTCAGTTTTGCCTGGAAGTTTCCGATGCCCTAGGACAGCGTCTCTCGACCATGAAGATCAAAGAACCAGGCGGCGGACTCCGCAACCAACGCGAGTTCTGGCAGCTATGCAAATCCTTCATGCAGTCGTTTGTCGACCTAGTGAACGAGATGCGCGAGTTGAGAAGTATGCAGCTTCTACCTCCCGACGTCATCATCCTCCTACGCCCAGTCCAAAAGGCAAGCCGAGAAGCAGGCCGCTTGATCGAGGTATCTCCTTGGGCCTACCTTGCAGACCCAGACCGCCATCCCCCTCCTAGTGCCTTGTACGGCCCTCCGCTACAGACCCCACACCTACAACACCATCAAACATCCGTGTCAACATCCGCCCTCACCAACAACCCCTCTTTCCAATTCAATATGATGTCGCCCCCGCAATCAGTCACCGTCCCTGCCACTCCGCTGAGTGCGGCGCTCGGCCCTGCTGCGCAGGCCACTGTCCCGTCCACACCGGCCAGTGCATATAGTGACAAGTTTTTCGAGGGCGATGTCTTCCAGCGTGCTGACTCGCTTCTCTCGTCGAACCAAGCCCCGTTCTTCCGTCGCTAAGCGACTATGAAATATTTTTACGCTCCATCTCAGAGAATTTCGTTTTCTCTATGCGTCATGATTGCCCCTTGCTGGCTTTTATCTGCATCTTATGATTATGACTATGAGCAATCTATCGTGCATGCCAGCAACGTTACTTTGGTGGTCCATTGTAACACCATCTCTGTCCTGGCACTCCGATCCTCGATCTGTATTCTGTTTATCCATGATTTAGCGGGTTGATCTTCTTTGAAAGACTGAACTATGGGCAATCTATCGTGCATGTCATTGAATCTCTTTTGACCATCGACCACACCTAGTGCACTTTGTGCTTCTCTTTTTCTATGCATTAGCGGGTTAATATCCTGGGGAAGAACTGGGTCTTTGTTACAATAGGTCTCAAATGAAATCATATTTATTCCTAGTTATATATCTCTGGTTATACATGGAAAAGCCGTCTGTACGGCTTATGGTTTTTACCGGCCTTCTTATACATCTACTACATGTGGTCGAGGTGAATGATTGAAGATATGTAAGAGATATTATAATACGAAATAAGGTGTCTAGAACAGCATAGCCAGACCACCCATGATCTGTGAATTGCCTTTCACACAGCAGTTTCAGATTCAGGAAGAATGTTGAAGATCAAAGGCTCCTCTAGAGAGCCTTGAACTTTCCCAGGACTAAGTAAAAACAAGAAGGTCAGTTCCGAGTTGTGCCATACTAGCCATGAAGCCAATGATTCGCAGATACAGAGTATACATACTTGCAGCATGAGCCAGATCCGCCTGGGAATGTGCCAGGACATGGAGGCTGATATCCTGGAGCTCGTAGAAGAGGTGATCTTTGTTCGAGGTGTAGTAAGATTTGTCATGAATGCCTGCAGCCTCGGGAACCCTACACACAATCCCAACAGTCAGTACCATGTAATCATCAACGTTCGTGATACCAACACTCAAAGGCGAATGTGCTGTGATACAGGGTGTCTATACATACCAGGTGATAAAGACTAGCTTGCTTCGCTGACCATCTCCGGCAGGAGAGTCATAGGTGAAGTCTACGACAGCATATCGGGGAGTGTCATCCTTGAAGTGAGAGAGGAATTCGGGGTAGTCCTTGTATTTGCCGGACTCGGCGACGGTGATCTTCTTGTCGTGTGCGGAGGCTGCGTAGATGACGTAATTAAGGTTGTTGGTGCCTTTAACCTCGTCGAATACCTCCTCGCATTCGGGGGTGATGGTTGCGAATTTTGTCATGATGAAAGATGTGAGATGTGTGAGATGCTAAGAGGAAGAAGAGGGGAAAGTAGGAAAGGGAAAACAAAAGGCAAGTCAGGGATGGGCTGATACTTTGTAGTCATACAATGGGAGATCACCTGGTTTACCCCATATTATGTTGTATGCGGGGAAGTAGATCATGACGTATAAAATCAATTTGTATATGTTAAAGCTCTTAGAGATTGAGTTCCTTTGGACACATAATAGTACTCCTACATACATACCGGTCAGCACATGGACTTGCATGGAGCTTCACCGTCACCGGTGCTCTCAGCCTCAGGGAAGCCAACCCTGGAGGTTTACGAGAACAGATACCCGTGGATCTAAAATGAATTGTGCTCTTTCCAACAGTTATATGTGTGATGTGAACATACAGTGAACAAGAATAACAAAGAGCACTTGAGGTTCAATCATTCCCCTCTTCAGCCAAGTTCCCCGCTCAGCCTCACTTTGCTGCCCAGCTCATTTTCCCTACTAATCCTGAGAGCTTTGTGTAATAAACCATCAATCTTGACCATGAAATGTGAATTCACTTTCTCAAGAGACACCATTAAAAAAGATTGGCCACATATAGAGACTAATCACTCGTGATGACAACCTCCTCACTATGGGCGCTTGCTCTATCATCACTCCCCGAAAAGGACCAGCGCATCTTCAAAATACCAAACACCTCATCTCCAGACACAAAACATATTTTGAATGATATCCTATCGGCACTCGAAAGCCAGCGTGACCGCTGCAAGCGGGATAAATGGACCACGATCAGCATCGCGGGGAAGGAGCTCATCATCCGCGATGTATGCGCCAAGGTCGCTGCATATGTCAGGAAATTCTTGGAGGTAGTTGATGTCGCGGTCCAGTTTGACCCTGTTCACGCGGCGTTGCCGTGGGCCGGTGTGCGTTTCTTGCTACAGTTAACCTTCTCTGGGTTTGAAGCTTTTGGTGCTATTGTCGAGGGATTGGAGAAGGCCACAGGATTGATAGCCCGATGTGGGATTCTTGAAGCGCTGTTCATCCGACATGGTAAGGGTACTACTGAAGGAAGATTGGGCTTAGAACAGGAAATGGTGAAATTGTATTCTGTTGTCCTGGGCTTTATTTGCAAGGCTAAGAAGCATCATGATTCCTCGCGCATGAGTGAGTTAATTCAAGAGATGGATCACCGGACGTGTGTATGCTGATTGTGAGATTAGGGCGGGTCTTGAACTTGACGTCCTGGGTGTCCATTCAAGAATCGGTGAAGCAAATGGAGGCTGCGGAGGGAAACGTTTTGGCTTTGAAAAGTCTCGTTGATAGCGAGAGTCAGTTGATTGAAAAAGGATGACTATTCAATTTTCTGACATCATATTAGGGGCGGAAGATATCCAGGACGGCATTTCCATGATGCTCCTAACGGTGACCTCGACCGCCGAGGACGTTGACAATATCCAAGCAAGACTGAAGGCAGCACTTACAGACCTTGAGCGCCCTCTGATCAGGATTACGGATCAGGTATCTGACCTTCATGATGCTTTAAAAGGTACATTTTTGAGGCGGTAAAAATGTGAAATACCGAGGCTGACTATGACCAGCGAGCGAGAGGAGCGAGCTTCTAACGTGGCTTTCCCCTGTCCGTGCTCAACAACACTATAGAGAGGCATTGGCATCTGTACTATCTGGCTCGGGCGAGTGGCTCTCTCAAGATCAACGCTTCGTGACCTGGAGGGACTCAAGCAGTTCCGAAACATTTTGGTTACGTGGCATACGTAAGTATACAGAAACCCACAGGCTGGTATATGGAACGTGAGTTTTGTATTTCCGAGCTAACAGGATATTTAGCGGGCTGCGGAAAGACAAAACTTGCGTAAGCTGCCTGTGTCGAGAGTTGAAGCATACCTAATGGTGTGATTAATTATTGGCAGTGCGATCGTGATTCAACACCTACGTCAACAGAGCTGCGGTGCATCGCAACCAGCGCCAATAGCCCATTTTTTCTGTTCTCAAAATCCTGCAGAGCCGGAACGAACCGACCCTCGAGATATAATCCGATCATTGGTAAAGCAGATTTCTCTAGCTAGAGAAGGAGATGACTTTCGCGTCCGAACCCCGTTACTGAAAGTGTATCAATTGCGACAAGGAGAAGCGAGCCACATTGGAGAAAGACCGGCACCGCTGACGGTAGAAGAATGCGTTGAAGTGATGTGTGAAATCGGCCGAGCGACTCCGTTTACAATTGTCATTGATGCATTGGACGAATGCAGCTCCCAGCAACGACGCATTCTCCTTGAGGCTCTTGATGAGGTTCGACAACGATGTCGAGATGTTGTCAAGGTTTTCGTTTCAAGCCGGCATGAAGAAGAAATTGCAGTGTCATTTATGAAAGGAGAAACCTTGGAGGTAACTTCTCAAGCAAATCATGAAGATTTGAAGCGATTTGTGGAAACCGAGGTCGAAAGATTCGTGAAAAGATGGTCTACTATGCATGACGAGTCGACCGCGGCGCTTCAGAAGCTTGGGGAGGACATAAAAGAAGCACTTATGACAGGCGCACAAGGAATGTAAGTTGGGGGATCAAAGCCAAGGATGAACGCCGTGTTCATCTATGAACTTTACGCTTTGGCTCTCCCTTGCGAGGCACCGCTATATCCAATCATCTCGATATTGCGAGATACCTATTGGAGAGAGGAGCCAATCCCAACATCGAAGACAAGAAGCTGGGTGATCCGCTCCAAGCTGCTGCCTCATTTGGAAATCTCGATATGATGCTGCTACTGCTGGACCACGGAGCATGTGTGAATGGATCAGGTGGCCATTTTGGTAACACGCTGCAAGCTGCCTCTTTTAACGGACACGGGCAGGCTGTTCGACTCTTGATCGAGCGTGGCGCAGGATTAGAACATTTGTCTCATGGTATGTGCGGCCGATACCGTGATGCGCTGCAAGCTGCGGTGTATGCTGGCCACGAGCATATCATCAAGATACTCTTCGCAGCTGGTGCGAAGCTTGAGCCAAGACGCGATTGTGGTTTATCTCGTTGTTTATCTCGTTGCAGCATGTCTTCTAAGACTAGCAGGATTGCGCTGCCGGGCTCAAGAGCGGGTACGGGCAGCCTGGACATTCCGGCAAAGCTGGGACCGCTTGAGATCGCTGCTCGAAAAGGCCATGCCAATTTGGTTGAGATGTTGCTAGCCAAGGGGGCTAGGATAGATGCCATTGATGCGAATTATCAATACAATGAGTACCACTCAGGATGTTCGTACACCGCATTGCAGATCGCGGCATTTTGGGGACATCTAGCCGTGGTGGAACTTCTCTTACATCATGGAGCAGACATCAATGCTCTCCGACAGACTCTCGGGACTCCCTTACAAGCGGCTTTGGAGGGAGGTCATTCTGATATCGCAGAGGTGCTGTTATCCCGGGGTGCAGAGATCGATAAGCATTGGAGAATGTTTGGGTCGTGCCTCCAGGTTTATTCAGAACGAGGGAACCTTGATGCTGTCAAGTTTCTACTGGATCGAGGAGCGAACATCGAAGATCCTGGTGGTGAAAATGGCAATGCACTTCAGGTTGCCTGTGGTGCAGGGCATATCGATGTTGTTCGGTTCTTGCTTGGCAAAGGTGCAGATGTGAGAGCACCTGGAAAAGACTTGGGAAATGCACTGAAAGCAGCCATTGCAAGAGGACATCTCGACATAGTCAAACTGCTCCTCCGTCAAGGTATAAGAATGGACGATGCTGACAGCGATGCTGACAGCGATACTGAAACAGCGTTCTGCCTCGCTGCAGCCAATGGACACGAGCAGATGGTGATCTCTCTGTTGCAACAGGGAGCCAAAGTCGACGGTAGTTCCACTCTTCTTAACTGTGATGTCAGTGTAAGATCAAAACGCAAACAGTCAAGGGCCGATATAAGATCAGAACGGGCACAAAGCAGGATAGTTGCAATTCCCCTCCATCTTGCTGCCATTAGTGGACATGAATCTACCGTCGCTATCCTCCTCGAGAACGGGGCAAACGCCCACCTAAAAGGAAAATTACACCGTAAGGAAATGGGTCTGGCCGATGAATGTGATTTCAGCACAATCTATAGCACCCCGCTGCTCGCAGCCTGCTTTTGGGGACATGCTTCCATTGCCAGGCGCCTATTTCAACACGACCCATGGGGCTATGCATCTCGTAACACGTTTACGCCCGCCGTGGAAAGAAGTCTGGCTCGCGATAAAATGGACGTTTCAACAATGCTGATTCAAGAGGCAATTTCCGCGGGTTCAAAGCCGAGCACTTTGACGGTGCATTGAGATACGCCTGTGCAGAGGGATATACGGAGATTTTGAAGCAAATTTTGGAACATTTCGTTGTCGAAAATTGGCCCACCGCTCTTTTGCTGGCTGCAGAACGAGGTAGAGGCGCGGTTGTTGAAATTTTGCTGCAAAAAGGAGCTGACGTGGACATTCGTGACGACAATGGCAATATGGCATTGCACCTAGCCATGGAGGGATTCAAGAAAGACAGACACTTCTACTATCCATCAAACTGTATCGAAGTCCTTATGATCTTGATTTGTGCAGGGGCTGACACAAATGATCTATCTGGCAAAATTAGGGAGGTCTTCCCGAATATTGCAAAGAGCGGCAGAGTTGATCTCTTGAGAGAATTAGATCACCGCGGATACAATGTACTCGATGATGCCGCACTCTATTCAGATGCCTTGATCACAGCCTCAGCCGTCGGTGACATTGAAAAGATCTATTACATGGGTACAAAGCATGTCCCTTCAACTGGGAACATCAAAGCTGCCGTCCTGGCTGCAATAAAAGATCAAAAAGATGAAATAGTTCGGATGCCAACCATCAGGGCACTCCTGAGCCTCAAAACGCCGCTTTTCTTTGACGAGAATCAGGATGTCGAGCCATTGATAATTGCTTCGGAGAAGGACTATCCCGAGATCGTCGCCATCCCACTCCAGCACACTAGACACGACAGATCTGTCGTTGAAACCGCCTTGGAAGCAGCTCTCTACCACGATAGTCTCGCCTGCGCACGCCTCATTCTTGAGTCACAGAGCTGGGAACCTGCTGAATGCCTTGAACTTTGTTCTCGCTTTATTCCGAAATGCCTCACTAGTTGTTCTGGTGATATGCTTACGTATCTGTTGGACCAAGGGGTATCCCCGACCATGAGGGATCCCGAAACAGGCGCAACTCTGTTGTATATCGCGGCTACCGCGAATAACAATGATGTAGTTCAGATTCTCGTGGCCCATGGCGCAGATGTCGACCTCGATGGAGGCGAGTATGGGACAGCACTACACGGAGCAGCAGTTTCTGGGAGTTGGAAGACGGTGGAGGCGCTCCTTTCGCTTGGTGCAGATGTTGATGCACAGAATGAGCGTATTGGTACGCCGTTAATAGCAGTGATGGCTCAGACGTGGGACAAAAAATGTTTTATGGAGAGGTGCAAGTTCAAGTGCCCTTATAAATGCCATTGGTGCTGTGCAAGGGTGCTGCTGGGTTGCTATGCGGATGTCGATGCCAAAGTTGGGGAGTTTGGTACGGCGCTACATGCTGCAGAGAAGGTTGGGAACGAACGGGGAATAAAGATGCTCCTACAACATGAGGAGTTCGGTAGTAGTAGCGACAAGGTTCCGTCCTTCTAGGAGTTTATATGTTCAAATGTTGGGTCAGTGGTACTCGAGTTATAGGTTGGGTCTTTCAAGCAAGTAGCTGCAAAAATCTTCCATCAGTAAACTGATACCTCGTGGTATCCAATAATCCTAAACCTTTCTCCTATTGACATATATAATTGGAGACGGAGACGGATTTGAGGGGTACCGACATATTGAATTAGGTACATATATGTAGTCAATGCTGTGAAGCTGATCTATGTGCAACCCCCCTTCATCGTGATACATCATGACTCATGCTGGCTCATGATGACCCTCCCTCGACACCTATTGACCAAATACCAGATACTCTTGACTCAATATTACTCTTGATATATACAAGTTCTATCATCGTAAGATTATTCATGTGCTTGTCACACTATGATGGAGATCTGGTAACATTGTGGTCGTTCTGGACGGGATACGGCATACTATGAGGACAAATCGATTTAGATATTGAATATGATATTACTATTGCTGCTTTTCTGAACTGAATATAAAGCAGGTTGAGATATTCCTCGTAGCTGGCATATCGAATTAGATATTTCACCTGAAATGGCTGGTATAATGAAGCATGATGGTGATATATACCTTGCCAGAGAACGGGATATCGACGTAAGTAATTGATTTGAATTTTTTTTTTTGGATTTTCACGCGAAAAACAAGGCAAATGACGAAACAAACTCCGTTTGAACTCAGAGATCACATGCTTTTGGTGATTTTTTTATATGATGCAACATTTTTGTCGACATCGTCCGAAAGCCTTCCATAACCATTCCCGTTACGAGCCCTACATGACCCTTTGAGTTAAATGCTAATTTGACCCTGAATTTTGAAAATAGAAAAGAACTCTAAAGAAATTACATGTTCTAAGTACCAATTTTCGATAACTCCAAAACCCAAGATACACCAGCCCCAACCCCCCGAGGTCCCCATAATCAACCGGCCCTCGGAGCAACAACCACATCCCTCACAAAGGAAAACATCTCGCGCGGCTTATTCACAAAGACACTATGGCCAGCTCCACGGAATAGATGATACGACACACCGCGCTCCATAGCCCATGTACCCGCAGCAGCAGCAGTTGGAGTGGCAGTCGAGAGCGTAGTAGCCACCGGTGTATGATCGAACAGGAGCTGCTTGGTGGCCGACGGCGCAGCATTATCAGCAAAGAACGGCTTCTTCGGTTTTTGCGCGAAGCCCTGCGTACCGCGCCACGTCATATTCTGCAGCGACAGTTCCGCGCCAAAGTGGTTGATTACCATATCCCACTCGCCCGAGTAGATATGGAGCGAGATATTGTGGTTGGTAACCAGAGACGGGAGGATGAAGTACTCCGGCGGCACGGGAGAGGGCGCTGAAAGGAGCGTGCCCAGGATCGTGGAGTTGCAGGCGCTGTAGGGTCCGCTGTTATCGACATGGAGGGCGGTTTGGACATCTGCGCGGCCGAAGTACTCTGCCATTAGGGGGAGCTCTGAGACGGCGCTGCAGTCGTGGGAGATGTCGTAGATGTCGAAGCAGCCGCGGGTTGTGCGGTTGGTGGAGATGGCTGTTAGGTAGTCACTTGCTGTAGAGAAGACGGCGCAGGGGCCGTAGCAGGTTGAGTTGAAGAGTGAGGTGCGGACTTCTTCCGGGGTTGTGGGTAAGATGTTGCATGCGCCGTTGACAGCACTTGTCAGGTCTCGACGTCGGAGGTTAAAGTACTCTGGGTTTCCGGGGATATGGATTTTAGCCAGGGGAGGGTATATGGCGGATTTTGCTAGCACGTCGTTGAAGCCACAGGTTTCGTCTGCTTCGTCGAAGACTGATAGGACGTCTTCCGGGATTTGGAGGAGGCCCAACTGTGACCTTAGATATTTGCCCATTGCAACGGCTGCCATGGCTGCTCCATTTCCCCAGGATCCATCACCGAGAGACATTGAACGCACGTTGAGAGGAGAGGAATTGTTGCCCTCCAGAATCTCCGATGCAAAGTAGGGTATGTAGATGCCTGCATATGACTCGCCCATCAAATGGATCTGCTTTGACTGTAGGTGCGGGAAGTATTCGAAGAAGCCACGCAGCCACTGCGTAAAGTCCCTCGTTACCCGGCCATTGTCCTTAACCGGGTACGGGAAGCTGGTTGTGGAGTAGCCAGTGCCAACGGGCTGATCAACATAAAGCACATTGCCCAGGCTTGTCCACGAGTGCGGATTGCGAATGAATTGAGTTGAATTGCCATCGAACGAAATGGGTCCGTTGCCGGTCGTCAGCCCTATCAAGGATGAGCAGCCAGGGCCGCCATTGAACCAAACTATACAATTTTGTTAGCAACCACCTTTGCATCTCCTTTTTCAATCAGACATACTGATTAAATTGTCATCATATGCCGGTTGCTCTGATTGAAATAGCCAGAAGAAGATCTCATTTCCATCCTCTGTCCCCGGAACTGGAAGGCGACCAGCCCAGCTGGGTGGAAGGTCCGAAACGCCCGGCAAGGTATGTACTTCAAATGGTGAAGTATTGTATGAACCAATTCCTCGGGAACGGACAAAGCTAGGCGCTGCCCATAGAACATGAAAGAAGTAGAGTAGTGCGGAGAGATTCATGATTGGAACTCGCCGTGCTTTGCACACCTATGATAATCCTTTTCGGCAAATAATCGAGACGATACTGCGTGGTAAAGATCTAGAATGCTCATGCAGAACAGATCCCACGCGGAAATCATGTTTCCTTTTTATCTCTTTCTTTTTAGACATGGTGGCGGTTATTGAGCTATTGAGCGGGCGGTTGTTGAGCCAGCTTTGGGTATCAATAAGGCCAGCGGGGTTATTGGGGCCAAAGACATGGCCAGTGGATTTGGGAGCTCAGCGGAGTTCATATCCGTCTATAGGCAGTGGATGCCTCCTGAATCACAGTAATTTTATTCAGATCCGAGCTGAACGCGAAGATCAATTGGTGGGAATTGAGTGGTGAAGTGGGTGAAGTATTAACTAACTATCTAACTAGTTAGGGTTGCGAAGGGATACATGGCCTTGTTTATCAGGCATCAAAATGTCAAAGCACCAAGGCATCAAGGCGCCAAGACACGCCAAACCAAAAACATTCCGATCTCGACGAGAGGGGCCCTGCTTCATCACTCCTCGATAAACTGTGAACATTCACTTCTCTGCCAAGCTGGAGGGTACTATGTACCTGGTAATGCGCAACTCAACTGCATCCAGTGGTTCCCCGAGAAAAGGAGACTCATACTCACGTGGCCAGTGCTGGTTTCAAAGTTCAAAGTGAGGCGAATAGACCCCCTTTTTCCCAGAAGCAACATCAAATGCAGATGCAAATTCAAATCGGAAATGGAACGATGTGATATCGAGATATTATCAAGTAGTCGAGGGGAGTCTGCTCGCGGGTAGCAGCATAGGAATGTGCTGGTTGCGTCCACCCGAATCCGGTGTAGATCTGGGATACACTCACTATATCAGTTCATCCCGGTCGCTTTGCCAACTCCTTTTCTTTCTTTTGTTTTTTTGCCTTCTTTGATTTGTCCATTTGTCCTGCATCTTTGTACTGCACTCTCGAGACAATTTGGACTTGTTTGCTCTGAGAGACTATACCGCTGCAATCCCCCCAGGTTTTCTGCTTTGGGAGAACGTTTCATACTCTACAACTCTTTGTTTTGGAAAGATTATATTCTCTTTTACTCGGCTTAAACACCTTTTTTTGTTTTAAATATTCTAATTTCCACCCCTTTTTCACCTTGCTCCCTATATTGCACCCCTGATCGGAACCACGAGGCGATCGACGCAGATCCAAGCAATCCTCGGCTCCACAGGAATTGACAGCTCACTTGCATCACTTTTCGGTGACTGCGGATTGGCTGCCTGCCTGAGGCAAACAGGGGGTTATTAAATTTGTGAGTTGTGGGAGTTGCATAGGGGCGTATTCGCCTTGTTCTGTGCTTAGGTGCATGGCGTGGTCTCGCCATTGCCACCCCAAAATCTTCCTTTTTATCTGACTGTCTGAGTAGGGGAGGTTTAGATATCTCGTGTTTAACGATGGATCTACAAGGCACAAAAGAAGCCCGAACGCAAGAGGAGGGTGCCGAAGGTCCTTTAGAGGCGTATGGTGCTGGAAGTGGTCGTTCTAAAGAGTATCACAAGAAAGAGGGGCGAGATTCTCACAATCATGATGACCGATCATCCATTCATCCTCTCCGTCGTCGTCAACAAGCCTTCGCCTATCCTCATGGAGCTCGACAACCTGCATCGCCGCTACCAGCCATTATCTCTCGGCCTCGAGAGCCCTCCCCGTCACCGGAGGCTATCAGTATACCCCAAGCTTTGGGACTAGGTTCCCGCGATCAGCGCCTATTGCGCAAGGCTGGGAGGTATCCACCGGTTACGAAGAAAACGCTCAGTGAGCTTGATCTGCCCTGTATCATGAGCAACATCAACCTCCGCATGGACGCCAACTTCGACCGCGACCTTCACTTTAAGCCTGATCTAGACGGGGAAAAGGGCAAACGCAAGCGGAAAGAAGCTGCGGATTATTGGGACTCTTTGGCTGCGGAGATTACTGTCTACTCTTACCTTGCTGCGACTGCCGATGCCACCACCGAGGAAGTCAAGTCGAGTGATGGTACTCGACGCACCTTTGATCCCCGTTTGCCCGCCCTGTTCGAGACATTGCAGGACGTCATTAAGACCCTTGTTCCGGAACGGGATCACCCAAGTATCATGCAGAACCTGGAAGTTCCATTGCTGATGCAGCAAATACGGAAAGGCGTTCTCGATATGCTTACGCTGGCGAAATGGCTGGCGAAACTCCTGAAAACACATTGTGCTCCTATGCGAGACGAGTGGGCGGATTCTATGGTCGAGCAAATCGAAAAGGGTTCACAGTCTCAAGATCCTCGGGAGATTGTCAACGGTCTGCGAACATTGTTCTCCATTCTAGAGGCAATGAAGTTGGTATGTCACATTTAAACCCCGCTGTCTTGCAACATTCCGAACTAATTTGTAACTTGATAGGACGTCGCCAACCATCAGATCCGAGCATTCCGCGTTCTCCTCATCGAAGACACAGTCCCCTTCCTCCAAGAATACTTCCAAGGCAAAATGAACCGCGGCGGCTTCCAGGTTGAACCCGCCCGTCATTGGTACCTATCAGTGCGGGACCAAGCCCGTCAAGACGATGCAAATGCCGAAGCCCAAAAAACAACCTCCACCCCAGAAACGGAAGACGCCCTTAAACCCCTCGAAGCCCTGTTCCGTGGAATCTCCGCCCAACTTCTCCAATTCGCCCCGCCCGCCGATTTCCCCGAAACCTTCCTCTTCGACTCCGAGCGCCTCTGGCAACTCCGCTCAACAGTCCAAAACCTAATCAACCTCGACATCGCCTGGTATATATTCGAGTCCTACGTCAACAAGCACAAGCGGTATCTCTCAACCCCAGAAGAAACCTACTCCACCTTCCGATCACGCATCTGGTCCCTAATGGAAGACGGCATGGACCTTGAGAACCGCGTCGCGGGCAACCCAAACAACAACGACGACGATCCCGACCTCCGCGGCGGAAAGCGCTGGACGCAAAATATGCGCTGTATCGCGCTGGAGATTGCCCGCTTTGCCTGTGCCGCGCTGAAGCTGGACCCCGTCGTCGCAGACGAGGTCATCGTTCCCATCGAGGAAGCCCTTGAGTGGCATCTCTCCAATGAGTCTGAGCTCTTCGTTTTCTTCCAAAATAGCATGCGTGCCAAGATCCTTACTACAACCCTGACGGCGGCTCGTAGATACTTGCCGCTGTCGCCGTTAGCCATCTGTGAGTCGCAAAGGGCTCCATTGTCTGCTGCTTTGGGCCCTGCTGCGCCGCAGACTGGGGCTGCGGGTGCGTCTGGATCGGTCAATACTTCGTCGCTGGCTCTGACGCCACAGCAGTCGGATGTTGAGCGTATTGGGATGCGGCTTGCCCATATGGGTGTACTGCACTGGCGTGTTTGGGCTCCATTGCTGTATCTCCGAGATGAGATTGCAATGGCGGAGCTTGAGCAGCCAGCATTGGTATAATTTGCTCTTGTTTTGGTCCTTGCTTTTGGTCCTTGCTTTTGGTCCTTGCTTTTGGTCCTTGCTTTTGGTCCTTGCTTTTGGTCCTCAATTTTGGTATTGGTTATTGTTTTTTTTTGCTTTGCTGTCTTCCAAGTGGTTTGTTTGACTTGCTTTTCAGCGCCTTGCATTTACTGCTTATTGGGGGGAGTTTTGTTATTCAGGCCCGTGTCATACCGACACGAGGATCTCGGTGTTATATTCTGGGAAATAGAAGGCGCATATAAATTTACTTTTTTAATATCAACTACTAGTATTCTAGTAGAGGTCTACCTGGAAATGATACTCAACATGTACTCTGTCCATACTAAACTCCAAAGAACCCTGGAAACAACCAAAAGTAACGAACTCAATCCGACCCAGTGCCACGGTAGCCGCGAACGTCAAAGGGTCCGTGCACCGATCGGCATCCACCCACCTTGAAGAATCCAATCATCCCAAAAAGCCCATGCATCCAGCCTAAAATTGCCATTACAGGTCTTCCGCAGCGCCAGACACGGACATCCGAGATTTGTCGTGCTCGTGCTTGTGTCTGTGCTTGCACCGGAAGCCCAGTTCACCCCACCCAATGCCAACCTTGGCAAGCAACAAGCACAAACAAACCCCCCAATGCGTCTCTCTGCAGCACTGTACTCCCCAACACACCCTTGGCTCGCATGCTTGAAATCAGCACAATTGCAGCGCATCGCGCGCGCAACGGGCATCCAATCGTCCGGTACGAAGGGTGTTCTTATTGAGCGCATTGCAGCAGAGTTGACGTTGCATTCGCACTCGCAGGCGCAGTTGCAGTTGCAGTTGTCGGCTGCCGCAAATCGTGTTGCAGAGGGTGTCACTAGTAGTTCCAATCCCAGTACCAGTACCAATGCTAGTACTGCTGCCAGTGCCAGTCTAAGCCAAGATCGACAGGTCGATCGGCCGCAGCTAGGGTCGACAAAATCTCGCTCAACCAAGACAAAGACAAACAACAAGTCAGCAGACTTGTCGAAATCAAATCCCGCACAACCATGGAGCATCCTCAGCATCGATATGGGGATTCAAAACCTCGCTTTCGCGCATCTGCGAGTTCCCCGCTCTGGGGTTCAGGTTCCAGGTGGCGGCATAGACGCAGCGCATCCCCCAATACCGGAGTTAACAGCCTGGCACCGACTTGCTGTTTCGGAAATATCAAGTTTGAACTTAATACCCGGGGATAAGACTAGTATAATCAAACCCGGTGAACCAAGATCAGGATCTGGTGACGCGACAGAATCACCCCAAGCCATTCTCCCAATAGAAACGGGAAAAAACATCCCTGTCAAGACCGCCAAATTTACAAAAGAAAAAGATTCCTTCTCCCCAGACCTCTACGCCGCAAATGCATACACCCTAATCTCATCACTCATAGCTGCATACCGTCCCACACACGTGCTCATAGAGCGCCAGCGTTTCCGTTCAGGCGGCGGGAGTGCCGTGCTTGAATGGACGCTGCGGGTTGGAGTGCTGGAGGGCATGTTGTATGCCGTTCTGCATACGCTACGGCAGGAGCGAGGCGGGGAAGTTGCGGATTTGGTTGTTCGGGGTGTTGAGCCGAGACGGGTAGTCAGGTATTGGCTTGAGGGAGGTTCTGGTTCTGGGTCATCAGATCCAGGGAAAGGAGACACGGATGAAAAATCCGAAGTCGAGAAACAGACGAAAAAGAAGAAACCCAATGCGCGAGAAGTGAAAAAGGCTAAGATCGATCTTGTTGGACGGTGGGTTTCTGCTGCGATGCAGAATACCAATGCTTGTCCGGAGACGGACGATGGGCTTGGGAAACTGGAGCTCGGTATTGCTGCCGACAATAAGATCGTGCTCGCGGATAAATCTGAGTGTCCTGCTCTGCATAGTGTTGTGGGTGCGTATATGCGGAAATCGCAGGGCCAGACGCAGACGTTGAAGAAGGGGAGAGGGAAGGGGTCTCGTGCTCAGAAGAGTGGATCTCTTTCTCCATTGCCTGTATCCCCTCATTCCGATATGGTGGATGAGGTGGCTGCTGTTGATCCGGGGAAACTCGATGATCTGGCGGATTGTTTGTTGCAGGGTGTGACGTGGGTTGAATGGCAGATTATGCGGGAGCGGATTGCAAGGGAAGGGGTTGAGGCGTTGGATTCGATACCGTAGGACATATCAATATTCATTTTGAGTGGAGCCAGGATGGATGTTGTGAGCTCTTCCTTGGATGAAGTTTGCTGTTGGGATTTTGTATACTACCCTACTTGATGTACATTAGTATGCCGGAATGAACTGTGGGTATAAATACAGGCTATTTTACCACTAGACCATAACAAAAACCTCGGTTCCTGTTTATGGCCTACGGGGGCCTTGTTCTTAGTTCGACATGAACAAAAAGACACGAGGCATCAGCTCAAAGCTTTACTAGACTGTATGTGCACGATCAAGATCGACACTGATCGACAGGTCCATCATGAGCCAAGCCTTACTATAACTCACCAGTATGGAGAGCCTCATACACTCTATTTCTACTTATCTTACCAAGGGAGCAGGATTTTTTAGTAAACAGGCAAAAGCCTCAAGTCAATTCAGGTTCTGTACTAAGGATACCGATTTTGCTCTCCCCCATCGGCCTTCCACTTAGAAAGAAAAACATGAAGACTAAAGACAGCGCAAACTATGAGATCATTCGCAAAATGAAGATCTGTAAAGATTAAAGAAGATGAATTTTCCCATCAAACAACACAGAAAAGAGGCAAGATCCAGTCCTCAAACCAGACGTGTCACCACCCGTCAAAACAATACGTGAGAAAATGTTCCGAGTCCAATGGAGACCGGTCGTATGAAGGGTCAATTTCACATTGGAGAGTAAAAAAATGTTAACGCAAGGAAATGTCACGCCAGAAGTTTTGAAGATTGGGCACGGGGGTCCAGAATTGAAATTCGCGGCCTGTAAAACGTAATAAGCAGGCAGGGAAAGCTTGGGCCCAAAGCACAATCCAGCATGACAAGACCATTGCAAGAATAGAAGTCGAAAAGAAGAAACATGGCAAAAAAATGGAGCGTAAATAAGAAGTGAAATCGAAACCGTTTGTACCGAAACTTGGCAAAAATAGGTACAGTACCAGCACGCCTCTGCGCGAGTAGAAGGAAATCGGAACTTTCTCTCAGATCATCAACAGGCTCGCAACTCGCTGCCATGTGGAGGTGGACACTCCCCTCACATTAGCAGTGTGTTGTTTAGATGAAGTGGCGGCGCCAGTTGGCCAAGAAGGGCTTGCCAGTGGGGGTACCAGTGGGCAAGGGCTGGCCGCTGGAGGCGGGGGTAGGCTGAACGCTGGCGCTGGCGCTGGCGGAAGGAGTCCGGGTAGCGAAACCACTGGAAGAAGGAATAGGAGTGCGGGTGAGGGGAATGCGGGTGGAGCCAGTGGCAGTGCGGGTGGTCTCAGTGGAGGTGCTCTGTGCGCCCTCACCGTTGCCATTGCCGTTGCCATTGCCGTTGCCATTGCCGTTGCCATTGCCGTTGCCATTGCCGTTGCCATTGCCGTTGCCATTGCCGTTGCCGTTGCCGGGGGTCTGGGTCTCGGTAGCGCCCTAGAAAAATAACGTTAATTCTTGATATGCCAGTTAGGGGAATGAGCAGCACATACAGCAGTCACAGTCTCGGTGACAGTAGCAGTAACGGTAACGGCGGAACAAGCACCAGAACCATTGCCAGCACCACCGGAGGAAGTGGGAACCTCAACGAGAGTGATGGTCTCGGTCTTGGTGCTGTTGATAGTGGAGGTGCGAGTGTGAGTGGTGTCCTCAGCGGGATTGGTGGCAGAGGCATCAGAGCCAGACTCAGTCTATATCAAAGTTAGTTCAAAAGTACAAAGCATAAGATATCAGGTAGAACACATACGGCAGTGATGGTGTGCTCGTTAGTGGCGGTCTTGGAGATCGTGGTGGTGATGACGCTAGTAGAAGTTCCAGAAGTCACAGTGTAAGTCACAGTAACGGAGCCATCGCCAGGGACGTCGGTGCCAGCGGGAGCAGACACAGTGCTGGACAGGACACCGGAAGAGGACTTGGTGGGACGACCGGTAGGACGAGAGCTAATGGGAGTGCGGGTGACAACAGGCTTGCTGGAAGAAGCGACAGTCGAAGAAGAGCCAGCAGGCACAGAGGAGCTCACACCAGGGATCGAAACGACCGAAGAGGAGGCAACGACAGACGGAGCAACAGAAGGAATGGAGCTGGAAGCCACGGAGGGAGCAGAAGAAGACTGCACGGCAGAAGAAGGCTGCGCGGTGGAGGACTCCTCAGCAGGAGCAGGCACGGCAGAAGAAGAAGCCGTAGGAGCTGGCTCGGCAGCAGTGGGCACAACGAGGACGGTCGAGGTCGAGGCGTCGGCACCAGGGGTAACAGAGCGAGCCAGGACACGACGAGCATGGAGACCCTCGTGAGTAGCCTGACCCACAGCAGCGAGAGCGGCCACAAGGGCAACGGAGAACTTGTTCAAGACAACCATGATGAAGTTGTTGGTAACGACGGTGGATATCAAGAAAAAGTGACGGTGAGATGAGAGATGTCAAGAGCAAAGCAAGAATGCGAAGCGAGCAAATTTAGCGATTGTGTAAGTGAGTGTGTTGTAGGAAAGAGCGACAAGAGCAAGTGCGAAATCAATTCGCAGGGAAAGAACGTATGGCTTCTCACAGAGAAGGAAGAAGAAGAAGAAGTAGTCAAGAGATGCAAGCTTGAAGAAGGAAAGAGAGAAGAAGAGATGGAGACCAAGGTAATTAACTCATTTCCTAAATTTCTTTAATTTCCTTAATTTCCTTAAATTAAAAATTATACTATCATTTTAAATTAATACTAGTATATCTCTCCGTACGAAGTAGTATCCCTAATCAAACTCAAGGTCGGTAATACCGGTGGATCTACGGTATATGGGATCCACTGTCTCAGGCACGGGAGTCCCATTGGTCCATTCGCATTTACCCAGAGCCCGTGGCCACCTGGGCTGCCCAGGTGTGACCTTTAATCTCACGTAAAAACCCATATGATATTGGGCGAAGCCTACCTCTTAGCGACTGAGCTTCCTCTCTTGAGGTGATGTGGCGTCGGTGGCGTCACTGGCACCCTGTCTATATCCGCCCCTATCATTTCGATGGAGTGCTTAATAGGGGTTATTGGGCCATTAAACTTATGTTGTGTACCTTTCATACTCCGTAGGGCTTGTCGCCAAACCGCCATTAGGGCACGGACCTACGTGAACGTGCCAGAAAAGTCTTACAATATCCGGGGGCCACTTCCAAGGTGGTATAGGCCTACAATGTACCTGGATGCCAATGAGGAAACACACCCCGAAAATCTAGACGATCATTGAAGAGAAAAATACGGCCAGATCCCCGGGACTTTCGGGAAGGCCAAGTTGAAGTTTAGCGACTACTCGGCTGTAATAATACGGGATATACGATACACAGGCCGAAGTTTCACATAAATCAGTCTCCCGTGTCCCAGGGTCCCCGCTTCCTCCATTTCTCGGGATATAAGTTGGTGTTGGAGGATAAAAGATGACATTCTGGACTCCACGGGGCAGTCTATCTACTTTATTTCCATACATATAAAAATGAAGATGTACACAATTCACTCTAAATGCCGTCTGTACCTATGGAGTAGGTGGGGCACATCTATCAAATCTGCCGTCCACAGGTGTATCGGGTGAATTTATCAAAGAGGTCTAGGCTTGGGCTAAGTAGCACGGCCCTTGGACTTCCAAGATCGGGTCTATCGTTTGTCAACGTGTTTCATTTCCCGGATTGCTGAAGCGAGAATTTAGAAACCCTTGTTTGTGGAGGGCTTGGTCATGTCTAGCACGAAAACCGACTTGGTAGAAATTGTGTTATATCCCATAGAAAATCCCCTATCTTGCTTGCATCATTGCAAACTCCCAGTCAACACGGAGAAGCTTTCCAAGATGAAACATTCCGCTTGAAGTTTCAATTGCCCCTGTCCCTACCCCTCAACTCCCCAAATTGCTAGGAATTGCTAGGAATTGCTCATAATTGGGCTGGGAGATCTCAATTCTGTGTACCAAGGTGAATGCTGGAGCCATCTTCTAGAAATGTCCTTCGATCTTGGGATGCCGATCCCTGTACCAAGTGAAGGCGGTGACGACATAGCTTATCGCGATGATAGCACCTGCCTCCGTCCCGCATCACAACCTTGGAACCTTCCTATTAGATCATGACACGGAGTTAAGCAATTGACATGTCCTCGTTTCAAGCCCTCCGAACACAGTATGCCTCACTACTGAAGCGGTTTCTATCCTCGACCAAAGACTTCGAGGTCCTAACAACAATCCCACCCGACCACTCCGCAGAATCAGAGACCCTCTATGTCTTAGACTCGTCCTTCAATCCCCCCACCCGCGCCCACCTCCGCATTGTCAGCACGGCACTTCTAGAAAACCCCCGACCCCGCCCTCGCGTCCTCCTTCTTCTCGCCACGCAGAATGCAGACAAGCCATCCAAGCCAGCCTCCTTCGAGGATCGGCTCGTGATGATGGAGCTGTTCGCTCGGGATCTCCGCGCCCACCTCGCATCAGCACCGGCCTTCGCCGCCTCAGGCTTCACAAACGCTATCGAAACTCTCCCGTTGATCGATATCGGCGTCACGAAAAAGCCCTATTTCGTCGATAAGGCGGCTGCCATCGAGGTGTCGGATTCTTACCCAGTGCCGCTGGAACAGGTCCATCTTACGGGTTACGATACTTTGATCCGCATCTTCGATTCCAAGTATTATCCGCCCGAACATACCTTGAAGCCTCTGGGGCCTTTCTTGTCAAAGCACCGGCTGCGTGTGACTATGCGGCCGAGCGATGAGTGGGGTGGGAAAGAGGAGCAGCTGGGATATGTGGCGGCCCTTGCTAGAGGTGACCGAGATGGCGAGGGTGCGCGTAGGGAATGGGCCGAGCGGATTCAGCTTGTCGAGGGTCGTCTGCCCACTGACCAACCCGTGAGTTCAACTAGAGCCCGCGAGGCGTTGCAATCGGCTCCCCAGGACTTGGAGTGGCTGGTTTCTGAACAGGTGCGGCAGTTTGTGCTGTCGGAACACCCGTATTCTGGAAACTCCAAAGTGTAGACACTTAGACGAGGGTAGCTACTAGAAGAGTCCTATGGTCTATCTCCAACCTGTATAATGATAATGCATGAATGATTTCATAAGTAAATCTGCCCACCTGGGCACTCACGCCGAGAAATGAAGTCACCACGTCCAAACGCACAACTAAACCACTTTTAATACATATATGGTACATGACAGAGCGCGACACTAATGCGGCAACGCGATCTTCGCAACGTTATGAGTTGCCACCTTGATCATGACGCATCCTCTTCCTCCTCCCTCTTACCTAGAGTGTACGCCAACCCACCGCCGACCATGTTGACTAAAGCCAAACCCATAGTCGCACCGCGCACGACACCCCGGACACCTAGCTTCTTCATGAATGGCTGTCGACGACGGGCTGCGAGAAGCAGATACAGCCCCGAGAAGGCCGCGCTGATGCCGGCAGTGTCCGTCTTGAAGCCCTGCAAGTTGGCATAGCTGGAGAAGACCAGCACAGGCGGGAAGAGCATCGGGAAGAACTGGAAGGGGCGCATGTGCTGGGCTGCGATCATGGAGGCAAGTAACGTGGGTGGGAATGAGTTTTCTGGGTTGAGAAACGACGTTAGTGAGTGATTACTTGCGATATTGCTTGCCTTGACGGTTAGGCAATGAAGCTAGGCTATTCATAGGCCACTTACCACCCCAGGCTCGGAAGCGCTGGATTACAGTCTGTTTGGTCTCTTCGACAGTTGAATCGTCCGCCATGGTGAGGTATTGAGCTTCGAAGCTTGACTTATTTGATGAAGCGGAAGACCGTTGGAGCTTTGACGGCCAAGGATTGTGTTTGCTGCAGGTATATCAATAAGACCGATCTGCTTTAATTGAACTTGGTGGACCCCTGAAGATAACTTACAATTGAATATCACCGACTTGGAGATGCTGGCAGGTTTATCAGTTCGACAAGTGATGTTATCGCAATGTCCCCGGGCCAGTGTAATTGACGGTCCGACGCTTGGCAAAGACACCTAAGACCACGCTTTTTCCCCAATTTATGTCCACCGAATCAGCCACACCTGTCACTCTTTTTCGCTGCATCTTGATCAGGCCGGTATTTCACTCTGGCCATCTCATCGCACGTTTGATTAATCGGCGAGCCCAACCATATCTCGGGCGGGATTGCTTCTCCTTTATCCGCGGTCCCACGCCACCCTCCGCTCTCCAGATTCTCTCGACCCCCCTCTTTCCTCCTACACCAGTAAGAAAGCGCCGTCCAGAATCTGTCGAATTTTCCCCATAAACTACGCTCGCTATGCCATCGGCTTCGGCATCTGGCTCGGACGCCAAACGCGGAGGTGCGACGTCGCGCGACCATAAGCAGGGCAACCAGGATCGCAAGTACACGGATGACCAAAAGGCTGCTGTGCTTCGGATCCGAAAATGTCAGCCTACGGCGTTTTATGAAATTCTGCTGGTCGAGCGCTCGTCAACGGACAATGAGATCAAGAAGGCGTACCGGAAACAGAGTTTGTTGACGCATCCCGATAAGAACGGGTATGAAGGCGCGGATGAGGCGTTCAAGAGTGAGCAATGAGCAACCCTAGCCCACCTGTTGATATATATATTCTTACGCGCGGTGGCAGTGGTCTCGCGTGCTTTCCAGATCCTCTCCGACGAGGAGAAGAAGTCCAAGTACGACAAATTTGGCGGCGATCCTGATAGCAGGTTCCAGCCCGGACCGAGCGCTTCGAGCGGCGCATCCCCCTTCGGTGGGTTCGGCGGTGGTGGATTCCCCCGCGGTGGTCAAAGATTCGACGAGGAGGTCTCAGCCGAGGAGATGTTCAACCGGTTCTTCAACGGTGGATTTGGTGGAATGGGCGGTGGTGGATTCGGTACTACTACATCGGTCCTCTGATATTTGTTTCACCTGAACTAATCGTGTGCTACTATAGGCGGTCCGCAATTCGTCTTCAACATGGGAGGCGGCCCAGGATTCCGAGTGCATCAATTTGGAGGCCAGGCGCCCCGCCGCCGGCCTCGCGCAGCAGCCACTGAGCAGGAAGCTCAGATTGATGGCCGCAGTTTCCTTCGTCAGCTATTGCCGCTTATTCTTCTATTCATCCTGCCGCTCCTCTCCTCTCTCTTCTCTGGTTCCTCAACCCCATCCGGACCCTCCTATCGATTTGATACCCCCGTCTCCCCGCATACCCTCGGCCGGTCGACCCCGAAACTCAATCTCAATTACTTTGTGAACCCCCTCGATGTGGATAACTTTAGTGCCCGAAACTTCCGAGAGCTAGACTCGCGCGTGGAGGTGGAATATGTCAGGACACTGCGGAATGAATGTGACGCCGAAGCCCATGAGCGGGAACGGAGGTTGCAAGAAGCGCAGGGGTGGCTCTTCCCTGATGTTGAGAAGATGAAGAAGGCTCGCGCGATGGAGATGCCGAACTGCCGGCGTCTGGACCAACTGAAGACGAAGGGGAGATATTAAATGCACTGCGGACTTTGGAGGCTTACACCGTACCTTATTATGGCATCTTGTCCCTTTGTGGGGCTCTTTTCTGCGAAAGAACGTACGCTAATATCATTAGCCCATCCACAAAGGTGGCATCTATGGGAGTTTCAGTTCATTAGTTGTACATTTTATTTTTCCTAGAGTTTGATTGGAATGCATCTAAGATCTTGCTGACTTTGCCTTCTTGGTTCTCCTGAGGTTTATTTGGGATCTTTGGTTTTCATTTCTGAACTCATGTTCTGATGTGAGATACGAGGATATATCGCATCACACTAATGTTCGTTCAAGGTGTGGCCATAAATCTGAAGCATATAAACAAGGCCCGTGGGTATGGCTTGGCTTGTAAATATCAAGTTGTCTAATCTTTCAATATCCAAAAGAGTATGTTCATAGAAGGACTATGGGAACGAATCTATGTTTTTATGTATTCACAATAGCAATAGCCTAAACCCTTCGAACGTACGGAGGGAAAAGTGACTTTAGAGGTACATAGTTTTACGCGGTGCTTCCCGCGAACTCAGAAGTACCTTCCCTGTATCTCACACCCAACCATGGACAACGAGATTGCTTAGTCAAATTTGATCACGGTGCTGAATCTCGAATCAGAACGAAAGCGAATCTCGGCGATCATCACGGAATCAGAAGTGTTCATCCTGCGACATTCACCCGCAGACTCTAGACTCTATTGTCCCCACTTCGAGGCTTTGAAGCAGCCTTATTACGCTTTCACGACTCCTTATGATTCCCACACGGTCACGACAATATTGATATTCTGCCGAACCGGTCCACCAGATTAGTGGTCTTGCCAACCTCTCCCAAGCGGCTTATTGTCTGACTTTCACCTAACATGTCGGACACACTCTCCGACGCGGACAAGGTCAGTTTCTTGTTGTGCTCAAATCATGAAGCCATCCCGCCCCCGCAGTGATTTCAGGACTGACATCTATTCTCGATAAAAAAGATTCGCAACAAGCGACTTGCAAAGCTTTCGAACCCAGTCCAGCCCTCCGTGGACGGCAACTCCGATTCGGCACAGAGCTCAGCTAACACATCTCCGTCACATTCACCACTGTCAACTCAGCCACCTAGCCGCCTTTTCGGCGCGCCACCAACCCCGCAGCAGTCAGAAGGGAAGCGGATCAAGATCACACCAGCCGCGGCTACACCAGAGCGACCACAATCCGCCGCCCCCTCAGCTCCGAGCACCCCTCCGCCACAGAAAATCGAAAGCATTGAGGCCTTCGAAGACCGGACGCTAAGTGCCGTGTTCAGAGTGACCCTCAAGGAAGAAGGGCAGCGTGATATTCATGGCAACCGCACATACTTGCCCGGACTTCGGAGTGAATTACAGGATGAGGGCCAGGATCTGCGCATCCAGGTCGCAGTTCTAGACCAAGCCCTTCTAGAGGCCGCGTCAAATGCTGAGAGACAGCGTCCTCTTGATTATCTGCTGCCATGCTGGAAGCGCATCACAAAGTTGTACAAGGGATTGAGGCGGTCGGGAGATACTGACCCAAAGTATCAGGTTCTGTGTGAGGCGCGGCGCCTGTGCATGAGCTACTGTATCTTTGCGATTACAATGCCAGAGATGTTTGGGTTCGTTTTTCTGGAATGTTGCTGCACTGGCACTGCATACTGACTGTCTGGACTATAGAAGCGAATGGACCCCGCAATCATCGTTAGCCTCCTACCTTCTTATCGACCCCGAGGATGACAAAGGAATCGATTTCGAGTTTATCAACGAGGCTGTCAGAAGATTCGACGAAGACGACTCTGTCAAGCCTGCCTTCATATCCGCCGTAGAGCAGTTGAGCGCGGAGCTTTCTTCCATGGACGTTAACGATGACTACAAACCATACGCCACTGTAAGTCAAACGTCCAAATTTCCTTGGACCACGTCTGACCAGTTTGTTCAGGCTCTTCGAAATCTTGTTCGGCACGGATCCATTGCGGCTGCAATCACCGAATCCTCCATTTTTAACAACTCGAAGGACCCTGCTCAATTCGAGAAAGCCACTCTTTTGGGACCATGGTTCCGCCTCTCACCTCTTCAAGCTAATGTCACCTTGTCCTATTTCTCTAGCCCCAAGACCCGGGATCAGGCATACATTTCCAATGCCCAGCGTTCGCTTCGAATGACACAGCAGATGCTTAGCTCTGATCTTCTTGATGTTGTCAACCACCTCATCCGGGCCTCGAAAGAGGCTCGGGATCGTGTTTTGGATTGGTTCGCTACTGCTATGAACATCAATCACAAGCGACGGGCGATGCAGGTCGACCCTGCACAAGTATCGTCTGATGGCTTCATGTTCAATATCACAACTTGCCTCGACCAGCTTTGTGAGCCATTCATGGATGCAGCATTCACTAAAATCGACAGAGTGGATGCAGATTATCTCCACCGCGATTCTCGTGTTGACATGCGGGATGAGACCAAAATCAATGCCGATCAGCATGCTTCCGACGCTTTCTATTCCAAGAAGGTCGAAGGAACATCAAACTTTATCACTGAAATATTTTTCCTGACTGTCGCCGCTCATCACTACGGCAGTGAATCACTGACGTCAAAGATGGAGCAACTCGAGAAAGATGTGCGACAGATGGAGAGTACAATCACTAAATTTGAACTTGAGCGGGTTCGCTGGCTCAACAATCCGCAGCAATTGCGCACCTTCGATACGGCCCTGAAGAAGTACAAAGACAAGCTCGACCTGGGTATTGCGCTCAAGTACAGTCTCCAGGGTGTGTTGTTCGACGAGCAGTGGCAGGCTCGTTCCATGTTATTCATGCGATATGTTACCGTATGGCTTCTGCGACTTGTCTCGGGAAAGAACTTCCCCAAGGAGCAGGTTACCCTTCCTCTTCCAGAGGAGCAGCCCGAAGTCTTCAAATGTCTACCAGAGTACTTCTTGGAGGACGTTGTCAGCAACTTCAAGTTTATCATGTGGTGCATGCCACAGATCATTACCGCCACCCAGGGAGATGAGTTGGTGATGCTGTGCATCACATTCCTGGAGAGCTCCGCCTATATTAAGAATCCCTACCTGAAAGCCGGCCTGATCTCCATTCTGTTCCGAGGCACCTGGAAACGCCCTGGTGGCGCCAGTGGTGTTTTGGTCGACCTGCTCAACTCGATGCCATTTGCCAACGAGCATCTCCTCCATGCGGTCATGAAATTCTACATCGAGGCAGAGTTCACGGGAACGCATTCGCAATTCTACGACAAGTTCAACATCCGTTACGAGATCTTCCAGATCATCAAATGCATCTGGCCCAACACTCTGTATCGGGAGAAGTTATCCCTTCAAGCCAAGCAAAACTTGGATTTCTTCGTCCAATTCGTCAACCTCCTACTGAACGATGTGACCTACGTACTCGATGAATCATTCGGTGCTTTCAAGACGATCCACAATACTCAGACCGAGCTGAATACACAGGGCCACTCAATGGATGCCGCAACCCGCCAGCAGCGGGAAGAGCATCTGTCATCAGCGCAGCGCAGCGCCAAAAGCTACATGCAACTGACTAACCAAACCGTGGCAATGCTCAAGCTATTCACTGATGCGCTTGCTGACTCGTTCACCATGCCTGAAATTGTGCAGCGACTCGCAGACATGCTGGACTACAACCTCGACGCAATGGTGGGACCCAAGAGCTCCAACCTCCGAGTGGATAACCTGCAAGAATATGGCTTCAACCCCCGCGCTCTTCTGAGTGAGATTGTCGACGTCTATCTTAACCTGATCAACAAGGAAAACTTCATCTTGGCTGTTGCCCGTGATGGTCGATCCTACAAGCCCGCCAATTTCGAGAAGGCAGCCGACATCATCCGAAAGTGGTCGCTGAAATCTCCCGAGCAGCTCCGTTACTGGAGTCAGCTGCAGAAGAAGGTCCAGGCTGCCAAGGAGGCCGATGATCAAGCGGAGGAAGACATGGGCGAGATTCCTGAAGAGTTCCTCGGTATGTCCACTATATCTGAACACCACTTTTTGACAGTTGCTAATCTTTTAGATCCTCTCATGTATTCACTCATGGATGACCCAGTCATCCTTCCGGGCTCGCGGATCTCCATCGACCGCGCCACAATTCGCTCGCATCTCCTCAGTGACCCTCACGATCCCTTCAACCGTGTCCCATTGAAAATTGAAGATGTTGTAGCTGGTAAGCAATTCTCTTTTTCCCAGGTGTTGTTCCACTGTTAACCACCTTTCCTAGACACGGATCTTAAAGCCAAGATCGAGGCGTTCAAGACAGAGAAATTAGCCGGCAAGCGGAGAGAAATGATGCACGATCGGATGGACACATCGAATTAAGGAGCAGTGGCTTTTTATGATTTAATTCACAAGCTTGCTTGTTTAGGGGCATTTCCTTTAGCGTTCACGGGACTGAAATACTACACTCCGTTTATGTGGAATTATGCCCCGGGTTATTTATGTGTGTGACTTTTTGCCGAGTAGAGAATCAAACGAACCCAGTCCTGTCACCAATTTGCTCAATCTGTGCAACTTGCCCCTGCTGTCTTGCCCTTTGTAGTTGTAGGAGGGTTTTCGTTTGCATGTGTGATTGGAAGTAGTTACACTTCTTAAAGTTGACAATTCACGCACAATCTCGCCAGAAATTGTGCTCTTGATCAGTACGCCCAATACTATTTGCTTTTTTCTTAAAAAAACAGAGATAGAAAACAAAAGGAAAAGAAAAGTAAGAGGAAGAGGAACAAGGAGCAGGTGAAGTGTAACTCCTTACTCGGGACCCACCGCCTTCCACGCCAGCTTTTAAGCTCCTTGGTTATCCTCCGCGATCTTCAATCTTCTTCTCTTCAACTCTGAATTGTTCAATATGGGTGCGACGATTTCCTCTTGTTGGGGAGCTCTGCCATCCACTGCAGAGCTCTTCCCTCCAACCCCGACTGCCTATACATCAATTCTATGCTGCTTCCAATACTTTCCCCTGGTCAGGAACCCGAAGCCCTAGAAATGTTACAAGACTAACGCGGAACATTTAGATCACGGTAATTCAATGGATTTTATCTTGGCATCCAGCAGGCAAAACATCCAAGGAGTCCATCTTCAACATCCCAGGACGAATCGCCTGGTTTGCCATGGAGATTGTCGGCCCTATCAACTTGATATATTGCATGGTCACTCCATCGCCATATGCACCCTCATTCACTGATCTTCCCATATCCAACATCCTCATTGTAACTCTGTACTGCACCCACTATTTCAACCGCGCCATAATCTCCCCCTTCTTCTCCGCCCCCAGCATGTCCCCAATCCACGTCGCCATCATGTCCTTCGCCATGCTCTTCAATTGGTTCAACTCAGCCTGTCTGGTCGGCTGGTTGCGCGGATATACCGTCCCGACTATCCCAAACTTCCACACAGCCAGCAGCGGAACTCCATCCCGCCCTGCGGTGGTAGATCTTCTCCCCGCCGTGGGCGTTATCTTGTTCGCCATCGGAATGGCCGGCAACATCTACTCAGAAACAGCGCTGTTCCGGTTTAGACGCGAAGAAGCCGAAAAACGCGCTACCAAAAAGACAGATGATGAAACCCCGGCCGGAGGCGAGGAACGCGGCAGCCGAAACAAGTTCCACAAAGTCTACGTCATCCCACCTACCCGTGGTGTCTTCCGATACATCTTGTATCCGCACTACGTCTTCGAATGGCTCGAGTGGATTGGTTTTGCTCTCGCTGGTACGGCAGTTGTCCCATTCTCCGCCCTCCCTATCTCCGCCTCAGCATCTTCTGTCGCGATCGCTCCCCCGCTGCGTATTGCGCCTTGGTTGGTGCCTGCTGCGTGGGCGGCTGGTAAACTAGCTGTGCCGCTGCCTTTGCCTGCTGTGGTGTTTGTTGCCAATGCGGTTACGAATATGTTGCCCCATGCGCGCTGGGGTCGGAAGTGGTATGTTGAGAAGTTTGGCGAGAAGGCTGTTGCTGGGAGGGGTGCTGTTCTCCCTGGATGTCCTTGGATGTGAACGAGGGAGATTCTCCAAGTGGCTTTTTTTTCTCTTTCTCTTTTTCTTTTATTTTCATTTTTTTCGTGACTGGCTTCCCAGCCTTGATATTTAAATACAATTACTGGTTCACAGCCCGGGAGAATTTCCATGGACATGACGAATTTATCTTTAGATCTTGCCACTACGTAGTGTAGATTTGACAACAATGAGTGGAGTGTATAATGAACCTGCCAGTACTGTCATAGTCCTCGGAGCTCATCAACAGAAAAATGCTCAAGAAACGTCGGGTATCCGATACCAGACATCATGGGCATCTCATACTCCCAGTCGAGAATATTTCCTGGAAATAGCATTTCGCCCGGAATCGGGAAACCCGCCGGATCGTCATCCCCAGACAGCCTGTTACCATTATCCACAACAGCTATTTCTCCAGCGGGTGGCATGTCCTCACCAGGACAAATCCCTTCCGCCTCTCCCCCATCCCCATTCTGAACTTGTTTCCGAGCCAGCGGATACGTCCCCAACGGATTCAAAACATACTCAAGAGAGAGCTGGAGTTGAGAGGAATGTCCAGTCCAGTCAGTACTACTGGCAGTCGGCACCTCCAGCAGCGCTGCCGCAGAAGCACTCCCACGTCCCGTGGAATCCAACGAAAACAGCTCATCGAACCGATTCAATGCCTGAACTGCAGACTCGCAATACATACTCGCCTTAAAATACTGCTGCAGGAACCGCAACATAACAACATTATCCCTCAGCATAGCACGATACTCGCCATACCCTAGCCCAGGAACCAGGGGTTCGTCCCTCCCCCATGAAGCAAGCGTCGTGACAATTACACTGCTACAGACCTGGATATACATCGCGAAGGGTGTATCCACAATACTAAGCCTGTGGCAATCCCACAGATCTTTCAGCAGGGAGGCGATGTAGACTGCCTTCTGTGCGCAGATGGTGTGGCACGTTACCAGGAAGGCATTTGGCGCGTTCTCGCGGATCCATTTCGTGGCACTGTTCGGAAAGACCAGGTGCGAGACGCCGATCCGGTACAGATCATGGTAGTTCTGTGAGATCAGAATGTGCAGGCTGAAATAGAGGGTTAGCCGGCCGGAGGCTTTGAAAAGATACATGTTTTCAGTGGTGATTTGGAGACTTGGGGGGATTGAAGCTTCGAGGGCGTGGAGTTCATCTTTCAGGGCGTGGAATTGGGAGGTAGAGCTTGGTTGCCAGGGAATTTCGCCTGCGAGGTGTTTTACATATTTGAGGATTCTTGAGCGCGTCGTTAGGGCGCGGATGTAGAATCCGCGCATGTCGAGATTGTTTGAGGCTTCTGTGATTGTTTTGGGCGTCGGGGTCACGGAAGGGAGGAGCTTTCCTGGACTCAAGATTTCTGTGAGACACGGCGTGCTTCGAACGAATAAGTCTTCTGAGCAGGGTAGCTGGACATAGATGTCTTCTGATAAGATGAGGCGGAGTTGATCGATGCCGCATTCAATGAACGCGTCGAGGATATAACATGCCCATACCAGCCGCCTGCGGGTTTCCTTTGTTGTGCTAGAGACCCGGCTCTTTTGACACAATGGGTCAGAATCGAGTTCAATGTTGAGCTGTAGGATTTGGAGATGTCGAGCTATCTGGCCAGAAATCATGAAGCCTTTGGCGTAGTCTCCTTGTCGCAGGTAATACTCGTGGAGCAGGACTTCGGTCATCAAACGCTCGGTTCCGGTTTGTCCGAAACTGGAGAAGAGATTTTGGTTTGCGGCTTCTGCCCAGCCTTTTCCTGCATCGAAGAGTTGTATGTTGTTTTTCTGGTCTTCTTCTCCGGCAACCCCGAGAGTGTCTGCGTAGTAGAAGGGCGCAGATAGTGCACATATTATGTAAATGAGCCCGGATTGCTGAGAGTAAAGTTGCTCGGGGTCCTTCAGACGCTTCATGAAAGTTGGGATGTGTAGAAAGCCCATACATCGTACAGTGTGGATGCGAGAGAAGTATATGTCAACCAACTCACGAATCCGGTTGATAGGGGGCAATGTAGTTGCCGTCAGCCATGCCGGAATAGAGTGAGATGGCGCTGTCGATATGGATGGGTCAAGCCCAGGCTTTTGGCGAGAGACGGTACCCATTTTGTAGTAAGAACATTCAAGGCCCTTTCTGGCGCAAGCAGTACAAGTAGCTCCACCGGAGCATTTGGCCTTGGCGCGCTCGCATTGTAGACAAGAATGCAAGATCCGTCGCCGCTTCATTCCGGCTTCTGTTGTAATTCCATCTGAATTGGCTCTCTCCAGGATGGGGCCGGCCACAGTGCTGGGTGCGTATATACATTCTTCGCCGTACTGGCGGCATCTGTGACATCCTCCTGGACTGCGATCACATTTGACCTATATCCTTGTTGGAAAGAGGACGGGATGAGAGGGAAATGTGACTTACTTTACGCTTACGGCAAATACGGCAACTCTGCATTCTGGCGAGATGGTAGAGATCAAAACAGCGAGATCCGGCAATGCGAAGTGGTTGTGGCGTAAGGCGTAAGACACAGGTGCGATGGTGTTATCGGCGACATCCGCTCGGATCTCGGTCTTGCATTGCACTCGATTGCTCCAATTGCGCTACCGCAACTATAAATGTTTAACATCTTGCAGTTCTTGGTATCTCGTATATTTTCTTTTGAAAGTAGTCTCCTATACTGAAATCGATAACATGTCACCGTTGCTTCAACTGCTCGCTGTCTCTACGCTGGTCGGTACAGCCTATGGCTCGACCTTTCGCGTCTTCGACAACACAGCCTACACCAACACGTCCATTGGTCATGGCAGCACAAACATCAACTGGATTCCTGCCTACGTGTGCAATCCTCTGACCAAAGGAGGCGTCCTCCCATCAGCCGATGAATGGAAAAGCATTGTACGCGAGTGGAATATACATCCAAGTTATCCGCTTGTGCTCGATTGTGAAGACCTGTACTTCACTTCCACCTCTACGGCAGATCTCTACCTTGAGATCATGTCTACATTGCAGACCTGGGCGGCCGACGTCATCCCCGCTGACCAGATAATCGGCTGGTACGGACTGTCTGGCAATACCATCCCATCACTGTACCCACATTACCGCAGCCTCATCGCCAACCACAGTAATCACGCGTTTTTCCCGTCCGCCTACACATTCAGTGACAGCTTGTCAACGTGGCAGAGCTCGCTGAGCTCGGTGGTTGCCAAGATCCAGGCGATTAATAGCTCTTTGCCGAGATGGCCGTACACCTGGCCCCAATACCATGGCAATTACTCTTTCATCCCGGGAGCCCTATGGGAGAGTGAATTGGAGGCCCTTGCGGCTAACGAAGATATTGATGGATTTGTTATCTGGGGCGGGAAGAACCACGCCGTTTGTAATGATGCGTGTCAGGAAGTTGCAGGACAGGAACCTTGGCTTAATATCACGCGAACTTATCTGGATAGCCTCTATGGGATCTATGGGAGAGAGGCTGAGAAGACTGGAGCGCAGCTCTATAATTGAGTATCTGGTGATGTATGTATGTTGGTGAAGAATTAAGAATTGAAGTCGTGGCTGCCAGTTTATATCAGCATACAAATATCTACAGTTACTGTATCCATGAATACAACTTGACATACATAGTGTTTTTTTTTCTTCTATTTTTATCTTGCTTTTGATACTTCCCTTATACCACTCTAATAGTATCGCACAAAGAACTCACAGAATCTACTGAGAGGTCATTATCAAATCTTGCGAAATACTTAGCCTTGAGCACGCTGTGCCAAATATTGAGCTGCACAATCGGACGCATTATCAATAACAACAAGCTTCTTAAATGGCGAAAATTGCTCTTGCGCCATCTCACCCATGACAAGAGCCTGAAAATCGGACAAGTTCATCAGAGCCCCCGAGAAGATGAGACAGCTAACACTAGGGTCACAAATAGGCTTCTGAGCAAGCGGTTTGATGAGCTGCACCACTGACCTGGCAGCAGAGGTAAGAATCTCAAGTGCCTGTGGATCTGAATTCTGTCGGAACCCCAGCTTTGTGACAACTTGTGCGAGGTCACTGATATAGTGCTTGGGCTGCAAGTCTGAAAAGAGAATGCCGGAAAGTAACTCGCCTTTGGCATGGCCGACCTTTGCCAGAATCTCAGACTCCAATTCTGTCAAGTGTCTCTCTGTACCCTGGCTCATTTCCACGCTGGTCAACAGTGCCTGCAGAGCCTGTTTGCCGATGTCGAAAGCGCTTCCTTGATCTCCGAGAAGAGGACCCCAGCCCCCAGCTCTCCCGATTTGGACTATTTCCCCTCTTGAATTTTTCCTGAATGCCGTCGCGACAGATCCTGTGCCTGAAATGACGGCAATGCCACCATCAACGGAATCATCGATGCCAATGCATGCGCTGAGAAGGGCGCTATCACTTGTCAGACGGAGGACTTCCTTTTGTGCAGAAAGATTCAATAGTTTCTCGAGCCCGTCGGATAACGCTTTCCGTTGATGTGCATGGTGCAGCCCAGCTAGCCCGGCCCATACAGCGGCAAACTTGGGCATTTGAGGATCTGAATGGCCGTATTTTGGAGACAAGCGAGAGACTGCTTGGAGAGTGGCTATTTTGATTTGACCCAAGAGATCGTCCAATGGCACACTATGAAAGTTACAAGGCCCAGCCCGCCCTTGTGCTATGACTTTGGAGCGTGTCGCAATGGAAACAGCGCATTTAGTTCCTCCTCCATCAATTGACAGAAAGATCTCTTCATCCACCGCACACTCCTTGTCGGGTTGAGGCGTCGGGTATTGGAGGCTCTCAACAAATAAACGGAAATTTCCGTCCACTTGATCGAGTGTGTGCCTGGCATGAGCTGGTGCAAGACCGGATACAGCCACTGCACATGCTAGCTTGACACTTCCTCCACACTGAGTGATCAAGATATCCAGAGCGGCATCGTCTTGAGAGGCATCGGCGAATCTCAAGGGGCGGGGTCGTGGCTGGCCACTCCTATCAAGGATATACATGGGGCGTCCCTCGCAAACCTGTTGGATAATCCGCCGGCCACGCGCTTGCAATTTATGATTTTTCGCCCGTACGTCAATCATAAGGCCCATATGTGTTTTGCCTAACTTCACCATTGCGCAGGTACTGATCATGTTCAGGATTTGCTTTGCTGCACTTCCAGCTTTGAGCCGAGTACTCCCAGCGATGAATTCCGGTCCAACCAAAGCGGCGATAATGTGGTTGACACCCAACGCCCCTATAACACATGGTGATGTGTTTTTTATAACGGCTGTCAATGCGCCGTGCTTGATAGCCACCTTGAGCGCCCCGTGTATAAATGGGGTCCGTCCAGAAGCCGAGATGCCCACGACGGTATCTTTAGCAGAGACCCGGAGAGACTCCAGCTGGGATGAACCATCTTGCTCGGAATCCTCAGCTCCCTCTTTCGCTTTGAGAATTGCTTGTTCTCCGCCAGCCACAATGGCGTGGAACTGGCCTTCGTCCGTGGAAAATGTCACCGGCAGTTCGCTGCAGTCCATAAACCCTAACCGGCCACTGTTGCCCGCTCCAACATAGATGACCCGACCACTCGCGCGCAGACGGGGAACAAGAGCTTCAATCAATGATGCAATTTCTGGCAAGCAGCACGCAACTGCGGGTGAGACTTTAGCTTCTTCCGAGTTGAAGGCTTTGCAAAGCCCAAGAGTGTCGAGGGCGTCGCTGGAGGGTGCTAGTACGTTCAGGGCCTCCGTTTGGAGAGCACCTAGATCTTTACAATCAAATAGCGTCATATTAACCGTGAATTGATCTTTGAAATACTTGCATCTGTGAGATTACTGGGATGTTTTTATGTTTTGGCTTCGAGGGCGCGACGCGGGCTCGGGATCTCGCTGCATGCTCGGACACGGATCTCGCTATAGCGAGATCCTATTCTCCACTGCGGAGACCCAGCACGCCATGGCCACGATTCTGTAGCGAAAGCTATATATACAGACTTAGCAGCTGGCCTGCTAAAGACTATCTCGATAACCACCTGAACATTGTTTGTTTAATACACCATGGACACCTCAAAGTCTGCCCGGGAGGCCATCTCGCCAGAAACCCCCAGTGATGGCAATGTCACTTCATCGCCTCCAAAGAGCCGATTTTCAAAGATTCGTCAAGACCCGTGGTACCAGATCGGTCTGGTATCCTTCATCTCCTTCTGCAATCCGGGCATGTACAATGCCCTGACCGGTATGGGAGGCTCGGGCCAGGTTGACAGCACAGTCTCGGCCAACGCCAACGTCGCCACGCACGCATGCACGGCTGCAACGGCACTCTTCATCGTCGGTACCTTCTACAAATATCTAGGGCCTCGTCTCTCCCTTCTCATTGGAGGCTGGACCTACGCTCTCTACGCAGGTGCATTGCTGAACTCAGACCGAGTCACCGGCGGCGGTCCCTTCGTGATTGCAGCCGGAGCGCTGCTTGGTCTAGGGGCAGCCTTCTTCTGGGTTGCGCAGGGTACTATCATGGTGACTTATACGAATGACCAAACGCGCGGACGAGCCATTGGTGTTTTCTGGGTGATTTTCAACTTAGGCGGGACTATCGGCTCGCTGGCTAGTTTCGGTATCAACTACCACTCCAGTTCTGGCACAGTAACGGATTCAACATATATCGCATATATCGTGATCATGCTTTTCGGGTGGCTACTTTCGGTGTTTGTGTGCTCCACCGAGTCTTTGTCAGACAAGTACCACGGTGGTCGCATAGCGCCAGAGTCCAAGGCCCTCAATTGGACCAATTTGAGAGTCACGGTTATCCAGACACTAAAGATTGTCTTTAATTGGAAGAATCTGTGTTTATACCCGATGTTTTACAATGCGAATGTCTTCTACTCATATCAACAAAACGATGTGAATGGCTTGACTTTCAACCTCCGCACTCGCTCCCTCAATAGCGCCCTGTACTGGATTGCCCAGATGCTCGGTGGGCTCTTGATGGGTTCTCTACTCGACCTTCACTACTTTAATCGCCGCACACGAGCGAAGCTTGGCTGGGGAATTCTGTTTGTCACTGGAATGGTTATTTGGGGCGGCGGATATCAGTTCCAGATCTGGAACGATCAACGTCTGAAGCAGGGCTTGAAACAGAAGATTGATTATAAGGACGGGAGCAAGTTCCTAGGTGGGATGTTTTTGTACTTTTTCTACGGGGCGTACGATTCTTTCTGGCAGACATTCTGCTACTGGGTTATAGGGGCTCGGTCGAACAATCCTGTTGTCACTGCCGTCATTGTCGGGGCGTACTCGGCTTTGAAGCCGGCGGGCGGTGCTATGGCCTGGAGAATCAATGCGGAAGGAATCAGTCCATTGACACAGTTTGCTATGAACTGGGGTCTGAGCATTGGGAGTCTGGTGGTGGTCATTCCCACTATATTGACTATTAAGAGGACGAATCATGCCTCGGACGAGCTAGTCGATGAGGAGGTGAAAAAGGTCATCCCCGATGGGGTTTAAATAGTGATAGACTCTGCAATGACCTTTGCCAGTATTTATGTGCCCATACTCTGTAACCTAATTTCTCAGATGCCTCAACAGAAGACATCCTCGCTGGAGACTTGGTTTGATGAGATAGAAGACACTAACGGTGATGATGAATGCAAAGCTTGGTTAAGTAGAGCTTTTGACTCAAGGAATGAATTAGCAATTTTTGTTTCTGGGCGCCGGGAAGGAGGGGAGACTGGAAAATATGTTGGTTTTCTGAAGGGTTCCTTCAACTTCACTCAAAACAGGCTGAACAGGCTGAACAGGCTTCCGGTACATAGGTAGCTGTACGTACCATATTTCCTCTGCCGGGTGGGGCTTTCCTATCTTAGCTGCCGCCGCTTTTATGAGGGCGCTCAGAGTCAGGCTCTCTGAGTAAATTTCAGTCCGGGCTCAGGCTCAGTGAGTGGCTCAGAGCCATCACGTGATAAATCAGTGAGGCCCAATGAACGATCACTGAGTGCTCAGTGAGCACTCAGTGACTCTGATTGGCTGCTCACTGATCGCTCACTGATCACTCACTGATTACTCAGAGACTGATCAGAGCCATCTATTGAGCACTCAGTCCACGCTCAGTCCATGCCCAAAGAAGCCCTTTGCCCCACAATTCTGTTTATTTGCGAACTACTTTTTGATGGCCATCATTTCTCACCATAAGCCCTACTTTTTGAGGTGCACGATCTTCCGATCTCGTCCCCCTCTCAAATTATAACGCACTAGAGCACGATGACGCAAATTGGAAGGCACGGAGTTCATCTATCACGGGGCGGCGTAGGAGAAAAGTCTTCGGTCATATTAAATTACTAAATTATAAAATGAAATTATTTCCCTACTCCAAGCCTCTAAGATAGCTTTCTCTGTTTTCTACCTCATTCTTTTAGTTCCTCGGCCTTTTTTTTTTTTTATATTGTGTGGGAAATTTAACTGGCTATAGGTAGAAAACAATTCTTTACTCAATAAGATGAGATCGCTAAAGAGAAGCGCCACAAATAACTATAAGAGAGTAGCTACGTTTTTAGCGCTCATGCGTATAAGGACTCCATCCGAGAGAAAGATAAAAGGATACCCAAGACTAAGAGGATGTACTGCCGAGCTGTTAATCTTTGGATGGAGTGAGTTGACATTCACTTGTATATAAGGAATACCTAGCGAATGAGTTACTTACTTACTATTAGGTTCGTTGAATAGGAACGAATTGAGGGCTATAAAATGGGGCTAGGCTATGCGATTCTAGACCATACACTTATTAAAGAATTTCTTCGGTGGTATAGTCATTTAGCGCGAGGGAAAAAAAGTAAAAATGGACGGCTAGTGATAACCTCGGTTCTCAATTATGCGGAGAGGCTATTTAGTGGATTTGAAGAAAAAATGTAAATTAAAATTATATTAGAAGACCGGAAAGAGATAACTAGTGTAAGCCCCTTTATGGATCTTACTTTCTATATTCCGGAATGGAACCCAAACTAACTTAGGCATAGTGGGTAAAGAGAACATTGATAGAAAACGAAGGAACGATTAAGAATGTCGAGGATCTAGCCCATAGCTTTACTAGGAAGGATTTTCTCCGAGTGATATCCTCTATATGGCGAGCGGATCATCGACGGTTTATGCCCGGATTGCTTAAGGCTACTATCACGCTAGCTCTTTAACTATATCTTTTCACCGGAGTAAGGATTAGAGCTTTTATACCAGCTTATAAGGACAGAAATGAAAAGGGCCTAAGATACGAGGTGAGAGCACTATAACGTTAAGATTGTGCGTGGCTAATTGCTAAATAGGACATTGATCTATTTTTATTTCCATCCTCTATGGAACCTTGGACGGTAGAGTGTAAAGTCGACTAAAAGTGGCTTAAAGGGAATCGAAACCCAGACTATATAGTGTAAGTTAAATACCAAAAAGAAAGCCTCGAAAAGGGTGGCTTAAATTGAGAGCTCACTCGCTAACTAAAAGTTAAGGTTCGGAATCGGTATTCGTGATACTAAGAGGCTATAATTCGCGTCTGGTTATATTCTCCTATCTATTGCCCTCTAGCACGGTGCTCTGTTTGGTATCGAAACGGTAGAAGACTTTGCCTAGTTTGACCTTTCAAGTGGAAAGCCTATAAAACTACGCTAGAAGGATGAATATCTAAAAAAGCCTGTTCTTAGAAATGTAATAGCTGATGGCCTATAAGACGTTCCACTCTATAAGGAGCGGTTTTGTGAGTTACTACGTGGAATAGTCACGACCGCTAGATATAGTAAGAGTTTGACTATTCATATGATTCGGAAGTATCTTAGAAGTGTTGTTAAAGGTAGGGCAGTCAAAGCTCATAGCTTGTTGAAGGAGCATATATGCTAATTCCCGGTATAGAAAACCATGGCTCTACCTTGGTATCTCAGATTTATGGATATAAAGATACGGGGACATACCCTAAAGAGTATTTATTACACTACTCTCCGATTGATATAGTCTCGGCTATTTTAGGAGAAAAAAACAGTCACATTATATCGAGTACTTCCAAGGTATTAAGAAGTTTTATAAGTGTGGACTTCTAGGGGAATTGCCAGCTGAAATTGAGGCGAGTATCCTGTAGATGCTAGAACTCGTCGATACCAGACGTTAGATCGAGTAACTTAAGGAATCAAGCGACGACAAGGAGCTTTTAGCTGCCGAGAAGCTAAACTATAGAAAGGCCTTGTTTCGACTTCGTCTTATAGAACTAAAGTAATACTAGAACCGCTAGGTACGAGAAAGACGAGACTAAAGGATCCTCAATAAGGGTAAAGAAGAGCTAGTGATTAGTGACGACACCATTTCCACGCGGGCTTAATCCTTACTTATGCCCGAAATCGCCCGGATTTCAATATTAATATCTTCTGATAAGGAGCTTTCGTTTAATGAAATGCTCCTTTTCGTGGATGATCTAAAAGCTTATTATGAACGCGATTTCGGGGTCGCTTACCTTCTATAGGAAAGTCCCATTTAAGGTCGCTACCCCGCTAGAGGCTGCCTCGAAGAAATCAAATAGTGAGTTGCCATATTATATGATTCTGAAATAAATGCTGACTTCCCTAGTCTAAAAAAACCCGATAGAAGTGCTTATATTCATAACTACATTCGACGTGAGATTGCTTTAGATCTTAAAGTCTTAGAATCATAGTTAAGGTTTTATTACGAGTGCATGGATTGGCTGTAATCAAGTTAATAGCGAGATCACTGCTCTTCCTATCTCTAATCATAGAAAATATAGCACTGTGAAGTGATTGTATACCGCTATATAGTCATCCGGCCTGGCTACTACCCCTTCTGCTTGTGGGATATGGATCTCGACGCGGAAGATCGATTATATTAATGGTCGAAAAGCGGTAATCTGAAGCAACATATTAAAGAGAGGCATATACTTAGAGACTAGGAGCCTAGAGCGAAGCCAATATATAGATGTGGCCAAGCTTTCGCTAATAAGCGTGGCCTTCGACATCATTTGTATGACACCTATAAGCTGAATAAAGCCATATGGTTAAATCTAAAGCTTCCGAGAAAGAGAAAGCGTACCTATAAGGCAGAAGCGCAAGTATCTTCTATGGAGTCAGAGGAGCAGCCTCCGAAGAAACTCCGCTTCTACCGCTACCTACCTCCGCGTCACGAGCTTAAGTATCAACTGTTAGAAAACGTATTTATGCCTATTCCCACGTTACATTCGTTTGTCGAGGAACATTAGGAGCAATTTTTCTATTCGAGTCTCTTAGCATAATAGTGTATAATATAATAGTATAGTATATTTCTATTATGGTAGGAAGGAGATCATATATAAATTACTGGCTCTATCTAGGAAGAACCCTAGATATCCTACATATAGTAAAAAACTATATTATGACTTCCTTTCTAATACCATAGACAATGAGATAATACAGATATCATAGATTATCTCATACTGAGGTAATAAAGATATCATAGATTATCTCATCATTTGCCTCCTAATGAACTATATAAGAAGCAAAGACTCCTATATATAACAATTAATTAATCTTACCATCGCCATCTGAGTTACCTATTTAGGATAAGTATAACCATATACATATTTATATATATATATTATAGAGAGGCGCCTAGTATTTATCTCCTAATCCTTACAGCTTTTACCCTATAGCATAGCAAAAACGTGAAACAATACCAAAGCTACTACCATCCAGCCTACAGCGCGATATATCCGTCGGTAAATTCGCAGAGAAATCCCGAGAATATCAGCCAAGTTACTTAGATACCATAAAGCTAGAAGGAATATCATATTAAATAGCGATAGAGTCCCTACTCAGCGACTAGCGGCTGCCATAGATATACTATTTAAAAACAGAAGCAGTAGGTTGATTATGAGGTAGATCAAATGAAGAGTGTTACGCACTGCTAACTGGTCACAGTTAGGTTAGAAGGTTTCCAGGTTATACTTGCCTTATGCTTCTCAGGTTTCCAACGTCAACGATCTGTACTCTCAACCGTACTGTTGCCTAACAGGCCTTACTGCAGGATGGGTCCTATTGAGGTATCGAGGAACGATGCCAGGTAGAGCGCCGAGTAGATCTATACCGGAGTATTGGTCTGCTCGTGAGTGTTGTCAAGTTATAATCAAGTTAAAGAGTCACTGAAGTTCAAAAGGTATACACAAGTAACAATGTATGATTGAAGACGAAGAACTAAACTAGATACATGAATGAGTGTCCTTATATATCCCTGAGTTCTTCCTATGTAGAATGGTAGATCGTAGATGAGTAGAATTGCCTTGGCAGATTCTACCAGTCTACCGTTGACTGTTCTACTACTTGCATGATCACGTGACGGCTTCCGTTGGTGGCAGAGGTTTGCTGGTCCATATAGGCACATATGTACCGGATATCCTCTGGAAGTGGGTCCTGCTCAGGGCTGATCATGCTCTTGCTCACTGAGCATGATCACGGTTTCCCTTTTCCCTGAACACCCGGGTATCCCAGAGTATAGGATGGTGCACGTGATCTGATGACAGATCGTTCGGTTGGCTCTCGGTGGCCCATCAGTAGTTGCGGTCCCCACAACTGATTGGTGACTAGCATGTCCGTAACAAAGAGAAACACCGGCTCGTGTCTAAGGCCCTAGAAGTGAATAGCGGCCAAGAACATACGGATATACAAGATGCTAGCAAATGAAGATATTCATCGTATTACTCTAGGGCGCAAAGACTTTCAAGACTCTAATAATAATAAGACTTATAAAGATGCCGCCAACGGCAATCGTATAAATAGTCAAGATATCCATATTATAAACTAAAAGCAAAGTGAAATCCTAACTATTATATCCTTCTTATAGAGAAAGGATCAGTTACGAGCCGACCTTAAAACAGGTCGCTAAGAGTAAGTATACTCAAAATACCCTAGAGGCTAGATTATAGAAGACAAGTGTCGTGTTATTAAAGGCATGCGCTAAATTAATACGGTAATATTTAAACTTATGATTGCTAGAAACATGCCTATAGTGTCTTTAGGATCATATCAAATGGCCTAAAACGAGGCTACAACGATTCAACTATTGCCCCCAAATGGTGAAGGCCGCGCGGGATATCGAAAAGTGTGGGTAGTATATAGCTCGGATTAACTATTTCGAAGAGTGGATCGCCGTCCCCAAACGGTGGAGTCAGCGGAACACGAAAGAGTGTCGCGGAGTCTACATACGTTTAGTGCAGTTACGAAATTAGCCATTTTTACGTCTTATACAATACTTAGGGCCAGCATAGCGCGATTTTATGGTTTTTCTAGCCTCTAGGTAAATTCTATCACTTAACAGTGCTCTCTAGAAATGTTTATATTCACCATCGAAAGACCAAATGTAGCCAGTTGGCGGTGGGGATATCACAACAAGTTTTGTTGATATGCCACTACAAACAGTGCGATCCTCTGTTTAAGGGTTCAAAAAATCAATTAATAAAACTCCAAATGTACAGTGTCAGACAGATATCAATGTGGTTGATTACTACGGGACGATTTTGATGAACCCTTCAAGTATTTTGCTCATCCGGTCAATATCCATTACGATAAATATTGATCTGATTGAAAAGCACTAGCCTAAGAGACAAAAAAGACCGTCAGGCATAGGTTTAACGGGTGGGTCAACGCATGGAGAACGATGGCGGGCGGTGAAATTGCAATCAAATCTTCCACAACCCTGGTGTTTAAACAGAAGCCGTGAAAAGTATCTTTACTTGAGGTAGGGTAAATAGTATGATTGGTCAGAAAGTAGCAAACTCTCCACCCAGACCTTAGATTCACGTGCACTCCTTGATACCTTGATACGTCTAAGTAGACCTCGCCATACAGTGGATTTCGAAAACAGATTACCCCACAGACACTCTGGCTTTGTTTCTCGGCTCGTATCCGAAACCGCCCTAATCCTAATTTGGGTTACCCTGTAAACATCCTTTTTAGGCTACATTGTTTTTTATACTGTAATTAGATTTCAACATACCTTATGTCGTCGTATAATACTGTAACAACATGTCTATCGAATGTTCTAGATGGGTTTCTCAGAAAGCGGGGAGATCTGCCACGCAACCCATTCCGCGCCAATCTGTCCTCCTTTGACTTTTCCCCCCATCTACATCACACAATACATCACAGCACCTCAGTAGTTCAGCATAGCTTCCAGTCAGTCAGCTGACACCTACCCTCTTCAGCTTTCTAAGGGGCATTGTCGCCAATATGGACGGCGTCAGTGATGCTGCGTCTCTTATTACTTTGCTTCAGCTGGCATCCAATGTCATCAAATACGTCAAGGATGTCAAGAATGTACCATCTCAGAGGAAAAGGTTATTAAGCGCTCTTGTGCAAGCACGTGGCCTACTTTCCACCTTGATAGACCTTACAAATGATGTTTACGATGATAACTGGTCATACACCATTCAGAGTTTGTCCACGCCTAATGGCCCGCTATCGATGTTTCAGGAAATTCTGGAACAGATAGCCGGAAAGATAGGTGTACCATCCTCTGGTTCAACTATTGCACTTGCTTTGCATCGACTCCAGTGGCCGTTTGATCAGACCGGCTTTCAAGACGTGATGGCGTCCCTTGAAAAACTCAAGTCGTAATTTCTGTTGGCTATTGCGAATGACCACCTGCGACTTTCTTTGGCCATCCGAGATGGGCTTAACGAAATTCATAGCCAACTGTCTTCGTCCGCCATTGATTCTCGACGACGAGCTACAATGTCTCTTTCTAGGGAGCAAAAGCTTATTGTGGACTCTCTGTCTCTCATGACCTTATCAGGAGAGATGAATGGAGAGAAGGCCATGCGGATGAGAACCAGTACTGAGTGATTTTTACGACACGTAAACTTCATGCAATGGCACGATGTGAACACTACGCCAAACACTCTTTTGCTCACAGGATCTCCTGGATCGGGCAAATCATCGATATGCCAGGTCACTCGATTTTTCCTTAAAGCTTGGCATCAGTCCGAAATTGAGATCTGCGTCGCGTATTTGGCCCTTGATTCCTTTCAGAAGGAAGAGTTAACGGTGTCCGAAGCTTTATCCAACATTGTACAGCAGATGATGCTGGAACGCCCATATCTCATGGATCATGTCAACACGTTGAAATTCACAGGTGGTCAACTATCACGAGCAGAGAGTATCGATGTTATATGTCGATCAAGACATGACCTCAAACAGTTTTATCTTATTCTGGATGGGCTAGATGAGTGTGAAAATATGGGTAGAGAGCTTTTCGAGGATTTACTTACCATTGAGCCACCTCTCAAAATTTTAGTTGCTACACGACCAAATCGGGGCATTATGATGACCTTTCGAAATTGTGTTATCATAAATTTGAACATGCCCATGTCGCTTTCTGGCCATCTTGAATACGTGATCACATTGCTTGAAAAGGACCCTCGCATATTCGGATATCTTGATCATAATCACGATAACGTTGCTAATGCGGCCAAGATTATTACCGATAAGAGTAACGGAATGTACGTTGCCCTGGGTTGTCCGAGGCGTTTCCCATGGCAAATAGATCACAAATTTAGGATTACTGACTCTCAATAGCAATATACATACCAATGCAATTGTGAACTCTTTAGCCCAGGCAGAAACTAGAGCGGCTTTCGAACTGTTACTATACGACCCACCTTCGTGCCTCCATGACATGTACAAGTTGATGCTTGACAACGTCCTTCAGCAGCCAGCGGAATTTACAGCGTTTGCCAAAAAGACTTTGAGGGTAATGCTACAGGCTAGTAGCCCAGTGAGCATAAGCCACTTGGCAAAAGCTTCAAAGAAAGAGTTGGAAAGTATCTCATACAAACTGCATCTTGGAAGAGATCCCACCGAGGGGGAAATATTTGAAGCATGTGTCTCAAGTTGCAAAGGCTTTGTGTCTGCTGCTAGCTCCACCGATGTTGGGATGCGATTACAACTTTTCCATTTCAGCGGCAAGGAGTTTTTACAAGTGAATGGACTACCTGAATAGCAAGTGGTTCTTATTAACTTATATTTATGAATAGAATTATCTGTAGATTGAATTACAGTACCATGAGCATGTCTTCCTGTTCTCTTCAGTTTCATTCTCGACTTCCTATACATAAACTATCCTTAATTCGTGTCGTTTTTCCGCGCATTTTAATGTTGGCACTATTAGGGACAATCGAAAGTCTTGGAATGAGATATTCTCAGAATAGTTTTAATGCATTGGACTCCGTCAAGGTTCTCAGTGAGCTGTGCCGCAATTAGCAGGCACGTGAGATGCCGTGGGTGGTGGGCGCCTGAATGCCTCCACGTGCAATTCAGGCGATGGTTAGTGCGATTCAGAATTTCCAAGAATTAAAGTCATTAGCCAAATAACTGAGATACAACGTGTAGCTTCGTTGACATATCGTGTATAGTATTTTAGCTATTCTGGAGATAGTGGTCCAGAAGGATAGATTGGATGCAAATTCATGGGGTAAGTGTTTCTAATTGGCAGTGATGGGTGCTGACGTGTTAATGTATAAGTTTCGTGTAATATACAATATTATACGTAATGGAACTGTGCTGGAAGTAAATGGCGTCTATTTTTAGAAAGGTGGTATCTACGCAGCGTAAAGTCTCGCCAAGTATGAGTTAGGGTGGTTTCGGTTACATGGAATCTGTTTCAAAATCTGCTGTACGCTTAACTGTACTTGGTTACGCCGGAACGGCCCCCCGCGCCGCCCTCGGCGGCCCTTCTGGCACCCGCCCCTGTCGATGGCGAGGGCGCCTTGTGCCCCCCGATGCCCCGCCTGGCCCCCCGTGCCCGCGCTAGTACCCCCCAACTGGTCAGGTTGGGGGTGTCGAAAATCGGCCTAGCAGCATTGAGTCTTGTGATGCATGAGATTTCGAGGGCTCCGTAAAATACTGTAAATCTATGCAGAACATTCTAGGTGGGGCGCCTGAAAGGGGAGGGGTCGTTGCCCTAGCGATCGGGCTTGATCTATGCTGGCCGTACTCCTGTTCTTCCCTTTCATGTATGAAAGATGTACGGAACCGGGGTCATGATTGGACAAACATATTTCCAATAAATTTTGGAGTGCATTAGCTGAGCGGTTGGAAGACCAATCGCAGATGAGTAGCTAGCGCTGACCATCTGCTTAGCTGTTCGCCGGCTTTCTTTTAAGATGGCCGTCGCCCTCGAGCCCTCTTAAAATCCAATTTCGTTCACAAATTTACCCGAATTGATATCCCATCTTTGCGAGATCCTAACGGTCGGCTGCTTTGAATCATGGTAGGCCTTTTGTATATCAGGATGGCGACAAATATCGTGTACTAACAATTGACGTGACTTCGCAGCCTTTGAGACAGCTCCTTCCAACCAATGACCCATCAACGCTGGATCAGGAACTTGAAGTCGAGTAGGTTGGCCTCTTCGATTCTATCATAAGCTGCTAACAGTATATAAAGTATTATTGCTGTTCATGACCTTAATCCCCAAAGTAAATCTGAAACAGAACACGCATGGGATACGTGGAGAGCTCCTGCTGGGAACGACGGCCGGCTATGGCTTCGAGACGACTTGTCAACCACGACACCGCATGCGAGAATTATGTTATATGAATACGATTCTACGCTCTTTTTCGGTGATCAGAAGGGAAGCTTTTGTGATAAGGCCAACAGCTTTCTGGAGGATGTTCGAATCGCCAGAGAAGATGTAGGATCATCTATCTACATAATAAAAGGACTGAGCTGAATAATATTGCAGGCTCCCAACCGACCCTTGATACTGCTTGGACATAGCCTTGGAGGATTACTCATCGAACAGGTAACTCCGCTAAGTTGGAAAATGGTGACATAAGCTAAGAGAGATTCAGTCGTTGATTAATGCCTATAATTCTTCCGATATGCAATATAGCGCGATCCTTCAAGTAACGTACGGAAAAAACTCAAGTTACTGCGGGGATGTACTAATATCACTAGGACTGGGCTTTGTTTCTTCGCTACACCACATGCTGGAGGTTCCACTGGCCTGGTAGCATTAGGTGCTTGTGCCAGCAGAATTGCGATGGCTCTCAACTTCAAGCATGACGACACGATAATTGAAACGCTAAAAAGTGGGTCATTGTTTACGGATCTTTTGCAAGAACAGTGGCGTCACCGATTAGACCAATTCGATATTGTCTCCTTCTGGGGAAGAAGAGATAGTGTAAGTCTCACAAAGCCCGTTTATGGCAATACAGAAAATTTAATACCGTGTGATAAGATTGTCGAAAAGAAAAGTGCAATATTTGGGCTTTCTGGGAACAAAGAGCGGCAGATTTCACTTAACGCGGATCATAGCACGATCTGCCGATTTGGAACCACAATAGTCGATCAAGATAACTTGACGATCGTGAAGAGCAATTTGAAAGGCTTATATACAAGGGCACTGACAGCTGGTAAGATGAATTCGGATCTACTCATATCAAAAATGATACCGCATGTACCCGTGGATAACAAGGGAGCCTTTCGAAGAAATTTGCGATACGCTTGAGTTGAATCAAAGATTGTATGGGTCGTTTCCTTTAAATGGGCAAGCTCATTTTAATTTCAAGCAAACGTTTCTTTTTAAGGCTTCCAAGGATATTTGATCCACACGCAGTAACAAAACATAGATGAATATTGTGCTAACCAACTGATATGACAGCCAACCCAAAAAGACCTCCTTGAGCTTTCTTTGATGGAAATACTCGAGCTAATCAAGAACAAAGACGATCTTTGCCAGACTATATTGCACCATTCCAACAGAGATGCTACCCTAAGTGCGACGAGTCTACGAAGCACTCAGACTAGCATTCATACTCAGCTTGGGTTGGCTCTACTAGCTGCGACTGCATTAACTTACTCTGCCTCCGGAAGTGGGCTTGGTCTTGGTTTAGCTCTCCCTGTGAGTGCTGTTGGTCTTTCGGCTGTATATAATAGGAGCGTTATTCGGAATGACCACAGCCTCCATTCTTCTTTAGAAGACGTAAAGAATGTCTCTCTTAAGATGGAACAGCAACTAATGGAGGCTCATCAACGTACCGACCTACTTAGAGAATACGAAAAACTCCAGCGGGAGCGACAGGAATTGGAGCAAGAGCAAGGAAGACATCAAAAAGAGAAGGAAGATTGGGTAGCAAAGATGAGAGAAGCAAGGGAAAATCATGACGCAGCTGTGCAACAAATATTGGATCAGGCAGTTCAAGCAGATGAACTACTATCGAGCATGAAGAGAAACTACGAAGAGGCTGAGGCTGTAACAAGATGTGAGACAGGATGGACTTCAATATTTTCAGCCGCAAAGGCTTTCATTGTGAGAGGAGAGAGAATCTAGGAATCTACGATGAAATAGTAGATGCTGGAAAATCTCTAGATGCGTGGAGAGAGGAAGAAACTATCTACAGGCTATCTGGGACTAAAGGCTAGGAGCAAACAGAGAGAGGGGGTCACGTGATCTCTGACACCCCCCACGACTAGCACTTAGTCGTCAGAAACAGAAACTGCATAGTAAAGAACCACCTTCTCCATGAAAAACCAGTCGTTTGTAACCTTCAATAACCCCCCATTTTCAGTATGTAAACTGGAATTCATGCATTTTTATAGACCAAAAGGCCCATATTTGCAATCCATCTCTTGAACATGATCTTGCCGAGGGGTTTGGTTAGGCCATCAGCGGCCATTTCAGCAGTAGGAATTTTGACGAACTTGATAGTGCCGGCAGCCACTTCTTCACGAAGTCGATGATACCTGATAGCGATGTGCTTCGTGTTCGCATGGAATTCAGGATTCGAAGCCAAAGCAATTGCACCATTGTTATCGGCATAGATGGGAATTGGCTTCACAAGAAAGCCAGGAATACCGATTTCCGTTAATAGTTGTGTGAGCCAGATAGCTTCCTGCGTAGCAAGAGCTTCTGCAATGTATTCACTCTCTGTAGTAGAGAGCGCAACACAAGATTGCTTTTTCGACGTCCACGAAATAGCTCCACCCCCTATTTTGAAGATAAAGCCAGAGGTCGATAGGCCTTTTTCAGCATGGGGGCCAGCCCAGTTAGTATCACAATAGCCATATAGAGAACAGTCTCCATTCGCTTGGAAAGAGATAGCGAGATGCTTTGAACTAGTAAGGTACCGGAATACCCTTTTCAATGCTTGGAAATGAATCTCACCGGGATTCTTAGTATGCCGAGCAAGCTTAATCACCATAAAAGAAAGATCTGGCCGGGTGGAAACCATCAACTAGATGAGAGTGCCGATCTTGGTTTGAAACTCCTTGATTTCTTGCTTTATGGTAGCGCCATCAAATGGGATAAGAGCTTGTTTCTCATCTATTGGGGTAGCCACTAGCTTACAGTTTTCGAGGCCAAAGCGGGTGAGAATTTGATCAATATAGTTAGATTGAGATAGGTAAATAGTACTATCATTATTGATACTATTATCATACTTGCTATAGTAGACATTGATCGCCAGATATCGTTCGAGAATGCCTTTATTAGAGATATCAAAGTGCTTAGAGATAGCAGCTTTGAAAGCTTGAATCTCTGTTTCAGATGGTGAGAGAACCAGAAGATCATCAATATAAACCATAATATAGAGTGGAGTCTTGCCATGTTTGATAAAGATGGAATGATTAGATTGAGTGCGGACGAATCCTAGAGAGATTAGTACGTCATGAAGAAGATGATACCACTCTCGGGGGCTTTGTTTCAGTCCATAGATCGTCTTCAAGAGCAAGCCGATCTTACCAGGATACTCTTCTCGCTGTCCTTCTGGAAGCTTAATCTCAATTGGCTCTTTCAATTCAGTATAGAGAAAAGCTGTCATGATATCAACATGGTGTAACAGCCAGCCTTTAGCTGTAGCAATGGCAGTAAAAATCTTGAAAGTCATCGGCTTTGCCATAACGGTATAGACTTCATGGAAGTCTAAATCCTTGACTTGGCGGAAACCACGTGCGATAAGACGAGCTTTATATGTGCCATTATGTTTTATTTTAAACACCCAGCGAAGTGAGAGAGGCTTCTTTTTACCTTTCTTTGATGATCTGTCGATGATTCTCTAGGTGCTATTGAGAATTTGGCGATGTAGTTCTTTGTGTGTAGCAGCTAGCCATTTGTCTTTCTCGATACAAGATATGGCTTGTTCCCAGCCATTTGGTTCAAAACTAATATCGTTAGGCGTTAATATGGAAGGGGCATATTGATCCTTGAATTTGGAAGTAGCTGCGGAAAAAAGATTGATAAGAACTTCTGGGAAGTCAGCTAGTAGTTGTAGAACATTGGCATTAAAGAAGGATTTGCTAGCAAGGCTGTCAATGTATGCCTGGCTAGGCTTCTTGATTCTTGTGGAGCGACGTAAACCTTGATCTTGGTCTGTCGAAGCTTGAATTCTGGCTTTGAAGCTTGGATCAGTCACATTGTCCGGAATAGGATCTATGTGTTGGAACGATAACGATGGTCCCTGTTGAGATGGTAATGCATTATGTTGAAATGGTGATTGATTATGATGAGGTCGTGAATCCTAGGAAAAATCCTTATTGACAACAACCCGGGAAGGCAGTTGTGGCTCGACGAGAGCCCCTCGCCTACCTACTTTAAAGTGGGCACCTTGTTCCACCTATTGTGCCTCCATATCCGTACCAAAACTACCCGCCATTCTAACATTAGTATATGAATTTAACCAGGCAAGATCTTCTTTAAAGAGCGTGGGATTCGACGGATCGAGAGCATTAGACGGGCGAGCGTTATCTTCATCGTTAGTATCTTCGACGGAGGGAGGAGGAGGGGAAACCGAGTCGTCTCGTATATTAAAAGGATTGTTAAGGTGAGGTTGTAGAAAATCAATGGGAATATAACGATCCGATGCCGATTGAGATCCTTCGTGTGGAACCATGCTAGCAATATTAAGATTATAAGCTAGATCTGGAAGCATCGCTGGAGAGGGGTTTTCATTGAAAATGACATTGCGAGAACGTTCGATCTTCTTAGTGCGCACATTGTACAGCACATAGTTATCTCCTTCGTTATAAGCAATAAGCCTGGCTTCTTCCATGTGAGAGTCCAGCTTTGTTGCACGCTTTTCCTTTGGAATTAGGAACCAGCATTAACAACTAAGAGCGCGAAGGTTAGAGAGATCGGGCTTCTTGCCGTATAAAGCTTCGTAAGGAGATATGTCGATCTTTGAAGCATAGAGCCGATTCATAGTGTAGTTGATTCCACTAAGAAGATAGCCCTAAAGATATTTTGGAAGCTGATACTCGCTCATAACAGCAACCAAGGGTTCCACAAGATGTCGATTCTTAATCTCTGCCACGCTATTAAGTTGTTTCGTATAGGGTGGGGTTGGATCCCAAATTGTCCCTTTCGACGACAGATAAGTGGCAAGTGGTTTGTGTTTAGGAGTATCATCGCCATGAACCTTCTTCATAGTGTAACCAAACTGTGTTTTTAGGTACGTTTCAAGCTGAATATACACTTCGGTGATCTGAGATCTTGACTTGAGAAGAAACAGCTAGGTGAAACGGGTGGCATCGTCGGTAAAGGTCACAAAGTAGTGTTCACCACCATATGAGGCGATTGAGATTGGTCCCTAAATGTCGATATGAAGAAATTCGCCAGGCTTCGATCTGATCGATCTCTCCTTGCCAAAAGGAAGAGTATGGCCCTTACCTTTTATATAAGGCGGGTAAGGAAAGGTGACACTAGCACCCTTTTTAAGCTTGATGCCTTCTATATAAGATTCCATTTTACGGACTCGATTCTCACCGGTATAACAAGCACGACGATGTGCTAAATCAATTGAGATTGGGGTAGGCGAGCCTTTATTGAGAGCGAACACTGAGTTTGGAGAACCGGAAATAAGATCTAGATGACAGACTTGACTGTAATGTAGCATCTGATCCACTTTGTCGACACCATTGCAATTCAGCTAGTAATGTTCACCTTCGTAGGTGGTAAAACCAATGGTAGACTCTGTAGAACCGGTAGCATCTTGATGCTTAAAGGTCATTAAGCCATTCTTCACCTAAGTGCTAATATCTGCTTTGTTAAGAGCAGACATTGAGATTAGGCTAGATCGTAGATCTGGCGTAAGCCAGACTTTCTGGAGGATCAAAGGCATCTCCAAACGATTAGTTGAATCCTGATTTAGGAGCTGTAAAATGATATCTCTATATCCTTCTGTGTAAAAAATATCACCTGTCGCCGTAGAAATAGGCAAAACACATTCTCTGAAGTTAATAAAAACAGATCTGTGTGGCGTCATATGTGTAGAGGTGCCGGAATCAATCATCTAGCGCGAGACATCGTTGTTGTCGTTGGCTAGTTGGCCCTGTTTTGACACAATGTGAGATCCTACATTTGTATAAAAAGCTTCTGCAGTTCTATTAAAAATGGCATTTATAAAAAGCGTATTGTAGCGAGCTAGAGGATCGCCGGAGGGGGGTCCTTACTAAGGACTAGAGGGAGCTGAGAAGGGAGCAAAGACTGCATTTGCACCCTATTGTGGTTGGCTTGAAATGATACGACCACTGCTGTCTATATGGCCAATAATCTGGCCGGGGATAGGGATAGGGACTTGTTGAATTTGAGGTTGTGGCTGCTGTATTGTGGTTGTATTAGCAGAGCCTTTAGGTTTCAAAGGACACTTTGACGAGAAGTGGTTTCCTATGGATTTATGGTGGGAGCAGAAAATAACATTCTCTTCTCGGACGAAGTCTGTCTTCTTCTTGGACTTCTCCTTGTCCTTGTCCTTATTGTTTGAATTGGGTTGAGTTCCACCCTTCTTGTCCTTCTTCTTGTCATTATTAGATGATGAAGCTTGGTTGGTGGAAGTGGCATTGGCAGATGTAGGGAGGGTCGGGTTGATGGAGCGGTTGTTAGTCTTTGCTTTAACGAATTCAACATAGACTCTTTCCATTAAGTGAGGATCTTTCTCATTAACTTTGAGATTTTGTAGAAAGGCGTGACAGCGAGCGTTTTCAGCAATTGCTTTCTTGAATTGACATAGTTCCATGACTGGAGTCATAGAGCCAGTAGTTGCAACGAGGTCTCGGTGTGCTTCTTGGAATTTGCGTATAAAATCGGAAGCGGTTCCGTTCTTGAAGCGCATATCCACAAATTTGTTATAGCGAGCATAGCTCTGCTGGTGAGAGGACACCATGTATGTCTTGCGAAGCTTCTTGAAAGCTTCACGGGCATCGGTAGTTTGAGAGATCAGAGAGGTGGCCTCGACGCCGAGGGTCTTTCTGATTTGAAGGCAGGCTCTGTTGTTGATAGTCTGCCATTTTATACAATTGGTATTGTAGTTCTTCCGAAGAGCTTTGTTTTCTTCAGTGATTTCCTTCACACGAGCGCGAATGTCAGCGGGAGTGATCTGACTTTCTGGTGTGCCATCCTCAATGATAAGGGCTTTTGCTTCTCTAGGAGAGTTATCAGCGAAACATGGAGGAAGTGGTTGATCGATACCATGAGAGATCATACGGGCATAGTAACGATTGTTGGCAGCAAGTGCCAGATACAGGGCTGTTTCCCAGTCTCTGTAGTTTGACTATCCCTTCAGTTTTGGGACGGAGTCAGCGATATCAATTTCATGACTTCCGACCTCGAAGTCTTCGAGATCAAAGGTTTCTTCCATATCGTCGAATCGCTAGCACCGACGGAGTGCTAGTTATCGATTTCCGGAAGGATTGTGGGGTTGTCGAGCGATGATTCGTCGACGACGGTGGATCCACTTCAGATCGGGATCCAATGGGGTGGTTAGTTGGAGTTTTAATTCCAACCAGGGTAGTCGAGATGTCGATCTCGGCTAGTTGTTATGTTGTGAAAACTCTGATTGGTGGGACCGGGATGGGACCACGCAGATTCCACAGTGGGGTGGTGCGACGCAATGCACCAATTGGAGGAAACAGAGGCTTTGAAGCTTGCAGTGTTGTAGAGGCTTCAAAAGCACGGTGCTCATAACCTGAGGGAGAGAGAATCTAGGAATCTACGATGAAATAGTAGATGCTGGAAAATCTCTAGATGCGTGGAGAGAGGAAGAAACTATCTACAGGCTATCTGGGACTAAAGGCTAGGAGCAAACAGAGAGAGGGGGTCACGTGATCTCTGACACATTGCTTACTTGGCCAGATGGCTTTCATAGGAAGATCAGAGGAGCGAATTAATGCACAGTTGACAATGGCAATCCAAGTGATTCACGGTTCCTGATGGGATTTGAATACTGTAAAAGCACGGGAACCATGACCAATGAAATCACAGGCTCGCCTGACTGTACCCATTCCAGCATACCGCCTCCTCCTTAATAGGCTACAAGAACGCCAGGAACTTAATCTCAGATGATCACATCGATAGGTCGATTACTTGATCGTGTTGTAATTCAGATGTAAAAATTGTATTGTTGTTCAGAGGGAAACATAAGGCTATATATACAACGTGAAGACCAAGTTGATTTCCAATCTTCGTATAGATATCTCGGGATTAATTCCGATGGTTCGGCTTGGTTCCTGATCTGCACCAGCCTCATATCATAACACTATGTCGTTTCTGTGTCTCAGACCCAGCGATATGCTCCTTTCAACAGAGCAGACCCGAGAGCGCTCCAAGGGTGTCCTATCCCACGACCCTATTGTCCACTGATTGTAGGATCGGTCTTGCAGTCGTGTGTCGGGTGGTTTTCAAAGTGTTCCCTTGTCGCCTGCCGCTAGGGTTACCCCTGACCCCTGAGCTCTCGCTCTAGCCGTAGCCCTAGCCAGCGGATAATGCTGGCCGGTGGTGACTCTTCTTAGCTCTGTAAATACCATCCAGGCTAGGTATTCACAGGTTCCCAGCCGGCACCACGGGGAGGTGAGAGTCGTCGCCGGCCACGCACTCTACAGTCGTTCTCGAGATCGGCTTGACCAATATACACAATATAACTATTTTCTGGACCCACAGCCAATAAATGAAAGCCTCATTGCAATCATAGTAAATACGAGAAACCATCACGCCGCCGAGGCAGTATCTTCTGTCCGAGAGTTATACCATAGCCAGCTCAGATTCCTCCGCCGAACACCCTGCATGTACTTGGCTTGATCCGAAGAAATGTCTCGAATGCCATATGTCGGCATTGTTTCAATAAGTTGTCGAATTCCGCAATATATCATAGTGGTGATTGCACCCCCCAGGATGAACAGACCAACAACTAAGCTGCCTTTGTCATCGCTGTCACTCTTCATGGTAGCTGTGTAGGCCGTCGGTTTAACTGGTGCCTTTTTGGTTTCCATATTAGAGCTAGTTACTAATAGTAGTCCAGCTTAGGTTTAGACTCACAGGATCGACGATTGTATGAGGTTGTGGCTAGTCCGTAGTCCCACTAGAACTCAAGTTCAAGTTGCTTAGAGAGCGAATTTTTGACCCTTGGGAGTCTAGAAAGTGGCTCGGTCAAAAGGAGCATACAAGTAATAACTATATTTGTGCGCATTTCAGATCTTTTATTACCTTCTCGGATGGTGTTTATCCCTCAGTTCCCTAGCGTGATCTGACATCGTAGACACATGTCGCACTACGTCGGCCAATCATGTTATAGAGCGAGTATCCACTCCTTCCCACGTAACCTGAGACCCGCCCCCTCAGTTCGCCATTCGATCCTCTGCATTGACGTTTCACTCGAGCACACTTTATCGTCACGCCATCTCTACTGTGTATGGTACTGTGTATGGATTTATGACACTTTTACTCGGCTCTGTCCAAAATCGCTTCCACGTACCTCGGATATTTCTTACATTGGCTGGTCTTTTACCTTCAGAGCATGGAACCTACCTTTCGTCAGTCAATTCATCGATCTGTAAAACTGAAATCCCGAACAGGCTGTATAGCCTGTAGGTGCGTATTGATTTCCTCCACAGGGACCATCTAATGGACTATAGGACCCGCAAAGTGAAATGTGACGAGGAAAAGCCCTATTGCCTACGCTGTCGAACCTCTATCCGATCCTGCTCATATGACAATGCCTTCGAGGCGCCGGGCCCGGCATCTATTCTGCGTACTTACTCTCCGCTTGACCTATCTCTTCGAGAAAATCGAGAAGAAGTAGCACTTAAGTACTATTTTGAACGAGTCGGTCCTGCGATCGGAGGCTGCTTTGATGTCTCCTTTTGGCAAGGAATAGTCCTAGAGACTTGCCGCTCTGAACGAGCAGTATGTGACGCCATTATTGCTATCAGCGGGCTATACGAAGATGGGGACCGCCTTGCTCGTACATCAACGGTATCTACTGCAACGGAACTAGGGCCCAAACAACGCGAAGCACTCAGGTGGTATTGCCGATCAATTTCCCAAATGCGTCGGCAGATTAAAAAAAATGCCACTGATATGTATATCGCGCTTGTGACCTGCATCCTATATATCTGTATCGAGACTCTCCAGGGTCATTTTGAGAAAGCCCTACATTTATATGACCAGGGTGCTAGTCTCATCGCAGCTCTGCCTGACAGAAGAGATGCGTCTTGGAATTCGTCAGTCCTGCGAGATGTTATTGTCCCATTATTCCTCCGGCTGGGTACATTCGCGTTGGTAACTACGCGGTATCCGATTAAAAATTCGTCGGCAATTATTGCATTCAGGGAAACTGCGCTTTGTACCCCCGACGATTATCGAACAACGATCATCTCGCTAATAGCGGAAACGATGCTTCTCCAAAGAGAAGCAAACAGACAAACCCGTGCTGGAGAGGTCGTGAGCAGGTCGCCCCTATTCCAGTCGCGTCAATGGGATCTTCAGTCCAAGCTCCAGCGGTGGAGGGTCGACTTTGCCATATGGGGTGAAAAGGACTCCTCGTTCGCAAGAACAGCTTTTGCAGCAACTCTATTGAGTTGGCACGCAGCCATATCAGTCATGATTTCAAGTTGCCTTAAACAACATGAGACCGAATATGATATGCATTTTGGTCAATTTCGGTCTATTGTTAGCTGGTCAAAGCGTATTCTAGATCTCTCAGCGACACCAGGTCGATCACAATCACCGTTCACATTCGAAATGGGCGTCGGCATGCCTCTATTTTTCACCACTGTTAAGTGCCGTCATCCGACCCTACGCCGAGACGCACTGGATCTCCTTCGACAAGCGCCTTCGGTACAAGGTTTCTTTAACTGCCCATTATGGGCTGCTCTGGCCGAGAAGGTCCTTGAAATTGAAGAGGGACGGCTTTCCGAAGTAAGGAAACGCGTACTGCTGAAAGGAAGGCATCTCAGTTTGCCTCCGCGCGAGGACGAACTGGTCATGGTTGCGCCTGAAGAGTGGTACCCGTCCACTGCCGACAGGCAGCAAGAACTTATTCCAGAGAATTACAGAGTCCATGATTATGGAACTTTTCGTCTAGCCAGTTCACGCCTTCGAGATGGTCTGAGCTCAGACGAAGCGAAAACGTTTCTTCGGTTTACGCGAAACAGACGAAGTGCGAAGGGGGAGTGGTATTTAGAGGAGCTTTTCTGCATGATGTCTTGAATAGCGGTTACCGAGGCTTATAAGGTCTGCACGCTGGATACGTTGGCAGCAAGAGTTATCCTTGCCATTGTTACCCAATGGCTGTTTACAAACCCACATCTATCCATTTTGGCTTTAGCGAGAACCTCACTCTAGGTTCTTCAACTATAGCCACATCCATGACCGACTCGAAGATTACTCTTCAACACATATACATATAGGGTCGCAAGTTCCTGCGAATATTTTTGATTGTTTGTTCACTGCATGTAGCTGCTGGGCTTGCACCATTTCACGAATAAAGTGTAGCCTTGAGGAGGGAAGTCTTGGTGCCATAAAGCCCATATGATTCTAGCAATTCTGGAGATAAGAGGTCTTTGCGGAAGGATAGATATATATTAGGTGGGAATGAGAGTGGAATGGAGGGGCATCAAGGTCGCAGTGTATAGACAATATGTGTAATATACAGTATTTTACGTTATTCTATCGTTCTAGTTTTTTAATGGGTCTATTCTTAGGAAACGATTATCTACAGCCTTTCCTTATACAGACTAGCGTATATGTATTACTTTTTTTGGACCCATGGGTTTACCCACGACCCGCCAAGGGCCGGTGAGCCTGTATACTACAGAAATACCATTATAATACCACATAGAATATAGGGGTGATATTGTATATATTAGTGTCATTTAATTTTCTTACCGGGTTTTGAGTCCGGGGCCGAAATCCGACCCGCGACTTTGGTGAGGTCTACGTCTAATACTCCCCAGATCATAGGATTTTATACACCGCTCCTTCTTAGTGAGGTGGGTGGGCATTTCTATAGGTCCAAACATCGAAAATTAAAGCTTTTATAATTCCGGGGACAGGCACAACGAAATCTCGTAGAGTAAGGGAGGCTGAGCTCGTGGAGTTTAAAATCTTCGCAGATTTAGAAGCAATTAACAATGTACAACGTTAAGATACAAGTACGAAAGTCGCCACACCACGCCACACCATAGGGAGCTTAGAGATTCAACGCAAATCTACCAAACAAGACGACCGTTCGGTTGGCAATCTGACACATTTCTTCGCTGGTTCCTATAGTTACTTGATTGTAAAGAGTCCGGTTGTTTATCTATTGTTAGGTTGACATGCTTTACTCTTATATGACCTCCTTACACAGCATCCGTAAGTGTCGCGTGACTTTCTCATGGCTATCCGAGCCAATAGGAAAGCAACATAGGTCGCTTCGGTTGGCGCTAAGGCGAACTTGGGCTTCTCGGTTGCCTACTAAATTCAATACCGCTGAATCGAATAGCATAATCTAGAAAATCTATTAAAGACCTACATTTAAAGACTAGAGAATCTACTCCGACAATTCGTTTCTCACCTAATCCTTTTCACCGTAAAATGACACAAATTTATAGTCCTCAACTTAGTGACGAAATGCGCTACCGAGTGGTTCCAAGTCAAGTTGTAGGCTAGGCAACCTCTTTCTTATATCGCTGCGGAACAGATTCGAGAAAATTGGTTTTAGCAACCTAGTACGACCCTAATTGATTCCCTTATAAGGGGTGCCAAAGAAAACAAGCCCAGACCTTCTACCGTTAGCGTTAAACGTTCTTCATTCGTGAAACAATAGCGGGACCCACGTCGCATATTTTATCTCGGAATAAATAGATTCTGCCGATGCGTGCACTAAAGCCTATCTATCTTATAAATAATAGTACTCTAACTCTTTTACTTAACTCACCTATTTTATTATAACGCCTCCTAGGCCTTAGCATAGGAATATTATCCGCGAATCCTTTTTTTTTCTTAGCCCCTAAACGGTTAAGTGAGTTCTAGAAAGCGATAATACCCACCCTAAAAGACCATTAAGGTTGGCACAGTTATTATAACATGACCTTCGCTTCTTTTTAAAAATCCTTAGAACTGCTACAAAAAGTGCGAATAGAGTCGTATTCGTAAAGAAACAACCGTACTCCCTAAGAGCTATCTCGGAAAGACAAGTCTTAAAAGAAGGCTTTTAGCCATCCTTCAGTGGGCTACGTGTTAGACGGTTGCTACCACGAAGAGTTTAAGCACTTTTCATCTACATCCATAAAGTCAAGGCCATAGACAGCTATCACGCTACTTATAGTGTAAGCCTTTACGGGAGTTAGGGTAAGCAAATTGTATCCTACTTTATAATATTTCGACCCAGGTCACTTTTCGATTCCGGATAGATTTGGCGTAGGGTCTTAGATAGTTGGTTAGCAAGCAGGCTTTAGTTAATATTAGCCTAGGGCTAGTGAATTAGCTAACTTACCATAACAAAGTCGGGACAAAACAAATTTGTGTAGTAGTTTTCAGATTTAAAGATATTTGGCAAGAATGATCTCCCACGGCGAGGAAAGAAGACTTTATAGTTTATCGTTAGCCGTAGAAACCTTCGCATAACTCATAGTGCTGTAAAATGGCTTCCTAGGAGCCAGGTTGAAGGAACTTTCTACCTACAGATAATCTACGCCTCGATATTAGTTCCTAGGAGTGTGCATTGATTTCTAAGGAGCAGAGCAACATTAGACCAATATAATTCTGAACTTCAGCACCTCGGCTAATCTACTAGCACGATTCCTAGGAGAATATGGATAATAAAGATCGATATAGGACCAGTCATACTTTCTCGTGGAAAACAGGGCCCAATCATACTTCCTACGAGCTTATACCCTTCTAATGTTATTGATCTTAGACGCCTTCATTTTCCCGATTCTTACATATAAATACATCTATATAGCCCTCAATATCCCGACTAGCTCAAAAAAAAAAGGGTTTCACGCGCTAAGTGCTTCCGGAACTAGTTGAAGTGAGTTTCCGGGGAATAGGTGGCTCTTAATGGCCGTCGATAGTTGTGGCGCCTTAGATCTTTAAAGTCCAGAATAAATAATCCTTTTTCACATTTGAACGAAGGGTAGCATTTTCAAAAAGGGCAAATAAATCAATATCCCTAAATTTTATATAAGACGATCCACTACCTAAACGAAAAACGCCTATTTTTAACCGCTCGGCCAATAGGTGTATACCTCCTTAGCTAAGCTAAGTAACTACGGTGTATTTGTACGTATTCTTAAACTTGACATAGGGTCAAGGCCTAGAAAATATAACAGAATGGTGGACTTGCCATAGGTCTATCAAGAGGATAGTTTCTGGGTAGGCAGGGTGAAATAATTCTTCCAGCAGACTTGGGAGTGCCTGTGTATTATGAAATGCGCATGATCTGGAGTGGAGAGTGTTTTTTGGCTTACTTTTTTCGGCGTCTGAAAAAGAATATAAAATAATTATCAATTTATTCATCTTTTCAGCCAATTTGTAGTCGGATTTCTGAGACAATCCATTTGTTGAATCGCCGGCTGCAAATATTCTCTTGCTCGTTGACCTCTATGCTAAAACCATTAATGCATTGATTCAACGGTAAATATTGCCCGTATATTATAGGCCACAAGGCTCATATGTCTATCAGTATGATTGTAACTAGGTGTGGAAATTCAAAAATATCGGAAAGGCATGTAGTGCCTGGCGCCATGTACACGGAACTGGAAAGGAAGGCAAGCGATATCCTGGACGAGTTTGACCCTTCTATTTTTGCAAACTATTCTTAAGCAAATTCCTAGCTAGGCAAAGGCAAAAGCACAGGATGAGGCAATGGTACACACATTGTGGGATACAGGCGAGGCTAGACAGTGAAGAGGGTGGATAGAGAGATGTATATAATTGCGCTGTGTTATAGATTCTGCTATACATACTACCTACCTAGCCTACCTACATATGTATTTACCTAGTAAGTAGTACCATAATGTTTGATAAGTCTACACCTGCACTAGTACCTAGGTAGCTATACGTACCATATTTCCTCTGCCGGGTGGGGCTTTCCTATCTTAGCTGCCGCCGCTTTTAGGAGGGCGCTCAGAGTCAGGGGAAGGCTTCTCCTGCCTCCCTTTCTCTCTCTTTCTCTCTCCCCTCAAGTTCTCTATTAGCTGGCAATACAAGTGGTCGATTGATTGCAATTCCTCTTGTTCTCTTTCGTTGACAAGATGCCCAGGTGTTGGGGGTAGTGGCCTGACTTTACCTCGGGGGTTACATTTGACGCCCAGGCGCTAAGCGAGACATGAAGAGAATATTCAAAATATTCAAGCCCGTGGAAGTTCCTGGCCAACTAAATGCACCCACGTACAACACTATTGCAGGAACCATTCCAGGAACCATGCCCTGGAATCTACGTCCACCCAGTATCTTTCATGATGAGTCATGGCCTACACCATGGCGTTCATCTGAATTCCCACCCGAAGAAACTTTTGTCGAACGAATCAATCGACAGCATACGAAGCCAGAGTGGAAGTCTGTACCGCGCTTCTTAGACTTCGAGTCTAGTACGGGTGGAGGTTGGCCATAGGGATGGGCCATCTATCGCACCTCCTATCTCAACACTTCCGATCAAGACTGGGCCCGAGCTATTGAAAAGCTCGACGAGGCCTATATAGCCGACCTAGAGATTTACAAGCGCAGCTGGTATCGATTCGGCGCCACCTATATTGAAATGATCCGCGAGGGTTATCGGAATGTTATCTTTAAAGACCCCACGTTAGAGGGGGCGTCGGAAGCCGTCATCTAACGTCGATATAAACAATGGGTCGAAAACCATGGCCTCTACGTGTATAGTAGTGTTCCTCGCCTTAGTTACGCACTTTTGTTAGATGATCGTTATATACGATCAATCTTAGCTAGTGCGGCGCCTAGGAAGCTATCTACTATCGAACTAGGGCTACTATAGCTAAAGATTAACGACAAACCGGGGGGGATGGTCGGTTATATTAACTTTATCGACTCTCACTTCCGCCCCGAAGACCCGGAAAATGACTATAGAGAGTACTACTATGGATTGATCCGTGTTTATTTAGATTGTTTAGCCCAATTTGCTCTCTATTACGAGGATCTTAAGACTAGAGAACAGGAATGGGGTGAATATAGGATGGACACACCTAATAATGTATTTTATACAGATGACCATTGCTCAAACACTAAGTCGAAAGAAACGTTTCTTTCTTCCCCAGATAGGGATATTAAGAGAACTGCGAGTGTGACTAAGCTCGAGTATATCGAGCGCCAGGATATGGAGAACTTAGCATTGAGCAATGTGCCGGGTTCTACCTAACACTAGAATGACACCAATACCAACGGCTTTATTAGTCCCTACATGTTGGAATTTGAATTGTTTTGTGCGGAATGTTCGGAAAGAGGATGCATATGGTTATGGTGATGAAGACTTCGCGAAATTCCTTCTGGTTTTATATTGGAGACCATTGGGATGCTGATCTTTCATATAAAATAAGCGAATAGAGAGTATCTCGAGAATCATTTTCGTCACTGCATTATCAAACTGATGGTTCTGACCGAGAATATTGTAAAATTTGCGTAAACCGAGCCCTGGATCATCAGGCTTTAGCAATCGCTGCAGGTTTCCTTGAATGTAACCTGGAAGCCAGGTTTAATCTGCGGGGAGGCTTGAAAACACGTCCCTCATGACCCGTAGCATTTCAATAATAGGAACCTCCTCATCTAAGTGCTGTATCCTTTGCTTAGCAAGGATTTCAAGATCAGTCAGGCCCCAAGTCCTTGACGCATGGTAAACTAAACACTCCTCTTGTATTCTCTGGCGAGATCCGATGTGCCTTCATCAAGAGGCGAGCTAACTGTCTAGTAGCCGCCTGTGTATAAGAAGTGCACCACGGTATGCCCAACATCTTCATCAACATTTAGACATGATGATAGTCGATGATCCAAGACATGAAAGGGCGAGCTTTTGGTAATTCCGAAGGAAATGAGCGGGAATGCCATATTTCTTGCTCCCTATAATGAAGGTAACAAGAAGGAATTCGTAAGGCCAGTGAATAGGTCAGAAAACGCTGATCGTAACTCATTCAAAGAACTTACGATGTCAAAGGCCGATGATAGTCAATTTTGGGAGAGAGCTCTGGAGTGAGGAGTCGCCTAGGCACCTCATTCGACTTGCGCTGCTTCGTTTTCTTTTTTGCCATGTTTCAGTCTTTAACTTTGCCCGCTATAAAGTAACCCTCAGGAGATTTTCCAAGAAATATATGAAAGATAAAGATGAGAGAAAGCCTGACTACATCTAATATAGGCGGGGGATGCGGGAGAAGCAGGGTAATGCAAGTATGAGTTGTCCTGCAAAACGGCCGGAACACGTCATCTGTCCGGTGATTGGCAATGTAGTGTCAATTATTGAAATGCTGCATGGGTCAGTAGATGACCTGCTACCCTGGGAGGTTCGCTCTTATCTTTCTCCGCCTTGGAGGCGGCCCGATACCATCGCTCGTCCGACTAAGCGGACGAAAAGGGGGACCAGATCTTTGTAATTTAATAGGAAGGGATCCTAGGCTCATGAGATACCCCTCTTAGGATATGCGTAGACCTATATGACTTGAATAAGAGCGTACTACAGATAAGACGTATGGCACCCCGAGAGAAATCTAATAGGAGTGGTCCTGGGAGGAGAGACTGCTTTTGTCCCTATGATAGAGCCATGTAGAGTATCCTGGAGGTGGTAATATGAAAGGAAGTTGACAACAGACTATTTTCAGCTAACTCATTTCAAGAGTGAGGGTCATTTGGAAGGCCGAGAACAAGAGACCTCTTTTAGGGGTCTCTACTTATGGGAGAATCCTCTTGAGAGGAAATTAGTCACAGTACATCCCACCGAAGAGCCCCGGTGACATAGAAGGGAATATGTCATATGAGCTGGCTCTTGGTACCACTTCTCTCCTAGTCCAATCGTTCTAGGCTTAATCCAGTCTTGAGATAGTCTAGAGGCCACCAGGAAATGCGCCCGGTGGTTCTCAGCCAGATACCCACGCTGTCCCAGTGAGAGCTGGTGTCATTGGCTTATCAGCTGAAGGGTGAGTCCCCGAAGTGGCCTTCGATTCGGTGGTAGGCGATGAATACTTCAACCCGCGGGGGCCACTCCACCACAAAGTTTTCCACTTAACAGCCTAACTCCGTGCGTAAAACCAACGGTTTACTAACGGCATCTGTAGTTTTGGATAAAGGTTTTAGCGAAGCAGGAGCATAAACCATTTAGTAAGCGGCGCTGTTACGTTTGTATATCGGGTTTGAATTTTGATTACTGATCCCCGAACCGAGCCTCGAACCGAGTTTCGAACGAGCTTAGATTTCTGATCTGCCAAAGTTTGCCCCGTTAGCCATAGACAGAGGCAAGCGATGTCTCATATCAAACATAACTTGCCTTACACTCTTTTATTTATTAATCACCTTGCAGATCGACCCAGGTGATTATTGATCAATTCCCTTTACCCAAGCCGATTTTGATAGTCGGGGCCGTTATTGTAAAAATCGGGCACCTTTCTAACAATGATGTCTTCGGGCATATACAAATGTAATAGAAACAGAGCACAAATTTTCTCCCGCTGGGGATCAGCACGGCGATGTCGTACAGTAGGAAATTTAAAATTTGCCAACTTTATCGCTTTTGAAGCGGGCTAGAAGCTGATTTTTAAGGTGGCGATGCACATTGAAACTCGTGAAATTTGGGGTATTACGAGAAGTTCTTACCGTCATCAATCATGGTCATTATTTTCTTCGCTTCGGGTGATGGTACGACAGCCTTTTTCAGATTCTGCTTCGAGTACGGTGGTTTCCCAGTTGTTCTTGTATGGCGGGCGTATTGTATTATAAAAGATCTTCCAATTGGAAGATCTTCATCCTCCTAAGCAAATAGAACAAATGCGTTGAAATACAAAAAGAATTGTTGAAATAAGGAAAGGAGATGTTATAGATATCTATGGGAATCAAAAGGGTTAAGAATGATATCAGTAACGAATCAGCGAGCTCTGGATGGCTGAAGTCAGCTCGAAGGGCATCTTCAAAACATGAAGCAAGCAAAGCTCAATCAAGGCTCTTTGCGAAAATGGCTTTTGGATATAGCGTGCCCGATACATTGCGATAAACTTATTAAAAACGAAGTCGTCTTTAATGAGCTCCATGCGATTGGCGACGTCGATGCACAGGTTACGAGCATCACCTGGAAGGTACTCATCGGCCGTTGGAGACATCGAACTTACAACCCGAGGGACAAAAGCTTGCATCATGACGGCTAGGTAGTCTTTGTCACCTGCAGAACAAGGGTGGAGATCGTCTCTTGCGACGACTAGAACTGCGCTGCAAGGCAGAAGGTCAGCTTTATCCAATTTCTTCAAGGATAAGGTCTCGATTTACACGTAAAGAAATGAATCTGTTGCTTGAATTCCGATCCCCATTTGATGTCTGCTTATCAGTAACCATTTTGCAGAGTATATAGCAAAGTTTACCTGGGGACTTCAGCCACAACAAGAGCAGGCACCGAAACATTTTTTAATAGCCTTTCAACCAATGGCTTTGCTGGAAGACAGGTCTCGTTTTGACCATCCTTGCTATAGAAGACTCCATTGTTGAACTCGTATCGCGATGGGCTATCCTCGAAGTTTCCCCCGAATAGGCTAATTCATTAGACACGCTTGAGAGAAGTGGGCAAATATAGCCTACATTTCACCTTGGCCGGAAAACACCAGAATTTTGGCGTCGACGGACATCTGGGATGGAACAGGACTGTCTCCATGGTTTCCGTGGAAGAAAAAATAGCGTAAAGAGCCTTGCCCGTAGGAGGAATCCACCATTTTGTGTGATACTTGTTGCTGGTGCTGTTTCGAAGAGTTGAGTAGACGAAAATTTTAATTTAGCGGAGCGAGCCCAGCAACTAGTGTGCGGGGGTTCCGCCTACCCGAACCATTGCTGAGACAACAGCATACTAAAACATGGAGCGAGTTAGAAGGCTATAATTGGATTTCTCTATGCCATACGCCGTAGAATATATATTTAAATGGTTTCAAACCTCGGTTGGTGGGGCTATTGAAACCAAGAAACGGAGCCGTGGTCTGGTGGGGTCACATGTGTTACAAACGGATTTAAGTTCAAGGTTCCACCAGTGGACCATGTATTGATTGTTTATCTGATTGTTGATCGCGAGGCAGAGTACACAACAATCGACCAAAGGAACACCTGACAGACACCCTCGCCGGGGGAGATCCACTCCTGCCCATAGGATAGAAAAACAGACGAATGAGAAGGTACGCGTATTCTTCTAGCATTCGTTCGGGCACAGATCCACTACTTATCGGGACAACATTTGCTTTGTTGAACCACAAGCTAACGTACAACATGGACGCTTAGAAAGGCCATTATCGATATCTCTCTAGCCGCCTGGAGAGAATAGAGAATTTTGTTATCGAGAGACTCGGTCTCGAAAGCATCAAATCATCAGGTGATGAACACGCTATCCTTGCAGTGTGTCTTTAATGCTGACCAGGTCTTATTGTCACAGTAGACGGCAATCAGAATACCACCACCACACCCTTTCTCCCGATTGACTTTGAGAAGGCCTATGCGTTGACCAAGCCGACATTTCTTTGCAATGGATTCCCGTTCAACTCGCCCGAAGGCCAGCAATGGATAGCCACGTGGCTGGACAGGAGTAATCTAACCTCGCTTCTAGAGGGCGCGGGATTATTTCTACAAAATCAGCCTCAGCTTTCAAAAAGTCCGGACAGCTCCCTGGGACATTCGCTGAGATTACGTCAGAGCCACATGCCCGATGAAGCTTTTGTGAGGCGCTGCCTTGCATTGTATAGGTCGAAGTCTCTGTTTCTCGCATTTCCAGTCATCGATCCTCTACTTCTCGAAGAAATTATCACAGAAGCCTATTCATCGCGTGCCTCAGAGGGAATCCGTAAAACCTGGGCGACTAGTGTTAGGCGCCGGTGTTTGAAGTCATTGCTTGGCTAGCCAATCTCTGATCGGATACTGTATGCGAGCGGGTACTAAGATTCTCTTCTCTTTAACTAGGCTATGCAATGCTTTTTTTCTCTCCTTGTCTCCTAGCTGTTTAAGGATAGAGATACAATGGTGTGGGGATACACCACTCTATACTCCAGAACCCCCCGCTCCTTCCTCTTCGCCGTCGTTGCCAATGTTGGCCCCGGTGGCGCCAGCCGCCCCCTGGCCGTGGCCTACCGCCAGGGCTGCGACCGCACCACTGCACTATGGCCTCCGGAGCGCGTACACCGTTTGGTAGCAGACACTCTCGCGCTAATCGAACTCCTCTCGGATCCTGCAAACCGCGCGCCGCTTGAGGCGGAGAGAGCACTCGCGAAGGACTGGTATCGTCGGTCTAAAGGGGGGCAACGAGGCTCATATTAATGAGCGGCCTAGCGTTCCAGACTCGCCACAGCCTCCTTTCGTCGTGCCTGACGGCCGCCATAAGAAGCAGGTGCCACCACGGCCCCAGTTGCCGTGGCATGATGACACGCTTAGCGAGTTCCCCTTTATAACGACGTGCCTTCTGCTGGGCTTATTGCGCGACGATAGCGATGCCATTAATAGCAACAGCGCGCGCCCCGGCGACGTCCAGCTCCAACCGCTATCCACTATGTTTCGCGGCGACTGCACCGAGTACGGCCTTGTCGTTATCGACATATCCGACCTCGATAGCGGCGTGAAGTATGGTATTGTTGCGTTCCGTATGCACTATATGGCCGAGGTTCGGTACCGAGCGAGGTCGATGGGCTGGGATCCCGTCGAAGATGAGCCGCCTTTAAAGGAGCCTGACGTTGTACTCGAGAGCTCGCGGCCTCGAGTGCCGCTATCTATTCATCAGTGGCTACGCAAGTACCACATCTACGAGAACGTGAAAGAGGACCCTAGCATCCTCAGACTAAAGGATAGGCCGCTTGTTGATGCTGCAGCCTTAGACTGTACGTCTGTTTTCACGTTACCTATACACCTGCGCTGACTTAGGAATGATAGACATTTGGCCATCGGAGCTTGAAGGTCAGGATACAGTTAAAAGCAAGGCTGAAGAGATTTTGCAAGGTCTCCTCTCAAGCAGTTCTGACTGTCTGTGAATTCCTCGCGCTTCCCCATACTCAAACATATTTACACATATTTGCTGACTTGTGAAAACAGACTTTCGGCCATCAATGCAAACCACCCGCACTGAGGATGCATCGACTACAAAAACTGCCCCGCGCTGGATCACGTCACAAGAGCCTTTGCGGAATGCGCACATCGACTGTGCTATTGATAATTTGCTTCTTCTCACCCAGGAGCCCACCGAACCCCCCTTCGAGAAAACGGTAAGCGACAACCTCCAAAAGCTCGCCGAGTACCGCGAGCAGCTGCGGCAGCGGCTCGAAGAGGTGCCAGACACCTTAGGTCCGTCCGAGATCTCGAGCTACATTTTGCGTGTTGCGTACGCCGGACGCAGTCACCTTAACTGGGTCGTGTTTCAGAACCTTGCGCCCAGCGTGATTGCTGCTGCCATTGCATCTGATGAACTTCGGGACGCGTCTGCGGTCAGCCTTTGCGTCGATCAGTTTAGGCTGGAGGGAGACGAGGGAGAGGGAGACCTCGGTGATCTCGCAACGGTCCTTGCGCAGACCACGGCCCTCAAACAGCTGTGTTTTTTGCAGCGACCGGACCGGGATAGTGACGATGCCTCCGCTCGTTTCTGCTCCCAGCTGCTGCTGCTGTGGGGGAGGGCATCAGGAGGAGACCTGGAGTGGCTCCGCACCAAAACCATTTATCCGACCTCCGCCTTTTCAACATCCTTACGCAGCCGCGGATTCCTAACATCGTCCTTGACTATCAGTCTCAGCTTCACTTCCCCCGACGCCCTAGTCTTTCCCGTTGTACACATGTTCACGCTTGTAAATCACCACCGCGAAGATGGCCCAGACGTAGCCGCAGACCACCACGTCCAGCAATACCAGAATAGTTATAGTTATAGTTACAGTTACAGTGATTACTACGCCATGGAAAATACCCTGCTAGACGCTGAGAGCTTCGCCGTCCGGTTCCTGGCATATCTTCGGTCCTTGGGTTCGGGTTCGGGTTCCGAGAAAGCTATCTTGCGATTCGCACATAAGGGGGCCTCCTCGTCACTCACCACCACCACCACCACCGTTGAAGATGGCGACCACTCACCGCCATCATGGTCATCGTCAGGTCAATTCAGTGTGAGCCCCATCCCCGCCGGATTTTTCGATCACGAGCTCCCGCCCAACGACTCGTCGAAAGCCAGACCCAGAGATACACATCCCGGCAGCTGGGTGGTTCTTATAGATCTTGTGGACTCTTCGGAACAGAACTCTGATCATATTCAGACGGTGGCGGAGATGCCACCTTTACCTCCACCTCCACCTAAGTGCAACGCTGGCCTCACGCTGACTGATCTATCTAACCTTAGGCAGCCCTCTGCCAATATGGACCGACGAGGCCGCAGTTGCAGCTCAAGCGACGACGGCGGTGCCTTCTTACAATACTCCTTTGTCAAGGTTTGTCGAACCTCTGCCGAGATTGCACCCGAGCAACAACAACAAAGACCCGTCTCCGTCCCTAATCTCGCCGAGGTGGTCGGCGGGCTAACAAACTTCCTGCGCGAAACCGCACCGGGCAGTGATGTTTCCACGTGGGAGGAACTGGTCGAGGAGGTAGAGAGGGACCTTCGCACGCGGCGAGCTTCCATTGGAACGGGGAAACGCTGCATCGACATCCGCGTCATGGCTAAGAGCAGGGCCCACACTTTGCTTAACCAGTTACTGTGATCCTGGTACCAACCATTCCAGCAAATCTTCGTAGTGAACGTAACAGAACTTGACTTTTCTTTTTCCTTGGGAGAGTTTTCCCAGCATGTAAACCTAAAACTAGGCACGGAGCGCTGTTCTAACTCTATTCTGGCACTTTGATAACAAGCTTCTTGCGCGCCTATAGGTAGTATAACGGATAGTATGTTATCGTAGCTATATAGTACACTCGCCGCAAGACATATGTTGCAGGTAGCCTTTCATTTGCGCCTTTGGGGGGGGGGGGGGGGGGGGGCTGCGACCTACTGGTCAAAGGTCAAAGCTGGCAGCTGCACTCCTCCTTCGGTTCTCGGCGGGGACGTTTCATGGTAGGGAGCGTCTGATTTGCCATGGATACACTAATTATATGGCCAGATACTCTTCGGGTATCAATATACATACACTTTCCACCTAGGTATAACCCCTAAAATATAAATTTAAACCCTATCCTCCGCATTGACCCGCAATCCACTCAGCGATCCCATCCTACTCAACTTTGGCACAGAGGGAGAGCTAGGTGGCAGTTCTGGAGGATTCTGCTCACGCGAAACAATCACCTCAGTTGTACGAACAATACCCTCACCCTGAATAGGCAATATCCGCTCCTCGCTAGAATTGCTCCCCCGACTTCCAGGATACGTCGCCGAGCCCGTCGTAGAAGCGATCTGGGAGCTGTGGGTCTTCGGGTCAGCGTCGTACTCAATGACACTGAGATTGCCGCTTTTATGTCCTCGGGATTGTAGCGGTGGCCCCCTTGATCGAGACATCGAGTGCAGTTTATATTTCTTGCTGCCGAGGTACTCGCGGCTCGTTTTTGACTGTGAGCCGTATGTGCCGAGGAATCTCTTGAAGAGTGGTTTGAGGGTTGGGAGGGTGCCGGCGATGATACCTGTGTTGCATTCCGTGCTGTTCTTGGTTAGTATGGGGTTTTTGGGTGGGTTTGGATGCGATGCTTGTGATAGGTAGGATAGATAACTTACACGACCCAGATTGTGAGGTTCGTATAGTCCCAGAGGAAGTCGCCGGTTTGGCCGTACTTGGGTAGGATTGATAGCTTGACGAAGGCGGCTGCGCAGGCACTGGGAAGGAAGTAGAAGAGTCAGCATTGGTTATGATAGGATTGGATCGGAAGTCACTCACAAAATCCCCAGCCCCAGGATGCAGATTAGAGAGGCTTTCACTCGGCGATTGACTTGAAGATGACTGTCGATTATTGTGTTAGCCTCTCACTCGAAGAGGGGATGTTCCTTTAGCATACCGTAGCATAAAAACCGGTAGAACGGCGAAGATCAGATCAGTCAGAATGTTCAGTGCTATTCAAGTTAGGAAATGCTCAAGTATACCCATATAGTGTCAACCTCACCAGTATTTGTATAGCTCAGAGTCAAAAGTTGTCTGGGAGAAAAGCACTTTGACTTCACTGAACTATCCCAATTTGCTCGGATATCCTGACACTCAAAGATAAGAGTCTGCAATGAATCGAATTGTTAACTGCTGTCCACGATCGAATGTGGGGATAGTTTACTCACCAAAAAACAGATTGCCGTGTAGAGCGTCATGAGGACTGCAATGAGCCGGGTTCGTCAGTACCTCACAGAAAAAGAGATAAAAGCCTTTACACACCAATGACAACCCAGATAAAGACCTTATACCCTTTCCGGGGTGCGAAACGAAGCAAAAACAGCCCAATTGATATCTTCACCAGGCCAATAGCCCACATGTAGATACCTTGGGTAGCATAATTCAAATGCATCGCCGTTACGGCCGTTTCTTGGACGTAGACCATATGTCTGCCTGCACCGTATTTCACCTCGGGGACGATAATGGCGAATCCGCAGACAGACAGCAGCATGGTCAGGGCCATAGTATAATCATCCCATCCGACATTGCGAATAAGACATATGCGCACGTAAAACCTAGCCAAAACTGTGATTAATGCGGCGACAGTAGTGATAGCCGTCGCTATGATAATTCTAGGTCCTTGGTTAACATCTGGGAGGCTAATGTCGCCGCTATGAGCATCCGACATGGCTGTCGTGAGAGTTATGGACGGCTAGGCATTGAAAAGAAGAATCGAACAGGGATTATACTAGGGCAAATTGGAATGGGTCATGGAAAGTATTAGCAGATTTAATACATAGTGCATCGTGTCATAATTTCAGTATTACATCCAGCTCTACCTTGGTATTGTTGTGGCTTCCGAACCCAAGAGAGGTAATTGGCGTGAGTCTCGTATCGGGACTTTCCATATATTCTACTCGACGCCACAGACCAATTACCTGTTTTCGCTTTCAGATTCGGGTCGATAATCTCCTTTCGGCCATTCATAAGCGACGACGAACATAAAAATGAACATGAAGCCATTGTCGGTGTTCAACCTAAGTCCGACGCCGGTATGAGAAGAATGCTTTATCCTAATAAAAGATGCTCCAGAATACGCCTTAGACCCGAGAGCCGGGATAGTAGTTGGTCATTAGAAACTTGGCCAATGAGCAGACTTGGCACCATCGGTAAGAAATGCACCGGAAGGAAGATGGGCCTCGGATGTACAGGAAGACTGCATAGATGGTGGATTACAGAGTCGGAGTTTACCCAACTAGGGCACCGGGGTGTCCTTCCGAGATTGGATTTTCGCGAAATTCGATTTGGGATCTAGATGTGATTGGGTCTGTCGCTTAGGTGAATTTGCCAAGTTGCCAAGGAACAAGGGGACCACGAGGTGGCTGTTCCTGCATTTCTTTTTAATATGAAAAATTTGGTTTATTTCATATATGCTGTGTGTATCTTGGATGATCTCCAGGGTATAAAGGGTCGGTCCGTGGATCCAAGGGTTCAAGGGTTCAAGGGGATCTTGGAACTGAGATCTTTGGAGTGGAAAAGTGCGGAAACGTGGAACATCGTAATTTGCCGGCAGTTCCAGGTGGAGACAAGCGGAACATGGCCCGGTGCCCTAAATGGCCCCAGAAGAGGGGAATTGATTACCTATGGGGACTTCTGCAGGAAAAAAAAAGATAGCACGACTATGCTTTTAGTTAGACTCGGAAGTGCGAGATAGGGGTGGTTGGCATATGCATTGCGCCTTTAAATCGACGATCATGCCCGGGTTCCTTCATCTTGATCAACACTTCTCCTAAACACTTGGTGTGGAACTTACTGATCTTTCAGAAGTTCAAATATTCAACTCGCCACCATGGTTGCCATTTCCGTTCTCACTTTGGGAGCTTTGTTCGCACAGGCGTGGGCTATGCCCGCTGCCACAGAGAGTGCCGTTGTGAGCGCTGCGACTCCCACCGCTGCCTCCACCTCCCTGCCGGTCGCTGAGTCCCAGCTTGACAACTTGGCTGGATTGGCATACGACAGCAGCATCGAGAGTGTCTCGAGCGACTCGGACATTGAGAAGCGCGGTGGTTGTTCGTTGAGCAGTCTGCGCATTCGTCGCGATTGGAGGACTTTCTCTAGCACCCAGAAGAAGTCCTACATCAAGTCCATCCTTTGTCTCCAGAAGTTGCCCTCGCTCACCCCCTCCGATAAGGCCCCTGGTGCGCGGTCCCGCTACGATGATTTCGTCGCTACTCACATCAACCAGACCACGAGCATCCACTACACTGGAACCTTCCTGGCGTGGCACCGGTACTACATCTGGAACTTCGAGGAAGCCATGCGCAACGAGTGTGGCTACACTGGCGACTACCCGTAAGTCCAACGATCCTTCGTATAACAAAATCCCTAATATCTTACACAATTCCAGTTACTGGAACTGGGGCGCCGACGCCACCAACCTGGAAAAATCTCAAGTCTTCGACGGCAGCGAGACCTCAATGTCCGGCAACGGTGCCTACGTCGAATCCGTCGGCGACATCCAGCTGAGCCTGGGTACCTACCCTGTGATCAACCTTCCCACCGGCACGGGAGGTGGGTGCGTCACCAGCGGCCCCTTCAAAGACTACTCCGTCAACCTGGGCCCGGTCGCGCTGATGCTGCCCGGAGGTGAAACCGAAAGCACCGCCAACCCGCTCGCATACAACCCGCGCTGCCTGAAGCGCGATCTGAGCACCAAGATCGTCCAGGACTACGCTAACTTCACCGCGATCGTGGACCTGATCCTGCGCCATGATAACGTCTACGACTTCCAGATGAACATGCAGGGTGTTCCCGGCAGCGGAAACATCGGCGTTCACGGTGGTGGTCACTATTCCATGGGCGGTGATCCTTCCCGTGATGTCTTTGTTAGCCCTGGTGACCCTGCTTTCTGGCTCCACCACGGTATGATTGATCGTACCTGGTGGATCTGGCAGAACTTGAACCTCAGGAAGCGTCTGAATGCTATTTCTGGCACGGCGACTTTCTTGAATGGCCCTCCATCGGCTAACACTACCCTTGACACGCTCATTGATATTGGTTATGCTGGTGGTGAGACTATTGCTATGCGGGATCTCATGAGTACCGTCTCTGGTCCTTTCTGCTACATCTACCTGTAAACGGTGATGGTTAGTTATTGGCTGTCTATACCCACACCACTGGAATATGGATTGGACGCTTGGAAGATGACATGAATAAACGGAGTGGGAGGAGTCATATCACCATATAGAAGATAAATCGTACATAATCCATGATTTAGATCTCGAGAAGTGAGTCTTCAAATGCTCGGAAAGGGAAGAAACTTACATCTCTACGCAGAATATCCCAATCTGTTCGTGAACTAGGTTTAATTAAAAATAATACAGCAATCAAGACCGCTAGTCAAAAAAAAAAAGTAATTACATCGTCCACCGCGAGAGCATCATAATCGGAATCCACAACCAAGACAAAGGAAGCAAAGAGGCCTGCGTGGAGGGATCGGGCTTCCCAGCACCATTAGTAACAGCAAGGTAAGGATCCTGGCCATAAGTTGTGTTTAACGTGACATGAGCCTGAGCCGACCCATCTTCCAATCGAATCCACGTCTCAGTATCATCTCCGAGATTTCCTTCGTGGAGTAAGATCTGCCGTCCACCACGGAGCAGATCGCCGTAGCCGCCATACCCGGTATGCCGACCGTAGCACATATTGATACCATTCCCGGTTAGATCGTGATCGACAAGAGACCCGTCCCACTTAAAGCACCTGCGATGTTTGATTAGCGTTTGAGTCATTCAAGTGACGATTATTGCCTGCTAGAGATGCATACCAGTCATTTTGGTGATCGTGGCCGCTAAATCCTGCGATTAAGCCTTCGGTGTGGAGGAGCGCGTCCATGAACTTGACGTCCTGGCCATCATATCTCCACTCGCCAGATCCTTGCGGGTTAACGCGTTCTCGATTCACGCCGGGCGTCAGGCGCGGATTTAGGCCTTTTGTGTGCTGGAATTCGAGCATTGCGTGGGCGGGGATGTGATAGAATGCTAGCGAGGGGATGACTTGTCCATACTCCTTTTTCAGTTTGGAATTGGTTTCGGTGAACCAGTCAACGACCTTGAATGCAGCGATTAGTGATTTCTTCGAGGGAAAAAAAAAGTATGATTCGAGATTTTCCTACCGATTCATCAATCCAACTGGGCCTCTTAACCGCAGGCCCGTCCTCTCCTGGCTTTTTATAATAATGCCCACCCTTCGAATCAAAGAACCACAGTAGCAGCGCCGGCGTGCTGGTATTAGCTTGTCCATGTGAAAACACCGGCAGGTAATAATTCGTTATTCCGGCCTTGTCGCCGGAGATTCTACTCTGCGTCAAGCTGTTGGGGTACTTTTGCTCGGCCTTGAACATGTCATCTTTTGGGTTGAGATTAACCTCGCTGTCATGGTTGCCGTAGGTCGATGCCCAGCTGTACCCCCGATCGACGAGTGGGGAAACGACCGAGTGGATATATTTGCTCGAATCGGCTTTTTGGGTTTTTTCGCCGGACACTAGGTCGCCGTTTATAACTACGAAGTCGATGTCTTCCTTCGAGAGGATGGTTGACATCACTTTTTGGGACTTCTCGTCTTTTTCGTCGTCTGTAAGGGGTCAGTCAGCAAGAGCCCCATCCTAAGTATTATCAACACATACCCTCGGCGAAATGCAAATCCTCAAAGACTCCAATGTGAAATGTTCCATCTTTTCTGAATCGCAGGGTTCTATCTTTGGGTGGTCTAAGGACGACTTGGTCCGATGCTCTGAGGTCCGGTCGGGGTACCATATTGGAGTGAATGTTAAATCAAAAGTTATCAAAAGTGCGGGGAGATAGACTTTTGTAAGGTGACCCTTGTAAGGTTCGAGACATTCACGTGCGGAGTGCCCAGGTGTCCCACAAGTCGATCACGTCAGGAGCTTTGTGCCAAGACATCACTAGGATAAACACTGCCCCCTTGGCTCAAAATCGGGTTCCTCGGGGTCAACTAGTGTTTCAAGGGTAATTCTACCGTGCTTATATCCTATTCTTATCTATAAACCATGACTACTAGTATTCCCTAGTTATACATAGAAAAGTCATATGTCCTGTTTACACTTTCCCCGCCTTTTCTGGGGTCTAGCTATGAAACTGAGAAGGGAGAGAAAATATCTAAAAAAAAAACATCCAAGCAGACTACCGAGAAGACTGGACCAGGCCGTAGAAGCGGCCGACTATTATTATACATTGTAACACAGTAACACATGGATTCAGCTTGACCACCTGGGCACAATTTCTCCGTTATGTTACAGACACATGGTCCACGGGTCAGTGGGTGAGCTTAGATGGGCCTGGACAAGACGACAAAATATATACATGTAACATGGGGAAACCATAGCGCCAAAAGAATAAAGCCAAACTTCAAACTTGAATTTGGTATGCCTGCAAATAATCCAACGCCTTCGCTACCCGAAAAAGAACAACAAAGAAAGAACAACAAAATGCCGAGCTAGAAAGTATCCCCTGTCGGCGAGCTGAGATACCACTCTGCAAGATTCTTGAACCCGATCGAGGTTTCCTCGGGGAAATTGTAGAGTTTAGTAGTACGCAGGACGAGGGCTTGACCATTGAAGTAGGACTCAAAAGCGCGGGCACGTTTGCCCATAAACGAGACCAGAAAGACCTGCAGAATTACTCGGTAAGCGACTGTGGTGGGAAGTGGAAAACAAAATGGAGAATTACCGGTGCTTTCATATGCTGAAGGAGGCGTGCCTTCCTCAGCTGGCCCAGCATCAGGTGGAGAATAGTCAAGAGCTCGCCACGAAGAATTTCCTCATCATTCGTGTCCAAGTTGTTATACATATACGCCTTGGTGTGTGGAAAAGCTTTTCCAGGAATATCTGTCATTCTGAAAGTTCCAAATTCAGGCTGTTCGTGCTGATACAAATCCTTGTAAGGAGTGTACTCGCCAACACTATCCCACGTTATTAGCGGTCATATGTCTTTGGAGTAGTCAGAAAACTTAGGGTAGTGATAATCTCACTCTTTTGAGGACCACAAGGCCTTCTCTGGGTTGCCATTCACTTCGTAGGGAATATAACACGACTAGCGGCCTGCAACCTGACGTGCCCGGTCGGCTGGGCGCGTGAAACAGGTGTCCTCACGTTCCAAACTTGAGCGGACTTGAACAACAATGCTATCATCGGGCTTCGGGAGGCTGGAGTATGGCGCGAAGAAGGAAGGTTTGCAGGCTGAATCTTCTCTGTCAAGGGTCATGCGCTGGAAATCAATATTCAATCCCTTGAATTGCGACTTGTCAAGTGTATGCTTTCGAAGGTCGTCAATGGTGCGCTCCAGCTGTAGCAAGACTCTGCGGTGTGCGAGATGCTCGGGCGATTCAGTAGGCATGGTATGTATTTGATGTGTTTGAAGTTGAACAAGGCGAGGGATGGTATCGATGGTATGGACGGAGGGAGATGCAGGGGGTTGGAGGGAGTTGGAGGATTTAATGGCTTACGCTATATGTAATTGAAAAGGCAACGGTTCGTTCTCACAGAGATATATTGTACAATTGAAGCACTGACCTGGAAATCGTGCAATTAGGAACGGGCGTGGTATAAGTTGGTCCTTGTCGAACGGGCGAGAGCAATGGCCAAACGGAAGGCCGACCCACACAGCAAAGTTCGCGCTAGCCAGCACAGTCCAGAAGGCCAAAGAAAAGTTCAAAAAACATCTTTCTCCTAAATTAAAATCCCCGAAGGCAAAGATTGAGGAGGCCTATCTAGTGTTGTGGGAGCGGCAGATTGCTCGCTTTGACTGGCAAGTTTCAATCCAAGATCACCCAACAATGGATGCCTCTGACCGGGAGCAGTTGTGCCAAGCAACTGGCATATAGATGCCCCGTGAGCTCCTCCATCTAGTCATGTCCTCTTCTTCCAATGCACCCAAGACAGTTTTCAATCCACTTTGTTGAGCATAGTAGTTTAAATCTATCTCCTCTCACAACCAATACCCCTATACCTATCAGATGCAAAAAGTATATGGGCTTTAACATTGTGGGGACTTAAACCGTATGTAAAAAGCACTATACCTAATTCTTGTAGGGACTCTGAAAATTCGCCAATGAGAGAAGATGGCTGGAAGATCCAAAACATCCCGAGGTCCCCGACTCGCTAATATATGAGTCAATCTTGTGCGACTTTCTTATTAAAGACAGTGGCCCCAAGGTTGAGCCTTCCCCCACTAACTTCTCGTATACAACTCTATACAACTCGAAAGTAAATACTATGGCTGATCCACTGACCGGATATGCCCACTCAGCCGCCTTCGATATAGGGAGACTGCCCGTGAGCGATATTCATACTCTGCATTATGAGCAGTATGGCAAACAAGATGGGAAACCAGGTAAGAGATGAGTACAGTTTATACATGTATAAAAATTGAAATGGCAAATATACTGACGTTGGTAGTCCTCTACGTGCACGGCGGACCTGGCGGGCACACCTCATATGGCAACACGAAATTCTTCAACCCAGCCATCTACCGCGTGGTACTGTTCGACCAACGTGGCGCCGGGAAATCAACGCCCGCAGCCGAATTACGCGAGAATACAAGTCAGCACCTAGTCTCCGACATTGAAGTTCTGCGTGAACACCTCCAAATAACGAAATGGCACCTCGTCTTCGGTGGTTCGTGGGGATCAACCCTGTCCCTGCTTTATGCACAAGCCCACCCGGAGATGGTAGGCTCCCTAATACTACGCGGAATATTCGCCGCCAGGAAATCAGAACTGGAATTCTCGCGTGGGCCCATTGGCGCAGCAAATATCTTCCCTGAAGCATACGAAGCATTTCTCAATTATCTCCCCGAAAAAGATCGGGCGAGACCGAACGAGGCGTACTATGATCTCCTTGTTTCGGAGGATTATGAGACAAGGCTCGCTGCGGCGAGAGAGTGGAATCGGTGGGATCTGAGTATTGGGACTTTGAGACCGGAGCCTGAGGGTTTTGCTCAGCTCGAAGATGATGCGTGGGTGCTTGCTCATGCGAGACTCGAGGCGCATTACTTTGCAAATGGGGTGTTTTTGGAAGAAGGTCAGATTCTCAAGGAGCAGAATTTGAGGAGGATAAGCCATATTCCGAGTAAGTTATTCACTACTCTTCGTCGAGACATATTGGGCTTTGAGTGCAGCTAACCCCTTTTGTTATAGCCACTATTATCCAGGGCCGTTATGATATTGTCTGCGCACCGCAGACGGCTTGGGATCTGCATAAGGGCTTGCCGGACTCACGGTTGTTTTGGACTCCTGATGCTGGTCATAGTGCTAGTGTGAGTACACCATCTGCCTTCCATTGTACTAGTTTCTGAGACATGGCCATGCTAACATCATCAAGGAACCTGGCACGCAGGCCAAACTGTTCGAGGTCTGTGACGAGTACGCCGAGCTTGACTTTACTTACTGAAGGTGCTTGAATAATTGGTTACATCCTGTCTTTTTATCCATAATATTATCTCCATCATAGTCTTCTCACCATATAAAACAAGAATACATAGTCGATCTCTATCCTTCATGACATGGGTCTTCGGAAATCTGATATGTTTGGCTCAAAATAATATTAGGGACGTTATTTAAATAACAGCAGGATGGATTTTTGGATGTCTTTACCTCTTCTTCTCTAACTGCATTGTTCTGCAACTTTATATTGAAACCACCCCAAATTGATGAGTCCAGATATCTTTCACAGCTTAATTTACTACACGCTACCACCTGTACACCGCAAGAGAAGCTATTTGGTTTCTCCGAAACGCACCAAAACTACAAGAGACACAGAATATTGTAAATTGTAATATTGACAACTGATTCTACACGATGATAGAGACAGTAGGTCAAATTCGACAATGCGAATTTGACCAAGCAAGGCTGTAGAGCTTGCTGTATGTGGAAAACCACACAATGTTGAAATGGTAAAACCAGCACCGACCGAACATCACAACGAAAGTAGGTCATGATGTCAGCCAGCGCCAGTTTAAAATCGTCAGTCATGTTGAAACTCCAGGCCCGCTTTTGGTATCCTCTAGAAAACCCGTTGAAACCCATATGTTGAACTTTTGGTATCATCGTCGTAACTCATCAATAAAGAAAACTCCCCAGTACCGAGGCGACAGGTTGATTGTCGCCTCCTCATTAAATTAATGGTAAATTGAAAGAATTTACTGCGCGTACTTCTGGCGGAAGTACTTGGCAGCGTTGACCATCTGTTTGAGTTTTGTCAGCATTTTGTAATTCAACTTCAGAGAAATTTCGAGTACTTACAGCAGTGAGAGCGGCCTTGGTTTCGGGCCAGCCTCGAGTCTTCAAGCCACAGTCAGGATTGGCCCATAGCTGGCTTGGAGTGAGGTATACCAGCATCTCCTCGATGCGGTCCTTGATCTCCTGCTCAGTAGGGACACGAGGGGAGTGGATGTCGTAAACACCGGGGCCAATGTGGCGAGGGTAGGCCTCGTCGATGAAGACCTTGAGGAGCTTAGCATCAGACTTGCTGTTCTCAATGGACAGAACATCGGCATCGAGAGCGGCAATGGCGTGGAAGAAGTCCTGGAACTCAGAGTAACAGAAGTGGGAGTGGATCTGAGTGCCATCGGTAACACCAGCAGTGGACAGCTTGAAGGAGTCGACAGCCCACTTGAGGTAGGCAACACGAGCGTCACCAGTGCGGAGGGGAAGACCCTCACGGAGAGCAGGCTCGTCGACCTGGATCACGGCAATGCCAGCGGCCTCGAGGTCAACAACCTCGTCGCGGAGAGCGAGAGCGAGCTGCTGAGCCTGGACGGACTGGTGGACATCATCACGGGGGAAAGACCACCGCAGGCAAGTGATGGGACCAGTGAGCATGCCCTTCATGGGCTTGGGGGAGATGGAAGCAGCGTACTTCGACTCCTTGACGGTCATAGGGGCGGGACGAGAGATGTCACCGACAATGATGGGGGGACGCACGCAGCGGGAGCCGTAGGACTGAACCCAGGCGTGGGTGGTGAAAACGTAACCAGTGAGGCGCTCACCGAAGTACTGCACCATGTCGTTACGCTCGGGCTCACCGTGTACGAAGACATCGAGGTCGAGCTCCTCCTGGATCTTGACGACCTCCTGGATCTCCTTCTCGATGAACTTCTCGTACTCCTCAGGGGTGATCTCACCCTTGGTGAACTTGTTACGTTGGATGCGGATCTCCTTGGTCTGGGGGAAGGAACCAATGGTGGTGGTGGGGAAGAGAGGGAGCTTGAGGGTCTTGGTCTGCTCGGCGTAACGCTCAGGGAAGGCAGACTTGCGGTTGTGCATCTCAGCGGTGACAGCGGCCTGGCGGGCCTTGACGGCGGGGTCGTTGGTGCGGGCAGAGGAGGCGCGAGCCTGAACAGACTTGGCATTGGCCTCGAGCTGCTCACGGACAGCGGCGGGGCCCTCGGTGACAGCCTTGGCGATCACGACAACCTCGGTGGCCTTCTCAACAGCGAAGGAGAACCAGTCGCGGACCTCAGCGTCAAGGGTCTTCTCGCTGGCGAGAGTGTGGGGGACGTGAAGGAGGGAGCTGGAGGTGGCAACAATGACACGGTCCTTGCCGAGCTTCTGGATAGCGTTCTCGACCTTCTCAATGGCGGCCTTGAAGTTGGTCTTCCAGATGTTACGTCCGTCGACAACACCGGCGGAGAGAACCTGCTTGGGGCCGAGAGCGGCGACGACGGTGTCGAGCTGCTCAGGGTTGCGGACGAGGTCGACGTGAATAGAGTAGAGGCTCTGGAGGTTGGCGAGGACATCAATGTTGTGGACGATGTCACCGAAGTAGGTGGCGAGAGTGATGCGGGGACCCTGGGCACCGAGGGCACCGAGCTTCTCGTAGGCGGTCTTGAAGGCAGCCTTGGACTTCTCAGCAAGGTCGAAGACGAGGACGGGCTCATCAATCTGGACATCCTCGGCGCCAGCGGCCTTGAGCTTGGACAGAAGCTCAACGTAGAGGGGAAGGAGCTTCTCAAGGAGAGTGATGGGGTCAACAGTCTGGTCACGGTCGGCCTTGGCGAGAGTCAAGAAAGAGACGGGACCAAGGATGACGGGGCGGGTGGTGATGCCAGCGGCCTTGGCCTCAAGGAACTCAGCAACGGGCTTGGGCTCAGCGGCGAGCTTGAACTGCTGGTTGTCCTGGAGAGTGGGCTTCACGTAGTGGTAGTTAGAGTCGAACCACTTGACCATTTCCTATTGATTGAGTCAGCATACTTAATTCGGACACGTATACTGTAATGATTTGCACATACCAGACTGGGAACATCAATGCCCTCCTTCTGGAGACCACGGCCCATGGCGAAGTACTCATCGAGGGGGTTGAGGTTGTACTTGGAGTAACGCTCGGGGATGGTTCCGAAGAGCTGGTGGTGGTCGAGGACCTGATCGTAGAAGGCGAAGTCGTTGCTGGGAATAACATCGACACCGGCATCCTTCTGGATCTGCCAGTGCTCGAGACGAAGACGCTTGCCCTCAGCAAGGAGCTCATCGCGGGAGATCTTGTCAGCCCAGTAAGCCTCGGTGGCCTTCTTGAGGTCACGGAGTCTTCCCATGCGGGGGAAACCCAGAATAGATCTATCCAGATAATCAGCAACTGTCTCGGCAAGTGTTCACAATAGTCGAGAAAACATACGATTGAACCATTCTGATGGATGTGTATGAAAAGGGGAAAAGAAGAAAGGGGTCTCAAGGATAGAATTTTCACAAATCCGATGCCTTTGAGAGAGAGAGTGAGGGAAGAGAAGGGAAAAGGTCTGGGAAATGTCGAAAGAAATATGGAGGGGGAGGAACCATACGCTATTCCCAATGGAGGATTGATCCACATGCAAGTTGGAGGGGCAGCAATACGGTATGATACATGATATAATACCACTCTGTACCCCTGTATACCTCGAATCCAGGGTTTCTGGGCGGTTCCGGTGGGACATTGTGTAATTTACTGTTATTTTCAGTTCTCGCCCAGTATCAATACCCCATGATCTCCGTGATCGGTCCGCCTATGGATGATCACGCCATTGAGACAACGATAAGGCCTCTGCAAGCTGTTTACAACTGTTGCCAATTAGTGTTCTTTCTTTCTTTTTTTCAGTAAGGGCCTTGTATATTATATCTATACATAAATTTAGATTTCCTCGATTAATGAGCGGTCAAGCGCACCAAAGTATATCAGAAATTGCAGAACTCCAGGGAGTACGGGGCAACCGCTGTGAGACACGCTGTCAATTGACCCCGCCACTTCACCCGCATGACAACAGCCAAAGCTGACATTAATTAATACTACATAGCAATCGATAGCTTCAAAACTCTCCATACGGCCCGGAGACTTGATATTTTCTAGTCAATTCTTCGTGGTTCTCTCAATGTTCCTTCTAAAAAAACAACAATCTAATAATAATGACTCAGAAGATCCCCTAATAAACCCCGGTGTCGGGGTCCATTCAAGCAATTGATCGGCCCACGTGATATCATGATGGGAAAAAGTTAATTCGACATAGCTTTTTTTTTCTTCGAGAAAAAAGAAAGCCGTTGTCAAGTGCCAAGCCTCTCAAAAGACAGACAAAAAAAAAAGAGCAGCTATCATGAGCTTCCCTGACGTTGTTGCCCTTGATGCAGCCAACTCCCCGCAAGATGTCCGAAACAGCGAACATCAGGACCAGAACTCCGATGTAGTTTCTGTGACTAATGAAGATGATCGTGACCTCCTAAAGCTTGGCTATCGCTCTGTCTTGGCCCGAGGCTGGGGCTCGTTCGATAATTTCGCCTGCTCCTTCTCGGCCTTGAATTGCGTCGGAGGAATCCGTGTGCTTTTCTATATCGCCCTCAGTGGAGGCGGGCCGGCTGCCATGTATGTTCTTTGTTTCCCGTCGCCTGCGGTTTCCGGCGCTTTTTAGGATTGATCACATCACTAACAACACCCTTAGTTGGAGCTCCTGGGTCTCCGGTAGCATCCTGTCCGTCATCACGGCCGCCTGTCTCGCGGAAGCTTGTTCAAGCTATCCCGCCGCGGGGTCAATTTACTACTGGGCTTTCCGATCCTGGGGAGGCGGTAAAGTCGGCCGCTTCATCTCGTTTCTCGTTGCTGCATGGACATTGGTTGCCTGGACCGCTTTCCTCGCGAGTGATTCGTTCGGTGTCGCCAACTACCTGATCTCGGAGATAGTCGTGTTCGACCCAAAGACGAGCTTCCCATATGAAACATCCGACGTCCGAGCGCGCGCTGTAGCATGGGCTATCTCGCTTCTTTTCCTGGCCATCGCTACCTCGCTAAATTTCCTGCCCCCGCGCATGTACTCCTGGGTGTTCCGAGCTGGTGTGACTGTCATTATCATCGATATGCTGCTCAACTTCATCTGGCTTCCCATCGGCGTTTCTAAGACATACGGCTTCCAGACAGCCGAATACGTGTTTACGTCTACATACAATGGCGAGGGCACTAGTCCCGGACTGAACTGGGTTCTGTCCTGGTTCTTGGTCGGCAGTTGTCTCGTTGGACAGGATGCTTCGGGCCATGTCGCAGAAGAGACCATCTCGGCCAAGAAAGCCGCCGCGAAGGGTATATTCTGGGCAACCGTTGCGTCTGCGCTGTGCGGCTTCCCGATCATTATCTTGTTTCTCTTCTGTATGCCTCCGATTGAGACGTTCTACGAAACTAGCGCGCCCCAGCCGTTCATCAACATGTACGCAATGGCTCTCGGTCCCCATGCCCACGTTGTGATGACCATTGTCTCGATGATCGGAGCAATTCTCAACACTTCCATTTCGTTGGTTGCTGTATCACGCCTTGTATTCGCCGTGGCACGCGATGGCGTCTTCCCATTCAGCGACGTGCTGTCGCGTGTATCGAAGTCGAAGCAGCCTCACAACGCTGTTATCTTCATTTCCACTATTGCCGCGCTTCTCCTCTGCACTCAGCTTCCGTCGCAAGTGGCATTCTCCAGCTTGGTCTCCACCTCTGCTGCGGGTTCCCTTGCAGCATACGGTTTGGTTGGAATCGGCCGTGCGTTCATCACGCGTAAATCGTTCCGTCCAGGCTTTTGGGATATGGGCCGGTTTGGCGTGGCCGCCGCTGTTGTTACGTTCCTGTGGAATGGGTTTGCTTTTGCTGTTCTCTGCGCCCCGGCCTATTCAGACAGTGCAATTGACGAGGATTCCTCCTTGTTCAACTACGCGATTGTCATTATGGGCGGTGTGACTATCATCGCGATCGCCGAGTGGTGGCGCAAGTCCAATGGTGATTGGTTTGAGCACCTCAAAATCGTTGACTCGGATACAGAGACAGAGCACTCTGTTGGACGCGAGGAGAAGACGAGTGTCTCGGCCGATACGACTGCCGTTTGAACCGGTGAGGATTTCTACAGCAGCTTCCCTTTTTCCGGTAGTCATCGGGACTACAGGATGGGAACAGAAAAAGGTGGTGATTTGGCGTCCATATAGGGGTGGTGTTGGTAAGTATGTTTTCTGCAACACGCATGACGGGTGTTCGAGGTCTTACGTTTTTGGCCTTCCAAAAGCGCGAGTCTCGTTCTGAGAAATTACCGTTAAAACTTGATCTGGACAATACCAGCGAAAGGACATGCATGCTTCATTCTTCTTTTTTCCCTCCTTGGTGTCGTGCCTTGGAAGATCTTGTCTCAAGGCAGATGCTACTGACTGCCCCTCTTGGGGTGTAGATCCGTGGTTTGCTGTTGACGGACTCGGTGTCCGACCATTCTTTTGCTGGGCTGGGCTGAATTCCCGTTGCCCCCGAGGCATATGTGAAGTGGTGTCTGTGATGAACCGTTCCTTTCATCACTCACTTCTATGTCGTCCCAGACCACCAGCAGGGATTGAACTCCACCGCATAAGCCTTGGTCGCAGAGGGTCCGGGTGTTGCAGTCCAGTCTATGGCCGTCCTCCTGCCTACCGGACTCCCTCGATTGATGATCCGATGTCTTGTGAGGCTAGATCAGCAAACCGCTTGTAGACTCGTAGATATGAGACTCGTAGATATGATCGAGAGCGTAGTATCGTCGCTGTAACATTCATCTATTTCTCAAGCCAAAAGAAGGCCTACATCTAGTGTGCACCCAGCGCGGCCGAGATCAACCTTTTGTATCCTCGCACCGCCTCTTCAAGTTCTCCCACGTTGATTGCCTCATCATCACCATGGGCAACATGGATACTACCCGGCCCGTAGAGATACCGCTTCACTTTTGGACCTCCTTGAGTGCTGATCTTCAAGGAAGGAATATCAGTCCCGTAGTTTACAGTAATCACGTCAAACCCGTCGACGTCAACATCAAGATGTTGGGGCGGAGCGCCGTTCTCGATGTCCCCAAAGTCAGGATATACACTTCCATCACCACCAGTCACATCTTCGACCGCCTTCCTCACAATCTCTCTCGTATCATCTGGACTTCCAGCCGCAAGACGAACGGAAATCGTCGCCTCGGCATATGCAGGGACGACATTACCAGCTAAACCAGCGCGCACAACTCCAATATTTAATGTCGATTGACCAAACTTCTCACTTCGGAGAAGTCCACCTTTTTCCGGCGGGACATCTTGCAAGGTATCGAGGTAAGATAAAACAGGAAGAAGCGCGGATATCGCGCTTTTCCCGAGCCACGGGTATCCTGAATGCGCGGCTTTTCCTTCAGCGACAATCTTGAATCCAAGAGTACCTTTGTGTCCCGCGACAAGCTTGAGCTCTGTCGGCTCTCCGAATATGACTGCGTGGAAGGTAGGTGGTGCTGGGTTGAGATCGGAGTTTGAGAAATGTTTCATTCCAACGCCACTTTTCTCTTCGCCAACATCAAACAATAACCCGATTGAGGCATCGGGATTGGCATCCAGTGTTTCCAGTGCAGCAAATAGTATGGCTGCGACACTGGCTTTGGCATCCACCGTGCCGCGGCCAGCGATAATCAGGTCTGATCGATTGAATTTCAGATTCTCTGTGTTATCTGAGGCTGGTGGATGAAGCGAGTAAGGGATGAAAGGTGGGACAGTATCGATGTGGCTGGTGAGCAGAATATCGGGGAATCTGTCTTTCCCAGTGTAGGCATAAATGTTGAATCTTTCTTGCTCGGTGTCGCTCCCCGGAGTAACAATTTGTTTCTCGACGGTTAGGTTGTGTGAGCGGATGAAGTCCAAGATGAAGTTTCCAACGCTTTTCTCGTGTTCACTGATTGATGGAATTTGCACAATGTCTCTGTGGAATGATAAGAGAGGAGATTCATCGATAATTTTGTCCAAGTCCACACTTGGGGATTTCACGTCATGGACTACATTTCCAATCAAGGGTTGTTGTGATTCCGACGCCAGCGCCACTCTTGCTAGAGATGCGGCGGCATAAAAGTACATGTGATTTGTCTTCATATTTCTCAGCTCATTGAAGTGTGACAAAGGTTAGGGACTTACGAGGAGTATTGATGTAGTTCTTGGGAAGAGATGGAGTGAATTGAGAGGGGCTGATTAGGCATTCTCTCCCCGCAATGGCGTATCCTCGTGGCCCTGGAGTGCTTACTTCGTTTCATTGGTTTTTTTTTTTTCTGTTTTCACTGAATCTAGCGAGATGCATTATCTTTGATCGGCAGACTCACTGTACTATTTTAAGGCCATGAATTTGCCGAGCATGGCCCCATTATCGCGTGCTCCGTCCACCTTAGGGCGATATTTGCTTGCATTTTAACCAACGCTATATAAACCAACAACTATGAAATTGATTATGTGAAATGGAAAAAATCCAAGAGCGATTGATAAAAGTGCACTATTGAATACTCGGGAACTATTCTAGATGTTGACTCATGTGGCATACTCTTCGCAGATTGTTTAACTATATGGGCGATATATTGAGTTATAGCCGACATACGGCTTTCTAGATTAACGGGGGCCTCAGCGCACGGCAGGTAAGGCTTTTATCTCAAATGATGATCTCGGTAAATGTATTCTACAGCTCCGTATAAGACGCTAGGTAAACCCTTGCATGCATGCACGCCATGTCGAGTATTCCTTGCTCATCTCGCGCAATTCACGCAGGAGATAACCAACCTTTGGTGTTTTGTAAGAATGTGGAGTAAAACAAATGTTGGGGTTCATTTAATGGCCTGGATATCCGTCCTGGGTCATTGCAATTTCTGCAGCAGTACATTTCTTCCGTGTGGCAGGTTCGCACTGATCGTTGATCACTATGTCTTCTGAGATAGCAGAGAAAGGCCAAATTGGGGCTGTCTCTGCGGACAAAATACCGCTACCGGCGAAAGGAAATATACACTATGTCAACCGCAATGGAGATGAGACTCCAGGGTCTTTTGAGGAAGAGCTCATCCCCGGTTATGATGCCACCCTGATGCGAGCGCGTGCGACGCTCACTAGCGCAGAGGAAAAGAAGCTTTTACGACGCATTGACTGGCATCTGATTCCACTACTGGCTGTTATGTATATGTTGAAAAGCGTTGATTTCACCAATGTAAGATTATCTATGGAGTACACTGGTGGGAAGTCACTAACCACAATATTTTAGGTCTCATATGCCCGGATCATGGATAAGGGCACACCACGGAACATCTTGACTGAATTGAAAATGACTTCAAACCAGTATAATCTGGTTACAACTATGTATTATGTGAGAGAACTCAGACAAAAAACGTCATTGCTGAGGTTGTACTAATCCCTTGGAGGTCCCTTACATTATTGCAGAAGCGCCGTCCAACCTGTTGTTGAAAGGCGTGCGACCTTCGATTTGGCAAGCTCGGATTATGGTACATTGAACCATTCCACCTCTAGCTAGCTTGGTACTAACATGTGCAGATATCTTGGGGTATTGTTCTCTGCTGCCATGCAGCTGTGACTAACAGACAGGGTCTATATGCCGTCCGATTCTTCCTTGGACTATTTGAGGCTGGCCTGTGGCCGGGAATGCTCTTACAACTATGCTATTGGTATAGACCCGATGAGGTTGCTCCAAGGATAGTCCTCGTGACAATACTAGGAAACTTTAGTACTGTGATCAGTGGTGTCCTTGCATTTGCTTTCAATGGTGTCGTTGCTGGTGGTCTATCTGGGTGGAAATGGTATTTCAATCTCCTCCCAAAAATATTAATCAATTGCTAATGATGGTTCTTAGGCTTATTCTGACGGAAGGAATCTTCACGGTGTTACTGGGAATCTTTACTTATTTCTTCTTACCTGATTGTAGGTCATCCCAACTTTCGATGCCAGGCGTAACTAATTATTCCACAGTTCCTTCAACTGCATCCTGGTTATCTGAAAAAGAAAAGGCCTTCACTCAAGCCCGCCTACCAAGCAACTCCCCTCGAGCGGCAGAGGCTAACTTCAATTTGCGCGAACTAATTACCACATTGAAGAACAAGCGGATCTGGCTTTTTCTCTTCTGCTGGGCCTTTTTCACTATTGGCACGACGGGACTCACATTCTACCAACCAACCGTTATTTCCAATCTTGGATTTACGTGAGTTATTCCAAATCGAAGGGGACAGTACATCTGCTAACAATGCTCAAAGGTCTATGGGCGAAACTCAGCTACTAAACATCCCATCCGCGGTCTTCGCAGTAATATTGACAGTCGCATTCGGCATCTTCGCAGATACCGGGCGTATTCCTCAACCAGCCATCCCGCTTGGCTTCATGATTGTCATTCTAGCGTGTTATGGCGTGTTATATGCCTTCCCAAACAACGGTGGTGTGTATGCCGCGACGATTATAGTAGGAGGGTTCTCGACTGCATGGTGAGTCGCACTCTCGAGGGAGGATTTTATACTACTTCAATACCCATGCTAAGATAAACCAGGTATACAATGATGTGGCCCTGGCGAGTCCAGACCACCGAGGGCGCGACGGGATCCGCCTTTGCAATCGCATTTGCGAATAGTTACGGCCAGATTGGAGGGGCTGTGGGGTCTCAGTTATTTAATTCTCGGTTTGCACCACGATATGCGACCTCCTTTGGGATTGCGATGGGATTTGTTGGTATGGCTATTATTATGAACCTCATTACTTGGGCTTTCACTTGGCGGGTGGATGTTGATACGAGGAAACTAAAGAGGATTCGACTTGCGGCGGCGAAAGAGAATCAGGCTGTGTTGGATGATGTTGATATTCATGCAGGAGAGAAGAAAGAGAGGTAAATAGAATATGGTGTAGTAGAAGTTGAGGAAAAGGGCGATATAGATACAATATCTCTGATTGGGTGGGGGATCTGATGAATTGAGTTTGTTAGTTCTGGAAAGGCAGTAAGCTTATCGTATAGACCGATGGGTTCCATGGATTCAAATTCACCTTATTACCTAGGTAATTTAGTAATTATGTAAAAGCAAGCAAAAGATAGTCTTATGTACCCTTCACCTTCAGCCCTTCAGCCCTTTCACTGCCAAGCGACATCAAGTGTGGGGGTGGATACTGCGGATGATCGTTTCCGAAAGCGTCCATATTCCCCTCAGCGGAGAATGTGGTGAAGTTCAAACCGTGTAAGTTCTTTTTGGACACCTCCCCCTGTTGACACTCTGCCACCATCCAAACGAGATCTGTACACAATGGCATTCGCACGAAGATTAGCCATCATGCCTGGCGGCCTGGGTAGGGACACGAGACACAAAGTCGAACACAACGAAACCTAACTTCTCCACAGGCGGCCTTGGATCAAGCATAGGCCAAAAGCTAAGACAACAAGGTGCCCGTCTCGCCATTCTCTACGCACCTTTCGAAGCTGCACGTCGCGACGAGCTTCTCGAATCCGGGTACGGCGCGAGCGGCAATCTAGACGACATCCACACCTATGAATGCGATATCACCTCACCAGACTCCGTGCAGGCGGCCTTCAACTCTCTAGAGAAACAAATAATCGACCCAACCTCGTCCTCTCCAAATGAAAGAGCGTTTCCAAGTATCCTGATCAACACAGCCGGATACGTATCTCTCAGCGACATGGAGATAACACCCCCCGAAGAAACACTGAAGCATCTGACCGTTAACCTCTACGGCCCGATGCTCTGCTCTCAAGCCTTTGCCCGACTCTATTTCGCTGCATCCAAGGCCGCCGAATCATCACCGAGTCCCCCGCCACCGGGAAGAATTGTCAGCATTTCATCTCAGGCGGCACATGCCGCGCTGCATCGGCATGGCGCGTATTGTGCTTCGAAGGCTGGCCTCTTGGGTCTGACGCGCAGTATGGCGTCTGAATGGGGTGATCGGGGTATCACGGCTAACACTGTTTCTCCGACTGTGGCGTGGACGGATCTTGGGAGGAAGGCTTGGGGAGAGGCAAGTGTCCGCGATGCTTTCTTGGCGAACATACCGACCGGCAAGTTTGTGCTTCCAGAGGAGGTTGCTGATTCTGTACTATTCCTTTGTCAGGTATGTCCCCTCGGCTTGGTGGACTATGGCTCTGGTTCTGACTTTTGCAATAGGATTCTAGCGGCATGATTAATGGTGCGGATGTTAGAATTGATGGTGGTTTTACCGTTAGATAAGTTTATTTACAGTTGGATATTTCTTTCGTGTCAATATTCAAAACTATTTGTTTTGGACCATTGCGAAAGAAAGTCTGCGCCAATGTAGGAATTCTACATGCACCTACTCCATCTGTTCTCGTAGACCCGCAATTTCCTTTCCAGTGTCCCATCTTGGCGGTGCCTTCCCATAGTTTATCGACAGTTTCGTCAATTGGTTGAGGCTCGGCCACTTCCTTTTTCCTTTTTTCGTTGTTGTCGTTTGTAGCTACCTAGGTAGTGCCCCGCAACCAGGGTTTGCTTGTAGGAAATATGAATGTAGCTCCCAAGGAAGGAGCGAACTTGAATCTCTGTTTGTATTTTTCATTTATTTGAGCAACGCACTTCAATTGGCGATTAGATGTACATCGATTAACCCGGGTCTTCTAAAGTAAGGCTGTGTTAGCCATCTTTGAAGGGCCCACTCACGTTATGCGTATTATCTTCCGAGGTTTTTATCATTTTTCACCTCATGCACATGCATGACTGATTATAACTGTGATAGTGGCTACATCCCGGACCTATTGAACGGGATTCTTCCGCGGTATGCCGCAATAGTGCCCGAACCTCCAAGTTCATGCAGTGATCGTGACCAATTTCGCTTGAATTCAAACCCCCAGTTTAGAGAAGTGCCCTAGGTGACCCCTGTACAGTACAGGTGTGAGGGTGCGAAATCATTTACCCCGATCGCTAAGTTGGTTTGACTACTTGACTAAAGAAACTTCCGGGGTATCCGAACGCAATCTAGTGAGTAGCCTCAAATTAGCCGCAGATGGAGTATGGGACTGTACGCAGAAGCAGATTCTTTATCATAGTCGGCGTTGAGAGAGTGGCAAACTAGCAAATCCAAAGTCGAAGGATCAAGCCACGCTAGAACTTACATTACTGGTATTCTATTTTGAGGGGACGGTCTCACTCAGCGGGGCGAGGAATCAGGATAGCGTATCTCTCAAAGGTCAGATTCGGAGATACCGCATTTGCTTCGCGAGTCGTATGATTTACTGGGACCTCGCCATGACCCGACCCGATTCCAAATTTTGGACCCTATCTCTGAAATTGAGGTCATGACGAGGTCTAGCTTTCCTACAAGGTCGCTTTACTGGGTTGTACCGGTTCTCACATCTTTCAGATCATCCGCATCTACCGCGGCAGATTTCAATTAACAGATCCCAGGCAGCTAGGCACCAAGGCGATTAGAATACCGTTTCGCCGAAGTTAAGTTGGGCTATTGAGTCATGGCCCCGAATGCTTCATACTCAACTGGATCGATAATAAGTCCCACTCACTAGGTACCATTTAGTTTTCATTTAGTTACTTGTTGACACAAATGTTTCTCTACCTGCAATATGTCCATGTCACGGCCTAGTAATGCCCGAAGGATATTAAGTAGTTGCCTAATTCTCTTATTAAAGTGAGGATAACAAGTGAGCACCATCCCTCGACTCTCAGACTTTGTCACCTACCATATAAACAAAATAAATAATATTGGATCAGGGTAAAAGAAAAAAATTCCTTTAAGCTTTCTATCCCAACCTCTTTATACAAGGACAAGATTGATAAAGTAACTCCTTGGGGCGTTGGGCATATAGTGCAGTCGATTGGTGGCAAGTCTAACACAGCCTAGCAGGGGCCTCCCTTACAGCAAGGATATCTCTCGCACTTAGACCAGAACACTGTGTCCTCATTTTATCTTCCTTCCATAAATCTCTCTAGGCCTATTTCTCCCTCTCGATGACTGCAGGAATACTCCGTTTGCCGACTCTGGTCCTTGCGATCCTTTGTCTGGGAATCATTGGTCAATCTGAAGCCACGGTCTGCGCTGCTGTATGCCAAAAGGAACCACAGAGTTGTCCCTATGGTCAGGTAAGATCCCTTATTCTCGCCTAGCTTATCCTCGTCGTGATGATATACTGACCGAGTCTTTTACCCTTTCCTCAGAGGGCCTCAGGTTTTGAGGTTTGTCTTCCAACTAACCGATACTTTGCAACCTGTACAGTCCTGACTCGGTTTGTCCACACAGGGCTGCTGGGGCTGCTGTCAGCCCTTCTAGTGCTACTACAAGATTATAGCAACGAGCTGTAAGTTAGCTACATAGATTATACTGGGAGCTGGCAGTTTCACGAGCAGACGAGCCTCTTACTAACTCTTTCATCTATAGTTTCATGAGTTGATGGAATATATCCACGATCGCAAAGACTGGCCAGTGATTCTTTCACAGAACCTTTAATGCCTTGCTGGTTTATCTCTCTTGGCTTCCTTTCCACGCTCTGGTAGGTCATTTGGTAGAGCGTGCTATTGCAAGATCGGCAATCATCGCAAGGTACCGCGTTCGTCCGCGTCCGGGGCTTTCTTTTATTTTTGATAGGAACACATTCACGGCACAATCCATGCCCTTTACAACCGCTCCCTCGCATATAGCCACTTCCCTAGACCATAGAAGCTAGCAGAGGTCGCCATGCTGCTAAAAGTGGGCAAGAAGGACAGATCAACTCGCCTAACGGGCTGCCTCTATACCAATTTAGTGGACATACTGACCAACTAGAATATGCACTTCTGTACTGTATCCACTATGTACTCAATCTTGGTATTCGACATTACTAGTAAGGGTTGGCTCGTAGCTCAATAACGTTCCATTTTCCAAACAGAGTTATTACTTTAAATCACATCATTAGAAACAAGTGAGAGTGTCTTTTAATTTAGTATGTATACATATATCAATTCTCAGTTTCCGCGGTGCATATTCCATTGCATCCGTTGAAATTCGCGGGAATTCAACGGCTCATCGTCTCCTTTGAAGCTCTCGTAGCGACGTCCTTCTCGCAACATCTTGCCTTCACCGAAACCCAGTCTTCCAATTTCAACAGGTTCGTCGCCTGATGTTGACATATCCCGAACAACGCCAGACATCTCGTCTAGCTCAGGAAATTTATCAGTCTTGCGTCCAACCAGCAAAGGGAAGACCTTATCGCCAGCAAAAGCGCCAAATCGTAGCATTACAAAGGAATCCAATCTCTCGGTCCATCGTGGGTAATAACCCGCGTATAGTGACAAAGCTAACAGCGGTAGCAAGTAAAGTCCCATCAAGATGGAGACTACGATGATTCCCGTGAGAGAGATTGTTGGAAGATCCATATCGGTGCCCAGATCTTGGTTGATAGACCATCTACCCCCCTTACTGGAAAGGAATTCCTTATTAGCGAGAAAAGCTGCAGCTGTGAAGGCACTCGGAATCGATCCGGTGCCTTCTTGGAACCGGTGGATCCATTGTGCAATCTGTGATCCAGCAGGGTACCAGGTGCCATTCATAGACATCCCAATAGATATACAGCGCAGTGACGAAGGCCCCAATAGATTGCTGAGTGGGGGGTTTCCAATGCAGATAGATCTTAAGCTTGACGACAACTCATCTGTAACCTTGTCGTCTTCTTCAAGATTTGCGTAGATTGTCGGAACCGTGTCAACAAAAGAACCAGGGCCGAAGGTTGCCAGGGCGATCGATAACAACGGTCCTTTGTTCTGTGTTGAGATGGGACCCAGCGATGCTGCTTTGAGAGTGCTGCTTGCTGTGATTTCATCACGGCGATAAAAGTTCGAAGAGTATGTGCGCGATTGATTTAAACAGTGCTGATCACAAAGATCCACTGGATCTTGGTCCAGTAAGGGGCCAGGTACACCCTTGTTCATATAGTTGGGCAATTCAAAGAAGCCAGCCGTAGTGTTCACAGTGATTCTGTAAAGAGCTTTGTTTCCCGCTCCTTGACTGACATAACTTCCTGGGCTAAACTCTTCTTGTGTCATATTGAGATAGAGGACCTCAGAGAAATCTTGCCGGTTACGTGTCATCTGCCAAGGTGATTCCGTCATATTTCCTGGCATGCACGCAATGACATCCCAAGAATAAGTAGTGTACCACGAGTATGAAGATGAATACTCGGCATAAAATGCGTCTGAGCTTGAACGGCAGTTGACCGGAAACTGAGACGCTTCTATGATCTCATATGTAGCCGTGGAGTTCACACGTGGTGCAAATTGACGAATCAGTCCTGTATTGAAACCACCCGGAAGCTGGGAGTAGAACGTCTGAGAGGACATATCGTTGAGACTCAAGAATTGTACTCCACTGTCGTTACTCCACAAATTAGGTTGGAAGGTACCGCTGTTCGCTTTGTTGAGGGCATCGCGGACTTGCACCACGTCCATGCCGACATTGCCGACATTGTTTGATGCTGAATACGAACCACCACTCAAGCCGAAGTCGTACATAGCGACTCTTTGTTCGGGATAAGTCCGGACTTTGACAGACCCCGAACTGAGAAAGAGCGACTGGATGGGATATGTGATGAGACCAAACACCCAGATGAAGATTGCGGCGGCCAGAAGTGTGCTGCCGTATTGCCTCCATCTCCCAAAAATCAGTGCTGGATACAAAGAAAAGTCCATCCACTTGCGGTCAGCCAACGTTGTGACTTGGCGTAGCCGAAGGCCCATAGAATCCTTTTGATTCTGCGCAAAGATTACAGCGGCACTAGCACACACTGTGGAAATCCAGGGAAGAGTAACAACTTGGAGAAATGTCTGAATAGTCCGCACAGAACGATAGATTTTTCTCTCTCGATGGAAATCTGCGTCCTTCTTATTATCGTAAAGGTAGTGTGACCCTTGGATCGAGTACACCCAGGAATTGGCTTTGAGGGGGCGGATTGACAGTATTACCGTCATGGCCCAGGTATAGATAACGAGGCCCACGTAAATAATTGAGAATAGAGATACCCAGGCTGATCGATGAAGCAATGTACTGTGCCCTAGAGTTTGTCCCGTTGACCCCACCTGGTTATATGATGGAGGCTCCTCGTCATGTAGCGGGGAATAATTGGATGAGGAATCGCGTCCAGTGTATCCAGCGTGTTCAGGGGGCTCTTGGTTCTGGAGACTGTCTGAGCTCGGGAGTTCCCGTAGATGGACCGCACCGCCTGTTGTCTCCATCTTGTAATTTGTTTCACCCCAACGCGGAGCTGTCTGAGGGAAAGAAGGAAACAAAACAAAAGAGATGTGAAATATCTAGCCCATAGCAAATGTGTTGTACGTTTTATTCCCCAAACACTAATTCCTACTGCGGCTCGGGGCTGAACATAACCCCCTAAACGAGCGCCCTGGGCGCCCTGAGCGCCGATCCATGCTACGGTTCCATTATTAGCTCAGTTCCAATTGGACGACAGTGGATGTGGCGCATAGAAAGCACGGCGCTATTGGCCAGTGCCGGTTTACCCCAGCTAAAAGCACTATTTTATTCCCTTATACATATGTTGAAGAATTTCTGCCTTCAAGTGGGAGTATTGATGCCTGTGGGTTCAGTCATTACATTATAGGTGAAAAAATAAAGTAGGAGTATTTAACGTCTGTCAAAACAAGAAGAAATCCAATTGAGGAATTATCATAGTCCGAGTCGTTCACGAATTTTGACATGTTAATTACACGAGGATGATAAAGTTGATTGTCAATATACGGAAGAAGGCTCAATTATATATCTGTTTAGAGTAGCACCACTTATTATCAGCATGTGTTTAGGTAGTAATATTAGAGGTCTAAACGCTTAGAGCCTCACAAAAGAGATAACGAAAGGGAAAGCCAAGACGCAGAGGAAATCCGGTAGGAAGTATGTAGGCGACGGGCAATATCAGTTGTGTCGAATATACGGTGCAGTGCTGCGCCTGGGTCCTCAAAAGTCGCCAGAGCGGCGGATTCAAGTATTTGTGGTGTGAACCTTTCATCTTCTATGAGTTCGAAAATGTGTTTGGCTAGGCGCCTAAATAATAATGACCTCTTCATTCATGAAAGTAAGAGTGGCCCCCATGGCTAATTTCGTCAAACCGGCAACTGATCCGAGCATAATTTTGCCCGTATCTTCCAAGCTCCCGTAGCCGAATAGACACCCAGTCTTGATAAATTTGGTCCGAAGTTGCGATGCCCGCAATGAATAATGACCAGGTAATCCGGACTAAAAGGCGCGGCCGGCTTCGGTGCAGTTTCAAACTTAGTTCAAGGACTAAAGACACCGCAGTTGTTACAGGGAGCATGCTGTGATTGTAGCTTTGGAACTCGGGCCGACCGGTTACGAGACCTTCGAAGCAGAGATGGAAATAGACAACTGTGCCGTAATATGTGATGGCTGACCAAAAAATGGTCTCCATAACGCGACGGTCGCCAGCGAGATCACAGGAGGGAGATGTGCTGGCGGAGGTGAGGATTGTATCATATTCCTAAATCGATTGGTTAGAAAAAATAAGACCGGAAATTGATGATCATCAATAGTTGCGTTCCATGTACTCACAATAGACAATGTGTTTATTTCTTTGGCAATCCGTTGGTATGAACAACCTTCACCAAAGCTGATATCTGGACCTGAACTATGTTTGAAAATTTCCGTAATTTCGAATTGAACCACATGGCTACGGTGATATAGTGTCAAGCCCGGAAGATTTTCTAAATCATCCAGCCGGGACGACATGGGGTATCCATCGCCCCAGAAACGGGAAGGGGACTGCCTGCTCAGCCTGTAGAGCTCAGGAAGGCTAAGCGCAGTATTTCCGGTCTCAGATTGTAAGAAAAAACGAAAAATGTCAGTATCCAGTCGTGCGGTTTCAGAGCGAAAGAAAAGAGCTGCAGGAGTGAAGAAGTAGAGTGTCCAAAGAAGGAAAAGGGGGACACACGTGCCACCCAGTCCGTCTATCGACCCTGCAGGTGGCGCAAGAGTAGCAGAGTCTGCATTTCTTGCATATTCACCTAAAGTAGGACCGTTTATAGGGGCTTCGGTTTGCTGCAAGGAGAGTTGGCTGTCCGTAATGGCAGCTGGGAGCGTGTGGCACTGAAGCAAAGGGACAATGTGGTTATGGAGAAGTGTCTCAATGCCCCGGATATGAATATTGATCGCGGATGCACCACTGCCAAAGCGGTTCTCATAATCTATCATCAACCAAAGTGTGATAAAAATAGCCTCGATCTGCTGTGGAGATTTCACCTCCTGCTTGAGAGCTTCTCTGAGACTCGACAAAGCTCGCCCGTAATGTACCCTGCCATCCATGTCTGATCGTTCACTGCTCGGCAGATGACCGAGGGAATTATCCATGTCATAGAGTTTAGACCGGTAGATCTCCCTCGCAGCACTAGCCAACATCATGCTCATGGCCATAGGCTCTTTAGTCGCTATTTTGTGGTACGCGTAAGAGACAGTTGACCATGGCCAGTGCTTTCCGAGAACTACAACCAACATTGAATCCTGAATATAACTTAAGCATTCGCGATCAAACCCTGACAGTGACAAGGAATTGGCAGCCTGGATGCTCTGACCCTGCACAGAAGGTGGATTTCGGGTTGAGAGTGATTGCTGTAGATATGATGTAATTTGTAGATGAGATCCCTTCCTTGCAGTTCGGGAGTGATTCACAGTGCTGGCTTCATCACTTGGGGATCTTTTGGAGGATAGATCTGTCGAGGTACGCGTCGACCTGCGCGGGATTGGGTCGCCTTTCCACTCGCAAAGGATCCGCGCGGCCAAGCATCGCGCGCATTGTGGCTCCTCATGCGCTTGACTTGGTAATTTTTCCTCGTCGCACTTCACCTTGCGGATACGGCACGTTCGGCAACCTTTACGAGCTGTTAGCCCCGGGGTTGATGCAAGGGAGAAGGTCTGTGGATCCTTGCCTGTCCTGGAACGGGTCTTCCCCGATTTATGCATTGTTGTTCAACCAGCCTAAGGGGAAGGTGTTCTTACAATGTTGTATTTGTCTCGGCTGACACGTTTTAGGAACAATTTTGAAGTACAAAAACAGTCGCCTAATAGACTTTAGAAAAGCAGACAATAAGATATGAGGGGAAAGAACCAAGGAAAACTTGGTTATTGGGAGCCGAGTCGATGATGCCGATTGGCTGCGTCGGCTACCCCCATGCGCTGCCCAGAGTATATCGCGTGGGAGCCTTTTGATTGGTCAATCTACTGTTTTATCGTTACAATCGCCTATACTCCAACTAATGATAGGAAAATCTTGGGGAAGAGGTATTTAAGAAAGGGAACATCACGAGAATCTAAATTCCTCACTGATAACAGGCTCAAAATGCAATTTTCCGAATCTCAAAGCCGATTCCTCGGCAGCGTGCAGGATGCGCTTTGCCGCTATGACCCGCAATTGAAAGATATCAATCATAAAGTACGGTTGAAATTGGGACCAATACGAAGAAGATCGCTAACATCAAAGTCAGATTTGGTCGAATCCTGAGCTTGCATATGCAGAGTTCGATGCTCACAACCACATTTGCAAGCTTTTTGAAAGTCTCAAATCTGAAGGATATTCAGTCACCCGCAAAGCGTATGATCTCGAAACCGCTCTGGAGGTTGAATATACCTACGGAACTGGAGGCCGTGTCGTGACTTTCAATGCTGAATACGATGCTCTTCCCGGAATTGGACATGCGTGTGGTCACAACCTCATCGCAACCAGCTCGATTGCTGCCTTCATTGCCACATGTGAGGCCATGAAAGCTCAATCACAACAATTATCCGGAAAGGGGTTTACCCTCCGTCTTCTGGGCACTCCAGCTGAGGAGTCAGGGGGTGGAAAAGTGCGCCTGCTCAACAAAGGAGCCTACAAGGGCGTAGATGCCTGCCTTATGGTGCACCCGGTCCCGATGATGCTAGACAACCCGAAGCTGATGGGAATGGCAACCGTCCTCGAAGGTGGATACCTCGCTAATGACAAAGTCAAAGTCACTTTCACTGGCAAGCCAGCACATGCCGCTGCTGCCCCTTGGGAGGGTATCAATGCGCTGGATGCTGTAGTTTCAGCATATGTCAACATTTCAATGCTTCGCCAGCAGATTCTTCCGACCCAGAAGATCCATGGGGTTATTATCAATGGCGGTGACCGTCCCAATATTATTCCGATGTCTGCGACTGTAGACTACTATATTCGCTCGCCGACCGTGAAGACACTCCAGCCTCTGACGGAGAAAGTGGTAAAATGCTTCGAGGCTGCTGCGACTGCCACTGGCTGCAAGGTTGAGTTTGACTGGTATGTTTACATGCTTCGGGACTTGGATTGTAAAGCAATTAACCCTTTTACATTAATAGGGGCATCTCATATGCCGATTTGAAAACCAACCTGCCGATCTGTGAAAGCTATGTCTCTGTAATGCGCGCCCTGGGGCATCACACTTTACTTGATAACTCAACACAAAAGAGCACATTAGCCGGAGCGTCTACCGATATGGGTATGTATCAAATGAAAAGCTTCTTCGGTTTGTAATGCATTTGCTGAGTTATCTTCTAGGCAATGTTTCATATGCAGTCCCTGGATTCCACGGCATCTTCACTATTCCCACCGAGGGAGTCAACCACACACCCCAATTTACCAAGGGCGCCGGATCGGAGGAGGGCTTCAAGAGGGCACTCGCCTGTGCAGCGGGAATGGCCGTAGTTGCTTGTCAAATACTTGTTGATGATAAATTTGCCGAGGATGTGAAGAGAAACTTTGAGGAGAATTGACTAAGCGCGGAAGTGACAAACCTTGGAAGCCAATGTTTAAACTGAGATTTGATTTTCAAATGCATGAAGACTTTCCTATCTTTTGAGAACCTTGAACTCGGAGTCTTTCGGATTTTGTATATGAAACGCCTCTGATGGTAACATTGCGCTCCTGACAAGTATACCCCTCACGTACGACGATACTGGATAGCTTTAAAATCAGAAGACCAATCAGAGGCGCTATATCGGATCTGAAGCTTCGGTTGCAGTTCTTGGTATCTTTCCAGCCCTCACAATGCCAAGGTCTTACTAGTTTGCCGAAACAGCCAATGGGAAAATGAGAGAAGATGTCTCGGCCTTCTGTTATCTAGACCTGTGATTTTGCGGGGAAAGCTTTACTTTCTTATCAAAGTAAAGTATACCACATGTGAAGCATGCCTCCCACATAAATAGACAGGTTGTTGCCGCACAGGACACTCTTCGGTTCTGCTTCCATTTGCAGCTTCTTCTTGCTCCTCATTCTTTTCAAAATGTCGAAAGACTCAATCAAGAACGAGCAGCGGTACTGCGATAAGGTGGATGGCCCAAGTGTTGAAAATGGTGCCCTTGAGTCTTCATTCCAATTTTCTGCCAGCGCAGAGAAAAGGCTGGTTCGGAAAATTGATTTGATGTGGGTTATTTTGAGAAGCGAGACCTTTCCCATGGAGCTTCACTAATGATTTCTGTCTAGGGTTCTTCCAATCATGCTGTTCGCCTACATGATGGCTTTTCTGGATAAACAGACATTGAACTACTCTTCCCTTATGGGTATTCGAGAGGACCTTCATCTAGTCGGCTCCCAGTATAATTGGTCATCCAGCATATTTTACTTCGGATACTTGTTCTTCTCGTAAATATTCCCTTCCCTTATGATGATCTTGCATTGTGGCTAATAACTATCAGGTACCCAGCATCCTTGTTGATGGTCAAGTTCCCACTTGGCAAATATCTCTCTACGGTCTTGTTAGTAGCCCACTTTCTATTTGGCCAGCCATTAGGTCTAACAAAGATATAGCATTTTGTGGGCCATCGTTCTGGCCTGTCATGCAGCTACTACGAACTTTGCTGGTCTGATGGTGGCACGTTTCTTTCTCGGGTGTACAGAAGCAAGCCTCTCCCCAGGCTTTACATTGATCACTTCTCTTTGGTACAGAACATCTGAACAACCACTTCGTCATGGTATCTGGTTTTGTGGAAATTCGTTATCTTTGATCTTTGGCAACTTGATCGCCGTTGGAATCCTGCAGATTGAAAATAGTCTCAAGGCATGGCAGGTGAGCTTCAAAACCAAGGATCTAATCCCTAGCCATCATCACTCATATTATCTTGCAGTGGCTATTCATCATTTTTGGAATCATTACATTCCTGTGGGGAGTTGTCATGCTTTTCCGACTCCCCGATTCGCCGACTACCGCAAGTTTCCTCACCAAAGAGGAAAAGCTCATTGCAACAGAACGACTTAAGGCGAATCAAACTGGGTTCAAAAACTCGACCATTGATAAGTCGCAGATCATGGAAGCATTCACGGATGTCAAGACTTGGTTGCTTGCAATCTTGATATTGGCTGGCAACATCCCAAACGGTGGTTTCACAGCGGTCAGTCAATGATAAAAGGCTCAATATAGTCAATGGGACTCGTGCTGATATGTTGCAGTTCAACGGCTTGGTCCTACAAGGGTTCGGCTTTTCAACTTTCCACACACTGTTGCTTGGTATACCAGGTGGTGTGATTGTTTTCATCTTCGTGTTGCTGTCGTAAGTTCCTTTTTTAAGACCTTATTTATGAGTTGTGCTGAAATACGCCTTTAGGGGTGTAATTTCATCAAACGTGCCTAATACTCGGTGTCTCGTTATGATCGGATGCAACGTGATAAGGTAACAACATTCCCCTTTTCAAAGTTAACGAATCAGAAGTCTGCTAACGCCTCAAACAGTATCGTTGGCAGTGCTCTTGTCTATGCTACTGGCTCTGTAGGTTCCCGTTACGCAGGCCTGCTTCTCATGGGGATTTACTCCGCTGCAATGCCTATCTCGATGGCAATGATCAGCTCCAACGTAGGTGGTTTTACAAAGAAAGCCACCGTCAGTGCAATTTACTTCATCATGTACTGCACCGGCAATATCATCGGCCCGCAGCTATTTTTCGAGAGAGAAGCACCAAAATATCAGGTATGTTTTCAACTCTGTATTAACCACCTACTGGAAGTATTATTAATCATACGATAGAGTGGATTCCTGGCTATCATTATTTGCTTAATTGTATGTGTGGTTGACGGGTTCGCCCTTCTATTCTATCTGCGTTGGACAAATATTAGACGCGACGAGCAGCGCGTGGTGGGGACGGTGTCGGAGAACCAAGAGAAACATGACGTTGCTCCTCAGACACAGTTGCTCGATACTACAGATCTAAAGAACAAGGGTTTCAGATATGTCTTTTAGTCATTGATCTGGAGAAATCAATTGAAAACTCGAAGGACACTGCGGTCAGACACTGGGGGAAACAAACGTAGGTATATCCCTTGTATAAATCATATCAATTTATGCATTACTATCGAAATCGCTTAGTTATTGCTCATTAACCCTTCAACCGTTCAATCCATTTGACATTGCAATCGTGAACCTCGACGTGGTCTTTTCCGTAGTTCCCTTCTGAAAAGTATCTTCATCTGGACTCAAAATAAAACTTTTCTAGCAGCATTGATTCCCCCGAGATCCCACCTCTGCGGTGCGGTCTTGTCCATCCAAACCGACCAGTCTCCCCAAAACGCCGGGCGCATAATCTGCGCATACTCCCAGTACTCAGGATACCACCCCGCCCATTCCCAGTCAAGAACACCGGTGACATTGTTCTGCTCGTCCACGAGGATATTGCGCGGCGCAATATCTGCATGCGTGAACACCGAGGACTCCGAATGAGGTAGCATATCCAGTAGTTGATTCTCATACCGACTACCTCCATGGTAGAGATACCGTTCGTAGATTCTCGAACGCAGATCCGAGTCGCTCGAAATTGGTCGCGCGGGCTCTTGTAGATCTTCTAGCATCGCATCCCGGGATAGAGAGCCATCCGCGGCACACTGATAAGGTCCCTCAAGCTCTTGTGGACGAGCGATCTTTCGGATCTTTGAAATTAGATCCCAGAGTTGAAGGCAAATTGACTCTTTGGCCTTGTCGTCTAGGTTATCCCATTTCTGTTCTAGGGTTATCCCGGAAATGATAGTCATCCCAATAACTCCTTCCGATGGACGATAATCGGGCTTGAAATACTCTTTTGGTGTCGTTATCCCTTTATCAGGATCGAAATGGGTGAAAAGCACTTCGGGGACGGGGATATCGTTCTGCTTAAAGACAAGTCTCATCGCTTCGGCTTCGGGAGATCGCACCCCAACCCCCGACTTGGTGACCCAGGAAGAGTCCCACTCAAGTACAAGTCTGCCCATTTGTTTATCGAGCACAGCAATTACCTCTTGGTCGTCTTGGAGGTTGAGCTCGAGTGCATTCAGAGACGATGGACATGGTGTTATCATGTTGCCCTTCTTGATATATCGATGCCCCTTATGAAGATTCTGTCGTTCATAAGGAACGTCGGTCGAAGGTCCGGTCATTTTGCGGGTATTTTTGTGATCCAGCGGTTGCATTCAGCTGGATGGCAATGATGAGGTGGTGGAAATCTGGCAAAGCCATGTTGCTGGGGTATGTAGGAAGAGGACCCGTTATCAATCGCCAGAGCACGTGGATTTCCATGACATTCCTCATTCTCAAGATACAGTTGAAAATCGATCAATATTCTCTACTGTCTTTCGCATTCTCCAATATTTTCTGCTTCCAACCAACTTGGATTTTAGATCTTTGCGAATTTAGTAACCCCCGGATGATCAATATATCTGTCTAGTATAATGTGGCGTAGTATACCAAAAGGAAATCACCCTACAACCTTTTTCGCCCCGCAGGCCTACGCCCGTGGCCTATATCCAATCCCGCAAGTATAGATATTGATCGGGGGAGGTTTCACCCCCTTCTATTAGTACTACAATGCAAAATCAGTGACCAAGGAGGGAGAGCAAGATCATATGTATCGCCGGCTACGTCTATAATCATAAGAGGCCTTCACATCACCACTGCATGCATGAACACCTCATGAAAATCCCATCCCCCACACCTACGTAGTCACCTACGTAGAGTGTCCACTCCCAAGTCCAGTTCGTAGATATTTTCGCTTTCCATCAAAACTCCTAAAGCCATGCTAACCCGTGATATCGTAAAGAAGATTGGTTTCGGTCCCGCTCGGATGATTGTCTATGCGCTGACACCGGGGAAGCACTCGGGGAGACCCTTGCTGTGCTTGTTGGAGGCGTGCTCGAGGAGGCTATAGCCGCGCAATATGTATGTTAGCAAGGAAACCCATATACACCGACAGGAACGAGGATATTCGCAGGGTCCGGAGGTGTGAAATCACGTACGCAGGTGCCTTGGTGGTCTGGAGGAAAGTCTGTCTGCAGATCTGGCACTGGATGCTCATGGCCTTCTCGTTCTAGACAAGAATATGGGTCAGCGACTGGATGGACAATATGGATGTTGGAGACGACGTTAACGTACGCTCTTGGTCTGCGACTTGGCGGTCTTCTGGTCCTTTGCGTTGCGCTCGCGCTTCATGTTGGCCTTGGCTCCCTATCGAGTATTGTTAGTTCACTGCGCGTTGATGGGTCCAAACAAAGAGCTTAGAATGGTCTGGCGTCGTCTGTATGGCTTGGGGATTCCTTCTTACGTTGCCCATTTTTGCGGTATTTGACTTGACGTCTGAAACGAGAGAAAGGGTTCAAAGAGGGGAATGCGATGGGATGTGGGCGTGAGGAAGATCTGTAATCTTTTGTAAAAAAAATTGTAAGCCCCGGTCTTAGGCCCCACGTGGGGCGGGGACAAACTGATTACTAAGCATGTCTATATCTCGATCGGGCAAGCCTGGAATTTATCGGAGATTCAACTCACAACGCGTATAGTAAACAGTGTGCCGAGGGGGAGAAGGTTTCAAAATAAAGGCTTGCAGGAGTATTTTTTGAACGCAAATCCTTTCGAAGTGGAGACCTACATATAAATACCAAGATCAGTCCATGCAACGTCAACATCTGATCCATCCTTCGCAGGTGAAGGAACAAATAAATTCCAAACTTTGTGGTAATCATGGATGAATGGAGGTTTTGGTATCGAAGAGACCTCAGCGCAGATATAGATTCTCAGAGGACGATGTTAAATATCACGGCAATATCTACCTTTCACTCTACACTCAAAGTTTGTTATTATGACCACTACTTCTGCGCCTAGCTATCTGGAATAATGAAAATATCAATATTGTTTCAATTATTGGAGTCGCAAACTAGTGGGACTCTGAGTATCGTCTGCTATTAATGGATCCGATCGAGAATGCGCCTATTATCAGCAAGTGGATATAGGAGGGCCCTGCGGATGGTACCGTGGGGCAAGAAGCTGACAACCGCGGATGCAATGAACATCATCAGGATAAACAATCCATCGGATTTCGTCAACAGACAGGCACTTGTCCCTTGGGATTTGGATGGTCTTCCACCTGTAACCTGGCCTGTTCCAGCTGTGCCAGCCTGGCTGAGAAGTGCCTTGCAACTTCCAGAAGGATCCTTGGCAGACTGAATTGACGCTGCTCCCTTAAAATCGCACGCCGACTGATCCTTCTTCTGGTCTTGATAGTAGCGGTCGAAGACATAGGAGAGTTGATCTTTGCTGGCGCATATGCTGTAGGCACCGTACTGTCCCGTGGTTGCGTTCTCGGAAATTCCATCGCAGGCGCTCTTGTCGCTTCTGCACACTGTACCGAACAAGGTACCGTATTGATCTGCATGCAGAGATTGACTGACTACACACGAGAGACTGTCCACCATGCATGAACACAGGTCTTTGTTCGGAGAAGGTGGTAGGGGACTGGACTTTGCCAACCACATGTCATTGACGGTGGGACACGCGTGCGGAGAGTTTGTGGGGGTGTAACTGCCGCTGTTGACACCGCTGGGAGTCGCAGTCTGAATTTCCTTGGAGTAATAGCTGAAGTCTGGCTGGGTGCTGACAGATTTTCCGTCGACAGAGACGAGGCCGTAGTTGTTGGTACTTTCAAAGTACATGTAGACAATGCCACCACTCCAGACATCTTCCATGTCGTGTCCGAAGATCGCAGAAATGTCGCCAAACTTGCGAGGCCTGACCGTATTGCATCCATACTCGGAGAAGAATATTGGGACAGGGTAATCCTTGTACTGCTCTGTGAGGTTTTTGTAACCAGAGCCCTGGAACGTGTTGTTCCCACACCACTCGTACATGTTGTAACCGAAGAAGTCGATGGCGGTAGACTGATCTCCACAGCTGAGATAGTCGGACAGCTCGTTGCGAAAGTCTGGCTGGTCGGTAGTCGCATATCCAAAGCTCAAGGACTTTCTGTATCCCTTTGCTTTGACATAGGATTTCATGTCGCGCACTGCTGCTTTGACAAATGCTGAACCAATCGTTTCGTTGACTTTGTTCACAACCTCGTTCCCGGCAAAGAATCCAATCACATTGTCATACTGGTGCAATGCATCAACCACGGCAGTGTATCGATCGTATTGTGCAACGGTCCAAGTTGGCGAGTTGGAGGTAATCGACAACTGAGGAGACGAGAGATCGGCGATAACATAAATTTCTGCATTGGCCAATTTCTGCATACAAGCATCGTGGTTTTTGGTTGGGTCAACAGCGTAGATTCGGATGACGTTGGTCCGCAATTGCTGGAGGTACGGGATATCACGTTCGCAACGAGAGACGTCCACCAGAGGATCAGTGTAGTGAGTCTCAGTTGATTGACCGGTACCTGTGGCTCCGGCGGCATTGTAGTCCTCTAGATAGTGTCAGTTTAGGGCCATGGGAAGATCTGTCCTGTGTCGAGCATGCATACCCTGATAGGCTATACCACGGATGTAACTAGTCGCGGAATTAGTCACTGAAACAGTTTAAAAATGTCTGTCAACTCACAATTGCGTGCCATTGTTTGCATAGAAGAACTTAGATCCCTGTGAATTGACCGGTCAGTTGCTTATCCCTCAAGCAGTGTAGAAGTACTTGCTTTGATCTCGATTTGAGGAACACTGGCTATGGCACCAGCCAACAGCAGGAATAATCCCGCTAGAACAAGATGGATTCGCATCTTACCTGTACCCGGGTCAGTCATGATGATTGTTATGGATAAATATGAGAGAAATAACCAAGCTTGGCGATACGAAAACTGGGGGGGTTTGTGTAACAGTTGGGACGCGTTGTTTACGAAGAACAGAAAAGAGGAAAGCAGAAGGAGGTGAGAAACAACGTCACCTTATGTCCACGGGTACCACGTGCTACCTGGGCAGCTCCGACTGCCTATCATACAAAGTAGGAAGCGACGAGGCGGTATCTGACCGCCTCGCATTGTCTTTACGAGTTGGGGGGAAGGGGGGATATCTTCAATTCGAATGGCTGCGAGTATATACCCGTGTATTGGATTCATTTCAATTATAGATGCAAGTATCGATATTCCGATGGAGGAGTTGTACGCCTTACCCTATACTTACTTCTCCACAGTAGATTTTCATTATCTATACTCATATTTGTGTTGGAAAGTCCTAAAACCCTCGATTAGAAAAGCAGAATAAGGCTCGCATACCCGAGCCTGCTGTTTCTAGTAGCGCCCGAAGTGCGTCTTATTCGGGTACTTGCAGTGGAGAACATCTCAAACCTGGTCTAGTTTATACCTATGTACATGCCTTGCGTTTGCCTCGATATCCTGGTCTTGGCAGAGTCAAGCTTATGAAATGTCCAAGTGGAGTATATATGTACATCCAGCTCCACCAGTCACCAAAGCGATCTGCTCCCGACGTCGGCAAGATCCGACTTTGCAACTGATCCACATGTTATTTATATCGATCCACCTAGGGTAGAGCTTTGTCACGTGCCCAGTCTGCGGGAATTACCGGTTAGAAACGGAGAAACCCGGGCCTTCCCTACTGTTGACCAACCTCCCACCTGGGCACCTGGCAACCTCGGAAGGTTCGTACCTTAACTTACTACTGAATTGAACCCATTGTTATGAATCTTTAATCCACCGTCTTTACCCCTGACAGTCAAATTGCACCTGTTCCTCTTGCTGTTCTGATCGGCCACTCTCGTGTTCTTTGCTTTCATCCTACTAAGCATCCACTCTCTCCTGAGGTCCCGATATTCCAATCTAATTACGTACGGCGTTGGACATGAGCCTCTAGTTGTTGTGCTCTAGGCGGTTAAAAATCTGAACCTTGGCAATACAAGGCTGCCAGTACCTATAGTGGTATGGTCGGTCTTGTTCGGACATGTCCACTACACAGAATAGGCGTCAGCCTTAATATGGTCTCTCGAGGAGATACATGTAGACGTTTGAATTTCTGTTGATGGGGGATTGAAAATGATAAACGGGAAAACGGGACACTTGGTTGATATACCATGCATGCTAAACAAGTAAACCGAAAATAGATAAAACTCCAGGGCTCCTGATGATAGTTACATAGTATCCATGGATGTTCCTTTGAATCTCTAATCCTGTCTCTTTGGGATTCTAGCGAAAAATGACATCCCACCTGGGGAAGTGAAAAAAAAAAGGGGGGGGGAAAGACAAAAGCAAGGCAACCCGCTGCTCTTCGCTCATTATCGTGCTTCTAATCAGGCCGCAGCAGGTGGTGGTGGTGGTGGTTGTGGTGATGATCCTTCTTGCTGATCTTGCTGCTGTTGCTGCTGTTCCTGTTCTTGCTTCTGCTTTTTCCGCTCCTTTGCTTCTGCATCTTCCTTCTTCCACGAGCCCTCGTAATGATGTGTCACCAGAGGGTCGCCTTGATCCGTCGGGTTTCCGTTTTGAAGAGCAGCGAAAGAGACTCCGGGCATGATCAAAACATCTCCAACCAGCTTGGGTTGTTTAGTCTGTGCATAATCACGATCATCAACGGTCCTGCCGAGCAATTGTTCGAGACTCTCCATGATCGCGATCGTCATAATCTTAGGCCCCGTCACGTTGACCACGTCCGAAAGCATTTCTAAGGTAATCCCTTCAATGCTCACGGCGTTTGCTTGCGCAATGCCCTTCAATTTATTAAGGACAGTGTCAACAATAACCTGAAGATTGCGTGAAGACTTCCGTGCAACAAATATCCAGTTGCAGAACTGGGAAGCAACTTCTGTCCCCGGTCCCCGCCATTCAAAGTCGAACTCCAACCCGACAATCATATCGATGTTCTCATTTCTGTATTCCAACGGTACCCACTCGGTGACTTTTTTCTCGCACGAGGTGTCTAAATCGCCCCAAATTCCACCTTCTGCGAGTACAACCAAGTACCGGAACAGATCCGCACGTAGGATCGGGATTGGAAGGGCTTCATAGACTTCGACGATATCGGGTCGGGTTTTGAAATAATGAGCGCGAACGAATGCTTCAGCCGATCGATCGGTCAACAATTCTTGGCGGAGAGAAGGATTCTTTCTTGTCCAGCTGCCGGTCCATTCGCGTTGATTTTCTGATATATTATCAAACTTGGCGGAATGCCAGACCTTGTCTGGAAGCGTATAAATGGGTGCAGTGGTAGTAGTAGGATGATTGTCGCTAGTCGAAGGTCCCTTTGGAGGCACTGATATTGAGGCTGTGTCCCCTGTGCCTGTCGTGGTCGTCTCCGAATTCTGCGGTATAGTGGGGCTAGAAACCAAGGTGGGTGTTTGTCTCCACGAGTAAAGATAACAAATGAGCGCAAATGGAATTATAAGAGCAACGGTTAAGCGCAAGGAGCGCGAGTTCTTTAAGTTGGTTGACATTGAAAGGATGAGTGAAGAGCCTCAAAGGTGACACGAGAGGGGGAACATTGTTAGGATATATGAAATCCGATCAAAGAAACCGGATGTCCAACGAAATCAGCACAATGTCGCTCACCTCTAAATTTACACTAGCGTGCGGCTGAGCCCACCGGATTTTCCGTAATTTACCTCGCCCCACTATGTGATTCGAGTCAGTAGAGTAAATTGACAATTATTAAGCGGATTTGGGCGTTTGTTCCCCTATTAGCCTATTGCCAAGCCGATCTAGATTGCTTAAACACGCTTGATTGGTGTACAGAGTCCACAATTGAGTGGAAAAGATATAACGGTGAAATTTCATATTTCCTGAGACCTATACCTACTCCATACTAGTAGTCTCGCTGGCGTCAAATTAGTGCGAAACAGCGTAACTATTAAATATGATGCATATTTTTCCGGTCAGCCCCCTTTTCTCGCTTTGCCAGTTCCCCACTTTCCACTGTTGGTATAAGCAAGACGGTTTTCCTGGAGAACCAGGCTGAGCCACGTATTGTTCGGTCATTATACTCCTTGACTCTGGTCAGTCCCTTTTTGAATTATAGTCCACCACGTGGATGTGCAGCAATTCTAATCGGTCTGTTTTGGGTTGATAGATACCAAGTTTGAGAGGAATTCAATGATTCTCACTTCGTTGTCACGTTTTTGGTCATGCCTTACGACCATCTTTCTCGGCGGAGGTCTTTGGCCCTATGGAGTCCATGGCCAAACCACTGAGTTCAACACTTCGGTGCAAAGTGAAACTGGTTTTATGGGATGGTATTTGGGCCCGTCAGCCAGTGAGAATACCTTCTAACAACGCTTTTACCTTTTATTTGAGCTTTACTAACCTCTCTTTCACAGCCGAGGCAATGACGGACGCACATACATGGACTACATCAGGGAACTATGCAGTCGGTTGCGACGGGACTTCATGCAGATTTGCCACAAACTGCAATAACAACCAGATCACATATGATGATGGTGCCACAGGTTCTTGGTGAGTTACCAATCAATATCAGTAGATTCCAACCGATAAATGTGAATATTGACTTGGACCCTGTTCCCTTCCTTAGTGACAGCGCTACATGTGTCACCATGACAATCTTTCAAACATTCCCTTACGCAACACCCTCGGCGAGTAATATCTTCTGTGGGTTTCATTGGGAAGCAAACACAATATATCGCGAATTGCAAGCAACAACAACAACTGAGTCAAGTACTGTGCTCCATCATAATCCTTTCAATGAACAGGATCTATAGATCGAATATCTCGACTAATCACAATTGCAGCCTCCTCTCCAACCCCATCCACTACAACTTCACAACGATCCCCCACAGCTACTACAGGTCTAGCAAAAGATTCGCAAGCCAGTCAATCACCAACCCCTACCGTGGCTCCAACAACAACAAGTTCTAGCAAAGCTTGGATTGCGGGTGCTGTCATTGGTCCTCTTGCAGGTGTCGCAATCATTGCGGCCCTCGTATTCTGGCGGATCTATCGCCGAAAGCAAAAGGAACCGTCCTTGTCACAAGAACAGCCGTTTATGAGCCACGGTCCTCCACAGCCACCACAACCACCCGCGGGATACCCGCTGGAACCTTATAAGCAAATGCACGAATTGCCCAATACCCAAACTCCGCGTGTATATGAGCTAGGCTCGAATGATGAGAGGTAGGAGACCTGTGGTGAAATTGAACTGGCCAAATCATTTGATAAGTATAAGCTCCACGATGATGGTGGACATGGTATTGGAACTCAACTATATGTTGGTGATTTAAATGTAGCCCCATGATGCGTTGAGTTGTTGGTTTACATATTAATCAGAGAGAGAAGAAATTTTGTACATGTTAATGAAGCGAAAGATGAAGCTAACACGGCATTTTTATTGAGTACATAGTTCCTTTTTCATATTTGGCGCACTTCCTGCCAACAAATAGATTTTCCTCATTTCATCTTTGAGGTCATGAGCAAACAACTTAAAATACTCGCTATACATAATGCACCACAAGTATCATGTCCGCTCGAATGTATTCTCCGCATCAACATCCACGCAGTGCGCAGCAAATTTGCTCGCCTTCCTCAGACGTTCCCCATATATCCTCAGTACAGGCGACAAGATACAAAACCCAGTGGCCAAACCAGCCAGAACACACATCGCTCCATTCGGTCCCAGCTCACTAAACATCCGCCCAGAAAACAACGGAAACGAAGCGGCCAACACACAGCGTACCAGACCTAGCGCCGCAAACCCACTAGCCGAGTACGACCGATAGCTGTCCGACATGTACCCCACCAGCACAATGCCGAACTCGTTGATCGCGAACCCGGTCAGGAATAACGGCACCACGGATGCGAAGTAATGCACATGCACGGCGGGTGGGATCGTCCACGCGAACCACCATAATGCGATCATAAGCACTGGTGCAGCAATAATATACCCGGTTAGTTTGTGCTCGGGGATAACGGGTTCGCCACGCTGGCGCCGGCGTGCTGTTTTGCGGTACTCTAGGAAGCGGGTACCGATGTTGGGAAGGAACCCGAAGCCGAGGGCCAGGAAGGGGAGACTGGCTTGCGTGGATGTGAGACCGAACGATTTATAAACCCCGGGCAGGATGTCTGTGAACAGGTAGATAAGTCCAGTGGAGATGCCGCACACGATTGAGACTGCTGCGATGATGGGCTCGGTAAAGAGGAGCTGGGCTGGTCGGAAGGCGAAATTTCGTGCGAACGACCGGATGTCTGGGACTCGGTCTGGGTTCAGTGCTTGGAGTGAATGATCACCAGTGATGCGACGCAGGTGTCGAACTTCCTGTGTTAGCAGAACTGTTGGGCGGGATTCACGAATCGTGAGCAGCAAGATGGCTAAAATTCCGGTGACTATGGCAGCCACGTAGAAAACCCATTGCCTATAATAATTTGTTAGTCTTCTGATCTTTGTCTGTGTATAGATGGCCTTCCTTGAGTCAGGACAGTACTTACCACCCCCAAGCAGCCGTGATATATGCGCTCATCACCGGTCCCATTGCGATACCCAAATTTGCCATAGCCATGTACGGCAGCGTAATCCATATAAGCTCCCTCGTGTCAAACATATCCTGCATGCTGCCATTGATAACCGCGCTGGGGACCGCAGACAAAAATCCTGTGATGAGCCGCCCTATAGCTCCTGCAGCAGGCAACTCCGACACCGAAATAAGCGCGCAGAATATACTGTACACTGCAGTGCTGCCCACATACAGGTTTTTTCGACCGTAGCATTCAGAGTAAGGAGGCAATACTATGCTACCAATACCTTGCGCGAGAAGATATCTTTTTGTTTTGTCTAGTAAGCATTTCCCGTAATACGCTCATAAAGATAGAGAAGGATATGTACTTACGTCGATATGTATAGGAACACGGACAGCGTCTCGTCAATTCCGAAGCGCTCCTGTGCATTTCTAGCAGCTGTAGCCTGAAAACAAGTCAGTATGTAACATATAATGCAATTCTGGATTCAATGACCTATACCCCTGATGTGCTGACTGCAGTCCTAATTCAAGAAATGGTTAGCGTCGATTATCCATACCCGAACGGGAAAACCAACGTATAGAATTCTAAGAAGATGATAATTGTAACATCATATGCCTTCCTTGAACTGCTCCAATTCTGCGGATGACGCGGGTTCATGGCAGCCCAACCCACGAGATTCTTCTCATCTCCAGTGCGCTTCAAACCTTGGATTTCGAGGGCGCGGTTTACCTCTAATCGGGTTTGGGTAGTAGGGATGAGCATAATGGTTACTGAACCATGTAGTGAGGTTAAGCTTAAATGGGTTGGGCCAGGAAAGGAACTTTATAGGATTGAGCCCGGGCATTCTTTAATTGTGTTTTTCTTATGAACACATATGTTTCAGATGTCATGTCAATATTAGTTGAACAGCAAGAAAACCCCGTATGTAGCTGGTAGATCTAGTAGATAGCAAGGGATAGTAATAAGGATGTTGAAGTTTTTGACCCACCGTGAGGACGTAAGCTCATAATCCATATAAGAAGTAGTAAAAGCTATGTTGATCTTACCATCATCATATCATCTCCCTTGTTTATCATACACATTCTCTGCACTCATTAAGAATGTGAACTAGAAACCGGGATTTGAAACGTTCTTTGTGGGTGATCTACGTGCGATAATGAACATTTCCAGACGGGTCTTACTAGTTAAGCGATTGTAGAATGCTGGTTATGAGTATGGACAAATTAACATACGGAGGATAATTGAGATAATGGGGTAGTTCTATACTTACGACGATCATTATTTAACGTACAGTCATATTAGTATTTATAATGTAGTTTCCAAATATATCGGGGTGGTTGACTTCTCTCGCCTTGTATAATCGGGACATCTTTAATAGGCCTAAGTAGCAAGTTATGGAACTAAATGATGAAATACGCCATTAAATGGTTCTTCCCTTGTTGGTAGGGCTATCTAATTAACCTATCAATTTCCTGTTTTAGCTACCGCTGAGCGGACGGCACCTTGTGCTCGTATACATGGATGCATTGGGGAAAATTATATAGAAAGGTTTATGACTCCGGTAAGAAGTACGAGGGCACTATCCAGAGTCACATCCCGTGTCGCAATTACCAATCACCATAGCTGACCAAAGGTATACATTACAATTCTGACTTGGTCTACCTAGAGCTCTCTTAGCAGCTGTATAGAGCCACCCAACAGGCTATTTCTAACACAGATCTGATGAAGACTGATATAAACTCAAAGCTCCCTGCGATACATTACGGGTTGCTGAGGGCATTAGAGCCCCTGAAATCCGAATTTACCGTCCTATAACATTGGTCAGCCCAACCACGGCTCCTTGTATTACAGCAACTTGTGCCTAAGTTACACTCTGGATGTTTGAGGCGCAATGTACGAGCAAGAAGTAACAGGGCCCTTTGTGAAAGTTCCTGCTTTCTCTGAAGGGGCAGGCGCTGCCGAAGCCAATAGTGAATCAGAGGATGGATAGTGATGGCATTTATTGAAGATATAAAACAAATCAGAGAGAAGGATGCGAGCAAATGAAACAAATCGGGAATTGGGTTCTCTTTAAATAATCATATCAGTCACGCAAAATTCCCCTCATTGACAGCTAGGATGGAGACTCACTCTTTGATTGAAGGTGCACATCTTCTGGCAGCATGTCCTCATAGATATCATTGTTTGACAAAAAACCACAAAAAAATAAAAGCTCAGCAGCTTCTGGTGTGTCCCTCTGGATTGCCTGGAGAGAAACCTCCCATGTAGTGAGAATTGTGTCGATACGGTAGTCCCAAGTCCAAAAGAAAACTCACAAGCAGTACTTATAGACAATTTGTGGATAGTGAGAGTATGCTGTCAAAAATTTCATAGAGACTCGGCCTGTCAGTCCTAACTTGTTTGCTCGTTTCGCTACTACTATGCTACACTGCAGCGTATGCTGTACTGTGAAACCTCGGAGCATTTAGCCAACCACTCGAACTTGATTGTTTGAATTTATTGTAACCATAAAGCAATAATTGGGTATATTTAGAACTAAGAGCTAGTAACTATGCTATATTGGTTAGGACTAATCATGACTCTCGGCCAAAAGAAAGAGACACACCCTACCCGGGATATGCTCTCATCTTCCCTAGCAAAGATTGTTGAATGTCTAGCCATCTATGTCAATACACACCTAGAGGGTTTTATCGTTCATTGGTAGTCTATAGCGTAAGGATTTCTTGCACTACATGTAAAGTCCTACCGTTGCCCGTAGGACAGGGCAGGGATATTAAAACGGGATTATAGTTACGGCCCGCATTTGACCCACGTTCGACGCTAGTATGTATTAGGTAATCGGGTCCACTATGCTGTAGTTATGCTGTATGTATGAAGGGAAGATTATGAAAACTCTAGTCATGTATCCTAGATCCACGCACATGGGGTCTAGCCTTCAGCATGGGGAGGTAGAGCTTGTATTGAAACTTCTCATGTTACCAAGATGCGCTGGTGTTGATTGGGTGACTATGTTGAACTGAAATCATAGAAAGTGTAATCAGATCTTGCGCCATCTACATCAGATGTGTACAAAGTATAGCATGTGACTTGTGACACTCGGAAAGAAATCATATTCCGTTTTCTTTCAAGGGTAATGCTGGTAAAGTAAGTTTATCATTTTTATCTAACAGAGATAGAGCGAAAAGCTTCGCGAGTCAAGAGGTTTAGCGCTGGACAATGATGTGTAGGCTGTATCAAATGGGAAGCATGAGGAGATGTATGTCACACTTTTGGATCATGACGCAGCTATCAACAAACTGAGTGGCTGAGAGAGGCGTCTAAGTGCCCATATGCATAGGTCATGGCTAGTTCTAACCAATGACCCGGGTACCGGTGGTTGCCATTACTCCAAGTCGTCCATCTCGATACTGCTTTTCTGCCTCTATCTGTGGATATCGGAGTTTTTAAGGATGTAAGCTCGAAGCCTAGGTTAAACTAATCCATGGATCCAAGCCATTTCGATAAAGAGCAAGAGCGACCTCGGGATGTTCTGATATGGAAGGCACAACATCTGCTGACAATAGTGCCTTCCTCAAAATGCCCATAAGGAGAGATTTACGAAGACAGAAAAGTTCATCTTGTAACCATCCGATGTCGAAATGTTTTTTATTACATGTCCTCGTCTCCGAAGGGGACATCGAGCGGACTCTCCGATTGGCTTCTCACAATCATATCGAGATGGCCAAATGGAGAATGTAGATGGTCACAGGGAGCAAGTCCAAGGCAAGGCCCAGCCTAACACTTGATTCGAAGATTACCCCTGGCTAACTTGAGATACCACAGCCCCTCCACCACGATCAACTGCAACGCCTGTTCAAGATCGGAGGCGGAGATCTATAAGCCTTTCTCGTCGGCTCCGCCATCGATTCTCGAGAGAATCCAGACATTCCGGAGAACACCACCTCATCATCCCCTTCTCGTTCAAGCCAAAGCCAAACGCAGCCAAAACAACTGCACAGGTATCAATGGTTGGGGACATGGGAAGCAGTCTAATGAGCGCACGAGGGTACGACAGTGATGCCCAGTGCATTGGAAGTCCTCAGCATGCCCCCCATATACAACCGTCGCCCAGAAGCCGAGCGTTTCGCAGAATGGGGTTGCACGATCTAATAGAGCGCAGTCGTGAGCGAAATAACTTGGAGATGTGGTCGGGTGCCGAAGGCCATGATCAATCCGACAACCCGGGAACACCCTTTGGAATGCATTATATACCCACGTCACCAGGAAGCTTGAGGGGGCGCTCAGCTCACCCCAATTCTGCAACCGAAGGCACCGGTAGCCAGTCCGTGCATTCATTCAACAATGAGCGGTCAGGCGAGCAAAACCTGTTCACAAAATCTCCTCCAAGTCTTCATAGTCAAGAAGAATTGGCTCCACCAAATCAAGACCGTCTCCGATCTCGAGAAGGCTTCATAGGCAATAGCAGCGGTGAAAACCTTCAGAATCTTGTGGCTGACTGGGCTCAGTACATGGGATCAAATCCTAATGATTATCGCGCGGGATCTTCGGCGTCGCTAGCCAGGGAAGATCCGGGCATTACGGTTTCCAAAACACGACAACCAACAAGCTCTTCCAGGACACACTCCGAGGCCCGAGTACCCCATCTTGGTGATCTAGACCTTTCGCACAGACTCGCGGGGAAAAGCATTGGGTCTGGGCCTCCATCAACTAATGCATCCATGTCGGAACTGCCACGTCCGAATAGATATGGGCCGCAAATGGCATCGCAAGAGAACTTTCAATCTCATGAGAGATCTGGAACATCGACAGTCATGGGTTCCGAGCCCCAAAAGCAAGCTATGTCTCATCAACGAGATGCGTCCTCTTTTTATTCGCGCCAAAGCAGTAGCCCTTCACGTGGGGCATCTGCCGTGCAATCGCTGAGAGCCCATGCTGCAAATGCAATGGACAGCTTACCCAATATTCACACTCAAATGGTAGCTGGGACTGGCTCAGTCCAAAATGAACTGCAACCAGGTGCCGAGGTTCTGAAAAGCAAATTTGTTGAGCAACTTGATGCAGCAAACTGGGAATTACCCCAGATGCATGGCATTTCCAATGGCGCCAATGGTGCCGGGTCACATCGCAGAGTCAGTCCCGGCTGGATGACAGGGGGTCGGCGAATGGGCTATGGTTATAGCTTGGTGGACAATGCTGAGGATCACCCAGCAACAGTTGGAGGGAACATCAGTCCATTTCCGAATGGGAATTGGCACAGAGACACTCCGGGGCCTAGTTCTGACAGCCGGCTATCTCCTATGAACAAAAGTCCTACCAATGCCAGGGGGGAACCCGTTTTGACACCAACGATGTGGGCCAAAATGAAGAGCCATTCAGTTCGAGGTAATAGACACGCACCGCTGGCAGTGGATTCGGCTGGTGGGGGAATGGCTGCAGGTGAAGCCCGTCGTGCAAGCTCAATTTGCGCGCAGCACATTGAGTCACCAACTTCTGCAAAGACGCCAAATTCGGCAAGGAGCTTTTATATCGAAGACGTCGACGAAACGTTGTTAAGTCGATGGGCGAAAGCCAGCCGGTCCACGCGTAAACAACCACAACCAGACAACTACCACGATTCAACCCACGGACGCAATGTTTGCACTCCAGATGCTTCACCACTTAGTGCACGCCACTTCTCGATTGATCAGACAAACCATCAGCCCTCCGTGTACTTCGATCCGTCGAATGACAGGAGTGCAGACATGTTAAATGGACATCCTTCCCGGTCTCGTAGTGGACGCTGGATACTGAAGTTTTCCAGAAACAGGGAAAGCAAGAGACGCTCGAACCCTCCCCGAAAAGAACCATCTGAGGAATCGCCAGTGCAGTACCAAGAGCGTCCGTCAAGTGACCTGGGACGAGCAAACTCTACCAGAAGCGATGTGGCAGAGGATCTCGCGAGTGCGTATCAGGAGTGCATTGGGATGCCCGGGGCTTTTTATGGAAGCCGATGGGCGAGCCGAACAAGTCTGGTGGTGGAGGCAGAGTGATGAAGATGCAAGGCAACGATCATCACAGGAGCAACGAGGGTATATTCGTCGGACAAGCACAAAAATACTGTTATTGAGGGGTTTGGGGCCAATTTTGGTGTTATTGTTACTCGTGGGGATGGAGTTGGTTTAATTATGAGTATGCTTCTCAGTCGGGTGTCATTAATCGTACAGAAATATGGGTAATTGATCCCTAATACATCTTACACTTCTCACATGCACACAGCAAGAGCGCAGTTTATCACCAGTAAAGAAGCAAATCATCTACCTCCGCTGTCGCTTATTGCTCTTGTCGCTTGCGCCACTGAGCACACTAGCAGACCGCTTGTGATTACCATCCCCGTGTTGAGCACCATTGCCCTGTGTGTTCGGTGGGGCAGTAGAATGACCCAAAAGGCCGGTGTCGCCGTCTTCAGTCTCTTTTTTCACATGTGGATGTTCAGGGTCAGCACTTGGCCCCGAGATACCAGCAGCTTCTCGTGATTTGCGCTCGCGCTCCATCTTCGCGGCTTCGAGCACACGGATCTCACTTTCAACCTTTTCAGACACTTTGCGGGCATCGAGGAGCATGTTGACAGACTGAATGAGCTTCTCGAAATCCTTGCATACGCGTTCGGTGGGCATAAACAAGCGCACGGGGATCTCGAGCTCGGATAGAGCATTAGCCAGTTTCTGGGTTTGCACGTTGGACTTGGCCTGCGTGAGTCGCTGGGCACGGTCGCTGCGGAATTGCACGCCTGCTGAGACACGCTCGTGGTGCTGGACGCCGTACTTCGCCTCCTCCGCTGTGGTGAGCGTGCGTACCATTTGATTGATTTCCTTTGATGTGATAGACCCCTTCTTGTTTGCGGCCTGTGAGACGGGGGTCTCGGCTCGGCCTAAGCCACCAGCGGTGGTTGGGGTCTGACCAGCGGGACTTTGGATAGCACCGTCGCCGAGGATGGAGCGGCGTTTCTTGCTCTTGTCTGCTTGTAGTAGCGTCTGCAGGAGCTGGGAAAGACCCGCGCTGGACTGATACATTGTGGTGTTGCCGACGCTGATGGGAACCTCGAGGCGAGAGTAGAGTTCTCGGCGCTCGGTGATGAAGTTCTGCTCGTTGCTTGTGATGCGCTTCAATTCTTCGAGTAGCATTGCCTCCTCGCGGACTTCGTCGGCTGTGCGGTTGAGCTGAAGGGCGGCTAGTTCTTTACGGTCCCGCTCTCGGTCGGGGTCGAACTTGAGCATCTTTTCGTGTAGTTCAAACTCGGCCTCAGACATCTCTGAGGGTGGATGTTCTAGTGAGAGCATTGTTGCAGCAATGTTATAATACCGCGCCTTCATCTGCTCCATTGTCCGATGGTGCTTTGCGGGAACAATGGCATTCGCATCCGGCTGTGTGTCCATTCGTGGTTGGTAGTCATAACGATCTGCGATCAGCACCCAGCGAATATCGTAATCAGTGACGAGGTCCATCAGATAGTCCGTTTCCTGGCGCGACCAGTCCTCATTTTGAAGATGTCGATTGTACTCGTCGTCTGTGTATCGACGGGGCAAACGCGGTTTGACGTTGTACTTGGCGAAGGCATATTCCTGCTCCGGCAGTTTCGGTACGTCTTTCTCTTCTTCCTTGGGCTGATCCACTTCCATTTGGGACTCTGCGGGTGCGGGTGCAGGTGTGGGAACAGGTGGTCGCGCCGACTCGTGTTTTCTCTGCCAGTGGTTCAAAACCAGGCCGTCGGAACGGGCATTGTTCGTGAACGGGGCCATGCTCCTATACGGGATTCAATGTCAGCGGGGTCTCCAAAGAGCCACATCTTCAACATACCACGGTCGAACGCGCAGCTTGTTCATCCATTTTGGGCGGCCCTTGTATTTGTTCTCATTAATGGCGATTGGTGGCGCCCTTTCGCCCAGTAGCGCGTACAATTCGCGGGTAATACCCTCTGCAACGGGATTCTGTCAGTAATCCATATCATTCCCAATAGAGCGCATTACACCTACCTGGTCGCTTTTCGACCACCTTCTGCTTCTTGTGCGGTCTGGGCTGCCCTTCTGCGGGCAAATCCAGCATGTCGCGAACATCGGCCGCGGCCATATTGGCGGTTCGATCGGAGTAGTGATATGCCTAGACACGACACCAAGGAGCAATTTCTTCGGTATTTAGCGATTAAAGATTTATTAAGCGACCACGCAAAGATAAAGGCAGGTTTTGTTTGATGGAATAAAGACTAGTGAATGTCGAAATTGAAGATCTCATCGACAGAGGCTTCCCGCTGGTAAGGGAGACATTCCGCAGACGGCAGGCGGTGAAGAGCCACGGTCCCTGATGTTGACACCTTCACGGAGAGGACTACTTGGCCGTGCGACTATCCAATTGCCCATTTCCTCATCATGGTTTTCTCTGCGACATCCTCGTCATGGCTGGCGTCAGCATTGACTCTCCTCTCCTTCTTTTCTCTCCTCCTCCCAACTAATGCCCTGTACTTCTACATGGAGGGCCGGCAAACAAAGTGCTTCTTCGAGGACCTCCCCAAGGATACTCTGGTGGCCGGTATGCGCGAATCTCCAGCAGCTTCACGAAGAAATTTCAAACTAACATGATGGTTAAACCATAAATAGGCCGTTTCGAGACAGAAATTATCAACCCCCAGAGCGGCACCTACGCGATCGACCATACCTTGAAGATGCACATCACCGTCGAGGAAACCTTCGACAATGACCACCGCGTTGTGTCCAAGCGGGACAGCCACTCTGGTCGCTTCCACTTCTCCGCCGCAGATGCCGGCCAGCACAGAGTCTGCTTCACACCTGAGACGGATGTCACCTCCGGCTGGTTGTCCAACTCGCCGGGCGCCGTCAAGCTCACCGTCGACATTGCCATTGGTGAGACCAGCAAGATTGAGACTGAGGACAAGGACAAAATCAAGGATATCGTGCAGCGGGTTAAGGATCTGAATGGCCGGTTGCACGATATCCGTCGTGAGCAGGTGTACCAGCGGGTAAGGATTACCCCATATCCAATCTATGGCCAGATTCTCTGTGGATGATTGAAGCGGACATATTAATTAATTTTTTTTTACTTTCCAGGAACGTGAGTCTGAATTCCGTGACCAGTCTGAGACTACCAACTCGCGTGTCGTGCGCTGGACTCTTATCCAGCTCGCCGTTTTGTCCGCCGCATGCGCCTGGCAGCTCTCGCACCTGCGGTCATTCTTCATCAAGCAGAAGTTGACTTAGATGCCGCGTTGTCTTATTCCCTACAGCATATCTCGTTTCTTATGCCTTGCATCTTCCTTCCACCTCTGCTGTGGTCACGCACACCGGTTTACGTGAATATTGATGATTGGTGCTTACATGTGTTGTTATACTGTTTTCTTGGCGAACGGCAGATCTTTAAATTCTGGTCGGAGGCATTTCGGCTTCCCGAGGTCCCTTTGTGAACTCGTTAGGCCACACGGCCAGTGTTTCAGCAAAAAGGGTGCGGAGTGATTGGAGCATGGTCAGATGTCGATCTTGATAATGGATGTAATGATATCTTTTCTTCTTTTCCCTTGTCTTTCGTAGATCGTTCCAGGAAACGATATTTGCCCACGCCAACTCGAGCCACTCAACATTGCCTATTGCGGCCGTACAAACCGTGATAGTGTTAGAAAAGCCCCCGTCCAACGATGCTACGCTCAGCGCAGCAGACAATTCTATAGCGGTCAACATCTCAGTGCTTGAATATCAATCACGATATATATATAGACTTGCTACATGGACCAGTTCCCACTTGACCAATTTCATCTTTGTGATTAATTATTTTAACTCATGCTGTCAGGGCACAATGTGCAAAAGCCCAAATTCGAGCTTTTCCTATCCTTTTAAAAGTGACTCTCCTAGCTATGATGGGAGCTTTGATGGAGCTAATGGCCATAGTGTGAAAGATGTCTAGCCGAGCCACCTAGTTTCTGCAAAAAGACCGCCTAGGAGCTTATCAAGGCTTAGCCGGGTGTCAGTTGAAGCTAACACAAGATTTGCTATGATCTCAGGTCTTCGTATATTGCACCCGTGGACATGGTAGAGTAATAAGCCCGGCATGTCTCGTACTCTGTACTCGGTAGTATTATCCCTATTCCTAGCTGTACTTCTGTAGCCAATTATTGCTTTTCTACATATAACATCGCGAAGAAAGAATACCTAGAAAGAACAACCAACATAGACATCGGAGTGTTATCTTACATATACCGTGTCTAGTATCGTCTTGAACCACCTCGGCAGATAAGTCAGATCATTAGAGTCCTACGTCGTCAATGATAGAGCCCGCATACGCAACCGACTACTCTTGTAATGTTTATGCAAAATAGTCTTCGCATTTTTAATGAACATCGTTGATTTGTAATTATTATCTTCATTTGAAGAATTATGTGCATGGTCTCATGGTTCATCCATAGCAAACACAGTATCTCACGCCGACTTGGTCTCCACATGCTCTTCATATTGTACTTGTTCCTTTTGCACCGCGACCTTGTCAACCATTCCACGTTTGACATCTTCGCCCTCAAACAGATAGGCGAGTTCTTCAAGCGTAGGACCGGCCGTCTCAACGAAGAAAAAGTAGACCACGAGGAAGACAACAAGCACCCAGACACAGTAATAGATATAAAACTTCCAGCCAAGATTCTTTAAGCCAATAGGGTTGACATAACTTCCGAAGATAGATGCCACCTGGATGGTGAGAAGGACAAATGCCCATGTTTTAGCGCGCATCTGAAGCGTCACAACCTCCAGCGGATAAGTAACGATCAGATTGGTCCAAGCGAAAGTGTAGAAGGCCTGGAAAAAGAAGATACAAGCGATCACAACACGACCGGCCACCAAAGAGTTGTGCTCAAGGTACTGCTGGGCAGCGATTGTCCAGACAACGAAAGTGACAAGAACACCACCGGAACCGGTCAGGAAGAAGAAGCGACGGCGGAATTTATCGATGACCAGTGCAACGAAGATCGCGACAACATACTGCCAGAGAGTGACCATTCCGTTCATAAGCGTGATTTCGGACTGGGTCTTGAGGCCCGTGTCTTTCAGGATCTGGGTCAAGTAATTCGAGACGAGCAGGTTGCCCGAGCTCTGACTGAAAACGGCTGTAGCGAAGCAGAGGAACAGGCGCTTGAGGTTGGCGCGAGAGGAGAAGAAGTCCTTCCAGCTCATGTTGTTCTCTGCTTCCTTGTCGATAGTCTGCTGGATTTCGGCGCACTCCACGGCAACCAGTTCCGAGTTGGGGTCACATTCACCGTGGAACTTGATGAGGATCTGGCGGGCTTCCTGGACACGACCCTTTGCAATCAACCAACGGGGAGACTCGGGGCAGAACCAAATGAGACAGAATTGGTAGGCCGAGGGGACAATTTGGATCAAAGTAGGGAGCCGCCATGACCACTGACTGGTGATCCTGTAACAACCAAATGTTGCCCAGGCTCCAATCACATAGCCAAGAACGATGGAGGTGTTGTAGAAAGTGGTGACTTGTACACGTTCCTTGGGGTGGGACAGCTCTGTGATTAAGACGGGTGCGCCCATCTGGATGAGCGATGACCCCACACCGAGAACGATCTTGCCGCCAATGTACATGTTCAAAGAAGTGGCAAAGAACTCGACAATCACACCAACAATGATAATGACAGACCCTAACGCAGTAGGTAGGCGACGACCGTACTTATCACTAATCCAACCGAGGAAAATAAATGGGATGACACCGCCAATGGCGTTAGAGGCTCCAAAAAAACCTAATGTAGCGCCTTCTGGATGTCCAAATCGATTTTGCCAGGATTCCAAGACTTGCATGCCATTTGTCATGGACTGTGATATATCGTCAGTAAAAAGCACTCCAGTCTTGAAACATCGTGACTCACTCCATCAATGCCCAGAGCCGCACTTGCTAGTAGGGACGAAGTGAGCAGAAAGTATAGCAGAATGCCATTCTTGCGCCGCCAGAAAGGCGGCATAGAATTCACGTCAATGGACGAGATAATGCCCTCGGCGGCATGGGCGGCGGCAGGAGCCATGATTGTAGACTTCAACTGAAACTAAGAGACAAATGAAGTAGGCTTGCCTATGATCGAATTTGGGAAGTCTTAGCCCGAAGGCTTCCTTGCACTTCTTATAGAAGAGACAGCCGGGTGGATACAACAAACTCTATGCATCCCGACAGCCCTAAAGGTCTTCATGTGAGACAAATGTTCCAAGGTTGATTTCGCATTTCTGCGGGGAATTGCCCCGTGGGGAAAAATGTGAAGGAAGTCTGGAGATTCGGGGAATCGGGGAATCGGCGAAATGCCAATTTTGCCGTTTATCCTTCGGGATATCCCCCTCCACTTCAACGCCACAATTCCCCGGCTATAAGGAATATAGCTTTGGATTCTGCTAGGTGCAGAGCTCTGCCACCTTCTTCTCTTTCAAAATACTTCACATTGTTTCTGTGGTTCTGTGGTCGTCGTTGCCAGTATGTCAGTATCCTTGCCTCCCGACTTCGAATGGGGATTTGCGACGGCCTCGTATCAGATTGAAGGAGCTGTGAATGAAGATGGGCGCGGAAAATCAATCTGGGATACTTTCTGCCATCTTGAGCCTACAAGGACCAAGGGGGCCGATGGAGATGTCGCTTGCGACCACTACAACCGATTTGAGGAGGATTTCGATCTTCTCTCGAAGTACGGCGCAAAAGCATACCGATTCTCAATTTCCTGGTCGCGGATCATTCCACTGGGAGGAAGAAATGACCCAATTAACGAATCGGGCATCGCGTTTTATGACAAACTCATTGATTCCTTGCTTGCCAGGGGAATCACGCCATGGGTCACTCTCTATCATTGGGACCTCCCTCAGGTCATTCATGATCGATACGGAGGTTGGTTGGATGTGGAGGAGTCACAGCTTGACTTTGAGCGGTATGCACAGGTTTGCTATGAGAGATTTGGAGACCGAGTCAAGAACTGGATCACACTGAATGAGCCGTGGATTGTTTCTATCTTCGTATGTTCCTCTGAGTCCCTTGTCCTTTATTTTTCATTTCAGACAACAGCTGACACATTGTTTAGGGATACGCCACTGGCGGAAATGCGCCCGGGCGAAGCAGTATAAATCCACAGTCCAAAGAGGGCGATACTACTACGGAGCCATGGATTGTCGGAAAAGCCTTGATCATGAGCCACGCTCGCGCTGTCGCTTTATATAACCGGAAGTTCCGAGCTTCTCAACAAGGAAAGATTGGAATCTCCCTGAATGGCGATTACTACGAGCCCTGGGACAGTCAGGACGAGCGCGACCAGCAAGCTGCTGAGCGCCGGATGCAATTCCATATTGGATGGTTTGCGAACCCCGTTTTGTAGGTTTTTGTTGGGTCTCAGACAGCACCAAAAGAAGGAAAGAACTAACAACTTTGACAGTCTAGCACAAGACTACCCCGAATGCATGAGAGAGCAACTCGGTGAGAGACTCCCTAGCTTCACGGAGTCGGACTTTGCTCTGCTTAGGGAGGCCGACATGGACTTCTACGGAATGAACTATTACACCTCCCAATTTGCCCGGCATCGCGACGAGCCTGCGCTTGAGACCGACTTTATGGGGAATGTGGATGAACTACAAGAAAACAAGCAAGGTGTATCAGTCGGAGAGAAAAGTGGTGTGCATTGGCTCCGGTCAACCCCGGATCTTTTCCGGAAGCACTTGACGCGAGTATATCGTACATATGGCAAGCCTATCTATATCACAGAGAACGGATGCCCATGTCCTGATGAGGATAAAATGACATGCGAAGAGGCTGTCAACGATACCTACCGAATCCAATACTTCAAGGATCATCTCGATGCGGTTGGAAGAGCACGCACAGAGGATGGCTCTGATATCAAAGGATATTTCGCGTGGTCATTGATGGACAATCTAGGTATGTGTGTTGCTTCGTACTTCGAGATATTTGAGCTAATTCTTCTTCCAGAATGGTCCGATGGATACGGGGTTCGTTTCGGCGTTACCTTTACCGACTATAACACCCTAGAAAGAACGCCGAAGCAATCCGCATTGTTGTTGAAAGGCATGTTCGATGAACGCATGGGTGGCAACGCATCTGGATCCCAATAGAGCAATAAAATGGCTTCGGATGAGCCTAGGGCACACTGTGAACAACTTCCATGAGACTAGACGAACATTATTCTGTTAGATATTACTCAATTGACCTCGAAATATACTTAAAAGTTCTATGTCCATTGTAGCTCTACCTTCAAAAATGTAATAGAAAACACATTCAACCTCGTGTTAAAGACGTAAATTAATTTATTTATTAATTTTGATTAAGCTTCGGAAATACCCCAAGCCAAGAAAAGAAAAAACCTGGGGCATTCGGAGAAATGCGTGGAGTATTTGACCGAGGCCCATCCCCCGTTCCCAACCTCCCAACTGCCCTAACCTCCGACGAGTTTTCCCGAGACAGAAAATGTGATGGCCAGCCCTGTATCTCGTTCGCGCTCATCGGCTAGAGCATGCGATCGGTGCCGTCGGAGAAAAGCAAAGGTATGAGGCGAAAACCCGTCTTGCCTAGTCCAAACTAATTTATCATAGTGTGACTGCTCGGGTGAATCGTCAACATGCACCAACTGCCGCCTGGCTCGGATGCAATGCACATTTGACGTGCCGATCGCCAGACGTGGGCCCAAATCAAAGCGACAAAGGTCGCACGATGTGGCTCATCCGAATGTCCTGCATAGTCCCCTAGCATCGGCCTTGCAAATATCGGAACACGGCTCTATAACTCGAAATCTCAGTTCGACCGCACCGGTTGCAGTTCCGCTAGATGCATGGGATACCGATCTATCGGTACTGGATCCCACTCTTTCCCCTGAGACGGTGCATACAGTGCAGTCATCTATTTCCGATGTCGCCTCGACAAGAATCACCTCAGCGTTGCAGCGATGGCATGCTTTGGAGCGGGTGATTTCCGCGCAGGAGTCATCAACACATCTAGAGCGTACTATCAACCATTGCTTCGAGCTATTCTTTGAATATCTATATCCCTTGACTCCACTTGTTCATGAGCCCAGTCTACGAGATGGGTTGGGGTTTTTCGTCACCCAAGGAAGGAATTCGAGAGCTGACGGCCTCGTATATGGAGTGAATAGTCTCAAATATCCAGAGCTGTGGCCGGATCTTTCTTTCACTTTGATCACTGCTGTCTGCGCAGAAGCGGCCTTTCTCCTTCCGAAAGAAATCTTTCCCGAGGGAGAGGGAATCGCAGACATATTTCTACAAGCCTCCAGAAATTGCCTGGCCACATATCTGGAAGCTGATCTCGAATACCCAAATGCCAACTCGGTTGCCATTCGATATTTCCATTCCAACTGCATGCATGCAGCCGGCAAGCCACGACTGTCATGGCACATCTTTGGGGAAGCTACCCGATTGGCCCAAGTGATGCAAATGCATGAAGAAGATTCACTGCAGGGTCTCACTTCCCTCGAAGTAGAGTTTCGCCGACGGGCATTCTGGATTGCCTATATCGGTGATAAATCGGCAGCCATTCTGAACAATCGTCCGATCACTATTCACAAGTATTCATTCAACTCTGGCATCACCATCGGCTATCCAACAGGCATCGAAGATGAGACAATCTTGACACCGGGTAGTGCTGTTCCAGATGCCGAGAGTACTCAAAAGAGTTTCATTGCAGGATTCAATGCAAACATTCGGCTCTGGCAAAGTGCATCCGATTTGCTTTTAGAGATGCGATTGTTGGATAGCCACAAAAATGGGAATCTACTTCCTCGTCAACCTCCCACGGTAGAAGAAAGTCACAGGCTTGACCATCTTTACGTGCTTTTTGCAACGTCTCTCGATGACTTACCCTCCTTTTTACAATATGACCAGCTCATGTCAAACGCCAATAAAGAAAACCAACGCCTGTCTAGACTCACTAGACTGCATATCATTCAAGCAGCCAACGTCTACATCTCGCTGCACTGTCTGAAGATGGTAATCACACAAAAATTCGAAGAGTTCAATTACTATCCTCCTGCGCCGAATGAAATGCTGCTACTACGGAAAACTGACATTGCACGCGATCTTCTGCGAGTCATTCGCGATGCCCCTTTTTGGGCGTTGCAGATTAACGGCGAACCATGTGTAAGTCGTCCCCTTTCTGCTACCCTGGTGTCAAATGAGCAAGTTCTGATGGCCATGTAGGTAGAGAAGATCAGACTCATAGGAGCTTGTCTGCTCGAGATTATCGATCAGCATGAAACATCGCCTCTGTCGGCTCGAGCCCGTAACGATCTGTCGGTACTCCTTGATATACTGACACGCTTAGACTCGAAAGCGTCGGACACTTTGCGACGGTTGTTATGAATAACGCTTCATGGTACTATGCGTCAAGCGGATGTATATCAAGTGACTACATAATTAGACAGTATAATTGCAAATGAAAGAATCTCTAAAAACATTTCACTTGCGAACTAGTTACCTAGTCTCTGAATCAAGTAAGCGATCAGCGTCTGGGGAACTTTGTGAGATTCCCCACGCAATCTATAATTCCCCGATTCTCCGATTTCTTCGGCTAATCTACCCACAATGAGAATCCCGCTTGAAGATCTCATCCTAGAGCGGAAATAGATTCGTATTGTCACGAGGTAAAATAAACGGGTAAACGTCTAGCACAGGTGGCGTGCACCATCACCCCATTATCAGATTTCACCGGTTTTTTCAGGGGAAAGTTTTTCGGAATGCGGGGACCCCAGAGACTCCTGATGTGATACAATTCGTGTACATGGAAGTTCGGCCAAATGCGCGACTCCCGCTTCATACCAGAGGCACATAGTATTTATATGAGTCGAGATATCCGTTTCTTAATGTCTAGCCAGCCCATCTCGTTATTCAATTCAATTCTTTACTTTGAGCAATTCCGATATGCGTTTCCACGAGAAATTTGGTCATGTCTTAACATGGACAACACTGGTCAATGCTTTACCATCGACATCTGGGCATACCAAGGAGCCCTTATGTCGTTTCGCGCAGCACTATTCCCAAAAGCAAGTCCTCCGGGATCCTACTGCCTTCATCAATGACATGCTGTATTGGGAGGGCAAGTTCCATCAGAACAACATCTCATACAACAGCAACAATGGCATCTCCTACGATGGCACTAATATCGACTGGGTGACCGGGGAGGCCACGGCCAAGCACACGTTCAGTGCCGCTAGCAAAGAGGTTGGTGTTCATTTTCCCCATTGCTTGAAAGTCCTCAGCTCATGTTCCAACAGTCCCTTCAAATCATGTTGTATACCCATGCTGTTGCAGGTTCTCCAGAGGCTGCTCGGTTCCTCTCGCCCGAGAACACAGCAGAGGCCCCCAAAATCGCCGCTTCTATTATGCAGAAAAAGTTGCAGACTTATCTCAGATTCAACGAGACTTACCCCGGCTTTGGGGGCTTCTTGCCCTGGGTCTCAACAGATACTCAAGATATGACTCCAACACCGGACTGGGTCAACCGCGTGCCTGCTCTTGATAACGGGTATGTATATTTGATCTTTGTTCTAGTTTACTGGTTAACAATGTATCTGTCTAGTGAACTTGTATGGGCTGTATATGGTTTCATACAGGCTCTTGAGAACACGGGCAATAAGAACTATCGGGAACTCGCTCAGAAATGGCAGGTTTGGATGGACTACACTAAGGCTACTGCCGCCAAGGTAAATCTGTCACAATCTCCCGTTCAATTTTGACCAGTCCGCTAATCTTCTGTCTGTTGATCAGATCTTCTACAAAGGCAATGGCCGGGTTTGTACCGTCATTGACATTAAAGATCAGTCCCTCCCTGTCAATCACTCGGATCAGTCGTATCTATGTGAGACTAAAGATCTCATCGACGACCCTTTCGAGGGCGAGATGTTTACTTTTTGGCTACAATTCTTCAGCGATCTGTCGAAAGCTGATAAACAGGCTCTATGGGAAGTTAAGAAGCCCCAGTTGGTGAGCGTGGATTACGAAATGGGCGGTTTCGGGCCGATCACTGTCCAAAAAGGTTTCTGGATGCGAAAGGACACACGAGAAGGCAGTGACTAACTTCTGAGACAGGGTTTTGGTTCTCCAGTCACGAAACCTGGAAAGTATTGCAGATGCCCTACTATGACATCGACATTGTCCAGTAAGACTTCAAGCACAAGACAGAGATATACGTTCATATACTAACAGTTCCCCATTTAGTCGCGTATTTAAGAACGCCGAGCGAGTTCGGACCTGTAACTCAGTCGCCACGAAATTGCCCGGCATGTTCGCCTCAATTAACAACATCACTGACCCCTCTACCGGCGATGTAACCGGCTACATCTCGAACGCTGGTATCCCCTCCATCTCGAACCAGACTGTCCAGGAACTAGACGTCATTACGCCGTATAGTGTGTTCCCGACAATCTTGTTTGACAAGTCTGTCGGACTCGCCTGGTGGAGGAACATGGTTGTTGCCAAGAAAATGCAGAGTAAGTGACACATTTCAGGTATCAAGGTGGTACAGTTGGTATGTTGCTAACCTGAATAACCATCAGATATCTATGGCAGCACTGAAGCCACTCGTGTTGATGGAACTGGAGTTTCTGCACTTCTCACTTGGGACAGCAAGGTCACCACGGTAGTTGCGATTTTGGGGGGAGTGGCCGATTTTGTTCGTCAGAAGATGAAGGCGGATAACGTATATGATGAGTTTGTGGACCTCATTGGGGTTTGTTATCCAAAAGACTATGTGGAAAGGGAAATTGCTAATTGCTGCTAAATAGGCTGAGTACTCTCGTGTCTTCACGAATCTTAAAGGAGAAAACGTCGACTTCTGCCTCCCCCAGGAGACTGTTCCTGATGTAGGGTTGGTCGATTTTACTTCGTGCGAATAGAGCGGCCTAGGTCAATAATATGCGTCATATATCCTCGCACGGGGAATATTTTACCCTTCAACCCAGGAAGAAGATTCGCCGCGAATCCGTCTGTGGAATGGATGATATGGGCCGCAGTTATCGATCCACGGGGTGTATGAACAGTGAACAGCCTCTTGGGATTACCTGGATTGACTTGGATATCTGTTGCAGGAGTGTTGGTCTCGATGGAAAAGGTAGCGCTGTACGTCGAGAGAAGGGATGCATAGAGAGCTGCAATGAAGCGATATGGCCAAAGTGCTCCAGCCTTGTAAATTATGATACCATAACAGTGCTGGGGGTCGATTTGAACTATGTTATTTAGTAAGTTATCAAATAGAGGAAGAAAATGTGAAGCCCACTTCACACGCTTCAGTGCCGTCATGAAGCACGATGTCTTCGGCCATATCAGGGGCGTCCTGTCTCAGTTCCTGCACCTTTTTTTTTTGCTTCATTCCACATCTTTTCATCTGTAAAATTAACCACTGTTTAAATTTCTCGAGCCTCACTAACTTTCAGGTCTTCATTCAGTTGCACGAAATCAAGCATAACGGCCAAATGTCGACGCTGAAAACTGAGTAATTTCTTCGCATACTCCGCTCCAAATCTCGTCTTGAGCCCTGCATATTCCACATACGCCGAGCACTTGACATGACCGCCATTTCTTCCAGTTGCGCCACTGCAAAAATTTCGTGCTTCTAAAACGACAATTTCCGGAGAAATCCCACGTTTGTGCGACTGGTCGAGGATTGTATGTGCCACATTTGCGCCGGACATACCGGAGCCAACGACAATATCGGCCGTAGTCGGCAAATCGGGAGACTGGGCGTCAACTAAGTAGGGAAATGACGGAGCTTCTTGCCAACAGGATGATGGATTTGGCACGGGAGGCGTCACAATAGAGACCCGACACATCCACTCTTGTCTTCCGCAATTGCCGCAATTGCCGCACTCGCGGCAACCAGCCTAGAGTGAGAAGACGACCGAAGACGTACTTCATTTCTTTGCTCCTGACCCGGCGACAAGAAGGATCTCACATATACTAACTTGTTGTGAAGAATCGCGAAGACCCACAAAATCCGGCGTCTGACCTGAAACTGCCTATATATGTACTTTTTCTTTCAAAAAGCATTCTTGAGCTTTGGAGCTACATCTCTTTCAACAATCCCAGCGACTACAAACCCTAGAACATCATGGACTGCACACCCAGCTCTCAAACTCCCCTAGACGACCTTGAGAGAGCATTCTCCAAGTCCGTGGAGGATGGGACTTGGCCTGGTGTGGTCGTAGCCGCAACAAACAAAAGTGGGAGTTTCCACTACGCCAACGCTTTCGGGAAGGACCATTGTACCTCCGAGGGGAGGCGACTCGACGTGAGCTCCATCATGGCGATCGCATCTATGAGCAAACTCATGACCACTATCGCTGTTCTTCAGCTAGTTGAGAAAAGGCTTGTCGATCTCGAAACAGATGTGTCACCCTTGATACCAACATTGGCATCTCAAGAGGTATTGTATGATTGGGACGCGGCAGGTCGACCGCTCACCCACGTGCGAAAGAACACAATCACCCTGCGAAGCCTGCTCACTCACAGTAGTGGAGCAGGTTACGATATGAGCAACCCCGAGCTTGCGCGCTTCGCGGCTTATAAAGGACGAAATATCAATTCTGGCGCTACGGTTGACGAGCGATTTGGCTACCCACTGGTCTTCGAACCGGACACCGCATGGGAGTATGGCACAGGGATTGACTGGGTTGGACAAGTCGTTGAACGCTTGACAGGACAAACCTTGGAAACCTATATGCAAAGACATGTTTGGAACCCCCTTGGTATTGAGAGGATGACATTCTGGCCTGCCAGCATTCCCGGGGGGAATGGCGGGTCAAAATGTCGGTTCGAGACGCGGCTTCGGGATGGTTTACTGCGCTGAAGCAACCCTTCCTGACTGAAGGAGTTACGGACTGCTTTGGCGGACAAGGTGTATACGCCTCAATGGAAGACTTTTTGAAGGTGCTTCATTCTATCTTGGCTGATGACGGAAAACTCCTCAGCAGCGAGTCAATAGCCATGATGTTTCGGTCACAACTCCTGGCAGCTAGTCGAGAATCCCTTCATAAATGTGTCCACGAGTCTGAACCCGAAGCCTCATTCATTGGCATATTTGACAATACTCGTTTGTTTGACTGGGGACTGGGTGGAATGCTGGCTATGGAAAATGAACCATCTCGACGGCGAAGAAATACACTGTTTTGGAGCGGAAAGCCTAATTTGTTCTGGGTAAGCAACAAACCAACAGCCACCGTTCTCGCGATACTAAGACTTTGATAGTTCATTGATAGAGAGTCTGACCTTTGCGGTGTGTTAGGGACTCAGTTTCTCCCACCTGGTGATGAGAAGGTGGGGAGAATGATCGAGACTTTTGAGAAATCTGTTTTCGAAGCTAGATTCAAGGTCTAGTTATTACTTGAAATGCTCTTGTTTATTGATGGAAGTAAAAAAGCTAGTTGTTGGGCAGACAGCTTTCTCCTTTTCCTTATCGTTTGGTCTTTTTAGTCTTTGCTTTCTACAAAATAGTAGAACTAATTTACCATGACCCCTCGCGAAGGATATACAGGCTACAACAACTGTGTAAATTCATATTCTTTTTGATCATTTTTATGCAAAGATTCCAGTCACTCTCATGACACTACCTGTTTCTACCAAGACGGGTACTCAACGTTCACCCAACTAGGCAAGAATCCCCGCCCCCAGGGTGGGCACGAAGTGAAGGATAATACCAAATGACAACGTCAACAGGCCAAGCACGAGGCTCGCTACCGACATTGTACCAATTGACGATGAGATGGCAGTATTCAGGACGCAGCCGAGGATTCCCGCAACGCCCCAGGTCACAAGAACTCTACCATAGCTGCGAGGAAACAACTCAGGAGGGGTACCTTTGGCCTTGACAAGCCCTGGGAGGATGCTAAATCCAGTACCATGGGCAAAAAGGATTGTCAAAAATGCACAAAGACCCAGCGTAGACCGTTCAAATTGCGATAGTAGGACAAGAAGAGCCCCTCGTAAGCAAAATAAAACAACGAATGCGTTCCTCGCTCCGAGATGCAGGTTGATAGTGGGCGCCAACACACCACCAGATGCGAGAGCAAGCATACTATGCGACAGAAGCGTCATTGGGTCACCCTTTCTTTCGCTTGCATAGTAGGAGACAAGAGGCAGCAAGGCAGCGAAGGCCGTCATTCCGGGCAAGGCGTTGAAAAATAGTAGGATTGAGAAGAGCCGTTCGGGGCGACTCAATGGCGTTTTTTTGGGAGAGTTGGACTGGTCATTGTTGGTATAACCCGGTATCATCATCAGCTGGGTAGCTCCCCCAACAGCAACAAATGCAGCTCCTGCGAGCGTGAGGGCCCGACCAAGGCTTTCTGCATCGACTGTGCTGAGCTCGAAGACAGATGATAGAAAAAAACATGTTGCCGCGCCGGACGAAAAGCCCATGGGTCCGATAGCACTCCGAGCAAGTGCGAGATCGGGGAATCCCTGGCCAACCATAACGACAACAGCAAGATATGTCCATCCCACGCCCAAGCCGCCGAAGAGGAGACACAAGAGCATAGGTTCAAAATTCACTCTGCTGAGAAAAAAACCTACACCGATCACGGCAAGTCCCCAGAGAGCGGTGCCACTTGCTGCGGTAGCATGAGCTCCGTGTTGAGCGATCATCGACGCACAAGTCGCGACTCCCACGGACAGGCCCATGCATGCCATGCCAAAGGGCACGAAGCTCCATGCGTCAGATATTCCGAGAAGGCGAGGAAGCTGTCCTTGAAGTGCACTCAGCGCGTAGATTGTACCGACGCTGAACATGTTTGCGAAGCATGCCAGAGCGATAGATAACGGTGCCATGTTGGTCTTGGCAGGAAATAATGGGATTTGACGTGTGTGGTGATTCTGATTTTCTCCTTTTGTTATTGATGGTGAAATGGTTCAGTAGGTAATTGCGTAGAAGAAAGATGCTTCATGGGACATGAGACAAGCGATAGATAGTTGACTGGAGCTTGGTTTAGTCAACCAACTCACGCTCTTACCCAGTTGATACTTTTCCCTAGATACCTACAATACGTGGGTTCGAGTACTTTGTGGAATTGCCGCCAATGTAGTGGGAAGGCGTAGTAAAGGCGGTCATTGGGTATTGAACCGCATCACCCGCAATAACCGGCTCAAATTTACTCCACCTTTAAAACAACCTCCCAAGGGACGGCAAGTGATCGAACTAAGAAGCCGCCAAACATAGCCCCTTCTAAGCATGGGCTTATCTATGAAAGGATTTACAGTGGGGAGCTATCTATATCGCAGATGGCACAGGCTGCTGGCTGTGATAGGAGCACCATGCTGAGAATCTCTTCCAATATACGGATGTTTGGCAGCGTCAAATTACCGTCCAACAAAGGCGGACGACCCTGTAGCATCACTCCCAGTCATGTTCGAGGCTTTGTGCGATTATTTACTCGAAAACCCTACCCTGTACCTTCACGAAATCGAGCATCAGCTACGCGCTTACGTCCAAAGGTTGGTCCAAAATGACTGCCTAAGTCAAGGTTGGAGAGCGCAATTCAGACATGCGTGATGAATACCTTCACTTTATCTCAGACTTCCAGTCTTACCACCTTATCTATGTGGATAGGTCTGGATGTGATAAATGGATAGGCTTTAGGCGAACGTGTTGGTCCCCGCTAAGTATGGCACCAGTTCAAGTGTCTACGTTGCGCCGATTACACCTCTCAGTTTCACCGTATGCCTACTTTAAGACCTCCGAGAGCATCTGCTCGAATACCTTGGGCTTTACATCGGTGATATGGTATTTTCTACGGAAAGGGCCTCGAAACCTTTAGTCCATGATGGTCTAAAGTTGAACATAGAGTAAGGATTGCCTATGATTGGATAGCTCGAAGCATTCTGTTCAGTCCCTCCTCCAGCACACTTTGCGGATGCGCAAATACCATTCGAAACCACCCCGCTTCTTCAGCGGCATAGGCCGTCCCAACTGCGATGTATACTTTTTCTTTCCGAAGCTTTGCAAGAATGTCCTCATCCGTGGTCGCACGACCTTTGAATGCATCTTTCAAGTTCATCCAAACGAAAAATGCAGCGTTAGACTCGGCATACGGGATTTGATGAGACCGGAGAAAATTTGTTGCAAAACGGTAGCTTTCTGCTAAACGATGCCGGTTGGTTGCGATGTACGCCCTCGTGAATTTGTCATCTAGTAAAACAGTTGTGGCAACTTGGTCTGCGAGGCTTGATGGGAAATTATAGAGACTAATTGGGGAAGGATAATCAGCAAATCTTCCGATATTAAGACCGGAATACAATCTCACGAAATGCCATCTGCAGCTTCCAATAGCGGCCTATTTGACTGGCTAATCAAACAGCCAATTCTCAAGCCAGTTGCGCCAAAGTCCTAGTAAAGCAACGAGTCAGGTCCCGTTCAAGGCAAAGGAAGGGGCTTCATACTTTACTTAACCCCCATACAACATGCACCATGCTTGGTTCCATCACGTCCTTGACATCCATAGACAAAATTGATCTAAAACCTGGAGCATCAGGCAGGCGAGGATTCTCCCAGACAGACAGTGCATAGATCTCATCACAAATTAGATGAAGTCCATTTCTGGTACAAAACTTCATGTACTCTCTTAGGACATTTTCGGGGTAGCAGCGTCCTGGAAGGATTTCAATAAATGATCCAATTGTATACAAGTAAGATAAGGAAACAAACCGAGAGGATTATGTGGTGAACACAATAGAAGCGCTTTGATGCGAAAGCCTTTGCTCTTCGCTTCGGCGTATGTCTTCTCATAGTGTTGGACTGCGGCCATGCTAAATGGATCCGTTGTTGCGAACGTGACTTCAAGAAGTTCAATTCTACAACGGTAAGCTCAGTTGTACCTGGAAATTCGATACTTATTCCTTACCCAGCCCGTGTTCCAAACGTCGTCTTAAAAGCATTGAAATATGGACGCCCAACAAGAATGTAGTCGCCAAAGTCGGCTAACGCCCAGGCACAGCACTCAACTGCATTGCTGACACCGGATGTAATGGCCAGATGGGAGGGAGAAAGCGCAGTCCAAGGAGAAAAATGGCTGTTCAGGAAATGACAGGTGGCTTCTTTGAGCTTGTGCGAGCCGCTGAATCCGTCTCCGTAGGTCAATGCATGTGCGTCGATTTGCGACTGGAGAAGCAATTAAGTACAAAACTTTGGTCAGGTACTACTGTGTGGAGTAAGTAGGTCAAGTTGTATCTTACGTTGGAGTTGATAAACCTCTCCATCTCCTCATGCATGAGACTCTATAGACATGTGTTAAGAATGATGGTATTAAAGGCGGGTAATCCTCACATTCTCAGCGAGACCAATGTTCACAATTCCATCGGGGTTAGACTCGGGAGCCCACAGATCGCTCAATACGTCGAGGAAGGTTGGCTTCTGTGCCGCGAAGGCTTTGCCTCGCGCTGAAAGGCTGCTCTCCATGGTGGTCATTCTATATTGAAAGCTTGACAACTGCTTCTGAATTGCTTCTAGAAACCTGTATAAGACTACCGATCCTTCCTTTTGTTTAAGTAGTTCTATCAAAACCTATTAGAGTTTTATTATGGATCCATGTTTTGAGAAGGCGCGCGGATGTTGCGGGTCCAGCGGGTAAAGTGGAAGAGCTGCCTATCAACGACAGCAATATGTCAACCCTCTTTTCTTGTCACTTTCGACTGCCTTTTTGCTACTTTCATCTTGTAGATCGTCTTATAATCCCCGAACTTCCATGTTGTGGTGATATATACCCAGGGGGTATATCCTCAGTTATAAGGCTACCTAGAGTGGAAAAATCATGGTGGCTAGGACTCAAGTCTCAGTATGTCTTTACTACATGTTCATTTAACTAATGACTTTATGTAGTGTGCAGTGCTCGCTTGTGATGTATCATGAATCATTGTATCCAAAATGGGGATAATAAACATAAAATGGGCCAAAAAATGAGGATCATGGTATATGGCAGTTAAAAAGGGATAGGCCGCCGAGTCAATGCATATCCTAGCCTGAAAGGCCCCTGGGCCAAAGGAAAAAGCAATTGGGGAGTTTGTGCATGAAGAAGAAAAGAACCGCAGCCAATGGGTATATAATGGTCTTGACGTGGAAATCCAAGAAGAAAGCAACATCATGTTCAGACGATGGGCCTAGTGGTTATACTAGGATTTAGACAACGGGGTTGCCAGTACCACCGCAGAATTCGAGAATCAACCGTTCGAGGTCAGAGAGTTTGTATGGTTTCGTCATATAGCCTTTGATTCCCACTCTGGAGGCGCGATTCAATGCCTCATCGCTAACATCGGCACTCACGGCAAGAACTGTGGGAGGTGGTGGCGCACAAAAGGAGTTGGGGATTGGATCCATTTCCATGGAGTCAGGGCTGTTGGGGTTCGGTTGCTGAAAAGCAGCATGTTGGTCCCGGTGGTTGTCGACCATCTGGAGAATTCGTGAGGTGGCTTCATATCCGTCCATTTCAGGCATCCAAAGATCCATCAAGACAACATCGATCGGTTTTATTTGTGTAGCCGGAGGTGGCGTATTGATGACGCCTTGCATTGCGTTTGCTGGATCGAGACCAATGCCAAGGGCAGTGGAGGGCTTTGATGCGGAGAGAATGCCTTGAACGATCTGGACGGCTTCTTTGCCATCGGCCGCTTCGAGTACGTCGCGGTAGCCAAGTTTGCGTAGCATGTTCACCAGTACGCGCCGGTTGATTCGATTGTCTTCGGCAACGAGAAACCGCAGCGGATATTTCTCCCCAAGCTTCTTGTCATATGCATCGCCGGAAATATGTGTTCGATGCAAACGGGTTTGTGTTGAGGGTCGCAGGGGTGTTGGGCTTTGAGACATATTCTCGTCGGTGGTACACGGTGTCGGCTGTTGCAGCTGGCAGTTTTGGGGGAGGATAAATGGGGAGTTAAAGGAACAGGGGTCAGACAAAAGGCTACTGACACTACCCTGTCGTGTTTGGTCGGTGGTAGAGGTAGATGGCGTCGAAACACTCTCACTGGGAGTTGCAGGGCGGAGTTCAGCTTCACGTTGATTTACGGGGATTCGAATTCGAAATTCTGTACCGCGCGTAGGACCAGACGTCGACGAACGCACACATGTCAAGTCACCGCCCATTTTGCGTGAAAGGCCCTTGGCCACAAGCAGACCGAGGCCCAGGCCATCTTTGCTTCTTGTGGTCGATGCATCCTCACGAGCAAATGGCTTGAAAAGATTGGGTAGGAACGCAGCGGGGATTCCCGGGCCGGTATCACGGACAAGAATAAGAACATCATTCCTTTTGGGCTCAATAGTTGCGCAAACAGTAATGGTGCCGTTGTTGGTAAATTTAATCGCGTTGAGAAAGACGCATGAGATTAATTTGGCCAGATCGCGGTCATCGGCAAGAAGGGTGTCCGGTAATGAAGGGTCTACAGACCAGTCCACAACCTGGGTGAACAATTCACCATTCGAGGACCGCGACCGAATCTCAATTCTTTCACCAAACTCGGTTGCATTGCTAACAGCAGAATCCGGTCGGCCACCAACGTGAAGAGACTCATTGATTACCAAGCGGAGAAGATCTCGCAGTTTGGTAAAACGCAAAGCAGAACCTCTCAGGTTCACGTTGATCCCCTCAAGGAGTAAGTGAGGTGCGGATCGCCGAACTGCGAGAGACGGGCGTGGATCGACCATGTTAGCCATTACAGCTTCGAACTGGCGAGCTGGGATAGCATGTACGATCTGGTCGCTTTCGTGAACAGCATTCTTAACTTCTTCGCTGCGAGGCGAAAGCTCTTGCCGCGACGAAGCCGCACGGAGTCTTTGCTTGCGTACTGGTCGGTTATTCATTTCTGATGGTAGGCTCCGCCGCCGTTTGTACGGGTTTACAGCAATATTATTTCCTTCGATAAAGATGCTCGGGCGGGTTTCGGGTATAGTAGGTGGGACTGCGAGACCGCCTAGTATCTCGGGCTCCTCCCGGAGTGGGGTTTTGGGGATTTGCATGTTGAGCTCGTATGCATGAACGACATTGTCAGCCGCTTCAACAGCACGTCTCGCGCTATCTTGAACCATCTCGATCCCCTCCTTGAGAGATTGAAAAATGCCGCCCGATTTGACAGGAGTTTTACTCTCCATCGCCTCGCGGACTGTAGCGTGCATGACATCAAGCATGCCTACCACGCCCTGCATCGGGGTCCTCAGCTCATGGGATAAGCTTCGGGCGTAGGGTTTGAGGGGGTGAGAGTTGAAATCAGCGGCTTCATGGAAGGCGGCAGTCTGGGGGTTGTGGAAATCTGAGGTATTTGCCGTTGGAGAATCTAAGCCTTCATCTAGAATTTGCTCCCCTGGGCCTAGTCGTTGTACAATCAGGTCTTCGAGTGAGTGGAGAATCATCTCCAGGAAGGACCAGGACAGGTTTCTATGCCGAAGACCATCTTTCGACCACATCAACCCGAGGTGCGCCAGGCACTTTCCAGCCGAAAAGAGGGGAATCGCCAAATAACCATCGGCGGCGAACGGTAATTGATCATCGCCGAACGATACAAGTGAGCTGAGATTCTCGGGGATCAAACAAGGCCGTTCATGGTCCATATGCAGTAAGGGGTTCCCGCCCGCGAAATACCTGTTTCGCTGCAAACCAACGGTCTGGTAACCATCGTTATAGTAGAAAGCTGCACCAAAAAGCGACGGGCGCCGCCCGCCTAGTTCTGGCATGGCCTCACTCCCGTGCACCCTCCGGGCAACAAACCCATACTGAGCTTTGGTCATAGATGTCATGTCCTCCATAAGCCGTTTCCAGAACAGCTCGGTATCGGATGCCCGCAAACCCTGTTTCAGGTTGACCAAATGTTCAATGGCAGTGGTCTGAGCACCATCATTCCATGTTCCCAAGTCGCGTTGCACGTCTCCCTCGTCATGAACGGCGTTTAGTCCGTCACCGGTCATGCACTCAGACTTGCAGGAGGGGAACGGCATGGTGGGACAGGGCTGGACAGCATGAGAGACATCCGGCTCGGGTGTGTCGGGCATAGTCCATATGGCAAGTGAAGGTGAGTGCGGTTCGAGGATTCGGTTTTCGGGGTCTCTCGTGGTTGTTTATCGGAGGGCAGCGACCATAGCCTTCAATTGTATAAATAATAGGTACGGTGGATGGATCGAGACGGCTTCGACGTACTCCGTACATCCACCAGAATATGAAATATTGGAGAGAGAAGGCCCAGAAGGAGGGGAGAGGGGATTTTCCGTTCAATGGGGGCCGGGCGGTCTAGACACGGCCTGAAACAGGAGTTATCAAGAGCTCATAGATTCCGATGTAGACCTAATAATATTTCTAACAGAAATGTTTCAGGCTTCTCCAGACCTTGTAGATCCCTCTGATGATGGTTCTTCTCTTTGTGTGTTGTGTTTTTTTCTCGAATCCTGCAGAGGTGCACGGAGGTTGCGATGCAGGATCAGCGGGATCTAGACCAGAATCAGGGCTGTCAGGTACTCAGTACCTCATATCCTCGGGTATTATATATGGAGACGTCAGGTACTCGGAACATCTGAGTTCATTTATAGAACAGATCTACTCCTGGCCTCTGTCCTTGAAAATGTAGGATTTTAATAATCCGATTTATCTGGCTTAATGATAAAGAGATGCTATATGGAAGATAACACTCCGATGTTCTTTTGGATGTTCTTTTGGATGTTCTTTTGGACGTCGTTTTTTAGGTTTTTTTTTCTCGTTGGTGGTATAATGTATCAGAAGGGTAATGAATAATAGCACGGAGTAGACTAATATGTACGATATATAAAGGGGGAAAAGGCGACTTTTCTATGTATCCATGGATAACTTTTGATGATTATATGTTGTACGTTGTAAGTACATACTCTATATGGCTTCTCTCTTGCTCTTTTTCAACTGATCTCTGAATAATTGACATTATTCCATACACACATACCCAACGCTGACTCCTTCTTTAGTCCATTAAACCCAATATCTCAAGTAAAACGACACACCAATTCTTATTATCTACTTCTCAAAACCTCACGAGCATCAAGTGTGCGTGTTATCTCAACATGGAACAGGCTTTTGTCAATCTCATTCCAGTGGGCCTTTATATAGAGGTTGCACTCATAGCATTCTTCCAACTGGCCATTCTGCAAACGAGATTCTGGGAATTCTGGAAGCACGCATCGATGGGGACAGCCGAAAAAGCGCTCAATTTTTGGACAACCGTTTGTTTCCTTGTTGTAAGTGATTTCCCATTGACTTCGGACTCTCAAATATGTCTCCTCGTCTTGTGATATGTACATCTTCTGGTCGGCAACCACTTCAGGTTGGACTGTGACTGAGCAACGGTGCCATTCGAGCCATTCATGTTGACATCCTTTCAGCATTCGAGCCATTGCTGTGATGTTCAATGGACTGCACGGACAGACGTTCACAAATCCGGGGTACTTGCATCTGCGGTTTATCGCAGTGCTATATTCCCTCTCAGAGGACTCAAAGTCGTTGGTCAGGTGTAACTTGCTGCATGATGAACAGTAGAGTCTTCTGGGTCCTTGAAGCCAACAAAGAAGTTGACGGCGTAAATATGGTTCTAGATCGGAATTTTTAGCTAGAAGCCCATATGGAAGCCAACCTCGGCCGAACCTATATGTAGAAAAGGCGAATTCGTCTTGTGCCAAAATATGTTGATAGAGTATGTATAAAGACTTGCAGCTGAGGGCAAAGCTGAGGGCAAGGCAAACCCGAGACTGTATATCGAGCCGTTGGATTATCTCGTCCATTAGTTCTAGAGGCAGGTCCGATATAGAAGCCTTTGGATGTTCTGTTTCTGGAGGCAGGTTCGGCATGGAAGACTCTAGGTGCTCTGTTTCTGAAGGTAAGTTCAGCAGGGAAGGCTCTAAATAGTGAGTCCCGAGAATATAATGGAGAACTCTGAGCATAGTGTGTTTTACCATGAGCAACATAGTGTTTGGAAAAGCAAGAAACAGCTGGGCACCCTCCCTTCCAAGGACTGGAGGTTGTTTCTCGCTGAATCATCGCCGATTCCTATTTAGGCAATACCATGTGGTCAGGCACTCAGACACTACATGTATCCATGGATGTAGTGAATGCTAGAACTGACTGTCCAGTTGGCTTGCTCTCCTGAAATATACATCGTAGACATATGAAACCACGATATACTATGGAGTACCAACCTTGGAAAGTCAAGCTTTTGTCTTAATGCTGACGGTGCATATGATTTTGGTTGACATCGATGGATGCGCATCCGCTCAAATTACATAACTACGTAACCTCACGAGGTCCTGCGTATAACCTTGGAACAGCTCCATCCTTGCACATGTACAATGTGCAAGGTTAGTACTGTGAAACCGAGGTAACAATTCAAACCTGGATCTCGCGGGGGCCCGAGCGCGACTGTGAGCATGTATAACTGGAACAACCAGCGACATCTCCTATAACTTGAGCGAGACACGGTCCTGCATGTGCATGAGCCCGAATAAGCACGTATAGATACGATAGTATATGTATCATATATAGCAACCAACCTTGCCATTCCGATCATTCTCAACAAACTCCGATCTTGACATGATCCACGACGATGACCTCAGTCACCCCATACAACATCGCCGTTCCGGACGAGAAACTCCAACAGCTCCGCCACAAGCTGGAGTACACCACCTTCCCCGATGAGCTTGATGCTTCAGAGTGGGACATGGGCGTTCCTCTCCATGAAATCAAGAGACTTATCACCGTGTGGCGTGAGCAGTTTGACTGGCGCGCGCAAGAGCGAAAGCTGAATGAGCAACTCAAGCAAGTCAATGTTCGAATAGGAGTGGAGGGCTTCGGAGAGCTGAATATACATGCCGTGCATCATCGGAGCGGAAATTCAAAAGCAATTCCATTGCTTTTTATCCACGGATGTATCTAGCCCCTAGGACTGTCTACGTCACTGTCTTCGCCGCGCCTGCTAATTTATTGTTTTTATACCAGGGCCTGGCAGCTTCCTCGAAGCCACCAAGCTTATCCCACTTCTCACTAAGAACAACGGGGATGGCCCAGTATTCGATGTCGTCGCACCTTCATTGCCCAATTTTGGCTTCTCGCAGGGCGTCAAGAAGGTATATTGAGCACATGCTATGTATCAACTTTGCTCAAATGCATCCTAACAACCACATTAGAGAGGATTCGGGCTGGCACAGTATGCCGAAGCTCTCCACAAAGTGATGATCGCACTAGGCTACGAGAAATACGGCAAGCACCATCTGTCCCCGCGAAAAGAAACAAACTAATCCCACAGCAGTGGTTCAAGGAGGTGACTGGGGCAGCATGATCGCCCGTACTATGTCTCAATACTACCCTCAACACACTCAAGCCATCCATCTGAACTTCATACCCGTCATACCGCCCTACCCATGGCGAAGTCCCTACCAATTCCTCAAATCGCTGCTATCTGTGCCATTCTCAGTAAAAGACCGTGGCTACATCGCCCGGACATTAGGATATATCACCCGCGGCAACGCATACATGAAACAGCAAGAGACCCGACCACAAACTCTAGGCTACGGGCTTCACGATAGTCCCGTCGGACTACTAGCTTGGATCTACGACAAAATGCATACTTGGTCCGACAAGTACCCCTGGACGGATGAGGAGATCTTGACTTGGGTGAGTGTATACTACTTCTCCACGGCTGGGCCAATGGCGTCAACGAGGATCTACTACGAGGCCTCGGCGCCGAAGCGTAGTGCAACTACGGCTGTGTCGGAGAATGAAACTCAGGAAGACCTGCTGGAAAAGACAGACCTGAATTACATGTCGCTTGAACAAGTTCTCGGGGCTCGGGCACCACGGAGTGTATGCTTTGCAGTGGCCCAGTTCCGGGAGGAACTTATTATGTGGCCTATGGCGTGGTATCGGTCCATTGGAAATGTCGTGCAAGAAACGGAGTATGATCGTGGTGGCCATTTTGCGGCGTGGGAAGTGCCTGAGTTGCTGGCGTCTGATATCAAAAGGTTCCTAGGCAATAATGGACCAGCCTACGGGGCGGTAGCCGACAGTGATGGTTACTGAAGGTCTCACTGGACTGACCATTGATCGAGGCCTTTGGGGGATAACCTAGTGTATTGCCGCGCAAGATGTATAGCAAGATGTTCCTTGTTTTGGAAACAGGAAACCAGATTTTGTGTTTGATCTTGTCTCTCGCTCGTATTGTTTGCCTCTTATGTTCGATCTACTTCCAAGGTTGTGTTCAGTATTGTTCTTATTTTCATATCCAAGCAATGTCCGTTTCCCTGGTTAATACGTCGAATTGATGATGCAAATTGGAACACTGCCGTGACGTGACAACGGGGGCCTTTTATTATCGTGATAGGAGTAAGAGAAACATGGAGTCAAAGAACAAAATTGCCCTTCGGCTCAGGTATCAACCGCTCTCACGTTGGTCTTGTGCTATCCCGTCATTGATTGACCGTACACGGCACATATCATCCAGTGAAGACCGTAGACGCCGGGATCTGCCCTCAAACCAACGGAAAGCCCAAAACAACCACTTCCCCAAATCTAATCCTGTCGTCCCTTCAATAACCGCTGGGTAACCTTGTCCTTCTCTATAATGTAAACCTGGGCACCCCAACCGGAGAGAGCATCTCGGTCCACGGCGCTAAGCAGTGCTTGTGAGATTGTCTCGAAGAGGTCCTCGGGGGCCTGTAATGACAAAGTGTGTTAGATGGCGCATCTAGTAGGGGGTATAAAAACAACAATTATAGTATACATACCAGATCAGGCTCCCACAGACCCTCGCAAGTACCGAAGAGCTGGTCGCTTGCTGTTCCGCTGACAATGAAGTCCTTGGCGAAATCGATACAGCCAATGCTGTCAAAGCCGCAGATGAACGGCTTCCCCGTTGTTGGGTTGATACCAGCCAGCACAGGGCTGACAAAGTAAGGACCGAAGCGTTTCTCATACAGCGATGAGCTCACTAGGTTGGCGAGGGTCTGCGGTGCGATGTCGCGCTCCTCGCGCAGCCGGTACATGTTGACCTTGTAACGGAAGAGATCGGAGACAGTGTTGACATCGGTGGCGAGGCCAGTCAGGCCGAGGTAGGTGGATGGAGCGTAGTTGAAGATCTTGGGGAAGTTGTTGGAGATGGTCAGGGACTGCATGCCCAGGCGAAGGTCACAGGCGATGGCGACGCAGTCCTTGCCCACCATGGCGACACAGGCACCGCCATCTGCAGAACAATTAGTATTTTGGTTGGATATTCACGAGGGACAAGGTTCCGGCATACTGATGTCGAAGGGGTTGGACTGTGATGGGAGAAGTCGGTCAGCTTTGAGGTCCAGAGATTCGTGGACGATAGGGACAAAGGGCGCATTTTTCTTACCATTATTGCAGCGTTTCAGTGCAATTCAATATAACAGAGATATTCCAGAGCTAAAGCACGAGAAAAAAGACGAGAAAATGTGGTTGAGAAGGGGGCGGGTTGGGGGAGGTGATGGAGGTGAGTTGATGACGGGGAAGCTCTGAGGTACGCGAGAGCTCAGATGACGCCCGCACCGCTGCCTGTTTCGTATGCGACCTTCGACTACTTTCTGCGCCCTCTTTCTCCCCGCATTCGACTTTCACACTTCTTTTCTTTGATTTGTCCATCTTAAATCTCTTTATTGGAATATTGAACCTTCTCCATTAATTGTCAGAGCTAGTGTTCTCCATACACAATGAGTGCCCACGTTGTGGTGATCGACGCGACAGCCAGGCGGGCAACAGTCAAGACTACTCCCACCAAACACTTGACCGATATCCTACAAGAAGCATGTTCGAAGCTTGGATACAATGCTAGTCAGTACTCATTAAAGTGAGTCGGTGTTCCGTTTATCTGATGACAACACTGACCCGGTCTTTTCTACACAACAGACACAATCGCAAGCAGTTAGATCTTTCTCTTTCATACCGTCTGTCTGGTCTCATCTCCGGTGCAAAGCTTGAACTTGTTCAACTCTCTCGCTCCCCGTCAGTCGTAACCGTCGGCTTGCAACTACCCGAATCTGAAGCTCGTGGTGCCCCGAATGGCCGCATACTTGATAAGTTCCCTAGTACGACTACACTATGGATGGTACTACGGAAGTTCGAGGCCGGAGTTGCAGGGACTGGCCCGGTACGGAATCTCACTTCACGGGCAGTGCCCTCTGCCGAGGGTGGAGATGTCGCCGGACGACTGTACTATGAGATCCCCGTCCTTCAGATCTTGGAACGTGAAGTATCGAGCTTCACGGATCTACAAAAACCCTAGCCCAGCTAGGTTTCAACAATGGCAATGTTCTTATTCGACTCAGTTTCCGACGGACTGAGGAGCCTATCGAAGAAGCCATGCTCAAGATTGGCGAGTTCTTCAAGTCCTCGGAGGATGAGGTTCCTTCGGCACAGGATAAGAACGCAGTGCCAACAGCAGCTCTTGTTGACAGCACAAGCAAGGAGCCTGCTCAAGAGCTCTCCAGCTCATTGCAGCCTAAGACCTCCAGCGTCACCGCCGCATCGGACGAAGTTGCCGCTCCCCCATACATCTCCGAACCGGCCACTTCCACAGCCGACTCTGGCCGAACAATTACTGTCTTCTCCCCTCCCTCGGAAGACACTCCTTCGTCGGCAAAATTAGACTACAACGAGAGTGATTACATTCCCTCTATTGAGCACGCAAAACTGCACCAGCGGTTACTCAACGAGTCCTCTCGCCCAAAACGCTTGCCAACGGACGCCGAGATCGCCGCCAAGGCAGAGGCAGAAGCAGCAAGGCGAGCAGCAATTCATGAGGTCAGTGTGAAGATCCGTTTCCCGGATCAGAGCCAAGTGGTCGCCAAATTTGGGACCTCGGATACAGGACTGTCGTTGTATGAATTCGCACGAGGGTGTCTCGCTCCACCGTTCGCCAGTGAGAACTTCACTCTCACTGTCCACGGTGTATCACGATCCAAGCATACAACTGCCATACCTCCATCAGACAATAAGCATCTGATTAAAGATCTAGGACTGGCTGGCCGTGTGCTTGTCAATTTCTCTTGGGCTGATAACGCTGCCTCGTTTGTTCATGAACGTCGAGCGGAGATTCTACGCCCCGAGCTTCGGAGCCAGGCTCAACAGCTCAAGGTGGAGCAACCGCCAGAGCTCAAGGAGGAAGATGTGCCTAGTCCCTCACAGCCGGGTCCGAGTAGCGCTCAGGATGGTGGTGATAAGCCCAGCGGGGCACGAAAGAGTGGCGGTATGCCTAAGTGGCTGAAGCTACCGGGTAAGAAATGAAATCGAGATGATGGAATGTATTTGGTTCAGGTGAGCGACATGTGCTGCTCTTGATGATCATGACTTAACTATGTGGCGCATCCTTTGAAGACGCATTAACATCTTAGATGTGCGTATAGACTTGAATCACATGCCTTTCAAAACATCATTTGCATAGATAGCCTCAATCCTAGTAAGCTAGACTTGACGCTAAATGCATAGTGTGGATGTAGAGCCACTGAGATGATGTCGACTCTGCAACATATATATAAACCTCACTCGGCCATACTTGGGCACTCATACGCATTTCCGTCTACGTTGTAAACCTCCATTTAGAAAGTGGCTCAATTGCAAATATCAAACGTGAAATGGTTGAATAATTGTTTTCATTATGGTTTCACTCCATACGACAGAGAAGGAATCCCATATTTGCCTTCCCCTTCATGCACGCCCAATGGCCACGAAACCCCCTTTCCGATCCGAGAATCACGCTTTTTTTGCGTCGAGTCGTTAAAACGAAAGAAAAACAGGAACGGGTCGGAAAATTTAGTGAGCAGCGGTGCGGCGAGACTCAGCAATAACCTTCTGCATGGACTCAACCTTGGCCTTGCCGCGGCCGAAAGTACCGAGCTGGACATGAAGTTAGCAAGGGTGTTAACGCAATGGATCGACTGGAGGACTCTGATCCAAGTGGAAATCGGTTGATTTTGGTCATGGATCTCCGTCTCCGGTGAACAGAACAGTAATTGCATGGGCTTGTCCAAGCAGATGTTGAAATTAATCTTCCTCTGCAGGATTGACATGTATGGCCCATACAGTACGATTCTGATACACCAAGACGTCGACCAAATCGACTCAAATCCAACGTAATCCATGTAACAGGGCCAACCAGACGAAATTGGAGAAAGGATTGAGAGTAGACGTACGCGCTTCTTAGCGAGCTTGCGGGCACGCTTGTCCTGGGCGTTGCGCAGCAACTCAATGATGCGGCGCTCGTAGGGAGCGAGACCAACGACCTCCTGGGCGATTTCGCGGACGAAAGCGGTGCGGCGGGAAGACTTGCCCTTGGTGCGCGAGATGCGGGTCTTGGGGGTGTTGAGGGCGGTGGTTTTCTATATCAGAGCCCAGTCAGTATGTCTGTTTCGCCCAAGTCTAATGTAGCGGCCGCAGGTCCCAATGTTCTCTTCTATTCGTGTTTCGTGTCTGTCTGTCGGGGTGGTTCATGGTGTGGTCGGATCAGGGTTGCGTGCAAGGCGAGTACTGGCTTCGGTGCGAAAAGTCGAATCCAAAAAAGTGTTCCCGTGACATTGAAATTTTCCCCAGCGAGTCTCTGATATTTTCCAATAGACGATTCAATCGCAATCCTCCTTGCCGTGATAATTCCCGGTGTTTCCGCAATAAACCTTGACCCGACTGGTCTTGGGTGGACCAACAGACTGAACGAAAAGAAGAGACCTTGGGAGACCTTCAAACGACCGGAAAACATGGTGCAAAGAGACAGTAAGAACGTACCCGGCCCGCGTTGAGTCCGACCACAATTCCGGAGCGTTCGGCCATCTCGACGGTTGTTGACTGAAGGGGTTGGCGGAGGTTGTCGAAGAGGAGGTGAGGGAGCCGTGTGAAAATCGCCTGGTCTTTTGCCTGGAACCGCAAAATGGAGCCTTGGCGTTGGTGCGGTAGGCGAGTGACTAGGGCTAGGGCTGGGTAAATCGGGACTAGCGTGTGCTACTGACACCTCAGGCAGCAAAGTACATATGTCTTGGCATACGCACGTGATAGGCATTTGCCCTCACTTTATTAGATCGGCCTCTTACTACCCGGACTGCATGTGACTTATTAACATCAACTCTGTCATGGATTTGGTTTACATGTACACTAACTATGTATTTTCATGGACACATGATTCATTCCTCGCAATTCTCAACATTCAACATTAGAGCCTGGCAGTCAGCACTCCATCAAGCGCCTCCTCCCAGCTCTCCCTCAACTCTCCGCAGAACAATTCGAGCGCAGATTCATCCAGCGCCTTTTCCAATACATCTTGAAGCGGCTTCTCATATTCATCAGTTGTATCGCCACGCTTAACCATGTCGATGAGTGTACTGAGAGTGGCTGATTCGGCAAGGCTTTGTTTCAAACTTCGGGTGTTAGAACGGACATCCTCGAAAACTTCACGAACAAGAGTATTCAGTCGCTTCATTTGTTCCGCAGGGAGTTTGGCGCTCTTAACAGCCTTTCGAGAATCCAGGTCGAAAATATTCCATAAAGCCTTGAGTGTCTCCACCAGGGTCCAGATGGCATGGAAATATTCCCATGTCGGTGCACCTGGGGTGTCTGGGGTGAACTCAATGGTTGTTCTCATGATAAGGGAAGACTTCTTAGTGTCTCCCAGGGCTAGGTCCTCTCTCTTGGCCTTCAGCCAATCCTCTACCTCACCGAGAGCAGTCTCAATTTCGGTGGAAGTATGGGCCTTGGATCCAGCCATAAACATAGCCACTTTCAGCAATTCCACGTGAATCTTGGTTGCATCCCTCTCAGTGTCGGTATGATCATCATCAGTCTGGGAAAGCGACAATTTGTCGATTTGGGGCAGGTCTAGCTTCAAGACGACTGGCTTCTGACTGCCAATGCTCTCAAGAATACTGAATAGTCGATCAGTGAGCCGGGCGGATGCCAGCCAGTTTTCCTATACCGATATTAGTCGGTGCCGCAGTGTCACTCAAGCAAACAAACTTACCCCAGGAATCGGGCCTGCGCGCAATCGGTGCTCAAATGGAGGTTGGTCACAACGTTCCAGGTTCATAAAACCATCATACTTCCGCTGGTCTTGGGCCGGTGATGTATCCTGGGCTATAGGGTAATTAGTATTCAAGTATGTCAGGAGTACATGAGAGACTGAGAATTGCTGACCGATGTCCTCATGGAGGGCCAAGTGGTTTCCTTTGCGGATTCTTTGCATCCGCCTTAATTCCAGGGCCCACATTCTCCGGCAGATACTGTCCCCGATACGTTTTTGAAGCTCAATTGTGTCGTCTAGATTGACATAAGTCCCATCACCGAGTCCTTTTATCAAAGAGTTCTTGATAGTGAAGCGTGCATGACGATAAAAGTCGAGAGCGGCGATGAATGCAACTTGCGCGTCGAAGTCCTTGTATTCTCCACCCTCAATAGGAGGCGCGGGATGAGGGTGGATGGTGGCAAAGCGGGTGAAGAGGTTGTGAGCGACACTTTCATACTGCATTTGCTTGACAGACAGCTTGCCGAACGACCTCAAAGCAATGGAGCCGGCGCCGAGAATAAGATAAATGCGAGTCAACATAAGAATCGCTTCGTAGTTATGGGGTGAATCAATTAGAAGGCGTTCCAGAATCCCAGCGGCGCGAATCAGGGCAGTGTTGCTGACTTTCTCAGATGCCTGGCCAGCTGGGCTTGGCTGAAGAAGGGCCATTGCGGCAATGATGCAGAAGTCATCTGTAGGCCGACTTTCCATCGCGGAAGCAGTATCTGGTTGGTTTTCTTTCTTTGCATCCTGGGTCTTTGCTAATAAGGTGAATGCATCGTAAAAGTAAAGGCAATTGCGGACAAGACTCTCAATACTGGATTTCGATGCGTTGTTGTTGCCTGAAATCTGGTCACAGTACTGCAGCTTGTACGCATTGATCAATGGAATGGCATCGTCCTGGAAAGTTGATTAGCTCGCATTAACCGAGTTTAGCAGAATTTGCACTTACGGGTTTCCCCTCGACGCTGTCCATGCAATGTTGAGCTACTCGGTGAATCAAAGTATCTGCACGGGTCTCCAAGACCCCTCGCAAGTCTTTAAAAGCATATAGTTTGTGCTTGTGTTGGTCAAAGTATCTTTGGCACGCAACAACCAGATCATCCTCTGTCCGCTCGCCCCGTTTAAACCCAGTTAGGACTACGTCCATGAGAGCGATGTGCGCATTGCGGGACTTTGGGATGAATGCGATAAACTTCTCAATGTGCTGCTGCGTGTCGGAAAGCAGCCTACAAAGCAGGCAATCATTTGTTAGCTTAGGGTCCAATGGTGTAGAAGTAAGATATTGGAATACATACTCCGGACTTTTGTCAAGGCGACGCACGGCTACGATGAGCAAGTTCCAGTATTTCCAATCATCGCGCTCATGCAGAGTGTTGCGCTCTGCTTCGTCTTCAGACACGGCAAGCAGGCTTTTGGCGTATGAGTGCCCTTCTTCCCATAGTCCGGCAACCCCCAAGCTATGGACTTTGGCCAACATGAAGGTCCTGTCGTTATTAACAATACGAGAGCTGAGACCAGCATTCTCGCTATTGAGAACTTGCACAACCTCTGCCCAACGATCCTGCGATTCGAGAATTCGAACAACCAAGAGAAGTTCCTCAGCGGTTTGTATGGCTCTCGGAGGGCTTAGCAATTCGGTCTGTAGTAAGCCATTCGAATCATGCCGAGTCAGTCATTTATGTCCAAATCTTGGATCCAGTTCTCACTTCCAGTGAGCATGTAGTCTTTGGGAAAGGTCACATACCGGGTTAGAGGGGACCTCGGCTACTGCCTTCTGAGCAAAGCGATAGGCAAGTGTCCCAAACAACTTGCGGTCCATGTCCGAGCTAGTCTCGTCATCTGAAACGAGATAACAGAGGAAAATGGCCCAGAAATAGTACTTTCGCTCCCGAGGAAAGTTCTTTTGAAGACTCATGGCAGCCTGTGATAAGAACGAAGGCACTCGTTAGCAACTTGGGCCTTGATATGATGCCGGTGTAGCATAGGCTTCTTCCAACTCACTTTCTGGGCTGACTTCCAGTCACCAGCCTCAAATCCGAAATTGAACCACCTCATCTGAAGAGCATGATCTTGTGGCTTTGCCTTAGCTGCTCGTTCCCATATGGCACTGCGAAGCTCGGTGTAGTCATCCATCTTCTGCAGCGTACGGTGGAGTATGTCGAGAGAATCTAAATCGGAGATTGGTGGATCGGCGTTGCACAGCTCGAGAGTCTCTGCAATGCCTTTCTTTTTATGGCTCTCGTCGGTATGGTTGAAGAGGACATTCGCTTTCCAGGCCTGTTTGCTTGCGATCTCACATGTTAGTTTGTCCCGTACAGCTAACAGCGTCGCATCGGTGGTAGATTCGGAGTAAACAATGTTAAGGATCACTTGCCTTCAAAAACTGAGTATTCTCGCCTTTCTTCATGCGCTTCTCAATCAGCTGTAAGGCCTGCTTCATGTTCTGGGAGTCAATGGCATCTTGGATTTGGTTGTTGCGACGCAGAAACACAGCGTCATTGCTGGAGCTCATGGTGGAGGTGTTGTTGGATTTGCGGGGAAACTCTTCAATTGTCGTCTTTCGCAGAATGGTCTGATCACTGTGCAAAGCACAGCATGGACTAAAAGGGTCAATGATCTGAGTTGGAGTTGAGTGATCGACTCCGGTCACTTTTTTATTTGGCGGGGAAGGAGACCAAAGGGTAGGCGGTCAGTTGGTCCCCGCACCATACTGCCGGCAGGAAACCAACATTTGAAGTAATTATGCGTTGTAGTTATGCGCCATTGATGTACATTGTTCAGAAATAGAAATGATATCAATGACAGGTTAAATAAAGTATTGACTGTTATGCCCAGTGCTTTATAGTCTCACGTATAGTATAGACCATATGGATTAATTAAAATAAGAAGTCGCACTTCAAACCCATGAATAACCCATATCAAAATCTTGAAACAAGGTTTCAAGGTTGCTAGGAGACTACCGAGGCTATCTACTTCCATATTTAAAAGGTTCTGGCATCCATGTAGTTTTAGTTCTTACTGGTTATCATTCATGTGTTACACGAGGGTTGTATTCGACTGAACGTGAAAATCAGAAGCACTATACCTGGACAAGATAAATATGACCCCAAGGATACAAAATTGTTAATATACAACTTGAAATCATTCAAAAGGTAGTCCAATACGCCATGTATAAGCCAATCGCAGGAAAACAAGTCCAAAAAGAGAAATTCGCTTATCCCGCAGGTCAGAGCCGGACCAGGGAAAATTTTTACCAGCCTAACAAGATCACGACGCCCGACGGCAGTTGGAATGTTCATCACATAGCGGTGCATATGAAAGAATCTAGGAGCTTGGGTTTGGTAGGCTTCTGGTTATTAGGTTGATAGAACAGCACACCTTACGCATTGGCATGCAACAACGCTTTGGGAATGTCAGGGATCTTGACAGCCAGGAAAGTTGTCGATAATTTCAGTAAGAATGGTCCGGAATGATAGAAATGTCTCATTTGGGCTGAGGCGTCAGAGAAACTTTCTTCTGGGTGAGCTGTGCCTTGTTAGCGAAATATACTCCGACGGGTACCGAATCAAAGTCAATGGAATGGATATCGCGGATAGGATACAAAACCTGTACGAGACAGGAGATTGAGACGATAATGACAAAACTCCGTATTCGACTTACCCAGTTTTTTTTGCAATCACGATAAGCTCTAGACAAAGTAATCAGTCAGTAAGAAAGCTCAGACATATGATAATCATGACAATATTATATGAGCTGGCCAGAAGTGGATCCAAAGCCAGGTACGTCGCATGGAGGGCAAGTCAAAGTATTAATCAGATCACATAAGGATTTCTGACATACTGGAAATAATCGTGGCACATTTCGCGCTCGAAGGCGTTCCGTTTCATACACTTGAGACTCCGATCCGCGAAGTCTTGGCATGGGTCGTAGTACTCGCTAGCATGTTTACTAAAATCACAAGTTAGCTATCAAGTATGAATAAAGCCACATGTATTCAACCCAATGAATATGCAGCCATCGAGCTAGGCTGTGTTGCTATGCGTGGGCTCTCAAGACCCCATAGTCCATGTAAACATGACCCGGCGGACCGCGCACGCGATCACGGATGACTTTAGAAACGCCATATCACGTTTTGGAAATGGGCAAACACAGAAAGAAGAGGTGGAAGGAAGAAACATTGAAACATACTGTGTGAACTTCTTCTCCGCTTTCTCCCACGCTTTGTCGTGAGTGTCTCCTTGGGTTGACTCAGCCGCCATGGGTGCAGTGAGTTCGTATTTCTCCTGTGTTTGCAATGGATGATTGAGGCAAGTGATTTAATCGAATAAAATATAATGCCAAAGCGTTGCTCGAAAACCAGATTGGACGTGGAGGTTGATTGGAGCAGAAGGTTAGCGTTGGACGCAGGAAGAATTGGGGATCCGCACTCTTGGCGCGGAGATCTGCCAATATACCCCAACTGGAGTCCCGAGGTCCGCATAACACCGTGTTTTTTTTTTTTTTATATACTGCTTTGGGTTTCATATAATTCCAGAAGGAAGCACCTACATAGGTACAGCTTCTAGTTATATATAGTTTGTGGACCCACTAAAATAGCTTAAGGCCATTTCTGAGTGCAGCTTTCTAGTCTGTCTATATATATTCATGGGCACCACACCACCTACGGCATACAATTGATAATATGGAAGTAAAGAAAGCAAATATATGGACCCCATCAACTACTAAAAACGATTTAGTACAAATAGATAGTATTACTTGCTTTGGAAGATCCGAAGGATGTTACCACGGTGCTTTGCTAGGCTCTCTCTAACTGCTTCCACTGCTATGTACTACATGTATATTCTTTGCCACGATACAATGCCAAGAGATGCGAGACTACTCCTTAAGAACATGCAGACTCGATCGATAGAGCCGAGCTCTTCTCGTAGACTTGACCTCGGCCTTCTCAAGTATTGCTGGTCTGACCTTGTCCCTGTCATGGACTTGGAGATTGGCCATATCAACTTCTCCGTGAGCAGCAAGAGCGCGAGGCCAGCGGTGAGTCGCACGAAGATGAAAGTCCTACCGTGGACTGGTACACTGATAGTTATCCCTTTGTTGTGTGGCTATGTGTCCGATCGTACGGACATGGGTGGTGAGACCGCTCTCGGAAATGGAAACGGCGAGGTGGTGAAAGTTCGAGGGCGGCAAATAGTACGCATTCTAACCGTCATATTACCAGTGCTCCAAGTATACAAAGGTGCAAAGGGCTTAGCCGTGGGTTTGCAAGGTCGGTATATCGAGCATAAAGCGCTTCAGGCACTGTGTATGACAGAACGGATCACAATGGTGACATCTTTCCGTCCCCGATCGTCATCCATCAAGGATGATAGTGTTCTCACAGCAGTCTGTCCCGTCTCGATACTTGGTGACTTGTATCATCAATTCGGCGGAGTATCGCTTTGAGATGCTTCAGGGCCAATTCCGTGACGCCAATCGGCTTATGCGGGACTGAAAAGAGTGAGACGTCGCCTTGATACGGCTAGTCCCAAGGTATTCATCTTCGAACAGATAGGTTTTCTGGCATATGGACAAGGAGATTGTTGAAGATGACAAGGTCCAGAAGGGCATGTTCGATGACAGCCACCTTCACTCGGAGGAACTGAAACAGCAATGGCACAAGAAACAGTCCCATGCTGCTACAAAGTAGACCTTAGTGCCAGGGAATCTACAGATATTTGATCTGTTCTTAGCCATATGGCTCTGAAGAGCTCATGGTGAGATGATTGTTTATTTGAACGATTTGATTATTGCATTCATTCCTGCAGGTTATTGTTATGAAATGAATATTTCCCCAAGTCAGTCAGATGGTAGAGACGTAAAAGCCCCTAGGTTCAACCGAAGTCTTGAAAGCTCTTGAAATGTGCTGCATAGGGTCTTTGTGAATGCTCTGATGTATGATTGTAAGTGAACTGGTTGATGCAAGATCTAGATGTGTAAGTGAGGTCGAATATGCTTTGATCGGCTATGTTATTGAATGGAAACGTAAGTTATTGGCTCACCTGGTCTCTGCCTAGGAATCAAAGAAAAAGAGAAGCCAAAAAACGGGCAATGTCTATGTGTTATATGATCTCCCGAGGCTTCATTCATATACAAAAGTCGCTCACCCGCAAGAGGTGTACAGTTGCACTCGTTATGCAGATCATTTTCACAATAATGGCCTTTCAGCAAGTGCGACAAGTCGAAAATGAGTGACTGTCATATGAGGACTATCAATAAAAGAAAGTGACGAGTCACGTCCAAAGTTGCCCGGTCGAAGCTCCCTGGGCTGGGGCCCCCTTCCTCATGATTATGTGATTGCTTGCCTGAGGCCACCAAAACATCCGCCCTCTCACTTAAAGAATCTGGATCATATTATTACTCTTCCTTGTGCCTTTCTCTCAATCTCAGACCGTCACGCTATCCTCGTAGCGTTCTTTGACTTCTTAGCGTTTGTCTCTGCGAAAACCTGTTGATCACACCTTGCCACTTCGCGAAACTTTTAGTTTCCGGGACCCCCACCGCATCCTGTCGACACTCGCGCATTTGCCCCAAGACGCCTAAAACGCACTCCGATTGATGGGCTACGTCCTAGTGTGGAAACAACAGCTCTTGACGAGCCCCAGAAGGTCAAAATGGCAGCTAGAAATGGTTCTGGGGCTGAGGCATCGGGGGTAAGTCAATTCCCGCATCTTATTGAAGTGACTGAAGAACTAGAGACTGACGCGCTATACAGCTAGTCAACACCCTCCAAGGCCATGTCGATGATATTCGCACTCTGATACAGTGTGGTATATGCATCCGTCCCCTTTACGAACCGTTTACTATCGCCTGCGGGCACACTTTCTGCTACTCAGTGAGTCCCTTCTATTTTCCTATCTGGTTAATTCCATTACCTGACCAGAATTCTTCACATAGTGTCTATCATCATGGTTTGCTGGTGGAAGGTCAAAGCGAACATGTCCGGATTGCCGAGCACCCGTCAAAACTCAGCCAGCACCAGCTTATTTGGTGAGTTTTAACCATCTTCAATTCGTTTCATTGTATCTAACATATCTCCCGTGTTACAGGTTCGGGCAGTTGTGCATATGTTCACAGGTCGAGCCGAGCTTTTAGACAAAGGAGAAACAACTACAGAGCATACAAAGAACCAAAGGGACGAAGCAGAAAGACTGGACCTGGACAAGGCCAATCAACATCCAACCGAAGGAGGTCTGTTCGGGGGTCTTTTCAAGCCCAAAGCTCCCCCACTCAAACCTGTCATTGACATTGATGACGGAGTGGTTCGATGTCCGAGCTGCTCGTGGGAACTTGAAGGAGACACTTGCGTAGGATGCGGCTATCGGTACCGGCCGGGCTCTGAGGAGACAGATGACAGTGGATCAGCCGACTTCAGTGAGACCGACCTAGACTCAATGGATGATGGTATGGATGAGGATGAGAGCGAAGGCGAGGGCGGACTAGGGGAATCTGACAACTTCGACGACATAGAAGATCATGATGGCATTTGGGGCGACTTTGCGCTTAACTATTACGGGCCTACCTTCCATGGACGCCCCCTAACTGGCCCCCGGGTGCTGGCCGGCAATTTTTCGACCGGTTTGAAAACTTGATCCACGGACCTGCCATGATCCCACTGGGGGCCCCGGCCGCAGTGGATCATGGGAACTACCTCGCTTCAGGTAATACCAATGGAAGTGAATACGACGAAGAAGAGGAAGAGGAAGAGGAGAATGAGTATGACGAGTCAGACTCATTCATCGATGCGGAAAACGACCATCCGCCCACGAGTTCGTTCATTGAAAGTCAAGCCCATCGCCTCGGGAGTGGCGATATGTATGAATCGGAATCAGAACGTTCCACTGGCACCGTTGTGGATGATGCTGAGGGTGGCCGCCATCCCATACCGATTGGGCTCAATTACAGAAACAGTACACCTTACTTTGACGACGAGGCTTCTGAAGAGGAGGAAGAGGAAGTGGAAGTTTCAGATGAATCGAACGACAGAGGGGTGGACGATGAAGATTCGGATGAATCCGACGAAGACGCAATCCAGACTGGACCGCCTCGTCAAGCCCATCCACAATATCCACAACAATCCCCCTGGTTCCAAGCCCCCAGCGATGCTCCATGGCTTGCAGCGAGGCCTCCACCTGAAACAGTTCCTGACTCATCCGAGGAAGAGGAATCCTCGCCGCCTGTTAGGCCTGCTAGATCCAATGCGCGCCGTCCCGTCCATCATGGGACCACTGCTCACAATGCTATCACCCTCGATGATTCCGACGAAGATCAGCCTGTCGGTCCAGTGAGAAGAGCCACACAGAGGCGACGTGCCAGATTCTCTCCATATTAAAAAAATCTTCCAACCGACGACGCGGTATTTGTTTTCGCATTTTATCGGCCTATTTAATGTTTTTTTTTTTGGCTTCAGCGCGGCGCTTTGGGTAATGCTAAGAGGACTGTGGACATGGTTGGCGTTTTGTCTTCATTTTGATATCAAAAGGACGACCTTTTTGTCCTTTCTCCTTTTCTTCTGCTGCCTTCAACGGCTGGATCCTATCTTCATGTTCTGTTTTTTTACCGGCTCAGCCGTACTCTACGAATACCCCTACTTATCCTTCTTCGGTTCGATCTTGATCTTTTGTTGCCCTTTGCCAGTGAACTCGAAGAACCTAGTCTCTTGGCACTCAATAAAGCCTGGCCACAAAATCCTCATCAGATCTATGAAAAAGCCACCGGGCTCTACCGTATTAAGTCCTAACTTGAGAGGCCGGGAATTGGAAAAGCTTTGTAAGTATACGCCAAGAATAGGTCACGTGGTACAGCACGTAGCCACGCGTAAAGGTAAACAAGGACCCTCGGCAACGTCGTAAATGTCTTTAATAACATCTGAAATTCAAAATGTCCACCGAGATTGACGAGCTACGACGCCTTCTTATAGATGAACGTCGTCGAAGGGGGGATAGGGAGAGGATATCGAAAACCAGCCTTCCCACATTTCTCGACGGTCTCTATAATCACCTCTATCTAGGTTTTGAAGTTTAGTAGGATAAGACTCTATCCACGCGTAGAGATTCCGCAAATACGACCAACAAACTTCGCCCTAGAAAACTCAAAGCCTAACCTCTTTCGCGAAGGAACAAGAGGAAATTTGACGATTGCTGATGGATCCCTCGCTTATCGAAGACAGACTGTTCACTTCTCTCCACACTTTGAAAGAAACAGGAGAGAGCATTCGGCGGAAATTTGTTGGCTCGGAGCTTGACCTTAACCACTTTCTTCGCCAAACCGTCGAGGACCACGTTTCGAAAATCATGAACAACTACAGTGATCTAACACTGCGACACACGTTTGGATTGAGAGGGTCGATACGGGTTGAGGACCACTCTAATACACAGTGAGCAGTCCGGTATCATAATAGAGTCAACCAACTTCACGGCATGTGGTTGACTGCGCGTCATCAGATATTGAAATCGACTAGGGAGGAAATCCAGATCTTTTTGTGATACTGCGTTGAAGCGAAAGACTGGTACTTCTGGTAAGATAGTTACATCAGAGATAGTTACATTGGCAACTTACATCCATCGCCCTCGTCCTCTATTGCATTCGATGTGGATAGGTGATCTAGGTCCTAGAGAATAGTCTTTGTCGCGAGTGGCTGAGTTTCGTCACTATATTATATGTAGACTCCCAGCAAACGAAGAAAGCTCTTTTTTCGTAGTATGCTAGTGTTGAGCCGGTGATTGAAATGAATTGATGCGAGGGAAAGGGCTTAAACTAAATACAAGGAATTTCAAAAGAAACGCCTCTCGGCGTCTAAAAAGGTTGAAAATCTGGCGAGGGGATTCTTTGAGTAGCCCAGGGGACATCGAAAATCGACGGTGGAATGATTGGCTTCTCACGCTCCTTCTTTTCCGCTATATCGGTGATCATCCAAGGGTCTGGCTTTTCGAAGACGACATAGTGGTTCTCAATACTCGTCGACAACGTCCGCAGCCAGTCAGTGATATGACCCAGGAGATCATACTGAGTTCGAGATCGTTCAGCGAAATCACTGTACCACTCTTCTCTTGCCCCTTCCATCTCGCAACGAAACACTGAGACAAACTCTTTCTTTCCGGGTTCCTTGTCTCTGTGCGCGCAATGTTGATCCGGAGCCCATGCACCGCAATTGGTAATGAAAGCGGACCATGAAGAAAATTGGCCACGTTGAATGACTTGCTGGATCAAAGTCCTATGATATTGATAGTGTTAGTAAAGCAGCATCATAAAGAGACTGGGTAAAACAGAGTCAACAGGTGTCGTTGAAAGGATGCAGCACATACTGCCTGTAATTGTTCATGGCATATTCAAATGAACGTTGGTCATTCTTATTCACTGAGACATGGAAATTGGTTATGTCCGCATTGGAAATACTGCCCAGGCTCTGTGGGCCTGCTGTTCTTCTATAGGATAGCTCCTGGATAGAATTTCCACATCCAACCGAGAAATCATGAAGATATTCTTGCATTCGAGCTTCGCATTCTTGCCTAGATAATTTGGTATTCGTGAGTTCTTCAAAGAAGCAGAGTCAGCTCCGCTAATAATTCATTTTTGCCTTGTCAGGGAAGGTAAACATACCAAGGAAAAGTAGGAATTTGTCGCTGTCCCTTCCATTTTCTTTTTCTCTACCCCAAGCGAGTGGGCTGCAATCCCCTAGTTTCCATAATTTGACACGAAGTGCTTCAAGTTGAGTTTGTACCTGTGTGTTTCCACGCTGAGCACGGAAAGAAATCATTTGAACGACATCCACCTCTGAGCTGTTCATTTGACGGGGTAGATGATGCTGAGAGATGTGTGCCATCATATACCACGCACCGGCGGGCCCAGCGGCTATGCGTTCCCGGGGCTTTCTTCGCGCCTGAGACATACTTTCCACATGATACTTATCTTTACCGGACTCATTTTGATCTTCTTTGGCGCTGTATATTGGCTTTACATCTGCGTGGAAAGCCTGATGCTTGATTTGACACTGCGTGAAGTCTGGAAGAGGATCACCCGATACATGATTGAGCTGGCCTGTGCAAGCCGAGACCACATGCATCGCATCTTCGATGAGCTCTGCTATATGTTTTGTGAGATTTTGACTGCCTCCCCCTCGAAGCTGCAAATGACCGTCAAATTGTGGAGTCGAGTCCCAAAAGAGCAGGCCAATGAAAAACTGGTCCTCCGATTCTTTGTCTCTTTGTAGCCATTGCCCACAGGCGTGAGCTAATTCGGAGCTGGGAATAGTTCCATTAACAGGTTTGGAAAATGCGTTTCCCCATTTGGCTTTGAAGCCAGCTTTCTCGTCCAGCTGAGAAGCAGATAGAGCTGCTGGAAACTGAAAGGAGACCAGCTCGAGGTGACATGAGTCAGGGATGTCGAGGGGCAAATCAATTTGAACGCAACGGTTGGAGGCTTGGGAGATATATCCCAGCATCATGCTGAAGCCAAGAGAAGATTGGAATAGCTTCCAGCCAAGCACATTTTCCCACTGGATCAGTACGATAATCTGCTGACACGGCGAGACATCGTTCACTGATGACCAATGGAGTCTTTGAAAACCAGGGATAGTCGAAACAAAGCGTAAAGACTTCTGCCAGAGTATTGATGCGCGCTGTGATGCATCGGAGACGTCGACCTCAGGATTGAAAGTAAATTGAAGAATCCCAAGGACCGGATCATCGGGAAGTTGGTTGAGTTTGTCTGAATAGTACGGCAGGTCATGAAAACGAGGTATGACTTGCACGTACTCGGCATGAATCTCAGTCATTGTGACCTCGGCCTGTAAATGTTTCGCGATAAAGAGGAAGCCCGGGAGTTCCCAGCTGCGCCTGTCCTCAGGTTCGGACTCAGGTGAAGTTGGCGGTGAGTCGTGGAGTACAAACTGGTAAATGATAGGGGTCAAGTGATCACTAGCACCGCACTAGAGGTTTCGCTCGTCTTATTTCACTTTGGCTAGCTAAAATGAAAATTTCGTATGTGGATTCGACAACACAAAATGAGAGTTGACCCTGGACTTAAAGCACGCTAACTATGTAAGAGAAATAGATGACAGTAACGACGACTCATTGTACGTAGGCATGATTGGCTGATCTTGATAATTACAGCTAGAAATCAGTCATCGGAATTAACTTTGCCATGTGTGTTTCACGGGTCTACAGTGTACTAGCCTGGAAAAGCAATTTGACGATCTAACAATCTAGCCGGTGGGGGACGCTATTACCAAGTGGGTCGCTGCAAGCGAAGCACTATGCTTGATATATCGCTCACTCATATGGAAATTCCTTCCCACTCGTGACATATGGGTCGATATATGTCCCCAATCAAAAACAAGGTGGGGCCACTTTGTTATGATCTCCGCAAGACCGCAGCTAGTCGAGCGGTCGCAACTTACTGATGGCCCAAAAATTAGGATGCGCTTTTTTAGAACTCATTTTCAATGAACTTCGATTTAATGAACCTCTGCAGAATGTATTCAAAAGAAAAAGAGCGAAAGCTAACACCTGACTGACTACCTCGAGGTTTAAGAAGCGAGCTAGACTTTAGTTCGAACAGCCATGTGAGTCTAGCATGGAAGCTCGGTTTGAACGCAGGGGGTGGGTCGCCCTGGTCATGGTCTCCAGCATATTTGCAATGACCTATAGCCAGCCTTGTTGTGCTGAGAGTTCAAACAAGCCGAGATATGATCAGACTGTGAGATGCGACATCATGGCCGCAAGACCGTCATCCGTAGGGTTAGAAGTGTCAGCTGGAATCGCCCGCGGGTAACCAAGTGACCAATCGCTCAGTGAAAGAAACATAGCTGTTTTGTTCATTAGTGCAATTCTCATGGAACCCAGACGCCCTAAAGCAACTTACCGGTGACATAGAAGGAAAATGAATCTGCCAGGATAGACAGTGTTATATTAGCACACATTTCCTTGCTCAACCAGTTTAATCCATTGGAGATATTTCATACCGGCATTCTTGATCGCAAGATCGGGCGTGTTTGTCGCGAGTTGAACGATACATTGCCAACCGTAGGCTTTCACTGATCTCCCACCCAGGACACAAGGTTGATCAACTGTACTCTTGAGTTAGCTTCTGGATACATGCCGCTCACTCGATAATGTGCGCACGTACGTAAGTAGTCAGAGCCCACAATAGCTGGGGCATGGGTGAACTCGTGCATCAAAGCTGTGGACATTGTGTAGATTTGGAAAAAACCGAGATCTGTTTTTTGTACATCCGTCCACACCTTTTGAGCCCAGGATGTCATAGTTTCCGTGCCACCTTGAAATCTTGTCACCCATTTAGCGACATCATCTTGGCACATAGTCAAAACAGTGGTCTGCCCGTCTGTCGTTTGGCTCGAGGACATAGAAGGGTTCACCCATGCATAATGCGTAGCGTCTAGGTCTCTGCAGGCTCCATCCACAGCCGCAAAATTCTGTGCATAAGGCATTGTCTTTGTACTCCGGTCGTCCCAGTAAAGGTAGGAGTTCGTCACTTGAGCGTAAAATTTACTGTTAATCTGGTATTGACGTTGGCGGGGGAGTTGACTCACTGTCGATGTCACCTTCAGGGTCACCCCTGACGAGCCAAGCATCACTGCAGTAGATCTCCAGGTCTGGGAGCGAATCGATGTTTTGAAGTTTACTTCTGATCGTTTCCGCAAGACCTGAATTCCTTTAGTCATTTCCATTTCTTTTTTGGCTCACTTTTTAGAAGGACGTACTCAAGATTGTGTTTGCCCTAGCAATGCTCTCGGCATTTTTATCGCTTCCGGTTCCATATTCAAGCTTGCCAAATATCGATTCAAAGGTGTAAAACGTAGATTGTAACAGCTGTCCGTAGCTGCCAATGTGGTTTGGCGGATCGTGAAGGAAAGTTACGAGAAGGCTTGTTCGAGAGATGGTAGTCGTCAACTAATTCATGAAGATCAATACGCTGAATCACCATGTTTTTCGAAGGGGTAGAATGATACCATGTTTTTCATTTCCTCAAAGGTACCGCGAATAGTTGACTGTGCGCTATTGTCGCAGAAATATGCCTTTGCTCTTTTGCTGAGGCCGCCATGGCTGTGGAAGGGGTCATGGGAATGTCCTTGAGGAGCGGCAGCTACTAGTCCAATGTTGACAAAAGCTGCCGCTGCCCCAAAGGCTCGCAAAAAACAAGTGAGACGCATTGCTTATGCAGCAGTAAGCAAACAGATCGTCAAGAGTATGTCCTCAGACAGGACTTGGTGAATAGAAAATGGAAACTTTTCAGCAAGTATATGGATTTGGGCTTATAATACGGAATACGGATGCTATGGTTCCACAACCACACTACCTAGACCCTTCATCGCTCTCTGTTCCGCACTTGGACACCACTGGGACCCTGTGGTCCAGAATGAAAACCCTGCAGCCACTAAGGAATAGCTGAAGTTGATTCAATCAGGTTAATTTGTTACGAATTCTCGGCTAATCCTCTATCTTCTCAGAAACAAATTGGGGCCGGGCTGAAATGAAGCTATTTTAGTGCCGTTTCGTATCCAACACTAATGCAAAGCGTCAGCGCTAGATCGTTGACCAAAGTTTACGGAAATTGTAGATAGGTTAGTCTCTGAGCTAGTGTCCACATACGCAGAGCGATGTGGAGACTCGGCATCGGTAGGCTTGAATCGAGGCTTGATTGTTCCTAACAAGTGGAGCCAACCAGGTTGTAAAACGCTTGTTCCTGAACGCACAGATGCACACGTTCGAACCCAAAATAATTCTCGATTAGTATGCAAACATGTCCTAAAGCTCTGTACCTGACTTAAACCATGCGATGTGAAATAATTGAGAGCGGAGCTCAATTTGGTTTCACACCTCGGAAACTTGAATTGTTGTTGGTCTACTATTTGGGGGTTACGAGTTTGTGCTACTAACTATGGACTCTGCGATGATAAGGGAATCACACTAAGGAGGGGTGTGATGCATGTTACTAGCGTATGTTGTAGTACGTTAAACGTACTACATATTAGTGTCAGGGGCAAACCCGAGAAGAATTTTATCGTTTGGGGGCCATGAGTGATCGATCGTACTCAACTAAACATACATGTTTTCCAATCAATTAACTATTAACTGGTACTTCTCTATCCCAAACATTGAAAAAGAAATCGAACGCAGACGCAAAGTCCTTCCCCGTGCTAGAAGGCATGGATAACTGGGGGGAAAAAAGATATTCAACTTTGGATATTCACTCGCAGTAAACACGAAATTGCTTGAATATAGACAGTCAACTTCTTCACAGATAGTTGTGAGATAGCGTTGGTTTTACTAATTGATAACTACTTTTTCTACAAGCGAGATTACCGCTAGAGACCTTATTCTGAGATTTATCTTCTGAAACTTTCAAAATGTCAAAATCCTCGTGAGATTCTCTGACATTGGTAGACTAAGCTTAGCCGACTCATATTAGCGCGATCCACAGAGGTATTATCCCGGAGATGGGGCCGCATTAAGCGATTGAACAAGTTTATGTGGACCTATGGAAGCACGGATCGCCCTATTTTGTTGGAAGGGACTCTTCTACTTCGCCACTGTTCAAAAGGTACAAATGCTTCCTCTCCCTAGAAAGCTTTGCGAGATCATCTGTCGATATTTTCGCAATGCGGAGCCTTCTTAAGTTGACGGCTGCTCTGCAGTTCTTGTCTGTCCTTTCAAGAGTTCAGGCAGACGATGTCCCCTGCTCTAAAGATGAACCCTGCAAAGAAGGATGTTGCTCAAGTGTCTCCCAGGTTTGCGGATACGGTCCGGATTACTGTGGAAGTACTTGCATTCAAGCTGGCAGCTTGAATAACACATGCACACATCTGGCCGAGTGTAATCCTGGTGGTTATCCAGGTTGGGGAGAAACTTGGGGTAATTATTATTCCCAAAACCCAGCAATTCATTGTGGCCAGTAGCTTACCAGACCAATCAACCAGCCTCCAATTACTCAATTTCGCAGTCCTGTCCACTGAATGTCTGCTGCAGTCAATTTGGCTACTGTGAGGAAATCCCGGTGATTCTATCCAAAAGTGATTCATTACTGACTTCTGAATTATAGGTGGAACCTCCTCTGATTTCTGTGGCACTGCCACTTGGGACGCGCCATCATGCTTTAACACTACATCCACGCGGCGAATCGGCTACTATGAAGCTTTCAATCTTGATCATTCCTGCAATAGTGAGTCCTCACCTGATCTTTGGAACAATTTATACTAATCGTCGCTCAAGCCATGACACCGGAAGAAGTATGACCTACTGCGGAGGCTGTCCTTCATTAGATCTCACATGGACATTTGTTAACCTACTTCTAGATTCCTGTCGGGGGCTACACACACTTGATCTTCTCCTTCCTGTACATTGAACCTGACACCTATGAGATCACTCCCATGGAGTCGAATCAAACGGATCTCTACGCTCGATTCACTGCCCTGAAAGATTACGATGTCGAAACCTGGATCTCCATCGGTGGATGGGCTATGAACGATCCAGGAGAGTACTCTAACGTCTTCTCCAAGCTTGCTGCATCGACATCGGCCCAAACTAAATTCCTGAGCTCTCTGACATCCTTCTTGAAGGAGTACGGATTTGATGGTGTTGACATTGACTGGTGCGTAATGGACTCTTTGGTTGGGGATGCATGTTATTGACTCGACCAAAGGGAATATCCTGGCGCAGCGGATCGATATGGTACTGATGCTGATTTCGACAATTTTGTGTCATTCCTCAAGAACGTGCGATCGTCACTAGGAGATGATTATGGCCTGTCGATCACCCTCCCCAGCTCTTATTGGTATCTCCAATACTTTGACATCGTCAATCTTGTCAAATATGTCGACTGGGTATGTCTTTGTTTATCATGAACCTTTCTCTTGAGTGCTCTGCTCGATTCTAATGGGTCCCAGTTCAATTTCATGGCCTACGACATCTATGGTACATGGGATGCTACGATTTCCTCCATTGGCAGTAGAGTGTATGCCAGCACCAACATGACCATGATTGAGTCTGGTCTCAAGCTTTTGTGGCATAACAATATTGAGGCTAGTAAAGTGAACCTTGGCCTTGGTCTCTATGGACGCAGTATGTTTTCTTGTTGTCTATCATTTGATAACCATTTTAACACGATCAGGCTATACCCTTGAGGACTCATCGTGTACAGAGCCCGGATGCGCATTCACGACAGGAGGTAAACTTGGGCTCAAAAATTGCAAAATCCCTTCGTCCTGAAAATGCTAATCTTCGAAAAGGCAATCCTGGTCCTTGCTCTCAGGCTGAGGGTCTGCTTTCATACGACGAAATCATGGATATCATAGACGATCCATCGAGAAACCCAACTGTCTGGCTGGACTCCGAGGCAGCTGTCAAGATTGCTGTCTTTGATGACGACCAATGGGTTGCCTATGATGATGCCGAAACCCTTCAAATGAAATTGGACTTTGCCAACTCGGAGTGCATGGGCGGGTATGCTGCTTTCTTGAAAATGAAGTATTCGCATATGATATTGTCGCTAATCTTGATTAATTGATGATAGTGTTGCAGCCTGGGCTGTTGATGAGGATGGAAAGGGTGATCTTGCTGGTATGATCATAAGCGATTTGCTTCCTGATGCAACCGTCACTAATGTTTTACAGAAAGTATCTCGAACTCCACTAACCTGTTTCCCGCGGGAGGAAGTGGAAAGCTTTATGTCTCGCCCGACATTTGGGAAGATGAATCGCCCGAGATATCCTGCGAGGCTCCCTGCACTTTCATTCTCCCGCCCTTCCAGCTGGCCGAACCAGCCACTGTCAGCTGGCCAGCAATGACTACTTCGGTCCTTGTCAGCACAAATGGCGGTATTTCTACATCGACAACGACCATATCGATTCCTGCGTTTGAGGTCTCAGAAATTCCTTTCTGGCCGGTGACCATTGCTTCTAATAACACAGCTGGTGCCTTGGTGCCCGTCCAGAGCGTAGCGCCGCCGTCTATGGTGCTTACATTCCCAGGAAGCGTAGCTCCGTTCCCTGTTGCTACCTCTAACTATACCAGCATTGCAGAGAGCCAGATGTCTTCCCTGGGTGCCAATGGTGGTTCCGGTTCTACGGCAACCATTACCAGCCCTGCCACTACTGCTGCCACCTCGACTTCGACTTCGACTACGGTGACAACCCCATCCCCCATTGCAGCAAATATGGCCAGTGGCTGCACAAAGTTCTACAAGATCCAAAGTGGTGACTCTTGCTGGAGTGTTGAGAATGATAACGATATTGATGCTTCGGACTTTGAAGCTTGGAATCCGGATGTCGGAACCGATTGTGCTAGTGGTGTTTGGATCGACTACTACTACTGCATTGGTCACTCGTCTTCGTCTTCCTCTTCTGGGGGATCTGGAGGATCTACTTCAACTGGAAGCAGTCCCACCCCTGTCTTCTACTCCACATCACACTCTGTTGTCATTCAGCCAGAGGCAACACATACCACGATTCCTCCAACCAAGTCTATTCCTTCTATCAATGTCGAGACGGGAAAGCCTAAAGGCTCCACGTCTAGTGACGGTGACTGCGTTGGATGTGGTACCCTGGATTGCTCGCTTTTTGGTTGCGATGGGAAATGTGGTATATTCGGCTGTGACGGAGGCTGTGGTTTTTCATGGTGTGGAGGTGGGTGTGGTCTGGATTACTGCGGACCTGGCTGTGGTACTGGTGAGTCTTGACTTCCATCTATGAGTCTTTCCAAGAGCAAACTTATGCTAACTTTCTGTGTGTTCAGGTGACTGCGTTGTCTCAGGTGGTGGAGGTGGTGGTGGCAGTACCGGCTCCATCGGAATTGAGTCCGGGGACGGCGAAGAGTGCGACGAGATGAAGACGGCCGATGTCTGTACCGCATTCGTCAAAAGTTTCTCTTCCTCCGGAATGGCCTCTTCGTCAACTACAACCACAGTGGGTGATAATGACCAATTGAATGTTCCTTCAATATATGCTAACGCCTCACTCACTAGACTGAATGTGCCACTACTGAGGGATGCTCAGTTACTGCATCTACCACAACAACCACAATCAGTACGACAGGAACTTACTCTACCGGTACAATCAGCTTCATGGACTCGGAGACAACAATTGCGGCATCCGTCCTGTCTTCCATCTCGAGTAGCATTCTCAGCCAGCGAAGTGTTTGGGACGCTACACGCTGGTCTGGGTACACTATCACCGCCACCTCAACCTCAGCAAGTGCGACCTCTACACCCACTGGATTCCAGATTGTGACGGATGCTCGAGCATATTCGAACTACGAGTATCTATTCATGGCCATCGTCTCTGACGGCCTGGATAATCCTGTCGTCGTCAACGACACTCTAACATATGACAAGACTCTCACGACTGAAAATAGCGAGACCACATTCTGCGGCCAGACCTCTACGTTTGAGCAGACGGACTCCGGTGAGGTGACTGGTTACAGTGGTGATAACAAGTATTCTTGTGTGAATGTCACGGACTCGTCACCGTACACCATAGACGATGATGGTCACGAATCCACAATAACGCCTAGGTGGAACTGTCTCACTGACATCTGTTTATAAAAGTCGACGCTGTTGGGCGCAAGTGGAGCAAGAAAGTTTGCTAGATTGAGTCAAATTTCGTGGATCCTGTCTTTAGGACTCGCAATATGGCCTAAATTTCATTTGAAGTCTATACAAAACACAGTCTCATTCAAGTCACTTATACCAAAGAAATGAAGCCTACGTACGGCCCTTGAGTAATAGGCTTCAAGACATCTATAATTAGGATTTGCTTGCCTTCTTCCAGTACTAATCTACTACTGGTAAGAAAGCTTTTGAAGATCAATGCAGAGAGATCACTTGCTGAACATGTATGGATATCTACCCCTGGCTATCACTTCACTTGATATAAGTATCAAGGCAAGTCAAATGTAGGCAAGCAACTACCGATACGAGAAACGGCGGTTCAACCATGGCGCTTGAAGTATTCTTGACCTCCGTCAAATTACTATGTAATCTATTAGACAAACCATGGATACATACTAAAAGGGCAGAAAGCGGTGAATCTGGTACTGTCGGATGGGACAATGCTGCTTGAAATAGGGATATGATTGAATACTTCAATGCACCGAAGAAATCCGGTAAATATGCAAAAATGGTAAAATACACAGATGTGACTCCAAATACACCTGACCCCGAGCAACGCTCCCCATTTTACTCGGTCAATGACCAAGATCGAGACAAGAAGATTATGAACAAAATTTATACATCAGCCTTCACAGTGTCATTAGTAGCAAACGGAACTTCGAAGACAACAGCACCATTGCGGCCTCCCGAAGTAGCGCCCTCATGGAAATTGTTGGTGAAGCACTTCCAGCGAGCCAATCGGTGCTCCTTGCCGACAGCGGCGATGATGGACAAACCACGAGGTTCATGCTCGGTATCAGACTTTTTTGATTCAGCGCCAGGCATATCAGATTCAGGGCGTCGTTCGAAGACCGCGATGTCATTGATCACACCCTTAATCAAAGGCTCTGGCTCTTTTTGTTCAGCTGCAGGGGTGGCATCAAGAGCAAGAGTCTGTTTGAGTTGCTGCGAGGGCGTGTCTGGTGCCGTCACAGTACTAGGTAAGCCTGCACCGATGGGACCCAGAGCGATAAGTGTCTTTTTATCTTCTGAGACGCGCCATGCGCGGATGAAACCGTCCCAGCTGCCACTGAGGACAACGTCGGTACCCGGTAGAGTAGCGAGTGCGGTGATCCAGCGAGGCATGGGCCGCATGTGGCGCGTGTTGTGGGCGGCTGTCGCCTCGTCTGCCTCGGGAGATAACACATCCAGAGGAGGGATAGGGTCCAAGCCATGAGCAAGACGGACGGTGTAGAGGGGCTTCTTCTTGTGAACCGACCAAAGGCAGAGGGAGCCGGAATCTGAGCCAGTGACGAAGTGGGTGGGGGGAAGAGGGGCAATGCAGTCGATGTTGCTCTCGTGGTAAGGGGCATTTCTGGAGGCACCGCCACGGAACACGAGCTGTGTTTCCTCGACAACCTTCCACATGCGGGCGGTGCGATCCCGAGCACCAACACTGACACATTCGTCAATGGTCATGGCAGCAACGCCGGTGACATGATCCTGATGACCGAAGAGTGTTTCGACATAAGCGTGGCCCGCTCCACTGATGGACCATGTCTTAATTGTACGGTCGTACGAGCCGGAGAACAGCTGCTCTCCGGAACTCATCGCTGAGATATGGCGTGCAAAAGACAAGCTGCAAACCGAGTCTCTGTGGTGCAAGAAGGTCTTGCTTGGCGTCAAAGTCTCTGCGTCCCAGATGATAAGCTTATTGTCCGTTCCACCGGTGGCCACGAATTTTCCAGAAGGCGAGACAGCAACAGATATGATGCTTCCTGTATGACCTTGATCCTCGCCTGATTCGCCAACTTTGCGCATACCACGAGCGTACTTCACACGCTTGGGCTTCTTGCGCTGGGGACGCGGAGCCCGCTTGGAAGTATCATTATCGCCGTTCAATTCTGTAGAGCCTGGTACACTGGGTGTAGCCAATTCCCACTTGGTCAAAGTTTTATCCTTGGAAACAATGTAGACAAATGGCGGGTGGACTGCAATGGCAGTGTTTGACTGGGTATCTGAGCGGAAAAAGGAATAGGGCGCCGTGGGAACGGATAGTTTCGCAGCGATTTGACGGAACGTCCGTCCTTTGAATTCATCGACATCCTTCTTCAATCGCTCCGCAATCAAGTCTCGGTCGATATCTGCAGCATCAAAACCGGCTTCGTCGACCTCTTCTTGAATGTTACCCAGGTAGCGTTCAGCGAGTTTCAATCTTCGATCCGCCGCGGTTTCGCCATCTTCGGAGTCCGATCCATTTTCGTCGCCTGACTCTGCCGTATCTATTGCGGCATCTTCATCCAAGTCACTGCCTGAGATCGATTCTTCTCTTTCTTTGGTGCGTCGACCGTCGGTTTTGGCATCTACGCCTCGCTTTTTCGATCCTGGGGCTCCGGCGCGGTCGTCTCTCTTCCTCTTGCGTTGGGAATTGGGTACAGTGAAAAAGGACGACATGGCGACGTTTTGTCAAGCCTGTCGGTTCTTGATCTCTGTATAAAGAAATCGAATGTATGGCGTTCTCGAAAGACTCGGACTGCGGAGATCAAAACTTCAACTTTTTTTTGGCAGAAAAAAAAGCGCTAAGCGGCGGCTGACTCAGCAGGTAGCTGACCTCACGGGAGCTCCAGGCGTCAAGCTCACCGCGCGGTCCTCCTCACTTGACCACTACTCCCCTTCGTCTTCTCTGGTCATCTACTTGCTTGTTATTTTTTTATTTATCTCTCATACCGCAAACATGTAAGTCCATGGTACTCTCGTCGATACAGATGGTCACTAACAGTTTGCTAGGGAGGTTCTTTTGGGTATCGCCGGCAAGGACTTCGTCATTCTTGCTGCATCCAAGGCCGCAATGAGAGGCCCGACAGTTCTCAAGGCTGAAGATGATAAGACACGACAGTTGAACAAGCACACATTGATGGCCTTCTCTGGCGAGTCTGGAGATACCGGTATGTAGCTCCTCCAATGCGACAAACAAGATGCTAATGAGATACCTATGTTAGTTCAATTTGCCGAATACATCCAAGCCAACGCTGCACTCTACAGCATGCGTAACGACACCGAGCTCAGCCCCTCCGCCGTTGCCAATTTCGTTCGGGGAGAATTGGCGCGCAGCTTGCGGTCACGGAGTCCCTACACAGTAAACCTGCTGCTAGGTGGTATAGATCCGGTCTCTGAGAAGCCTCACCTGTATTGGGTTGATTATCTAGCGTCGCTGGCGCCCCTACCATATGCTGCTCATGGCTATGCTCAGTATGTTTCATGGCCCGTCATGACGGACGATACGAAATTCCAGGCGAGAGATAACTGATGCTGACTCTGCTAGATACTACTGCCTCTCTATCCTTGACAAACACCACCATCCCGACTGCTCTCTCGAGGAGGGCCTTGCGCTCCTCACCCTGTGCACAGACGAGCTGAAGCGCAGACTACCCATTGACTACAAAGGGGTAAGTTCTTTAGGAAGCCGTCTTCAGATGCCGTTATGCTGACACAATTTTCCACAGATGCTAGTGAAGGTCGTGACAAAGGATGGCGTGCAAGAAATCCCCGTGGATAACGATAAGGTGGTCCACAGTGCTTGAAGGTCAACATACCACGGCGTTTGTTGTATCACATCTTATGACGTTTTTCTTTGATTCCGAGATAGTCGAACGGTCGGCATGATTTAGGCTGTAGCAACCTTGGAAGTCAAGTAAGGAGTAGATTCCTAGATAGTCTTGAATAAATAATAGGCAAATACAGCCCTATAAGCTCACCGCTCGAAATGAACAGCACTTTGTATATAGAACGTACACCGCTTGGCATTGGCCTGACCGTGGGCGTTTGACTTGTTTGCAACTGAGTCGCATCCCGAGCTCTCAGAAAGTCAAGAACTCCGGGATCACCAACTTTTCGATGCAATCCATCTCACAATGTCGAAAAGACACGCAGAGCTTCCCTTGGAGGAAAACTTCTCTAGCTCACCTGTATCGAAAAAGGCGCGCGTTGAGGACGACAATGATCGCGATTCTCGCGACGGCGCATTGCCCGCATACCGAACGAGCGCCGCAGAGTTGGGACAGGATGATCGCGATGATGTGGATGTCCTAGGAGCAGCTGAATTGGAAGGAGAGGAGCTAGAGGAGGGCGAACAAGATCCCTCTGGACTCTCGTATATTGACGAAGATGCACCTGCACTCAGCGCTCCGAAGCGGCAAATCGCTCCCATGGAAGGCTACGGCGACCTGTACCTCGACACGATCAACCGCGAAATCCTAGATTTCGATTTCGAGAAGCTGTGCTCCATCAGTCTGTCGAACATCAATGTGTACGCATGCCTCGTCTGCGGTAAATACTTCCAGGGCCGTGGTCCGAAATCGCATGCATATTTTCACGCCCTTGAAGTTGGGCACCACGTCTTCATCAACATTGGCACGAAGAAGGTATATGTCTTGCCTGAAGGATATGAAGTCAATAACAAGAGTTTGGAGGATATCAAGTATGTGGTTGATCCACACTACACAAAAAACCAAGTGGTCAAGCTCGATAGGGAAGTGCATGATGCCTGGGACCTTTCTGGGTCGAGGTACAGACCAGGTAAGAGCTTGTAACATGATAAGATCGAAAGGCTTTTTTTAGCTAATTGTTTTCCTTTCCAGGGTTTGTCGGCATGAACAACATCAAGGCAAACGACTACGTCAATGTAGTAGCTCAACTACTGGCACATGTTTTGCCAATTCGCAATTTCTTCCTCCTCCACGAGTTCCCTACGCCCGGCACACCAGAGATAATTCTTCGTTTCAGCACGCTGGTGCGCAAGCTATGGAACCCTAAGGCGTTCCGGTCACATGTGTCTCCGCACGAGCTACTACAGGAGATTGCCGTACGATCCTCGAAACGGTTCACTCTTACGAACCAGGCAGATCCCGTGGACTTCTTGTCTTGGTTCCTAAACTGCCTGCATCTCGCCTTAGGGGGGTCCAAGAAACCCTCACCAACACCAACAAGTGTTGTTCACGCAGCGTTTCAGGGCCGTGTACGGATCGAAAGCCAAGCTATCACCGCTCACTCCGACACGCAAAATGCCCGTTTGGTATTCACTGAATCTGGCACAATCAACAGCCAGGTTACTCCTTTCCTCATCCTCACACTGGATCTACCCCCCACACCCCTCTTCCAATCTGCCAATCGGGAGTCGAGTATCCCACAGGTTCCCTTGACTACCCTCTTGAACAAATATAACGGCTACACGGCGTCGGAGAAACTGGCCCACCGTGTCCGACACCGTCTCCTCCACCCTCTTCCTCCCTACCTTTTCTTCCATATCAAGCGCTTCAGTAAGAACCGCTTTGTCTCTGAGCGAAACCCAACCATCGTCACCTTCCCCTCTCCGCACTCCTTGGATATGTCCCCCTATGTCGAGCCAAATCCCAATATTTGCTCACCCGGCGAGCCAATCCTCTACGATCTTGTCGCAAACATCATCCTCGACCCCGCTATCGCTGCGCCCGGTGCAATGGATGATGCTGTGGATAAGGGTGTCAATGCTGCGTCAGGAGCCGGCGGTTCCTCCAGCGGAGCAGGTGGCGGCAGTGAGAAGGTGTCATGGCTTGTCCAACTTCATGATAAAGCCATGGAGGCCGAGAACGCTCGCGCCAAAAAAGGCGGTTCTACAGAGAAGCAGCAGCAAGGCCCAGAATGGCTTGAGATTCAGGATTTGTTTGTCAAGCGCGCGGAAAGCGAGACGCTGTTCACTCGTGAGGGATATCTTATGGTCTGGGAGCGACGCAAGGTGCCAGGGAACAAAGGAAAGGGACGTGCATGATCTGAGTGGGCTTGGGCTTGGAAGTTGCTATTGTCTTCTACGTTTTTACATGTATCTTTGAGAGCCAATGCAATGTACCATCAAATAATGACGAAATTATGTTTTTGTTTTTGTTTTTCAATATGTACGGTAAAACAGATGCAAATGCTGCATCAGAAGAGGAAAGATGGAGAAAGACAACACCTGCCATGTCTTACAGTCTTACTACTAGGATCTATGAAAGGGGAAACGACTACCAACGTACCTGTCGTCGCCTATATCTATGAATGGATCACACCTCCAGGGCTGGGCAATAATATAATATGCTAGATGTGTAAATGCAACTCTGGTCAAAAGCTGGACCGGGAAACTGAGATTTTCTTTTCATCCAGGCAAGCGTGGCCGAGTGGTTAACGTAAGATTTTCTCCCGTAGTACCCTTGTTTCATCCTCGACCCAATCACTAACAAATCAACAGGCGCTGTGTTAAGTTATTATTCACAAATAACAAATCCGCAGTGAATTTATTCGCGCGCGTTCGGCCGCTTGCAATTTATTTTTACTTTTTGGTCATTCGTCTGAGTAAGACTGGTAGTCAGTCGATTCGAAAGAATCTATACAGTAAAGGAGGAAGGGGGGAATCGGAAGGAAATAAAAATCAATTTTCATACTAAACTATGTACTCCGTACCTTCCAAGGTTAAACCCCCACGCTTTTTTTAGGACCAAACAGCCCTGGAGGTCTATGATAGATATTGGCAAGGCCAGAATAACTTAGCAACCTTGGAAGTGTGAACGCTAATCCTCAGATGAAAAGGCACTTGCCGAATAAGATCAACCACCCATATATTTTATTCATCACAAGGTTCCCCAGCCACAGAAGTTCCTCCCTATCCTCATCGTCGAGCCGACCAGGAACCCCCAAATCCCGGCTCTCATCGCAACTTGCATTCCTCTCATGAGGAGGAGTCGGCAGGAATAGGCCCATATGTCTGGCCAAGTTCTTCCGCCAAACCAAAGACCCAACGGATGGACATCTGAGAGACGGGTAACGGAGGAAGGGTGTGATATAATCCAGGATCTGGTCAATGAGCGAAGGTAGAGTGCTTCAAGCGGGGCGAGCATGATGCCGCTGATTGCAGCAGCGAGATGAGATGCGAGGGAGTCCACTGGGTATGCCGAAAGAAGGGTGACCCGGTGGACTTGCGCCAATGGGTTTGTCATTTGTCCGGGAATCAGAGAAGAGGGTAGAATTGGCTGGACGAGGGTATCGGATTGGGTTTCTTCATTATGGTCTGTATCTGCGACAGGGTTTGATTCATTGGGGGGCTCTTCGTCATTTGGTTCTTCCACGCCATCTGGGAGAATGTTGGGAACGATGGGCCCTAGCGCTTCCTCGATTGACTCTAAAGTTGGAGCGTCGGTGGCTTGAGTTTCTGGGGCTGGAATTTGAGGGTCTAATTCAGGGGCACCCAAGTCTTGTGGGGTAGTGTTGGATGGCCCGGCAGTGATACTTGAGAGGCCGTCCGTATCTGCTGCCGCTAGGGGCTGCTGGGCCTGGCGTTCGGCCTGACTTAAGATCAGAGCCTCGAGGAACTCGGCTATGGATCGTCTGTCCATGGCGTCTGGATTTGTATTGGGTCCTGACACATCATTGCGTGCCGGTGCATTCAGCTGGGTAGGATTTGAAGCGTGGAGCTGCGGGTGGCGGTTCCGATTGCCCATCAACTCAAGTTGCATCGTGATAACGTCGGGGCTTTGGTGAATCAAGGATGCTCTTACGCGAGGCGACGTAGGAGGCGATGTCGCTGGTGATGATGGGCGAGAAAACAGAGTATTAGATCGCGAGCTCTGTCGATCTATATCAAAATCCTCACCGTTTTCCAAAGGGGCTGTTTGGTCCTGCGGGGTTGAAGTGGCCGAGATACGACTCGTCCGTCCAGCAGTAGCTATCTCGGAGAAATAGTCATTGCTCATTTCCCCAGGCGATTGAGACATACGATTTTCATTTGTAAGGACCTGATTCAACCCAATAACTGATTCTGCCTGAGTCAAATGCGTGGGTCGACTTGCTTCCTGCGGCCGCGGTCGTGCTCGTGATGCAAGAGCGGCAACCTGGGCTGAGGGAGTGATCCCCGGCGGTCTAGGCACAGGACCATTTGGCCCTTCTTCGGCAACAAGGTTTTCTTGGGCTCCGTCAAGTTCATTTTGCAACAACTCAATCGAATGGCGTAGATTTTCAATCCTCTCGTCTCTAAAGGACTGGAGAGCTTGCTGCTCTAGGGATTGGTTCGATCTCGATCCAAAAAGCGATGATACCCATCTTCGAAAAATGGCCAGTTCGAACTTGATGTCTTCGAATAGCGTGAGCTTGCCGCGGTGTAACTCTTCGTCTGATCTGCGGCCCAGGGTGGGCACTACCCACTCTATCAGGTTTTCTTCAAAGGCAACGCGGACTGAAAGTTCATCAGGAAGAGCTGGCTTTGGAAGGTGTCGTCTGATCAACCGATAGATACGCTCTTCAAGCTCTGGTCGCAGGTAGTAGCCATAGAGGAACACTAAAGCGCCAGGGGAGATCAACAATTCCACGAGCGAGGTCCCCAGTGAGTGAGGGGAGAAATCAGTGGGCAAGGGTGGCAGCTGTAGCAAAGATTCGCTGCTGAAGGGAAGCAGAAGTTGCAAGCCGGGAATGCCATATGGAGACACAAGGGAAAGAGATTGGAGTGTGGAGTACATGTAGAACTCCATAGACAACATGAGCACAGAATTTCTCGCCCTTTATTCATAATTAGTTGTCTTGTCTATTTGAACGGACAAAGAATATACTCACGCCGTATATAAAAGCCCGAAAAGAGAACGAACACCGAGTGAGTCGCCTGTCAAAGTCTGGGCGTAGTCCCGGAGAGAGACAAACACCCGTTTTAGCGGGGTTTCACGAGCTATCGCCAACCCACTGGACATTGCCCAGGCAGGAATTCCCGAAAAATAAAAGTTAAGAATCCCTGCGGTATCTCTCTCAGACTGTACGACACTGATTAATGCGGAATGGGCATAATGCCGGTAAGTCTAAACACCAAGTCTCGAATGTCAGCCCTATCAACATCTATACTAGTCGGTAGTGCATTTACCTGTACTCGACCGGTGACTGAAGAGGTCCACCAGGTACCGAAGAAGATGAACAGTTGATCGAGAGTTGTTATGACCAGTCCGAAGTCATTTTCACTCGCAATCTGGTTGACCTTTTGCTGTTCATTCGGGATACTAGAGTTTCGGTCTTCTCCACTGACGACAATTCCCATTGTCGAAAGAATGTCATTCTTTGCTCTTCGGAGGTCTTTCCCGAGGATTCTGGACTCGGGATTAACAGGGTGCCCTCGAGTATCATATTGCTGCATATAATTGTCTGCATGGACGTTGGAGATCCGTCGGACTGGACTGGAGGGGTCAACTGCCGCATTGTCGGGAGCTTCGTATGGGGACCGGCCCTTGAAATCAGTCAATATGATGTACAATCCGAGTTATAACTACGCTCAATTAAGCATGTATGGCAAGACGCGTTTGGGATGGGTTTGTATATCAGGGTAGAAACAATGAGACAGGGCCAGGTGGTGACTGCTTCAGTTTCAGAAGACTTTAGGCTTCTCGAGATAAAGTATGATATACTGTCACAGCCCATAGACCCAAGATTTCTCAACTGCAAACAGAGGGGAAGTTCGCGCATAAAAAGGTGAAGCTTACCAAAGCGAGCCGGTTCAAATAAGCCTGTCGACCCATATCGCGCAAGGTCACTGGGCTAATAGTGTAGCCACATCGCCTCCTAGTACACCATTAGTACAGAACCTGCTAGAACCCGTAGTTTCAAAAGTAACAAGCGATGAAGCATAATCAGACGAAAGCCGGGTGGTTGAAGGTACACATGTGGTTAGTTATGCGGCGATACTTGGCCTGAGGCAGAAGCCATATCTTATCATCAAGCAAACAGTGCAAACATCAAAAAAAGTTGCCCGCTCGAGCTGCCGTTTTTTGCGATCGTTCAATCTCTACGGCTCTTCGACTGGCCAATGGCGTGCTAAATTCTACTTTTTTACGCCGAGATATTATAGAGTCATGTCGAAAGCTATCGTCAAAACCACTTTCGAGGCGTCCCGCACGCTCCGCCCCATTTACACCGGCGGTAGCACGGCGCTTGATGCCAGTGGGCGCATCTTGCTGAGCTGCGTGGGCGAGGATGCCTTGATCGTCGATTTGGAGACTGGTAACCAGCTTACTAGCCTGGAGGGGGTATGTTTTGTCGCCTTGGAACGTTCGTCAATTGCAAAGCGCTAACCACATGAACGCTGCAGGATGGAGAAATTGTCACAGGTTTGGCTAGTGAGTATTGCATGCCCTGGGAATGAGAATAAAACACTGACATTTCGCCTAGTCACGCCTTCCGCCTCACACGCCATTGTCTGCTCGCGCTCGATGTCCATGCGAATCTACGGCCTCTCAACTTTCGACGAGACTTCCCAGACCATTGAAGCAAAACTTCTCCGAACCCTTAAGCCTCACACAGCTCCCGTTGTGACCATTGCTGTTGACCCTACTGGCACACTACTTGCCACTGGTGGTGCCGATGGCTCAATCAAGGTCTGGGACATCAGAGGTGGCTTTGTCACCCACACTTTCCATGGTCACGGTGGTGTCATTTCTGCGCTTTGCTTTTTCGAGGTTCCTACTGCCGAAAGTGATGCCAAGTCATCCAAGAAGAACAAGTCTAAACAGGCTACGGAGGATGATGATGAAGATATGGAGGGCTCAGCCCGTACGGGTTCCACTGCAGGATTCCGCCTAGCATCTGGCAGTGAAGATGGCAAAATGCGTGTATGGGATCTGCACAAGAGAAAGCCCATTGCATCGCTCGAGTCACATGTTTCACTTGTCCGCAGTTTGTCCTTTTCTCCGTCAGAGAACGCATTGATCTCGGCCAGCCGAGACAAGACTGTCATCGTCTGGGATGCGCGTACTTGGAAAACCCGCAGGATCATTCCTGTTTTGGAGAGTGTGGAAGCCGCGGCTTTCATTGCGGATAGCGGACTGTGCGTTATCGGTGGAGAAAATGGCAAACTGCGAGTTTGGGACTGCAATCGTGGAAGCGAGATCACAGAGGAACAAGAAGCTGGAGAGGAGTTTGAAAGCGTCGTCGCTATCCAATATTCCCCTGGTTTACCTTTTGTGCTCACCGTCCATGCGGATCAGACTCTCCGCCTCCATTCGCTCGAGTCGCTGTCTGATTATAAGCCAGGGTCAACTTTGGAGCCTTTGGCGATTATCCGCCGCATTTCCGGCAATGACGACGAGATCATTGATCTGGCTTACATTGGGCCTGATCGATCGATGCTTGCTTTGGCCACCAACACCGAGAGCATCCGTGTAGTTTCGGTTGCTCCCTCGGAAGACCGACCCTCAACCCAGGGAGAGGAGTACTTCGGTGCTGATGTCACACACCTGGAAGGCCACGACGATATTATCATTTGCATTGATGCAGATTGGTCAGGACACTGGCTAGCAACTGGCGCTAAAGATAACACAGCCCGTCTTTGGCGTATTGACCCGAAGACATCCTCTTATACTTGCTTTGCTATTTTCACTGGTCACGCCGAGTCGTTGGGAGCAATCGCCCTTCCCCGTGTGCCACCTCCTGTTGGAAGTGCCGCATATAACGACCCCTTGAATCACCCGCCAGCATTCTTAATTACTGGCTCGCAAGATCGCACAATCAAGCGATGGGATACAAGCAAGTTAGCCCCCTGACAGGAGAAAAGCCACACTATCCCAAGGCCATCTATACTCGCAAGGCTCACGAAAAGGATATTAATGCCATTGATATCGATTCTACATCTGAACTGTTTGCCTCAGCATCACAAGATCGCACCGTGAAGATCTGGGCCGCCGACGAAGGCTCATCGGTTGGTGTCCTCCGTGGCCACAAGCGAGGTGTTTGGTCGGTGCGATTCGCCCCGCAAGGCACACCGATTATCAACTCAGATTCACGTACCAGCACGAGCCGTGGCCTAGCAGTCACAGGCTCTGGTGACAAGACCGTCAAACTGTGGAGTCTGTCTGACTACAGCTGTCTCTTGACTTTCGAGGGCCATACCAACAGTGTTCTCAAAGTCCTCTGGCTCCCACCTCCCCAGGTCTCGAACAACCAAATCGACGATGACGAGGATGATGAAGAGGCCGCAACAGCACGCAAAAACGCCATCCAGGACCGCCCCCTTATCGCCTCCGCCGCTGCAGACGGCCTGGTCAAGATCTGGTCTCCCTACACAGGCGAGCTCGAAACCACCCTGGACAACCACATCGACCGAGTCTGGGCGCTTGCCAGCCCAACCCCATCCGGCTCACGCGCAGACGTGAAGCCAACCTCCTCCAAGCTCAACACCACTCCCTACGCCATCGCCTCTGGTTCTGCCGACGCAACAGTGACCTTCTGGACTGATACTACATCATCCACCTACACAGCCGCTGTCAACGCCAGCTCTGCTCGCGTCGAACAGGACCAAGAGCTGCAGAACTACATCCGCGCCGGTGCCTACCGCGAAGCCATCACTCTGGCCCTGCAACTCAACCACCCGGGTAGACTGCTGTCGCTCTTCACTTCCGCCATCAACGCCGCAGACGACCCAACCGTCCCGGCCGAGGACCGCGAGCAAGCTGCAGCCAGTCTGTCTGGTAACCCGTCCATCGACGAAGTCCTGCAGAACTTGGACCCTGCCAATCTGCGCACGCTCCTGCTCCGTCTCCGGGACTGGAACACCAATGCGCGCACATCTCGCGTCTCACAGCGCATCCTGTATGCTCTGTTCCGCTCTTACCCTGCGTCCACTTTCGTGGAGCTTGCGACCCAGTCCGTCCGCGGAAAGGAGGGTCGTGCCGCAGCTGGTATGAAGGATATTCTCCAGGCACTGGCTGCGTACACTGAGAGACACTACAAGCGGGTTGAGGAGCTGGTCGATGACAGCTACTTGGTGGAGTGGGTTCTCGGTGAGATGGATGGTGGTGTTGGACTTGGTGGACTGCGTGATTTGACTGTGGGCGATGTCAGTGAGGAAGAGCATGAGAAGGACGTTATTATGTTGGAAGCATAGTCTGGCTTTAGTCTTTTGCCCTGTTTGTACATTGAATTTGGCGCTTTCGTTCTTGGAGTACCATGGGTGGGAAGGATAAAAGCCATCTCTTTATAGAATTGAACAGTGTATCATGGAAAGTGTTCTTTGACCAAAGCGATCTATTTAATGTTCAGGGTATCTCTCTTTTTGGTTGATTCTCGTGGTAAAATAACTAGACATAGGGAATATGCAACTCCAAAGAAGCAGCAATTTGCCCTGTACAACGGCCTCAATGCCCTTCAATCCCCCTTGCCAAAACATCTGGCCTCTAATCATCGCGGCGACTCCGACGAGAGTCACGATCACGATCTCGGTCACGGTCACTCCGAGACGAGTGCGATGAGTGCCGCGAGCTGCTGTATCTATCATCTCGAGATCGGTGGTTGCGGTCTCTGTCCCGCTCTCGATCTCCATCTTTCCTTCGATCGTCCTTATCGTCATCACGGTCCCGGCGACGATCCCGGTCGTGGTCTCGATCCCGATAGGAACGGTCGTCCCGTCTGCTTTTATCGTCATCATCATATCGAGAGGAACGACTAGAAGATTGGCGGCCACTAGACCGACTGCGATCACGTCGCGAGGGCCCAGTCTTCCGGCGAGAACGATCCTCCTCCTCGTCGTAGTCACGTTTGCGATATTCCCGATCCTTGTCCCGACCGCTCTTCTCCAGGTTGCGATCCCGTCGCTCGCGCCAGTCGTCTTCCTTGGGAGGCTTGGACTTGGCCTCCTTTTGTAGAACAGCGAGCTCCTCTTCGGTGAGATGCTCGCCGGTTTTCTTATTCCGCATCGTGATAGGCATGTACACACCCTCGGCCTTATCGTTTTCCTCCCCCTGTTTCCTCGACGCCTTGCGCATAGCCGATTTCCCCCAAGCTCCGAGCTCGGTTTCGGCTCCCTTGCCGCCAGATGAATCCTTTGCGCCAATTCCGAGGAACCCAGGTCGTCGTTCTGGGACACGAGGGTTTTTCGCTTTCTCTGCAGCTGTGGCACTGCTGTAGTCGCCTCGTCCAATAGATTGACCATCCTTCCAGCCCATTCCTCGTAGCAGCGCGGCGCCGAATTCCTCAACGGGGATTGCATTGTAGGCGTCCAAAGTAGCAGGCTCAGGCCGGGATGCCACATCTGTTCGGAAGGATCCGAGCTCGCTGTAGTGGACTGGTTCTTCCTCCTTTGTGGCAGACTCGATCACAAGGTCTGACCTCCGTTCCATGTCACCCGTAGTTTCCCGAATCAGCGCCTGCATAGCGATCTCGTCGTCGGTGAGGGGCTTGGTGTCGACAGGTTTCGCATCAGGCATGGCCTGGTCTTCGTCCACTGCTGCGCCAGTATCTGCCTGATCTGCAGACTGTTGTGCAAAGCTCAACCCATACGCCACGCTGGGCGTATCTGTCTCTACAGTAGGGATTCCGGGAGGGGCTTGTCCGTTCTTTTGCGCTTCCTGCATAGCCTGCACTTCACTGGGCAGCAGGTTCTTCTTGCTTTTCTTCACATTGACACCTGCCCGGTCGCGCCAGTTGTTCTTGCTTGTGACGGGGATGATTAGTGGCTTATTTGCGTCCGCAACTGCCTGTCCGTCTGCGGCAATGACGGCACCCGTGTGAGTGTCGAACCCCGCGATTTCCTCGTGGACGGGAGGGGCCTCATCTTCATCGGAGTCGTCGGCATAACCAAGCTGGTGAGGTCGCCGAGGCAGTGACCGGCCGTTTGCTGGGGAGATTGTGGAACGGCCGCGATTTGAGGATTGGATGTTGAAACCAGTCTTTTTCGGAGCGTTTGAACTGGATAAAGATAGAGAGATTGGTTTGGGCGGCGCTTGCCTGCCCTCGTTATGGTCGCGCGAAGACATCGCGATGTTATCTTGGTTCGAACCGAATAGAGTGCTTAGTAGGAAAGAGAGAGCACGAGGAGCAATTGATACTCGAGAGCTCGTGGGCGGTGGCAAAATTGGAAGCGCGCGGTTAAATCCGCAGATTTTGTAGGGACAGCGGTAATCCAACCTACTCTACAACTCTACATACAACTCGCGAATATTTGTTGGTGGTTCTTCGCCAGAAATTGAGTGTCTGAGACAAACTATTAGCTAAATGTACAATACATACAGCTCATTATGTATATATAATATGTGAAACGCTGTTACAAAAACCACCTTTTATGCCTCAACAGACATTCACCAACGTAAGACCTTTGTTGAGATCGGAATTCCATTGATCCAAAGCAACCAAAGGCAATAGGCTACACTTCCAGACGGCCAGATAAGGAAGGGATACTGCAATCATCAGGATGATCTGGGCCTAATCAGGAGTTTTGAACGTACTCGTAATCAAATCTCCCTTTTCATCATTCAGCCCTGAGTTTGTTAACGTCGCTTCTCGGGAATTCAAGTAAAGTAACGAAATACATAAGAGCCACTAATTGACCAAGAGACAGGTTTAATATTAGACTTCTCCACAGTCCAGTTATGCAGTTCCATCTTGTAGTCCATTTTTGCCGGAACTATCTTTAGGTAGGTCTGTTTCAAGATATCCATGGATCTATTAGGCAGCCTAGCTTTTCATCTCTCTCCCGCTAGCATACATAGTGGTATCTCTAAAAATATGCCGAACAGACAAGCATCATAGGACAAAAGAAGCATAATCCAAGTGGAGCCCGGGAGATGCCCCACATCAGGGCGTATTCGTTCAGAAATTCCCCAATTGGGAATCTAGAAAGAGCCCTAAAGGTACAACAGCATTAGATGTTTAAAGTCCCTGTAAATCCCACCTTTTCTTTAGAATAAAAAGACTACACTCTGTTGGAATCACCAATATGGACATTGTTTTTCACGCCGGCAAAAATGGAACTGATCCCTGGGTAGAGTTCTATCCCTACACGCCATCTGCCACGGCTGGGTATGCCTTCATGGGACTCTTTGGGGTTTCAACCCTTGCCCATATCATATTGATATTTCCCTTCCGCGCTGCCTATTTTATCCCACTGGTACTAGGAGGAATTTGTATGATGACAGCCCCCTTCCACAAAAGAGGAGAATTTGTGGCTAACGATGAATGAAACCAGGTGAGACATTCGGCTACTACGGCCGAGCATGGTCACACCAGTCTCGATTTGAGATCAAGTCGTGGGCTTTGCAGGAGATGCTCATTCTATGCGCACCACCTCTTGTGGCAGCCACCGTCTATATGGTCCTCGGCCGCATTGTCCGCTCCTTCGGCGCTGAACACCTTTCAAGCATGCGTCCCAAATGGCTCACCTTTGTCTTTGTCATGAACGATGTGCTCTGCTTCTGTACACAACTGGGTGGTGCGGGCGTCCAAGTTACCGGGGATCAGCAGGTTATGGATATTGGCAAAAAGGTCGTTTTGACTGGCTTGATCTTCTCCTTGATTGTCTTTGCCTGTTTTGTGCTGATTGCGGCCAAATTTCATCGGCGTCTTAGACAAACGCCTACGCCCCTTCTCAATCAGAATCCTGACCTACCCTGGCAGCGATACATGTGGGCAATCTACATTTCTTGCTTTGCTTTGATGCTGCGCAACCTGGTGCGGACTATTCAATTTGGGGCCGGTCAGACAACCGATGTCAATACCAAGGAGGCGTATATCTATGTGTTTGATGCCTTTTTGATGTTTTTTACCATGTTTCTATTGATCATTTATCACCCGGGTCGGCTTATCAAGAAGGCTCGTCGCCTGAACAAGGCTGGTCTTACGGGAGATGGGAATTCTGCGCATGTACTGTTGTCTGAATGTGAGATGGACGAGCGCTTGCCGATCAAGTGATTACTGAAGGGCGACAAGTGGGTATATTGGGCATTTTTGTTTGGGCCTCTCAGGGCCTATAGCCAGCATATAAATCAGTAAATATTTACTGAATATCACCTGGCCAAGGTGTAAGAGTAATGATACATCCATGACATAAAGAAAAGAACCTTGAAAAAGGTTCTAGTGCAAGATATCCATGGTACCTTCCTTATGTACTAAGCCCTATATTTCCATAAGGTTTAGGGACATCTTCACCTTCTCTTCTCTTCTCTCTTTTCTCTTCTCAACACTCTCAACACTCTTTATGTCCAAAGAAGCATAGCGGCAGTGAAAAGTTAATGGGGAACTCATTCATCCAAGATTTCTTCGACACATCTCACATCTCCGCATCCGAAAATGGCTTTGTCTGGGCCGTGTTCCACGCCTATAGTCATCACCACAACCTTATACTCCGGCCTAAAGATGTGTGGTTCGCCATTCTGTCACAGCTCAGTGATTGGGAGGTCTCATGGGGGGTTTTGCAGCGAGCTAAGACAGGTCATATGGCGTCGATAGAAATAGCCGGGGGGACTGCAAGTTGTCGGGGAGACAGGTGGAAGGAACAGGCTTGTTGGCAAGCGCTACCCTTCTTATCTCAGTGGTATAACTCTACAAATGTAACTACACAGAAGTCCCGAGGTCCCGTGAAAAACAAACTCCAAACTAATCATACAATTCATATCATTTCCTAGAGTAATCCGCCCCAGTTTCGCCTATTCCCAATGATACAAGCCCAAGCACTGGTGTAAAAAGAGCCAGTGCATATCAAGTTCAAGTAAATAATGAACATCCTTTTCAACAAGCCAAAAAAAAAAAAAAGAGCACGCATGCGGTAGAGGTCAACAAATGGGGTAGGTGTAGATGTGTAGGTGCGTAGGTGTAGGTGTAGCGCGAGAATCCGAGTCAACGGTCAAGGACAAGGTTTAAAAAATAAATCAGCGTAAGGGTTTGTGTAAGTATGTACAGACGAACGTAAAGTGGGGAGGAAAAATGGTCTTGCAAGGGTATTGCAGGGGAGGAGAAAGGGACAAGTTGAGCAAGCTCCTAGCTGGTCGCGGTCTGAGCTGCCGGAGCATGCGGGCTCTTGCTGGAACCTTGAACGGCGCCAGCTTGGGCACTGCCGCTGCGCTGGTTTTGAGGAGTAGCGCTGCGGCTGGGCAGGGGTGCGGCACCGTTCATGGC